AGCGACATATAAGGCGGCCTTATCAAGACACTTTGACATGGCATGGATCGAGGAACAGGACCACATATCTGATCCTACCGTTGCTTCAGCAAACTCAACAACTATCGCCCCAACCCCATCGGACATCGACGCCCAGGATGACAACAGCATTCGCACTATTACCCTACCTCTTGCGAAGCTGCTCAGGACGGATCTCCCCACGAAGGATCAAGATTACATCACCAAGAGGCTAAACGACGTACAGGGTGAGGTGTCTGACTTTATGGAATCCGTTGCCATGGGAGCGTACAAGACAACACTATGGGTATGTTTTCAACATTCTCTGTCTTGGTTGTGGTCGCGCAAGGACATATTTATTTCAAGTTAACTAATATTATATGTTATCACGACCGTGTTTACTTTCTAGATCTGTCGCGGTGGCATCCAAGGAAGCATACAGCTTAACCTAGCTGACATATTCCCGCCATCCTTTGATATCAGGGACGACTACTTCAAGGAGAACCCGATCGTGGAAGCGGGAGTCATTACTCCGGAGTGGCAACAGATTGTATCCGATGCTACGGAGTTGAAGCCCCGAGTGAAGGATCCGGCAACCTTGCTATCCCAGGATTATTTGCAGTACCTTGGAGTTCGGATTCCAGAATTGAGACGTGGGAGGAAGACCCCCAAGACTACCACCCACCCCTTGTGGGATACAGTGCTTGAAAGCATCTATAGCGGGAAGCTGGTACCACAAGCCTGGGATGATTCAAGGCATCCTGACTCACCCTCATCCAACCCCTTCAAGATCATTCCAAGCTTGTCTCAAGCCTCTGGTTCCGGCGCTGTGGATGATGCCTATGCTGCTGCTGATGCCAATGTCGAGGTCGGATACCAGTCAGAGGACTCATCGAAGGAAAGCCTGGGGGGCTTGACGGCCACACTCATGCGAGAGTACGCTACGAACATCAAGATGATATGGTCTGGAGACATTTACGAGAGGTTGAGACGGTACGTGGTGCACAATGTTCTCCGACTCAATCTACGACCCCAGAGCGAGGAGAAACACCGCATCCAAAAGCGGAAGCGTGCTATCAAGAAGGCCGAGGAGATGAAGGAGGCGTCGGCATCGGCAAGCCAAAAGCGTCGAGAGTCCCTGAGGAACTGGAAAAGGCGAAACCAGGACCTATTCAATCAACTTGATCACGCATTTGATACTAGTCGAGACGAGGAGCGCATCAACAAGATTTTCGGGCTCATTGACATCCATCAAGAGCGGCGGCCAGGAGTCAAGGAGCAGAACAAGTCACGTGGACTCACTCAAAGCGACGACTACGAGACGGACTCGGAGTTTGACGGCTCAGACGACTCAGACGACGATATGGATACTGAGTTGGTTGTTTCGGGCTCGAGCAAGAGCAGCGATGATGTTTTAATGCCTTGCACTCACACAGCAGATCAAGATTGCGAGATGGGGGTCATGGAGGAGCAGTCAGATGCCGGTCGCTCTATTAATGCAGAGGCTCAGAGCAGTGGTCCGTCTGAATCTGTGGCACGCTCCTCAACAGGTACCAATAACTAATATCGGACGCTGCTCCTTGCTGAGTTTGTGGTATTAACTGTTGACTAATATCTCTCACTTCCTTTTTCTCCACCGTAGGACCAAAGGAGCCGACATCAAAGAAGCTCCGAGGTCTAGAAGCAGTAGCTATCAGGTTGCTGGAATTGCCAGACTCGAACATACCCATCACCGAAGAGACAGTCAAGGCGAAGCTCTACGAGCCTGAGATGTACAGCACGGAGGAGATTTTGGCCGTCTTGCGGCTAGTGACATTACTGAGACCGTTTACCCCTAAGAAGGCCCACTCAGGACCCCAGTCAACTTCCTATCCAAAGAGCGTCTTGACTTTGGGGCCGTTTGTGTATATTGCAAATGCAATCTTGAGATCGGCGGGATACAAGGATTTCACCCGTAGGATTTGCCCAGTTCCTGCTGTTGGGAATCGGCATGCTGTGCCGTTGGACGCGTCAGGGGTGTATGACATATTTGGCGGGCGAGCACCAGGACGCTTCGATATCAAGGGCCCAAGTGGTCGAGTAATCACCACGTCGACCGTCGCGAGACTGTCTACCGATCATCGCAAATATGTTTTCGGTGGACTTTTCAATATGGCCATCATCGACGATGCCTGCACGAAACATGGACTTGAGTTCGCACAAAGGTATGCATACATAAGGTCTTGAATATGACCTCTCCTCATTCATATCTATGACCATCATGAGTCAATTGAATAACAGTTTACCGTGCATTGTTTGTAAAATGATAGAATGACGTACGTCGACTTTTACACAGTACGCATCACGGGACGACGGGCGATAACGGGACCAAACCGCCACTTCACCAACAGTGCGTACGAAGACAAGAAGAAGAAGCATGTTAAGCCATCAGGTGTAATCAACTGGACGTCGGAACTACTGGAAACCGGGCACACCCCTCAATCTGCAGCCAAAGCGTCGGAGGAGATCAAGATTGTTCAGGATCGTTTGGTCACAGAGCTACAACCCCTCAAGAAGGGCCTCAAGGCAGCCACGACGGTCAGGAGAGAAAAGGACCGCACCCTTCGTCACTATGAAGGACACGACCAGAGACACAAAAAGGGAATCTACCAGAACCTACAGGAGGCACGAAAAGTCGTCAACAACCTGAAGAAGAAGATCGTTCCTCTCGAGGCTGAGATCCGGGAAAAGAAGCAGCAACGCTACTATTACAACAGGTTGTCCAAGGCGACCGCCCCCCCAACAGCACTATCAGAAGACCCTTCTCCCCTGCCCATCACGACTGTCACAGAGTCTGTCCCAACTGTTCAACATCCTGGGATGCAAGACTTTGTTCAGACAACCTCCATCAAGCAGCTACTGTTAGAAATTGAAGACAAGGACCGACAACTACCTGTACCAGGCACTGACAGAGGATTGGTGACTATGTCTGAGACTGTCCCCTCCTTGTGGTCAACTCTGGAATCTTTATCAAACCGATACTATATTCTCCATGGTATGTTTTCTTTTCTGCTTTACTACTGTCGCTCTATCATATCAAGATCGTGTCTTCATGCAATAATTTCCTACGGCGTTTCATTTGACGTTATAGGTCATCCCGATACTCACCACACCGGCAACGACGACGGGGCTTCAGAGCCGCCCACCTCTCACGCTGATGCTGTGGACATGGACATTGATGGCACGGACACCCAGCCCTCTCTGCATTCAGAATCGAAAGCGTCATCTCTTCCAGAACGGACTCGGAACGCCATAACGATAACTGGCTCTTTATCCCGGAAGGCAACGATCGAGGACATGCGTTTTGCCAAGTCCAACCGCATCACCGCAAAACAGGTCAAAGAAGTCGGTGGAGTAGGTAGGGCGACTCGAACAAGGGAGCGTTTGCTTCGACAGCCGGAAAATCAGAGGATTTCGGAGCTTCACAAGGAGATAGGAGAAAACTCCGTTTTGAAGGCGCAGACTATCAGTGAAGTTGACTCTGCACAGGTGACCCGACGATCAGCTACACAACCCCTTCGCAACTTCGAGGGCAGCAAAAGCTTAGTGAAACAAACCCACCACAAGGATCTTCAACTGCAGCGAGCATGGCAGACGATCGCAGCCGACGAACGACGGAAAATGCAGGATTTTTCCAGAGGTAAGTTTATGGATTTAAGAATCGGAGTGCATTGATTCCTTGTTGTTAACTCCAATGGGCATTCAAATAACTAAAACGTACTTTTATTTTTGTTTTCTTGATAGGAACAGGACAGACCCAACCAGCATCAGTCAACACAGTCGACTCTATCGATGGGTGTTGCAAGTGTGGTAGACACCACCTCCCAATCCGCGTTGGAAGGGCACTCACCTATCCACAGGAATGCCCCAGAGATGCGTTGCCCATCATCCCTATCATGTTCGTCGGGACGGCAGGAATCGGAACCGGGAGTCGCATTGGCGGTCATCTAAAGTACGGCGGAAAAAAGGTCGTTGAGCAACATGCCCTCTCCGTCCCTGTACTGATGACCGATGAAAACATGACAAGCAAAGTCTGTCCGTTTTGTTTTGCGATTCTACGCCTCGTCAAGGAACTGAGACTTGTCAACGGAGTCGAGAAGCTGGTCACAATCAACGGTGCGGTTCAGTGCGAAAACCCCAACTGTGAGAGTGTCCGCGCCGGTTATGCACGTCGAGGCAGGGACAGCAATGCATGTGTCAACATTGCACTTGCGGGATTCACGACAATCATGAGCGACAACAGACAGCCACTTCCTCCCTACAGGAGATCAACGCGTCCAGAGGGCGCCACCCCTTCAGAACCCCAGTCTCTCGCTACTGGAACACAACAAAACATCGAGCACTTCGACAACGGACCCATTGACAACAATGGCTTCCCGCGACGCTGCTGATGAGCTAGCCTAGCTAGATTTATGTAAGTTCCCATCTGCTTGTTTCCCATTTATGATTTGCTACGGAGTCTGCTATCAGTAAACCTCAGATTAACCAAAACATCCTAAATTTTGGATGAAATAGACAATAAATGGGAAAAGTGAATACCTTCAGTGTTTGCAATGTCTGGGCTCCTGATAAAAAACCATGCGTGTTTTCAGGACTTTTAGGGCACTCTACAATAAAATAATAGGCAGACCATGCGGAGGACCATTGGTGTGCGTTGGGGGCCAGAGGTTGACACTGACAGGGAAAACAAAAAAAAAGAGGAATGAAGCAAAATAACATCCGAAAACCCGGATTTGAACCAGGGACCTAGAGATGACAGACAAACTACAGTCTCCCGCTCTACCAACTGAGCTATTTTCGGTTGTTGTTGGATAAGCAGTTGAATCTAATGACTGTATTGAAATCATTATTTGCTAACTCGGGAACCAAGGCCCCAGGAACTCTGGCTCCTGGCGAAAATAATGCGCCTTGGAACAGCCCGGACCCCAATGTCCATTGCTAATAATTGTGTACGAAAAAAACCAATGTCCATCGCTAAGACAGTCCTTCACAAGTTTGTTGGCTACCTGGAGGCGCAGGCCTCGGAGCTGATCTGGAAACCTCGGTGCTCCGCGACGATCGCGTGGGAGCAGACCCAGGGTATCTCTGCCAAGAACAAGACATCCAAATACACAGGCCCCCGAGGTGACTGGAGTCAAGGATACGGTTACATCACGCACGATGGTTTCTGTCCGTGTGGCGCTTCGCTAGCTACACATGATGAAGGAAGGTGCCCTGGAGCGACCAAGGACACACGCGCTGCTGACGAGCGGTTGTTGGAGAGTTTGTTAAGAAGGAGGAGGTTGTCAATGATGGAGAGGATGGGAAGAATCCCCTTCATTCGTATCTAGTTTTATTTTCTTCCGTTTAAGCTGTGAAGAGCAGTGACAATTGTTGCGCAGAGCCAGATTCTGGACCGGACTGCGACTGGTGGATGGTGCACTGAAGAGTTTAGTCTGTAGTTCCCTTTTACTTCCAAATAACTTCTCTATGCTGTTTGTCAGAGAAATAAAATTGTGTACAAAAAAAAAAAAAGCATGGTTCAATGGGTCATAATGAATATTTTGTTCAATGATTCAGATGGAAATGATAAATTTATTTTGAAGTGTTGAATTTGCACGGGCGTACCACACTATTCTTTTCGACGGCTATTTTTTCATTGCTCCCCCCAAGCCAGCATCGACACTTCCCCATAGCCTGCGTCAAGCGCGTGAACACATTGCGTCCACAACGGGATAACCAATAAAGTGATATCTTATAAGAATGCTTTAATGAAAGACACGTCCGGACACAAGAAAACTTCTATGGCCAGTCCGACCCAGGGGTATACTGCTGGTTATTCTGCCTATTTAACTGGTCCTGATCCTGGTTGTTGCGATATTGACTATGGCCCCCAGGAGCATCAACATTGGCATACTGGCTACTGTTATTGTTGCCGCCGGGACCATTATACTGTGTCCGAGGGACATAGACATCCTGAGCACGACTCTGAGGCCACTCATGCTGGAGCCTCTCGACCGCTTTCCGGATTGTGCCTCGCATGTTATTCCGCTGAGGCAAGTCCAGCATGAACGCGCTGCCGTCAGAATCCGAGGGGAGGTACCGCGTTGGTGCTGCTGTTGATGACGTTCCTGCTGCTGGTGCTGGTGCTGGTGCGCCGTGCTCGATCTCGGACTGGGTGAGACGAGGTGCTGGCGAGAGAGGTTCTCCTGAGATATTGATCTGTGGTACGGGTGCGCCTCCTGCATGTGGTAGCGGTCCTGTTGGTGGTGCTAGTGGCTGGTGCTGCTGTTGCTGATGCTGTCGTTGATGGTTATCACCCAAATAAGCGTAGTGTTGGTTGACCTGAGGCCGGGGTGGGTACACCGGTGCAGGAGGGCTCGACAGGGGAGGCATGTAATTGCCACTACCGTCCAACAACTCCATTCTCGAGTCATGATTCGTCGATCCTGGTGAATTACTCTCGCTCTTGGCCTCCTCTTCCTTGCTCATCGCCCTGCCTCCTGCTCCTCCTGTGGCAGCGCCAGAAAGAACGCCAGCCTCAAGTGAGTAAGGGCTCGAATAGTTGCGTAGCCTGAATCCATCCAAATAGTATCTTGACAGCGTCTTCTCCAACATCCACATTCGCTCGTCAATCCTCAGATCAATCAACCGGATCAATTCCTCGACCTCTTGTTCCTCTGAGAACTCTTCGTTCTCGTTGAGGGGCGCCAGTGGTCGCAAGGAGTGAGACCCGGGAGCTCCTTGTTCCGTGAAATAGTAGTTGCCACCAGACAGATCCATCGATGACCGCGTGTTTGTCCAGTTATTGTTGTTGCCATTACCGCCCTTTCCACCACCGCCAGCCACAGCAGCCGCAGTGTTGAGTGCAGTGCTATAACGCAAAGAATGGCGACGAGGATCAGCGCGGAGGGGCATGTTGTCGGGATCATTGTCGGCGTTACTGTCGAGTCGCGAAAACCGCTTCTTGATCCACCGCTGGAAGGCTTCAAAAGCATTCTTGGGTGGGACGTCATCGTTGCGGTACCTCCTCGAGTTAGGGGATGTTTGAAGGACGTAACGCTGCATAATACCCCAACTCTTGTACCTGCCGCTCCCGAATAAGAAGATCCAAAGCGCAAGTGCAATTGAGGCCATTCTAGAATGGAAGAGTTAAACAAATCGGCCGAAAGAGAAATAATAATAGTTAAGGTTTCTTGTTCCATTTTTGTTATGTGTGATTTTGAACTTAGCCCCGTTGGAGTCAGGCTTTTGACGTTTGAAAAATAGGCACGAAAAAAAAAACTTACCCTCCAATGGCTCCTGCAAGATCTACCCAAGAGTATCCTTTGTTGTCGTTGTACTGGTTGATATAGAACGAGTCGGGTGAGATCTCCACCTTAGCGAAAACTTGTTTTGCCGCAATGTCCATGGTTCGCAAGTTTTGCTAATCACAGCGTATTAAATGGAACAGAACATTATTAGCGGATCGACAATGCTTCGACAAGGCGACGCTCTTGTAAGGTGTGATGTGGAAGAAAGAGGTCAGAAAGAGAGCATACTTTTTGAAGGGTGTAACGCGGTTGAGATCCTCCTCTCAATAGTTGATGCTCCGAGTACACAAAGGTCAATGTATTAATGGAAGCTATTCAAAAGCAAAATGGCAAAAAAGAAAGGGTGAGTGGCGGTGCAACATGTGGAATTACATGTTCCAATTTATTTTGTGCCACCAATGCAACAAAGAAAAGTGCTCAACCACAGCTCAAGGCAATTAGAAGAGAAAGGCATCAAACAAACAAACAAATAAACAAAGACCACGAAGTGATGCACTTACGAATGGCGCCCCAGATGGGCTGAATCATGGTAACATTCACATCTCCGTTCTAAGTAACGAGATGAAAAAGGTGGGCTTGTTAATATGCTGTAATAATGGCCTGTTTTGAGTATGAAGGAAGTACATTATCATTCTCAATGAAAATAAGAGAAAGTCTTACCCAGATCGCCATAGAAAGACCGGCAGGTGCGGTACCGAGGTAGGGCGCACTGGCAGTGCACGCAAAGACGATTTTCACTAGAGCGGGCTGAGGATCGGAATGAAGGAGAGCGAGGTAATGTTATTATTCAGCGATCTATTTTGGTATGTTGGAGTACATACTCCAACAGGTATGTAACTCTGAAAGACAAGAACAAGAACAGTCAAAGAGAAAAAAAAACCAGGGGTGCGGTCATACAAGACTGCTTCCGTCGAGGTTCTTGGGATAGAAGAAATCTGGTTGGCGGTGGAGGAAGACACACTTGCCGTCAGTCCTGTCCCAGTCACCATTGGCCTGGAGATTGAACTCTGTCGCATTCTTGATCTCGTAGAAATCTGCGAAGGTGTGTCGTCAACGCGAAGAAAAAAAAGGCGATAAAGGTGTTAGGGCTGATGGACTGGGGCAGGCGAGGGCGCCAGAGTGAAACCAATAAGCATTGAATTAAATAACGAGAGGAAGAGAATGGACTTACCCTTATTGACGGGAACCTTGACATCCTGACCCTGTCGTCCATCTTCGTACTGTGTCCTGGTGACAATGTCCAACTCGACGGTGTCCAAGAATTGACTACAAATGATGATGTCGGGAACAGGGATCTGGGGCTTGTCGGTGATCTTGACCGAGACATAGTTGACCTGGTCGAGAATCGACTTGACCTTGGGGATCGCTGCAAATACCAAAACGGCAATGGTGATGATCAAGATGGCGATACGGAGGAGCAGTTCATAAGTGACGGGGATACCGCAAATATAAAACCTCCGTGGTCCAGTCTTGCGTCCTGCCATGATATATGGTTGTTATGTTGATGGCCTGAGGGGAGAGGAGCGAGTGCAAGGTGTCGCGGGGGTGAAGAGAGAGAAAGGAGTTGATGGTGTGGAAAGTGGAGGGGTTATGAGAGGAGTGTGGATAAGATTGAAGGCGAGAGTGTGAGAGTGCTCTACGTTGATTTTTTCTATTGTTCCCGGAGATGAGTCGTTATGTCTGTCCAAGCAAGTGACATTCAAAAAGTAAGGAACAAAAAGGAAATGATGGGAAGGTGAAAGAAGACTGATGAGTGACAAGGAAAGAAGAAAAAAGAAGTAAGAGGAGAGAAAGAAGGAAAAGAGAAGGAAGAAAACAAATACACAAAAGGACAAAGTAAGCGTGTTGTCACTTGCCAGTGGGTGTGGCGGAATGGTGACCAAATTTTCTTGGTGCAGCAGGTGTATTTTCTTCGGAAGGAAAGTGCCAATGAGTCGTGAATGGCGAAAAATAGATTTTGACGAAAGTCAAAGTACAAAAAACAATGCGGAATAGAGCCAATGCAGTTCAAACGGCTGTGCAAAGGGGTATTTTTTTTTAAAAAAAAAAGGACGAGCATTTGGTCCCCTTCTCGTTCTTGTTTTTTTCGCGCCATACATATGTCAACACAATGACACTAAGCATAAGACATATGGCAAGGGGTCGGTGAGCAGGGGCGTTGGAACCATCATTAGTCTACTATCCAGGCCACGCTCATATTGGCGTAAAAGTCGATCAACAAAGGTTTTCAGCTCATCGAATTCTATGAACGAGAAGAAAAATAGACCGAGCAGACATGGCAACGAACAAATAAACGTTCAGACTCGTTGAATCCATTCTCCCACGCAAGGCAAGGCAACGCCCACGGACACAATATTTTGCTATCACGACGTGCACATGCCTTTTCCCCACTCAAGAAAGCCTTTGAACTGCAGTTGAAGGGAGGGGGTGGGCACACCACTACTGCCACGGCTGCCATAATGCCAAAGGTTTTAACTACAACAAGCCTAGCTTTCAAATAATACCATTGCTCAAAGGTTCTTGTTATCATTCACCCAAGACTATGCACGACTATTGATAGCAAGAATCCAACACCATTGTGGGCTGGGAATTGAAAAGGAAACCCTTTCCAACTTCAGCCTCAAAATGCATAGGCTCCTATCCTTGTTGTCCTCCAGCCGCTCTTTTTCTCTTCTTGCCTGTCTATCATCTTCATCGCCACACACACACGTACACAAAAGAACACCAAATGGATATTTTTGTATGTGCAAAGCGCCTAGTGGCGCTCATTCATCACCCTTAGTTTTTTATGAAAGGAAAGAAGGCATGCTAAAGGAAAAGAAAGGTATACTAAGAAAAGCTAGGGAAAAACGAAGTTTTGTGTGGGGGTGTGGGGTATTGGAAGTGGACATTGCATTGAAAGAAAGAAAAAAATGGTATATGTTGTGTGTGAGTGCGAAAACAAAGCAAAGCAAAAACAAAAAACAAAATAATAAAATCATAACAGAAGACGACTTTTCGTTGGCGGTGTAGTCGTGAAACCGCCTTTTCGTCTTCTTTTTTTAGACGTCGTTGACGTTTTCGGTGGTAGTCGTACCGTTCCTCCTTCTGCGTCCATCTCATGGACTAGCTTCCAGAGCTTTGTTGTTTTAGAACCGGTCGTCTACGCCTTCATCCTCTTCCTCGTCATCGCCATCACCCTTGCGCTCCCATCGGTCGACAGCGCGCAGCGCGTACATCAGCTTAGCTTGCTTGGTGGCCTCCATCATAATGATGTTGACGTGGCAGCGCTCCTCCGGACGGAGCTCGAAGCCCATGTTGTCAAAGTCGTTCTTATCGACCTTGTTGCTGTCCGAGAGATAGAACTGAAGACCCTCCGAACCATCAGGAGACCCAGGCACTCCCGCCATCGTGATGCCATGGCAAGCCTTGCGGATATACGCCGCCAACGTCGTATTCATGAATCTGGACAGGTTTCGGTAGTTGTATTCTTGATGAAGAAGACCAAACAGCCGCAGGGTATAAAACCAGATCGCTTCGCGGAACGCGAACGTATCAACGCCACCGTCATGCTTGTCCTCGTTCTCGTCAAAGAAGCTGAGATCCGTAAAGTTGAGAGTCACTGTAAACTCGTCCTCCAAGGTCTCGCTCAACTCTGGGAGACATCTCGACAGCACAGTTGACGCATCATCCTCCCAGCGGAACTCGTCCACCCTGAAGACCCTGTACTGGCTGGATCGGCAGTCAAACAGTGCTGGCTCGATTTGGCACGTCATGTCAAGGAAACGGCTCATGTCCTCCTGGACTGGTCGAATCGTCCTCTCCTGCAACTGTTGTTGGTCCTGAGTCGACATGGCCTCGGACAGGGACGTTGACAATGGTGGGGATATGATCCTTGGCTCAGGTGCGGGGAACGCTGAAGAGAGGAGAACAGGGGGAACAAAATAAAAATAAGAGCAAAAAAGACAAACGTGAACGTTAGGTGGAGTTGTTTCTTCTGGAGGCGAACGGTGTCAAACTGCATAAAACATTCACAGGAACAAACAAACAAAATAAAACACTTACTGTCCTCAATCTCCTCAAAGCCAGGAGGAAGATTCTGTCCAGTTGGATCCTCGTCCAGAAGAGACTCTGAGTCGCACTCTTCGCCTTCAGTGCAGCAAGTCTCCCTCTCCAACAAGAGTCGCTTGATCAACTCTGCGGTGTGGAGCTTCGAAGTAGCCTCATCGTAGGTCTTCCTGGACAGAGGGATTGGAGGCAGGGTGATGTGGAAATGGAAGGGCGATCGCGTTGGGTCGTCTTCAGGGGAGGATGGCGAATCATCGGATGAGGCATCTCCGGCTTGAGATGTATTGGTGCACGCATCCTGGTCTGAGCGAGGAGAGGGCAGCATAGTCAGAGGGCTCATCATGGCCTCCTCCTGGGCTTTCCTGGCCTGCAGCCTGTTGAAGTCGACAAAGGTTCCGCCAACCATGTCAATCTCAGGGACAATTCCACAGGCGGCGACAAACATGCTGATGCTGTGGACTGTCGAGAGGATGACCATCACTTGAGCCAGCTCACTGACGGTCCAGACGTTGTGTGGGTTATGGTTGGTTTCACGGCAGACGAGCTCCTGAATGTGTCGGGGCTTGAGCCTCCAGGGCTGGTGCGCCATCAGTCCGTTGAGCTTGGCGAGGTTCCGGATCTTTTGGGTGGTGTACTGCAGTCCATTGAGCCAGGTCGGGTCGCCACCGCTGGTTAGGTAGTCCAGCTTCATCATCGAGACCATGTACTGGCAATTGTATTGAGACGCCGCCTAAATTGACACCCAAGGTGAATTGGCCAATGAAGAGAATGGGTTAGTCTCAAAACAGTGTTCGAAGCAAAGCCGATAATGATATCATCGTTCCCAACTCCTATTAACCCCTTTCCCTTTAGTAGGATTCGTGGGTACTCTGAAGGAGAACGAAAGGTAGTAGAAAAGGGGATTGGGATCTCTCTATCTAATACAAGTCGCAATTGCTTACCATGATAGCGACATAGCATCGCCAAGGCTTGGGAATAGGTCCTGGTCCATTCATCATACAGGTCTGAGAGCTTTCAAACTTCTCCCAGAAGGTAGGGAAGAACGCCATGATGCGGAAGAGATTGCTGGTCCGACCGTAGTTGGCAAAGGTCTGTGTCATGATCTGCTTTGTTGCCTCATCGGGAACACAACCGACCGAGGGGGGCAGACATCCGGCGGCTGTGACGGTGACGGGGAGGGTTGAGAGCGAGGATGAAGAGGAAGACCGATCCTTTGCTGAGAGGGTAGGCGAGGGACATCTCGAGTGTTCGGGGCTGTCGAGGAGGTAAATGTCCTTGGGTTCGATAAAGAACGATGCCGAGGGGTGGATCGGCTTTGGGATCGGGATGTTGAGGGACTGTATGTGTTGTGTCGATGAGTTATTGTGTTCAGGAGTATGTGGAGAGGAAGGAGAGAAGGGAAGTAAGGTGCGTGCGAGAAGAAGCAAAAGCCAAAGTAGGTCATAGAATAACGTAAACAAAAGAAAAAAAAAGAGGTGAGTGTCATGTTTAAAAAAAAAAAAAAAAAAAGAAACAACAAAAACCATAAAGTCAAACAACAACAACTAAAATAACGAACTAACAGATCAAAACTGACATCAACGCATAAGAAAAACACAACAATAGTCAAACCAAAAAAATGACATGGGTGGGAGAGAAAGGTGGGGAAGGAGTTGTTGGATTTACCTCAAGCTCGTTCAAGAGTCCGACAAGACAGATCTTGACATCCTTGTAAGGACAGCAGACAGAGAACCGCAAGATGGTCAAAATATGGTGTCGAAGTAGCCTGGCAGCCTCATCCACCTCAGCATCTCGCTCCTCCGTAGGCGAGAGCTTGTCAGGCAGCGCACGGTTGAAGTGGACGTCGGGGTCGTTCTGGAAGTGATAGCTCGACGAGGCGATGGGCGATGACGAAAGGATGGTCTGGCTCAAGGAGGTGCCCTGAGCTTCTGCTGCCGATGTTGAAGACGATGCCGAGTGGCACGCGCTGCTGCTGGTGTGAGGAGAGCTGGGAATTGGCGATGAAGCCGACATGGTTGTAGATTCTTGCCTTGTCCTTTGAGACTGATATGTCTGCGAAGCATCGTCGTTGTTTTCGTCTGAGGACACGTGTTGTTGCTGCTGTTGCTGCTGGGTCGAGATGGTGAGTTTCTCCATGGCCAGTGCTGTGCCGATGATGGAATGGCCATGGAGGATAGACGACGTGGTTGTTGTTGCCGTTGTATTGGGATCAGTGCTGCTACTAGAGTTACTGGTGGAGGGGAAGAGAGTGGCCTGGATCGAGCATGCGACTGGGGCAGGCGAGAATGGTGGAGTGGGGTTGGGATGTGAAGAGGAGAGGTCGACGATGGAGCCGTTGTCGGTGACGACGCGTGCCCACTCTGTGACGATCTGGACGATGTTGTCGAGGGCACGGGCGCGGTTGGTCGAGTTCGAGTCAAGGAGATCTTGGAAGAGGACGGCCCTGAACCTCGAGTAGGTGATGGAGGAGAACTGGGGCGACTCCTTTGGGTCGTCTATGGGCGACAGGAGCATGGAAAAGGACGATTCGATGTGTTAGAGGGAAGGGTTGGTTGTGAATGTGGGGATTGTGAAAGGCGAATGGTGAATGTAGGTGTAAGCGGTAAGTGGTGAGAATGAAGTGAGGTGAAAGGGAAGTTGATTATGGGTGGTGCATGGGATGGAGATGGAGGGGGGGAGAAGAGAAAAGACGAGAAGAGGAGAGAAGAGAGGAAAAGAGAGGTGAGAAAGAAGAAAAGAAAAAAAAAAGGCGTACAGAGGCAGCTGTACACAAGGATAGATAAGATCAGTGAGTGCCAGGCACGACAAAAAAAGATCGGATCTTAGGCTTCTTTCTCTTTCTCACTGCCTCTCTACTGAGTCGCATGAAAAATGCCTCTGCTGTTATTATTGTTGTTATTATTACTCCTGCAACTGCGTATGTACAGTACATGCTGCTTGTGCTGCTGTTGTCTGTCAATGCCGACATGACGCACCGTGGGTCCATTGAAGGAAGAAAAAAAAGGGGGGGCAAGGGAAGGGAAACAAGCCAAGACTAGATCCAGGGAGACGAGATCATGGTTCCCTGTGGGACGCCCTCTCTTCCCTTTGTTGTCCCTCTCCCTTAATCCCTTATTCTCTCTCCAACTCTCTCTCTCCTGTGGCTACTACGACTCTGCCCCTTGAACCCCCAAATCCAACAGCTCACCCCTTGCTCCTTATTACCCGTCCTCCACTCTTCTTTCTCACACCCTTCCTTCGGTTTCTTTTTATGAAATAAGAAGAAAAATAATAAACAAAAAAGTGAGCAGCTGTGGAGAATACAAGTTGTGTCCGATGCGGAAAGAGCAAAAGAAAAAAAAACATTGGGTGAGGAGTGAGGAGTGGGTAGAGAGGGCACGAAAGGCGAGGCGAGGCGAGGGGGGAGGAGGATAAAAAAACCGACTACAGCCACAAGATAAGCGGTGAGCCTTCGTGGAACCATGGTCATAATCTTGTCTCCTCTTTCTTTTTTCCTTCTTTGTCTCTCACACCCATTTATCATGAGAATTGGTCGCTTTTCTGCTACCAACCTTCGGAGATGGCTCTCTTAGTCTTCTTTCCACCTCTCTCTTTCCTCAATTGGCATTTCCATTGACCCATTCCTTTCTCTCTCTCTCTCTCTCTCTCTCTCTCTCTCTCTCTCTCTCGCATATTTTTGGTCTGGCGAGCCATTTTCCACAATGGCCCCATCTTGACATGGTTTAAACCAAACAAAGGAAAATATTGAAACCAAGAGGGAAAAAAAAGAATGACAATGTCGTGCAGGACACTAGCGGCATTTGTGTTTGTTTTTTTTTCCTTCTCTTTGTTGTGAGCGCCAAATTCTAAATGTCCTTAGGATCAAGCAAAAGGCACTAGGCACAAGCGTGCAAAGATAGAGGCGTGTGTGTTGAGTGGGATAAGGAGGATATGAGAAGAAGAACAGACAAGTTGAAAAAGAAAGTGGGAAAGTGGAGAAAGGAAAAAGGAAAGGGAAAGAATAGGAATGGCGACAAAGAGAGATCAAAGGGCGAAGAAGAAGAATAAGAAAGGGAAAAGTAGGGGGATGGATGCAACGAAGAGAAACGGGCCTAAACGTGGAAAAAAAACAAACAACAGCATGACAACAACACACACATGAACGCCATTCATTTCCCGTTTAAAAACACTCTTTTTGTTCTCATCCAAGCTGAAGACTCCCTGTCCGACATTTCTCTTATTTTTTTTTTTCTCTCGGCTGGATCATTGTTCTCTCTCCTTTTTGCCTTCACCCCTTCTTTTTTTTTGCTCCGTTTTTTCCTTTGCCATTTATTTGCCTCGTCATTTCATTGTTTGATCCCATAGTATTGAAGATAACCCGTTTTATGTTTCCATTACATGCCTCCTTGGAAACACGTTAAAAAAACGAGTTGTGAACTCAGACAGATACACAAAAATGAGTCAAGACTAAACCAAGGTACGTACGATGATGGAGTCCAAAAAAAGGGTCATAATTATCGAAAAAATGGTCATCATCGATCCTTCTCCTTTTCTGTCACAATTATTGGTTGTCGATCCGATGAGCCGGGGCATACAAAGTATAGGAGATGGTGCGGGATGGGAAAAAGGGAGTGAGAACAGAATAGACTGAAAGGGTGCTGTCTTACCGTGGCGGAGGTATTGACTTGGGCTTAGCGTATTGATGTAGCCTGGCCCCAAAGCCAGTTGCTGTTGCCATAGGATGTCAGCTCTAGTCATTTGTTTCTTTTGGAGCTAGTTTGATGGATTGTTGGTTGCTGGTTGTTGTGTCCTGAGTTTCGGGTTGGACATAGAATGGGATGGTGAAGGTGTGTGCGTGTGTGTTATTTTTTAGCACAGGGGTAAGGAAGTCAAGGCAAAGGAGGAGAGGGCAGGGAAGGGAAGGGTAGGGAAAAGGGGGGAGGGGTGCAGTAAAGCGTGAGTGTGTTGCTGATCCTGCTATTTCTTTTCCGTCGTACGTGCGTGCTTGCAGTGAGAGTGAATGCTCAATGCTGGATGTTGTGTGCAAGCGAGGAAATGAGAAAAGAGGAAAAGCTAGGGCCATAGAGAGCGGAAAGAAGAAAAGAAAAAATGAAAACAAATGTGTCAGCAGAGCCGGTTATTTACATTTTCGTGAGATGAACAATGCATCTGCAACTGGCGGGCAATGCTTTTTGGCGATAACAAAGAAAGAAAAACAATTAAGGGAAAAGGGAGGTTGGATAGAGCTGCGAGGGAAGGAAGAAAAAAACGAGTTGGGGAGGGAGAGGGGAGGAGCGTGGAGGAAGAAGAGGGTGTGGGAGCAAAGTAAACAATGTAATGCAATGCACGCCTGACGACAAAAAAGAGCAAGGGAAACAGACAAACGGAGGAAAAGAAGATTTGAGAAAAGGGAGAAAAGGAGGGGAGGGGACATGGTGGTACACGTTGGGGAAGCGGAGAAGAAGGAAGGAAAGGGAGGGGGCATAGCATACATACACAGAGGAGGAGGAGGGTTGTAGCATACCACGTTGTGTCAATATGCCAACAAGATGATGATGAATAGTAATGAAGGTGCCAAATGGTGTGAGCGAAAGTGGTTGGAGACGATGGAGGGTAAAGGAAGGAGGAAAGGTGAGAGTAGAAAGAGAAGGAGAAGAAGGAGAAGGAGAAGGAGAAGGAGAAAGGAAGGAAAGAAAGTTACACAGACACACAAGCTTGTGGCAAGATAGTGTGGGGGTTGAAGAGAGGAGAAGAGAAGAGAGAAAAAGAAAAAAACAACAGTGAAGAAATCAACGACCATCAAAAAACAAGCCTTATTCTCCGCCATCGATCGTGCACTTGCACATCCACACACATAATATATGCCTTGAGCGAGACATGTATTGCATCCAAGTGGACCAGGGCAGTTCAGTCAAAGTTCTCGTTCAATTTGAACTGCAATAATACTAAACGTATTAAATTGTACCATATTCGCCCTGTTTTTGCTCACGACGATCCATGTCCACAAAACGGGAGATGTGATAAACTCAACCTTACAGGAGGTACCCCTATCAACGGCCAAGGAACCAGTTTTTTTGCACATAAATCATTACCCCACCCTGTGCTGGGACCCCTACCCACCCACCCCCAGGGCCCGTCAAATTGACCACTTGCTGCGCGGGACTGGGCTGTGTGCCCAGTCCTGATGCACCACTGTTCTTCTGTACGTGTGATCGTGCTGGTTCACTGGCCAACGTTTGGTTTCTCAATTATTTCATTCACCCGTCGATTCAATTGGATCTTGACAATGACTGGCCGGCGACTTTTTCATTTGCTTCTTTTCCCTTGTTTCTTCTTTCTTCTCTTTGTTCTTCATTCCTTTGAGAGGGCCATGGCCAGACGACGCTTCAAACAACGACCAGCAAGTCATGATGTCTTCCTTTTTCGAGCGGGACGCCAACTTTTCTACATCTAAACAATATTTTTTTTCCTCCCTCCGTCACGAACGACGTTTTTCTTTTATAAACTCCTTTTTTTCCCCTTTCTCTACGATTGACTGAACAAAGGTGGACATTCGGGTCCGGGAACCCGCATAATGTTTGTTTCCTTTCTTCTTCCTGAACGAAGAAAAACTTTCCAGGATTGAATCAGTTCGTTCTTCTTTCAATAGGCCTTCGTTTTTTTTATTACAGGTCGTGTTGCTCGTGCTATTCGCGAGTTTTGTTCATATTCTTAAAGTCAGACCATACACATGTTCAAGAAAAGGAGATCTCTTTGACCAGCAGTTAAAAATCAAGAAAATCTCCCACCCACAGCCATCCAAAGTGACATTTCCCCTCCTTCCCCCCCCAAAAAAAAAGCACAGATGTCAACCTTGATAGAGACAAAGACAAAGAGATGGGCAGAGGCGCGTGTGAGATTGTTCGAAAGGGTGAAAATATCTAGTTCGCTTTTAGGCCATGCCCCATGACGACATTGGCGGTGCAGAAAGACTAACTAACTAAGAAAGAAAAGGAGGACGAGAGGAGAGTGGAAAGTGGAGAGAATGGAGCAGGGGGGAGGTTGGGGAAAGGATGGAGGACAGAAAAAATGCACAACCAAAGAAGGACAAGGCAAGAAGGAGCATGCAAAACGCGAAAGAAAAAAATGCAAGACAAGGAACTCGGCGGCCTACCACATCATTTTAACTTCTTTGCTCACAAAACCAAAAAATGACGGTAACGACGCCTAATATACATGACAATTTAATTCATCAAAACCAAAAACCCGCTCTTTCGGCGCCTCGTTTGTTAGAGGTGTACCCGACCAATTTCGTCCTTTCTTTCACTCTCCTTTCATTAGACCACCTTTGTGGTTTTTTTTATTCAATTCTTCCTAAAGAGCGCATAATTAATTTGCATTATTGCTCTTTTCGCGTACGCGGGGTCCAGACTTTCATGCTTTTCCTTCTTCTCACCCTTTACAGCATTCTCGACGATGAATAAACATTACGCTTCCTTTTTTTTCTTTGCCTTTGTGCGCAATCCTGTTTGCCACGCGATTTCATGAAAAAAGGGGACAGAGGGGGGAGGGGGCGAAAGGGAAGGAAAAGGGAAAAGGAGAAAGTGATAAATGCCGCACACGATTTGATGCATCATTTTTTTCTTGGCATGCACAAAAAAATCAATTGCGCCACCAATTTTCAGCTCTCTTCCTCCAACACGAAAAAAGGGTCTAAAAAATCCAAGAAAGGGGGAACAGGAAAACGAGAATCCCAAAAGGCTCCTACTCGTTCTTTCATCTTCATAACTTCTCCTCTCATTACCTCATTTCTATTTCATTTACTCGTCATTCTATATACAAGTAAAAGGCCAAAATATCTCCGAGTCGAGAAGACAAAGCAAACACGAAAAAAAGAGCTCTCTCTGTCTCTCACGTTACCCACCTCGAGATTTTTGAGAGCCTGGTCGACGACTCATTGTTGTCGGTTGTATGCATCTTCGCCATCTGTTTTTCCTTGGACTAACGTCACACTTCCTCCTCCTCCTGTGGCCTTTTGGAGTAGAAAAGGCTCCACAAAAGAGCTAGTTTGGAATGGGTTTTTTTGGTCGAGTTCAAGGTTATCATTTCCCTGGAGAGGCAACAACAACAAAAAATAAACGAACTATGTGATGCTCTTGGTAGCGAAGAAGAGGGAGAGCCTAAATTGTGCTGGTTGTGTCGCTTCTCTTTATGCCCCACTCGCCCCGCCATTCCATTTTCTCGCACCGTATGGAATGTCCAAGGTTGTCCGCAAGAAAACAAAACAAGGGTTACACTAAGAGTCATCGATATGCAACAAAATAAAAAAAAAGATGGCGGCTGTACTTAGGAGAATTTTTTTTCTGTTTTTTTTTATTCCTTTTGCCGTGTTTTCATCAAGGCCAATACAGAATGGGTGTTTAGATTTTGTTCTCCATCGATTTTTTTCAAAGTACAATAATAAAAGCGAAAAGAATTGTGTTGAAAGGCGAAGGGGGTTGCCGGTTGCTGTACATGGAGAGATATCCAGGCGAATCCGTTTACTTGCTCATCATCATACGGACGAATTCCTAAATGTGCATGAAAAAGGGGGTGTGAGAGAGAACGCGTCAATGTGAGTGGTGAGAGAAGAGCAACGCATTGAATGTATGCGGGTGTTGAGAATCGACAAAAGGATGTCGTTTGTCATCCAATGTTTGTTTCCACGCTGTTGTGGGAGTTGCAGCAAGGCCGAAAAAAAATGGGAGACATATTTGGATGTTGAGCCCATACCTCGTAGTTAATCTGACCATCACTATTAAGAACAACATGAAAAGAGATGTTTGACAGACATGGTTAGTTTGCTCCCGAGAATACATGTTGTCATCGTTGTCATCGTTGTCATCGTTGTCATCGTTGGTAATGGTTTATGAGTAAGAGGAACAAGAGTAACATAGCAAACACACAATGGGTCATCATGTGGGTTGCAACCCTAAACCTCTTTGGTGTGGATAGCGGTGTAGTATAACGTATGAAGGTCATTCTCTTTTCGAACAGTAAACCATGGAAGATAATGACACAAAAAAAGAGTATACACGTCTCTTGTTCTTGCCCCGTGGTCAATGGCATGACAAACATGGTTGCCGTGAGGAAACAGGTGGTGGGAATAGCAAACCGACAGAAAGTAGTTGCATAGAGAAAAAAAAGAAAAAGAAACACCACACGTTCAAAGCATCAAACACGACACGACACGCGTACACCATCCCTCGCAAAAAAAACAGGCTCTTTCCTTTGTCACCTTTTCAAAAATAACAAAAACAAGAAAACTTACCCATCGACATCAGCCTCGTGAATCATCTCGTCAACCTCGCTGTCGGTCAAACGCTCGCCAAGGTTGGTGAGGACGTGACGGAGCTCGGCAGCTGAGATGTAACCGTTGCCGTCCTTGTCAAAGACCTTGAAAGCCTCCTTGATCTCCTCCTCAGAGTCTGTGTCGACCATCTTGCGGGCCATCATCGTCAAGAACTCGGGAAAGTCGATTGTACCGTTACCGTCAGCATCCACTTCGTTAACCATGTCCTGAAGGTCAGCCTCGGTAGGGTTCTGGCCGAGGGAGCGCATGACTGTGCCGAGCTCCTTGGTGGTGATGGTGCCATCGCCATCCTTATCGAACAGGGAGAAGGCCTCTGTGGAACGACAAAGCGAACAAACAGACAGCAGGAACCGACAATGGGGGCGGGGACGGGGTGGGAGGTTGGGAGAGAAGGAGCAGGAGGAGTCGACGAGGAGAGGGGTGTGAGGATACGGCGGACCACAGGGGGGAGAGAGAGAGTGACGGAGTCAATGTGCGCGTGACACGGGGATAAAAATATTGGCAGCAGGGCAGGGCAGGGCAGGGCAGAGCAGGAGAAGATGGCAGGAGAGAACAAGAGAAAGGCAAGGCAAAAGGCGAAGGGAGAAGTAGAATAGAATAGGAAAAAGAGTACATGGTTAGCCACTGAAACAAGAACGTTGTCTTGTTCAAGGAACACTGACGCGGATAAAATGACACTGTTGGTGTCAATGGTCCATCTCTCATCCTGATATTATCCTCGGTATCACTGACAGACAAAGTGAAAAAAAACGCGCGCCAACAATTATAAAATCCTCCTTCTGAGCGACAAATGGTTTTCTGTGCCTCTCCTTCCTTCTGGTATGCTCTCTCTTTCTGGTCCGTTCATTCCACTTTCGAGGTGGGCGCGTCTTTCTTTTTTTTTATTCCTAAAGTCAAAGTGTTGTTGCTTACCCTTGAATTCAGCCAACTGGTTCTCGGTTAATTGATCGGCCATTGTAAAAGGTGTTGTAGTTGTTATGTGTGGGTGTAGGATGAAGAAGAAGAAAAAGAAAAAGGAAAAAAAAAAAAAAAGAGATGAGGACATGACCTGAATAAAGTAAGGGCGCCCCTCCTCCCCGGACCCCAGGCTGTGTGATCTCCTTGCGATCACGTTTTCATACCATGACGTCGACATTCCTTTTTTTTGTCGCGGGTTGCTTGGCTCAGCAATCCTCAAGTCGCAGCGCGACGATGACTGTTGTTCCTGAAAGTATGTATCATGTGGTAGTTTGCCTACTCCCATTGGTCTTACTCAAAGGTTCACGAACAGTTCTGGGATCTATGGTACCAAGAATGATCCTCAAAGCTTGTGCATTTTTTTTCAATGGCCATTGTCCCCGTAAGTCGACGCGATTCACACTCAGGCAATTTTGATAAAAATAGACTCGTTCCTCAGGAACCGGGGCTGTACACGAACATTGACGTTGGCTGTTCAAAAAAAAAGATGTTGAGGCTATACACGAGTAACCTTGGGACACATGGTATGTTTTTGAATGATTTTATTATATGATACAAGGTTGAAGGAAAACAAATGCTAAAAGGAGGATGGAGTCGCGTTCGTCAAAAGAGTGTATGAAAGTGGATGATGAGAGCCAGCTAAGACTTGCTTATGCGCGGGCCTGAGCCTTGGCTGCCATCTGGTTGAGGGCGGAACCGAACTTGAACCACTTGATCTGGTCCTCGTTGAAGGTGTGGTTCAACTTGATGTCAATGGCAGAGCCATCCTGCTTCTTGACGTGCAAGTTCAATGGGACAGCCTCCTTGAAGGAGGTCAAGCCCTGAATAGAGACACGGTCAAAGGGTGCAATCTTGTCGTAATCGGCGGGGTTGGCGAAGGTCAAGGGCAAGAGACCCTGCTTCTTGCAGTTGGTCTCGTGGATACGGGCGAAAGACTTGGTGATGACAGCAGCACCTCCAAGGTGACGGACCTCGAGGGCGGCGTGCTCACGGGAGGATCCCTCACCGTAGTTCTCGTCACCGATGACGATCCAGGGCTGACCCTTGGCCTTGTAGTCACGGGCAACACCGGGGACGGTGTCGTACTCACCAGAGAACTGGTTCTTGACAGAGTTGACACCCTCGTTCTCAGAGTTGAGGGCACCGATCAACATGTTGTTGGAGATGTTGTCCAAGTGACCACGGAACTTCAACCAGGGACCAGCCATGGAGATGTGATCGGTGGTGCACTTGCCCTTGACCTTGATCAAGATGGGCATGTTCTCCATATCCTTGCCGTCCCACTTGGCGAAGGGCTCCAAGAGCTGAAGACGGTTGGAAGTGGGCGAGACCTTGACGGAGACCTCACCCTTCTCCTTGGGGGGAGCCTGGTAGGTCTCCTCACCAGCGTTGTATCCGTTGGGGGGGAGCTCGTTACCGGTGGGGGGGGAGAACCTGAAAGGCTTGCCGTCGGCACCGATGAGGGTATCCTTGGTGGGGTCGAAAGTCAAGTCACCGGCGAAGGTCATGGCAGTGACGATCTCAGGGGAGGCGACGAATGCGTGGGTCAAGGGGTTGGCATCGTTACGTCCAGTGAAGTTACGGTTGTAGGAGGTAATGATAGAGTTCTTGGTGCCCTTGGGGACATCCTGACGATCCCACTGACCAATGCAAGGACCGCAAGCGTTGGCGAGGACGATACCGCCGGCAGCGTTGAGGGTCTCCATCTGACCATCCTGCTCAATGGTGGCGCGAATCTGCTCGGAACCGGGGGTGATGGTGAAGATCGACTTGGTCTTCAATCCGTGGTCCAAAGCCTCACGGGCAATGGAGGCGGAGCGGGCCATATCCTCGTACGAGGAGTTGGTGCAGGAACCGATCAAACCGACCTCGAGCTTGGCGGGCCAGCCGTTGGCGTGGACGGCCTCCTTGAACTTGGAGAGAGGGGTGGCAAGATCGGGGGTGAAGGGTCCGTTGATGTGGGGCTCAAGGGTGTTGAGGTCGATCTCGATGACCTGATCGTAGTTGGCACCGGCATCAGCCTTCAAGTTGTGCTGGAAGGAATCGGCCCACTCGGCAATGTAGGGGCGGGTGGTGGCCTTCAAGTAGTCGGACATGCGAGAGTTGTAGGGGAAGACGGAGGTGGTGGCACCAATCTCAGCACCCATGTTACAGATGGTGGCCATACCAGTGCAGGACAAGGTGTCGACACCGGGTCCGAAGTACTCGACGATGGCACCGGTACCTCCCTTGACGGTGAGGATACCAGCGACCTTCAAGATGATGTCCTTGGCGGAGGTCCAGCCGGACATCTGACCGGTGAGCTTGACTCCGATGACCTTGGGGCACTTGAGCTCCCAGGGGATGTCAGCCATGACGTCGACGGCATCAGCTCCACCGACACCGATGGCGACCATACCAAGACCTCCGGCGTTGGGGGTGTGGGAATCAGTTCCGATCATGAGACCTCCGGGGAAGGCATAGTTCTCGAGGATGATCTGGTGGATAATACCAGAGCCGGGGTTCCAGAACCCGAGGCCGTACTTGGCGCAGGAGGTGGAGAGGAAGTCGTAGACCTCCTTGTTGATGTCCTTGGCGCGGGACAAGTCCTTAGCGCCTCCGACCTGGGCCTCGATCAAGTGATCGCAGTGGACGGTCGAGGGGACAGCGACGTTGGGGAGACCAGCGGACATGAACTGGAGCAAAGCCATCTATTATGTTTTAAGGACATAGAAAGAGGTGTTAGTCAGTCGTTATTGCTGGAGGTGTAATCAAATCCCATATGATAACCAGATTGCAACTCAGCGCGAGAGCCCTGATTATATTTCTTCCTCTATCCATATTCCCACTGGAGCGACAATGTTCAGTCTGTCCGTCGTCCTTCTTCCTCTTCTCTCTCTCGCCTTTCCTTGTCTTCTAGGATCAAGGTTTTTCTTCTCTGCCTTCTTTTCACTCGGCCAACTTTGTTGTCGTGATCGACCAATGATACCCCCTCTGAGGAAATATAATACCGCGTTTCGTTGAAAATTCTTACCTGGGCAGTAGCATCCTGGCAAGCAACACGATCGGGGCGGAGCTTGAGGTAGGACTTTCCACGCTCAATGTCCTGGTTGTGGGCATCATCCAAATGACCATAGACGATCTTCTCAGCAAGGGTCATGGGCTGATTCAATCTGTTGTGGCATCATCCGTCAATCCAAATGATCCAGATCAAGTATCGAGATTGTTGTGTGGGAAAAAAGGGGCATGAAGGAAAGAAGGGACGGGATATGGTTAGTGAACGACCTCAATCACGATCGAGAAAAAGAGTAGAAGGGGGGAAAGGTTGAAGAGACTTGCCTCTTTCTGACGATGGCGAGGTTGTCCTCGATGCGCTGGTAGTTGATGTGCTGGTCCTTCTCGAAGTTGGACATCTGGACCTTGCGGGCAGAGCCAGCGGTGGCCTGGGCAAAAGTGCGGAGGGGAGCCTTAATGGCAGCAGCCTGTTCACAATGGCAATGGTAAATGAGATACAGTGTTTTGTTAAGTAACCATGATGGACTGACAATCATGAGCTCATCCTTACGTGTTTCGTTGCTTTTTTTTTAGCGCGTGTGTTTGGGTTGCTTACCTTCCAGGTGCGGGAAATAGCTCCGGAAGAGAACATTATGTATATGTGATTATGAGGATGAAAATGCAAGAATGAGAAATGAAGGAGGTATGGTGGATATGAAGTGGTGTGAGGTGGAGGAGAGGTGAGAGGGGAGGAGTGAGGGTGGCGAACGTGAAGAGTGGGGAGTGGGGAGTGAAGAGAAAAGAGGATGAAGGAAAGAGTGAAGAAGAAGGGGAGAAAAGAGAAAAGAGAAAAAAACCGAGTGGAAATGCGCGCCTTGATATAAGGGGAGCAACATGTCCGAGGTTCACTTTGCTCTCTTCTCCTTCAATGCACGCAAACAGACCAGCCAGCAGCAAGAACAACAGAGATTTGATCCCGACAGACACCAATCTCCGGCACACCCCAAAAAGGAACCTTTTTCGTGGCCCGTCAACATTTTTTCATGGCCCATCGTCATGCCTCGAACTCTATTGCATACACTCTCGATCTGCTCTCGTGGCCTTTCGCTTGCGGGGTAAAATCCATTGCAACAAGGTCGATAAAAATAAAGAGAGCAATCGTTCTTCCACTGCCAGCCAGGACCGCCCTCTCACACGCCGGCCGATCCAGCCCTCCATTCGCTTTGTGATTTTCACGTTGCTGCTTTACTTTACCCTTCTTGTATCCTTCATACCATAACATACCATGCCTCCCTCCCACTGCCACAATAGAACACACCCTCGGAAAAGTAACCTAAACCAGTTAGAAACTGCAAAGTGGACAGCTGAACGAACAGCTTTCTTTTCTCCCAGCGATCTCCCATTCTTCCCTCTCCCTGTCGGAGACGCGGCAAATCGACAACCGCGAATAAATAAAAAACCCCTCTCTCGCCAAAAAAAGCGCGATAGGTCCGAAGGCTCAATCGTTCCTTTTTTTCATCCCCCCCTCATGTGCTAATGAGAGCAACTAGTTTGACATTGTACATACCCTTGTGGCTACGATCAATTGGATCCCTCTCTTCAGAGCCGGGAGGTATGTATTGCAATGCATTCCCGGCGCTCCTTTTCACTCTCGGATTTTTTTTCCACTCTTCATAAAAACCGAAGTTTTCTCACTCATTCTTGTTTATCCCTGTTTTGAATTTCATTTCAGATCTCAACGATAATGAAAAGCAAACGGCCGGAGTAAGGGGTACGAGAATCAGCCAATGAAGTCTGTCCAACAAGAGAACCTTGTTCATCACTTTTGTGTTCATTCTTGAGCTCTTTGTTGTTCCTGCCTTTGATCTTGCCTTGGTTATCTCTTGCGGAGATCTTCATTCTGTTGTCGTTGCTTTCAAAACCCCCCAACAACTCAATGATATGTGAACGTGAAAAGGAAAAAAAGAAGGATCTCACAGAAACCCTCGGCTGTTCTGAATTAAGCGTACCTTCTTTGCGCCGTTGATGGATGGAGCAAGGAAGGAGAAGTGGTAGCCATTTGACCATGGGGTTGGTTGTTTCACGTCGTGTGCCACTTTCCTTGGTAAACCATGGGTGCAGCAGCGAAAAAGCGGGACGAGAGGGAGTGTTTGTGTGTGATTTTCATGTTCGCTTACCCACTTTAGAGGCGGTTGTTTTGTATTTTTCAGATTGCGCAAAGTTGACAGACGCTGTGCAGGCTTGGGTACTTGTTTAAAAACACCGATCACGACAGAACGCCTGTATTTTTTATAACGCGCTTCATCGAGGAGACCACTGTTCGTTATCTCTTTACAGACCCACCATCTCCAGCCCATTATTAAATTGTACATTTATATCTTTGACTTGCTTGTCAATAGATCATTGTCCGATAACGTCAAAAGAGAGCATTCCGCAGAACCAGTTGATTTTTCTTTCAATGAATACGAGTCGTGTGCACGGCTTTGTTCTCCCCTTGCATGTTCAATTGCTACGTTTGATATCAACTTTGGAATTTTGTGTGAAAGTTCTGTTCACATAAAAAGCAAAGTGCTTGTGCGCATCCCGAGTTATAACCAATTCATATCGATTCATGGGGTCTGTGCAAAGGCGAGAAGAAAGACGTGCAGATGCTCAGGCACGAAATCAAGCACCAAAAATAAACGAATGTCATTCACCATTGCCTACAAATGGTGACCAGTACGCTGCTGAACTCGTCTCTCCTCCTGTGTTAGAGGCGACGTAAACGCTGTTATCTGTGTTGTGGCAAAAATGAAAACGCCGCCTAACCTTCCGCAAGCAGCAGCACGAGAAGATGCATCTCCGCCAGATGGTTCCAATCACACAAAGGTTACATGCTCTGCGTCCTCCGCTCCCCACATAAAGGGTAAAGTTCCAAAATAGGAAAAAGTTGACCAGCAGGACTGAAAATAGACAAAAGATTATATGAAAGTGCCGGGACTCGAACCCGGTTCTCAGGCTTGGAAGGCCGGAATGATACCCATATACTACACTTTCTTTATAAAAGTGTTTTCAGCTTGGATCTTGAATCAGAGGCAAAACGGAATGTCACATGATGCAAACTTTGCGCCACCAAAAAAAAAAAAAAAAAAAAAAAAAAAAAAGCGTCAAAAAAAATTCCGACTGATCTGGAAACCTCGGTGCTCCGCGACGATCGCATGGGAGCAGACCCAGGGTATCTCTGCCAAGAACAAGACATCCAAGCACATAGGCCCCCGAGGTGACTGGAGTCAAGGATACGGTTATATCACGCATGATGGTTTCTGCCCGTGTGGCGCTTCGCTAGCCACACATGAAGGAAGGTGCCCTGGAGCGACCAAGGACACACGCGCTGCTGACGAGCGGTTGTTGGAGAGTTTGTTAGGGAGGAGGTTGTCAATGATGGAGAGGGTGGGAAGAATCCCCTTCATTCGTATCTAGTTTTATTTTTTTCCGTTTACGCTGTGAAGAGCAGCGACAATTGTTGCGCAGAGCCAGATTCTGGACCGGACTGCGACTGGTGGATGGTGCACTGAAGAGTTTGGTCTGTAGTCCCCTTTTACTTCCAAATAACTTTTCTATGCTGGCTGTTTGTTAGAGAAATAAAATTGTATACGAAAAAAAAAAAAAAAGTTTACAAAAAGAAAACACTCTGGCGAAGGATGAATGTTGTCGATGATAGAGAGGATGAGAAGAATGCCCTTTATTCGTATCTAGTTTTATTTTGTCTTCAGTTTAAGATATGATGATTAGGGATAATTATTGTGCAGAGCCAGGTTTCGGACCAGAGACGGATTGCGCGCTGAGTTTGTCTGTATAAAATTGTGAACGAAATAAATAAATAGACCTTCGCTTTTGCTTCTTGGTCGTGTAAAACTCTTCTATATACACAAGAGAAATACCAGGTCCAGAAGAAAGTAATACCGGCTCCAGCTCATAGGAAACTGTGGTTCTTGGAACCTCAGTGTGGGAACCTGGGGCCATTGAAAGTGCTGCTTAAGTTACGCCGCCAAAATGAAGAGTCATTTTCTTCTCTCAACCCCCAAAAAGATAGTTCCCTGTCCCCCAAAACAATGAAAGAGAGCGACAGACCCCTCATTACTGCGATGTCTCACTTCTAACACCCTCCTGAGACCAGATGGTTGCATCTCACCTTTTCTTTTTCTCGATTGTGAACTGTATAGATCATGCCTGGAACCTCTTGAAAAACGATTGATCAAACGCTTGCAAAGATGTATCGTTCGTCGGGCCAAGAAGGTAAAGGTAAAACACAAAAAAGAAATCGAAAGAAAAAAGAATGTTCACCAACTGGAGAACCTTGGTTGAGCTGTCGAGATAAGCAATTGCGATATTATTTCCAAAGACCTGTTGCTTGATATCATTTATTCATGAAAGTGTAGGAAAATAATAACGTTTGAAGACATGCGACTTCGTGTCCACTAAAGGAGCGATTGCGAGAGGTGAGAGGAATTGAGAGTGGGCTGCAAAAATATGAGGGAGAAGAGTCAGAGTGATATAAAAAAAGCGTGAAGAGAATAGACGCGAAATGAGAATGGTCAACAGGAGTAGAACGAAAGAGCTAGTTGAAATAATTACGCAAGGTTAACGAAGCACGCTGAGGGTTTGACAATTTGGTACTCGGCGAAAGTCAATGAAAAGAGTGGTATGTGGAGGGACAGGGTTGATCCTGCGTACCATCATTTGAGAATCGATGAACGTTTGGGAAAATAAAATAGTTGTTGTTAACACATCCTTGCAGTTGAAAGTTGGTGTAAAGACTTCTACCTCACTCCTTCGTCCACTCAAAGGGAGAAGGCTGAAGTAACCGTGTGTGAAAAAACAACATCAAAACTTGAGGTGGGCAAAAAAAAAGTATTGGAGATGCAGTTGACGCACTTCGAAAAAATCAGAAAGGTCGCGTCCATAAAAAATTCAACCTCGATAAAGCAACTGTTGCTGCAAAACTTGCGGTGAAATGAAACGTTGTGAGTTGGTGTGGGAAAACTGGCGACACCCGTCTTGAGGGACTCGATACCCAATGGCTACATTTGTTGTAAGGTAGCCTTTTTTGTCACACCCTGTCGCGCCGCCACACGGGTCGTATTTTTTAGGGAGTGATCAGCATAAAAGGAGGCATTAGCCGCATCAAAAAATGCAGTGCGTGGAGAGGAAAAAAGATATGCTCCATGGTAGCCTCTGGCTTTAGTGGACATGGAGCTTTGATGTCTCGTGTTCGCATGCATGTTTACTTTGTATGTGAAGCCATAATTCATTTTTACGCCTTGTTGTCTACGTCGCTCGCGTCAAAAATGTACGAGAAAAAGAAACAAGTACCCCACGAGCACAAGGAGCTGATGCAAGGCCACACTGCCGTTGTATTTTTCTGTGAGTCATGGTATCATGTATCAACTAGGCCAATGTATGAGTTCTGCAATAGTTGATGGTGAAGTTACGTGATCAAGCAAATTGACACCTAAGTCGCATTCCTGGAAATTAGGAGAGAAAAAAGTTTGTAGAAGAGAGGACAACAGCACTCAAAAAAGAAAGCGTTGGATCATGTTAGGATGAAGATATTCTGACATCTACTGTCAGATTATCTTACTCCGTCTGGGAGAGGCTCTCCTCCTCAGACCAGTCAGTAATGTAAGTAGGTAAACCCTTCACTGTACTGTTCAGACAAACTCGGCCACGGGCCGTCCTTCGTAGAGTGGCGCAAAAAAACAAAGGCAAAGCCTGGGGTTTTCGTCACTAGCTGAAAAAAAGAAAAACAAAAAGAAAGGAATGAAGCCCGGGGCGTCGCCCTGTACTGTTCACACAAAAAAGAAGCCAAAGGCAAAAGTGTTTGTACTCGGACTTGAACCGAGGACCGTCTGTGTGTTAGACAGACGTGATAACCAACTACACCATACAAACTTTACTGATGTATATCGATTTTCTTGTACATCTTTGTTCACAAGACTCAATATTTCACGTGATCATGCACGTAGAGAATGTACACGTGACTTGAGCTGCTGTGCTTGGTTGCTTGGATTTTTTTTCGTGTTGTTATTGATGATTGATTGATAGAAGCTCCTAAACAGGCTTGGTAGACCATTGCGCATCAGTGTACAAGAAGGCTTTATTTGTTGGGCCTTTGAGGTTTATGTATAGGTATGGAACTGTTGTACAGAAAGCAGAGAGTAAGAAAAAAACTGAAACAGCGAGAGAGAGAGAAATGGAAAAATAAGTGGAGGTCGTGTGAGAAAAATGTCCGTGACAAAATGAGTGCCGGCTTTTGCAAGACTACTCGATGGCGAGTTCGGCGGATTTCTCGAGGATGAGCTCAAACTCGAGGGCTTTGATTTGGTTTTCGAGGATGTGCCAGTAGTTGTAGAGAGCGGTGGTTTGGTATCCTTGAGCGTTGAGCTGCTTGACCTCGCGGGTTATCCGTGCCTGTTCTGTCTTGAGCCAGAGGATCAGTTCGACCGTGTCGGTGATGCTGGCTTTGGCCTTGGTCTTGGTTTTGGCTTTTGCTGCTGCGGCCATGACTTGTTGTTGTTGTTGGTAATGGTATTGTGTCTGGCTGAGTTCGTTGGTGGGCGTTTCGACCTCCATTTATGACGACAGTGGTGGAGTGTGGGGTGCGTGAGAGAGGAAAGAGTTGGGAGTGTGTCGGGGACAGGGAGGGAGGGTAAACAAAAGAGAGTTTTAGGGGTTTGGAATGAAGAGTGGAGAGTTGTGTGTTTTGTTTGCTGTGTCTATGCAAAGTGTGCGAGGGATGGAGGGAGAGAATGAAAGAAAGAAATGTGAAATGGTGAAGGAGATGAAAAGAGTTGAAGAAAGAAGAGGAGATACAGAAAAGAGTGTCGAGGGGTCGAAAAGAAAGAGGAGAGGGCAAGGAAGGGAGAAGTTTCTTTCTCGTTGTCGTGTTTCGCTTGTTTGGCTTTGAAAAAAAAAAAAAAGGCAATATCATTTGTTTTGGTGGCGTTCGAATGTTGTTTATTTCCGTGTGCTCAGTTGACTTTCTCGGTTGGACGCCTTAGGAAACGGAAAGAATGCACAAACACCACGAGTTAGTTCCAAATAGCCATTCTATTTTGTATCTACACATGTGCACGTCATATTCAATTGAAGACAAAAAAATCTATGAACAAGGCACTTACCACATATGAAGGAGGTGGTCGTAAAAGGAACAGCTCGCGACAAGAGGGAGCTCATCGCCTTTGGTCGGGGCATACGACCAGTCGGTACCATAGGCAAGACTCGCGTGCTCCATAAAGCTCGACCCAATAGAGCCTGTTGACCAGCCCTCGTCGTAATTGATCACATGGAATCCATTGTGCATACATCCGGCTAGCAGGACATCTTTCCGAGTTGGATGCCACTTTAAGCGCCACACTCCTCCTCCCGTCTCTGTCGTTGACAATGGCTGTCGCATCGACCGGCTGTCCCAAATGAGCACGTTCTCGTCATAGCTGTGAGCAGGGTCCGAGTACGAGTCCGAGTCCGAGAGATGAGAAACCAAAAAATGAAAAATGTAATTGTTAGTCGTTACACCGCCCACTCGTGATTACATTTATTTTTTCTTTTTCGGTTGACATAGTTAACGGAATGTTCGATTTCGCAACTTGCCTTCCCGTAGCTAGTGTGTGTTCATCATGAGGGTTCGACTGAATACTGCACACTCCCATTTGGTGTCTAAGTTGTTATCAACGGTAGCATCATTAGGAAAGGACCGTAGAGCATAATCAACATAACCACTTCGAGATTTGAACGCGATGCGTAGAAATCAGAAACAGGGACAGAAAACATACGCTTTGCTGGTGAAGGTAGCATGGCTGCAGTCCATGCGCTTGTCCCAGCCTTTGAGTCGGCAGTCGTCTGCTCCGGTGTAGAGAATGTTGGTGTTATGGTAGTTCCAGCCGACAATCCATGCCTCAAAGTCGTGGGCGTGCCATGTCAGGGACTCCGTCAGGGTGGATGAAGTAGGGTCGAGATCCAGAATTGTAATATCGCCACTGCTTAGAGACACTGCGATCTGAGGCTGTTCACTATTGTGGTTCAACAGAATAAACAAGCTCCTGTGAGTTTCTTTTGTAAATGTGCAATATAGTCCGGCAAGAGAGAGTAGAAAGGCGCATCATACCTAGTTTGAACACGGTTGGACCAATCCAGAGATAGAGCAAGTTTGCTGGACTGGTTTGTTTGGTATTTTGTTACAATTTCGAGGTCGTTGCCGGTCGACTTGAACTGATAGAGACTGAGGTCTCCCGAGGCATCTGCTACGCCCAATGTGGGGTTTCCATGGATCAATTGATGTGACCTGTCGTATTCCGTGTCAGTTAGTCATTCTTGTGCTCTCTACAGTCTTCAAACATTACTATGTCTAGTCAAAACACGCTCAAATACCATTTCATGTCAAGAATGGCGGCTGTTTCGATGCGTTTCAAGTTGTTTCTAGAAGTAACAATGTGGTAGTTGGTTGTTAACGAGCTGATCAGTCGGACGAAATTGTAGACGAGGTATTTAAATTGGACTTACAGTTTATAGGTCTCGTCGCTCTCATCTTCGACGGCATAGACCAAGAGTCTTCCAAGACGCAGCATAGGTTTGTCTACTTTGGCGGGCTCATCATCATCGCTACTGTCAGTGTCAGAGTTAGTTGCTGTTGGCTCAGGCGTTGCTGGTGCGGGCTCGTCCTCGGATTCGTCTTTGGCGAGCTGATAGGTACCGCAGGCAAAGAGGTGCGAGTGACTTTGAAACGGACAGAACTCGATGCTGTCTGCACTGTAGATAGTGTCGTCCGAGTCGAGGGATGGAGGGTTGAATGGGTCGCTCATGGGTATGCGTGTGTGAAAGAGAGAAAGGTGATCAGTCAAGTCTCGTTTCCCAACACCGTTTTTTTTCTTGACAATTTTTTTATTTCGTGGCAAAAAAGAAAAAAAAAAGAATAAAAAGCCACCACGTTCCAAAGCATCAGAGAAACGCGCTCTTCCATGCATTCCGTATAGTTCTTCCCCAACCATTCAGGGCACTCCCTTGTCATTCAATAACAGAGACCACGAATTTCGAGGACTAATTGATCAGGAGCATGCTGCACGAGCTACTCATCACCCTCTCCGGTTACCCCGGTGACATCTTCAGGCCATTCCCCTTTGAACCAGAGACACCCACAACGTTTGCAATCACAGACTTTCCTCTGCTCCATCCCGCCGAGAAGGAGGGTCTTAACCGCCTGGCCCAGCTTGGCTTTTATTTCAAAGAGTTCAACACTTTCATCACCTCCTGTCGGTCACCCTCACGGCAGCACGGCCAACAAACACCTCCAGATGGCGAAACCATCAACGTGCCAGCACCCCCAGGACTCTATCTTCGTGCTATGGCTAGCGCTCTCGACAGGAAGCTACAGAGCTATCGCCAAGTCATTGTCCAGACCGAGGCAGCCATTCTGTCGGGAGAGGATAATCTAGGAGGTATTGTGCCACTCTCGACCATTTCTGGACGCTTCGCTCCCTACCAACTCGTCTTTCCTGCCATCGTCAACCTTCTCTCCGACATCGAGTCGACAGCTCTCACGGAGGCGCCATACGGCGGCGGTCGACTGATCAATCTCCTGCAGGACAGGAGCGCCTCGGGCGTGCCGATTCAAAAGGAGTGGATGACAGAGATGCTGCAAGGGTGTTGCGCGGTTATGCTGCGCCAAGTCACGTCCTGGGTGATATACGGCCAGATTCAGGATCCGTTTGGCGAGTTCTTTGTTGTCCAGCTAGAATCGTCGCAAAGAGCAGGAGAGACCAATCAAGGCAGTCGGTACTCAACAGGGAGCTTTGTTCGTTCCAGGGCTGCGACGTCTTCAGGGCTGGCCACGTTACCTCCTTCAACAGCTTTGACAGCGTCAGCAGCGTCATCATCCTCCATCAAATGGCAGACAGGATACAGTCTTGATGAACAAATGATCCCCGCCATGATCCCTACCACTCTCGCCCACGCCATGCTTTTTATCGGAAAATCGATTGCAACAGTCCGGCAGGCAAAACCCAAGCCCATCCCAATACCCCAATCAATTACCCAACGCCATCTGGATTTACTCCTGCCGCTGTTATCCGCCTCCTCAGGACAAAGGGAGATAAAGTCTGTATCGGACGAGGTTCTCAATTTGAACCTTCTTACAGCCGTCATTCACCAAATCAGAAAAGACATCGCCAATCACCTGTGGGTCGTCGTACAAGTCGGAGAGAAGGTGGTCAAGACGCTAGAGTCCTTCAAGCGGTACTTTTTGCTCTCTGATGGCGAGTTTGGGCTTGGTCTGATTACAGCTCTGGAAGAGTTTAAACGGAACCGACTTTCAAGAATGGGCCAGTTTATCACCACGACGGCGACATCGGTCGGGATACGGGATCATGACCTGGGGGGGATGCTGAAGAAGGCCGCGCAGGACACGCCAGCCCAGGATGATACCACGCTGGCCAGCTTTGAGTTCCGGATAGTAAAGCCTGCTCGGAAGCACACAGGATCCGAGCAGGATCAGCCACCGACCATTGGCATGTTTGACGACCAGCTTCTCGGTATTCCAGTGCGGTTAACATACACACTTTCGTGGCCATTGGATCTTTTTCTGACCACCGAGGATCTCGACCAATACAGCGACGTGTTTGCGTTCTTGATGACCATCCGGAAATCACAAGTGCGACTCCAGCAGACATGGATTGAGATAAAATCTTTGACTCAGAGACTTACCAACAGGAGGCGAGGCGGAGATGCCAGGGCATACGGTCGTCGGATCAAGGGCACAGAGACTGACGAGCGGAATGCTGAACAAGAGGCAGAGATGTTGAAGCACATTGCTGCCTTTAGATCAAATATGGTCTTTGTTGTTGACTGCGTCTGGACATATATTCAGGTACAAAACTGGATGTTATTAATTGACAATGTTGCACACACGCATGGTGTCCATGTTTAACCCTTTTTTCTGTTCATGTTCTGCAATGATAGATGGACGTGATTGGTCCTACATATGAGTCTTTACTGGAAGGCATTGCAACCCACGAGTCTGATCGGAAGTCCAGTTTCTCACAATCGTCAACATCTGCAACAGCCACGCCGCAAAGCTTCGATTCGATCCACAGTTCACACGCGGAGGCATTGTATGAAATTCGACGCGCCTGTCTTTTGACATCAGAATCTCTGTCGTCTTCAGTCAAAGATATTCTTCTCCGGACAGAGGCATTTTGCGGAATCATTGGGCGCCGTGCTGCAGGCCAGGATGGTTTCCAGTCAGGACTCGGAGAAGAGTTGGACGACAACATGTGGCAGGACTGGACCGACATCATCCGTCTCAACCAGGTGCGGAGCATCTTGTTACTGTAATTTTCATCGTTGTCATTTGTGTTGAGTATTGTTCATCCTAACTCACGTCTGCTTTCACATCTGCCGGTTCATAGAGCTTCCGGGAGGACACTGAGAAGCTATATACGGACCTAACTACCGTCTCCAAATCAGGATCTCTGGGGGATGGGCCTGCACTCAAGAGGAGCGTCTCTGGTTTAGGGTCAAGCCTTCTGGGCAATGGCCCACAATCTTTTGATGTCATTCGGCAAGTCGACCGACTGCTGCTGCGACTCGAGTACTCGAAAAGCAATTGGTTCAGTGGACCTAGCCCATTGCTCCCTGAAGGCGAATAAATATGTAGATGCATTTCTCATTCGCTCCATAAGTGCACGAAATGTTACCAAGCCACCTCTTTTCTTTGTACACTTGGGGGCATAGACTAAAGCAAGTGATGTTTAAAGACGCTGCCTGATCTACTGCAATCCTTACACTTGTCACTTTCTCCTTTTACTCGACCAATCCCTCGAATACGACCATGGCCGTCACCACACACGAGGCTACGTCTGCCTCTGGCACCGAATCCGAATCAACAGCCCATCAAACGAGCAGTAACAACAACAACTCTAGCAATAACAAGAAGAATACAAAGACACGCAGAAAGAAGAAGAAGGGCCCCGCCACCACTAGCACAGTCAATGGAAGCCATGTCGCTAAGGATGACGAAGAGGAGCCCAAAGAGGTACGTCTTATACAATTGGAAGAGGAAGAGTTTTACTGAAGGGAGAAGGAAATTCCATGCGTGCTTGGACTACAACAGGTTTTTCTGTCCATTACGAGGAGGAATAACACGCTTTCACAAAAACGACTACTAACAAGCAAACACATCTTTTCTTTATGTCGTTGTTTTTTGCTGATAATAGAAGCTGGATGTGGAGGTTGAGTGGGTGGTAGAGAAGCCTATGGAGCTCCCTCCTGGCTTTGAGCAGTTCCAGGATGTGTTTAAGCACTTTCAAGTCCAGGACGTCGAAGCAGAGGTATGAACAAATGCTGCGGTCATTAGTGAAATCATACGTCTAAGCGTATGGTTATTGACAGTGCGTAGTTACTCACCCTTTCACATTATCTCGATTGCAATAGGAAAAGGCAGAGGGCGGTGACAAGGAGAAGGACACAGGGGATGCAGAGAAAAAGCCAGATGCCTCAGGATCAGATTCAGAGGACGACGCAGATAAGGAGGCGGCCAGTAAAAAGAAGCTTAAGCGACTGAACAGGATGAGTGTCGCCGTGCTGAAACAGATGGCCAAGCACCCAGAGGTTGTCGAATGGATCGACGTCACTTCTTCAGACCCCAACCTCTTGGTTCAGTTGAAGGGATACCGCAACACCGTCCCCGTCCCCACTCATTGGAGCCAGAAGCGCAAGTACCTTCAGGGCAAGCGTGGTATCGAGAAGTTGCCATTTGAGCTCCCCGAGTTTATCAAGGATACAGGAATCATGGAGCTCAGAAACGCTGTCAAGGAAAAGGAGGATGCCTCCAAGCTGAAGACAAAGACCAGGGAGCGTGTTCAACCCAAGATGGGCAAGATCGAGATCGACTATCAAAAACTCCACGATGCCTTCTTCCGTTATCAGACTCGTCCCCGTCTCTCCATGCACGGAGAATTGTAAGTGATTGTATTCTTACTCTTTGTTTACTGCCGTTTCTTTCTGTGCAAGGTCTAACAGCCATATTTTGTTTTTCTCGATGACATTGTTAGATATCATGAGGGCAAGGAGTTTGACACAAAGGCCAAGGAGGTCAAGCCCGGCAACCTTTCGGAGGATCTAATTGCAGCACTGTCTATCCCGCCACTTGCTCCACCACCATGGCTAATTAACATGCAGCGTTACGGACCTCCTCCAGGATACAAGAATCTCAAGATCCCAGGATTGAACGCACCAATTCCTGAGGGCGCTCGGTGGGGATACCACCCTGGTGGATGGGGTAAACCCCCTGTGGACGAGTTCAACCGACCCCTCTATGGTGACGTCTTTGGATCATCACAGCCTGAAGTCCAGTCCGAGTACTTGGAGCCTGTCGAGAAGACGCTATGGGGAGAGCTGGATCCTTCGGATGATGAAGAGGAAGAGGAGGACGAGGAAGAGGAAGAAGAGGAAGAAGAGGATGTAGAGGAGGGTGACGAGGATGAGATTCAGGAGGGTCTTGTCACACCTAGTGGGATGCAGTCGGTCGCCAGCGGTTTGGAGACACCCGAATTTATCGAGCTTCGTAAGGAGACACGGAGGACGGCGGAGGACGAGGACGATGGTGCACCCAAGTCGTTGTACACTGTCATTCCTCAACGACAGACCAACATTACTGGATTTATGGGATCTCAGCACGTTTATGATCTGACCTCCGCACAAGCCTCTTCTTCATCATCTTCCAAGAAAGTAAGTCTCATCATTCTTTGTTGTTTTTGTGGAAAGTGATTTTTGTGCGCCGTGTCTGTTTTATGAGACCTCGCAACATTTACTTACCACCTTTTGTTTTTTTCTTCGCACTTTTTCTTTCTTTCTCCATTGCAGCGCAAGAATATGGATGGTGTGGATGTGGCGCTGGATCCTTCAGAGCTGGCGGACATGGACTCGGAAACGTTGCAGGAGAAGTACGAGCATGGTCTGCAGGCATCAAGACCTGAATCTGAGCGTGAGGATATGAGCGATCTTATGAATGAGCATTACGCGAAGCAGGCAAAGAAGACCAAGCAGGCCAAGCACAAGAAGGCAGCCAAGGATGACGACAAAAACATCTTCTAAAAATTCAACAACCAAGCGATTGTCTTTTTTTCGCACAACAGCAAACCGTAATAAATTCAAACTCGAAAAAAGGTGCATAGAGTGTAAGTGTGAAATGAATATTTATTGTTGGTATAAAAAAAAATATACTGAAAGGGAGGCGGCAGCGGTCATCGTCGGAAGGCCCTGTTGATATCGCTGGCCATGAGGGCATCGTGGACGTCTTGGAAGCACCCCTGAATTTCGTTGACAGCTCTTCGGTGGCAGTTGCCGGCCACATTCCTGTTGTAAATAAATGGGTCCAGGACACAAATCGGCCACTCCTTTGGTCGCCTGTCTCGTCGGCTACGCGCTGGCGGATCGTAGCTTCTGCCCTTGATCCGACCGAGACTGGGGTTGACTTCTTGGTTGGCGTAGTCGAACGAGTATCCGTAGTGGTAACAGAAGTCAACCAATAGCTGACCAACCGATTTGGTATTGTCGTTCATGTAGGTTCTGTAGTTGCTCCAGTTGCGGTCGAATGAGCAATCCCATCCGTCGACGTCGCGGTGGAGCATCCGGTGAGAGTCTTGTTGCTGTAGGCGTGGGAGGATTGCTGGCCTGGTCACATCTTGCAAGAAGACGATGAGCATCATGGTGAGGGCGTACGAGGAGAGGTAGCCTGTGCTTCCGGAGAGGATGTCGTGTCTCTTGGCGAAGTGCTTGATGGCGAACCAAAGTGTTGGGAATCTGTCGTCGATTTTGCGGTAGGTGTTGATGAGTTTCGAGTTGATGACTCCCATGGGCTCGTCGATATTGATGTCGCAAGAGACATCGTGCTCGGGGTCGTAGAAGGACACGATGGGTACTCGGGCGTTCTTGATCGCAGTGACGTCCTGGTATCCAAAACTTCGGAGTGCGCTAGCCAACTCGGTTACATCACAGTCGAAATAATAGAGGGTAAAGTCGGCATCGCTCGTGTTGCTGCTGAGTCCCGACGCGAACGACCCAAAAAGATGAACCTCAAGGTCCCAGTCCTCATAATACTCCTGGAGCTCCTCCTGAAGTGCCTCCCGCAGCGACTCAATCTCATCATCCCGATTCTGCGATGACATCAACGAGCGCTCAAGGCCCTTTATATACTTTGTGATACGATCGTTCCTCTCCCGAACGGCTTTCTCCCTCGCCTCCTGCTCCCGTTGCTCCCTCGCCAGACGATCCCGCTCCTCACGCCTAATCCGTTCCTGCTCCCGTCGCTCAGCCTCCTGTCGGGCTTCCTCTTCTTCCTGCTCGCGTCGTCGTCGCTCAGCATCTCCATTCTCCCTCTGCCGTTGGGCGGCTCTGTCACGCTTGTTATCGTTATGGTTGCAAGAGAATTTTGTCGCACCTCTCATCCCATTGGGGAGGGTCTCACAAGTCCCACCAGATCCTCGATCACACCAGTAATCATCTCGCAATCCCTGAATCAGCGCCGCAATTTCGTCGTGGTACTGGCGTGGGACCTCATAGGCATACCACTCCAGAAACTCCTGCACCTGATGCCCATAAAGCCCATACAGCATAATATAATCGTTTCCATAGTTGGTCGCCACCGAGCGGTATTCGTCATAGTCGTGCCCGTACGGATCCTCGTACTCGTCATCGTCGCCATCAAAGACCTCGACCTCATACGGAAAGAAGGCATACGACCCATCGTCAAGTGAGAGGATATAATCCTTGATGTACTCAGCCGTGTTCAGTCCGTGCGTGGCAATATATCGGTCCGAAGGGTACTCCAACAGCTGCTCATCATCATCGTCGTCCTGGTACACTATTCGGATATGCTCAAAACAGCCCGCCAGGCTGTCCATGTCGACATGGTAGCATTCTCCGGAATTCATTCGTTCAGCGAGTTCGAAAAGGATCACGTCGTATAGGTAACCAAGGAATTCGGAACGACTGGACGGCATTGTTCCTTGAGTTGAGGCGGGGAAAGACGGTTGTTTGTGATCAATGAATGAGAAAAAGATGAAATCAAAGAAAGGGGAAAAACAATCGGAGCAAAAATAGACAATTTTCGCGTGCCTTGATTTTGGAGGCGTCTGTTTTGCCTGTTTGAACGTGTGTCTTTTTAATGAAAGCCATCCATGAAGTCCGTGTATTTCCGCTGGGAGCCTTATTGGATTTCGTCCGCGTGTCGACAGTCCTCAGCAAGATTACTCCCAACGATAAAGAGATCGTTCAGCGAATGGAATCTGTTCCTCCTGTTGCTCAGCAATTCGCATCTCCTCCTCCTGCATGACAGTCAGCCATCTCTGTTCCTCCAGTTGTTCAACAAATCGGGATTTTTCTTCCTGTAAAGCTGTGACCCGTCTCTTCTCCTCTTGTAAGACAGCCAATCGCCCCTGCTCTCACAACAACGCAGTAAGCTGTCTCTGCACTTCCATCTCTGATGCGTCAACAAGCTCTCCTTGATCCCTATGAACCCTCAAAGAAGAGAGTCGCCTCTTCTTCTCCTGTAATGTGTCGATTCGTCTCTGCTCGGTCTGCTGTCATGTATATCCTGTTCTCATTCCCATGAGAGTGTCAGCTGTCCATACTCCTCTTGTTCGTAGCGAGCCTGCTCTTGAGAGTAAACGACTGGCCCATAAACCATCATGAGTTTGGTGTCGCTTCCTTGCTTGCTGAAAATAGTCGCACCTCTCAGTCCATTCGACAGTAGTTTGGAGGTTCCGCCAAAGCCTTGATGATGCCATACCCATCGCGCAGTCCTTGTATGAACACAGTCATGTCATCCTTGTACGTAGAGAGGACTCGATCTCTGTACCGGTGGAGGAGGTGGTTGAGCTCGTTGTCCTCGAGACTTCGCAAGTACACAGTACATATAGTCATCGGCCCATCTATAGTCCTGGTCCACGTTGGAGGTCCGCTCGTCAGTGAAGGAGTTGTCCGTACTGAACAGTGTAGTAAGGATCATCGTCAGTGTAGTGAGAGCCATCACCATAGTAGCTCTCGCTGCAGTAAGACTTATCGCCATAGTGGGACTTGTCATCGAGCATAACCTCGCAAAAGTCGTCGTTCATCTCGTCAACACGTCTTTCCTCCAAAACAGGATTGCCCCTGCGTACAGTGACCTCGTACGGAAAGTGAGATAGCGAGCTGTCTTGCAAGGAGAGGACATACTCTTCCAACCGCTGAGGGTCGTGCAGTCGGTAAGATTGTAGGTGGCGATAGTTATGAAGGTGGAACGCGGTACGGGGGTTGCAAGTGTAAATGTGCTGGATGAACGAGAAGGCTCTGAGAGGCTGTCCATTGTGAATAGTCGATTCTCCCTGGAGTCCAAGTGGCAGACACATTTGAACAGGATGCAGGAGAAGAGGAGCTTGACTTCATGTCGTGCGATGGAGATGTAGGTGTTTATTCGCTTCTCTCGTTGTTGTTGCTCGCCATTCTCGTCATGGTGCACCAGCAGTCACACCAGGTCAGCCGGCTCGCACTATCAACAGAATGGTACAAAGAATAAAAAAAGAAAAAAAAAAAAGATTAGCATTGGGAGGAAAAAGAAGTGCAGGGCAGACTGAAGACACATAGAGCAACTAGCCAACTAACCAGGTAGGGAGGATGATGAATGGCAAGACTCGTCTACTGTTACATGTTTTTTTCCTCATCACCAACATAAGTCTCATGAACAACTATGAAGACAACAACAGCGGGGTCGGTAGGAGGGGGAGGAGATCGAGGCTCGGCAGTTGCAGGGGTAGGATCATCGTTGAGCGGTTGAGGAGAGTCAGGGATGAACTCAGTAGGCTCGTTGAACGCGATGACCTCGTCATCCATCGAGCCCTCGGTCGAAGAAAGCGGGCGGGAGGCGATGGAGCTCTGTCTTTTGGCGACCATGGTTGCTTCTGGTGAGTGCTGTGATTGCTTAGTGGAGGGAGAAATGGGTGTTGAGGTTGGGTATGTTGACTGATTGGGCTGGTTGGATGGTGTTTGGGAGGGAAGAAAGATAGAGAGCAAACATGAATTTGTGCCCAACGTGCATTTTAGGTTGATGCTCTTTCCTCGCAATAATTAAATTTCCGTTCAGTTTGGCCAATCATTTCTAAAGTGCCATGGTCAATGCCATACCATCCCCACATTCTATTGCCATTTTTATTTTTTAAGACATCCAAGTTTTCCAGGTTAGCATGGACAACTCTTTGTTTTTGTTCATGGAATTCCATTTCTTCCAGGGCGTAGTCTTCCGCGAAAGCGTATTTTTACCCTAGGGTTGTTTCAGGAGATTCTATTATAGAATGCAACAATCAAACCGGGTAATTGCCCAGGTTCGTATTGCCCCTTCTTGGATTGATTCTGCCGCAGTGGCTGGGAGAGGTTGTGAGAGGACAAAATCTTTCTTTTATGATTTTTCCTGGTCACACAAACTTTTGTTCCCGCTTTACAGAGCAATCCTTTCCCCCTCTGACATGCGGTCCTGTACCTCTCTCAAAGAGGCCCAAACCCTCTCCCAAGAGTGGGACATCCCACTCGAGATGTGGGCCATTCTCCCTTTAACAGAGAAATAAAGCCTGAATTACCTTTTTTCTTTCTTTCTTTCTTTCTTTCTTTTTATCCCTCTCCCATCCCCTTCCCTTTCTCCCTTTCCAACATCGTCCTTTCCCACTGCGTGCCTATTTTGCTCCCAACCACTGTTTTTCTTTCGTCTTCTTTTCAAAGTCCTTGTTCCATCCCTCGCTACCTCATCCTCCCGGCAATGGCAATTTTCGATAACGAGTTAGACGATGCCTACGACGCGCCAAACGACAGTGGATCAGACTTCGAGCCTGAGAAATTGGTGTACTACAACAGCCGCGGATTCGATGGTCATGGAGACACGAAATCGCCTTTTCTGGTCGGCGACGATGAACTTGGGCCCAGTGTCCCCTTTGTCGGTTGCATGACATTCAAGTTTTGTATCGTAACACTTCATGCTAACATATATGTCTATCCTGGTAACTTTTATTTGCAGTCTGAAAGATCAAATGGAAAGCGATCGACAGCAACGCGGCCTTCGTTTGACGCAACAGAGTCAACTACTACCAGGGCATAATTTATCCGTCCAACAGTGCCAGAGTACAATCCCTACCGACTCTCTGGTATCCCACTCGCGCTCCTACCCAAGCTTCGGTTTCAGCGAGGACACCCCCAGCTATATTAAGCCATCTTAGGCGGAATATTGATAACCTAATCGAGGGTTCCCATAGCAAGCTCAGTCGATCGAAGTCGCAAACCGATCTCGCGGACTATGCTTTTGCCACCTCTTCTGCTGCTCTTTCTACCAACCAGTCCACCTATGGTCCCCCCTCTGCTTACCAGCCCGCGTATGGTCCTGCTCCGTCTGCCTACCACACCTCATATGGTTCCGCCTCTTCTGCTTATCAGCACGCCTATGTACAGTCCTCGCCAGCCCGGTCAGTCTACCAGCCCTCCTCAGAGCGCGCCTTTTCAGCCTCCTCCTCCTCTCCCTACGCTCCTGTAGTCGACGCGCCTTACCAGACGGCCCCCGGACAAAACATTCACCACATATCTTCAGTCGATTCTTATGGATATCTGCTTCAAGCCATTCAGCCCGAGACCACCTTTTCGGCCGCCACCCACGCGTTTCGCATAGTCCTAACGCCATCAGCTTCGCACATCCAACCGCACCTCTTCATCACGGGCTCCAACATTCAACTCCATTACGCCTGCCAGATATGGTCAGCCGTAGCTCAGTCTCTGTTCCGTCGGCGCAGGATTGTGCGCTGTCTGCCTCAGACTTATCTAGCCCCGCTTTAGTAGTGAACGAGATGAACAACAGGATCAACGACTATTTGGCGACGAGCTCGTCAACAGGAACGGACTTGACCATCGACCAGATCGAAAATTGTCTGAAAATAATGCAGCGCCACGAGACCAAGGATGAGATCAAGGCCAGCCTGAAGTTTCGTCGGCTGTCCAGAACAGGGTCTTAACTTGGCGTCCATGCACGAGTCATTCAAGGACCGATTTGCGCAAAAGGTGAGTGTTTTTTTATATTGTGCTTTCAGCTTCTACTTTCGCGATTCAACAAAACTGACTTTTGCTCATTTGTATTTTTTTCATATCATAGGCAGTGGCTGCAGGGCACATTGTTATACTGGTCGATGAAATGTTAACGTCAACCATGTGCCCAACGTACGTGGAGCTCGGGGTAACCTCGCGTCTAGCCAAGCCAACCATGCGGTCATGCGCATGTTTGAACTGCGGTCGGTGGCTGCACAGAGACATTGTCGGTGCCCACAACCTGGCTATCGTAGGGGAGACCTGGATTCGGAGCCTTACCCACCCAGGTCCTCTGAACTAGTCTAGGAACCAAAAAAAAAGTGTATTGTAGTTGATGCTATCTAAACTTTGCACTTGAACGCCATGTCTGTATCTCCTACGTTGAGCGCACTGAACGCATCTCGAAAGCACTTCTGGATGTCTGCCACATTGTTGCTGCGACAGTTGCCCGCCACGTTCCTGCCAGTAATGAACGGGTCCATGATACAAATTGGCCAATTCTTGCGTCTCTTGTCTGTTTTGTTGTGGGCTGGTGGATCAAAGGTACGACACTTGATCACACCCAGGCGCGGGTTCACTTCCTGCATCGCATAATCGAAATGAAACCCGTAGAATCGACAAAACCCGATCAATAGCATGGCAACTGACTCGTTGTTACCACTCGAAAAGGTCCGGTAACGGTCCCAGTTGTGATCAAACGAGCAGTCGTAGCCATCGATCTTACGCTCTTCCATTCGAGACCAATGTTGTTGTTGCAGCCGCGGAAGAATCGGAGGGCTAACCTCGTTCTGGAGAAACACGATCAACATCATTGTGAGAGCGAAGGACGACAGGAATCCAGTACTCCCGGAAAGGATCTGGTGCCCTTTTGCGATTTGACGCACAGCGAGCCATAGCTGAGCGAACCTTCCATCAATCTTGGTGTAGGTCTTGATGAGCTTGGAATTGAGAACGGCCATGGGCTGGTCGAGGCTTGCATCGCAGTCGAATCCCCGAGCCTTGAAGGAGACGATAGGAACTCGTGCATTGGTGATGGCCGCGACAGATTGGCATCCTGCCGAGCGGAAAGTCTTGGCTAACTCTTGAATTGGGTTGGTGTAATGTCGTGCGAAATTATAGACGGTAAAGTCGACATCGCTAGTGACGGTGCAGAGTCCTGAAGCAAAGGAACCAAAGACGTGGACCTTCACGTTCTGGTCACCTGAATGTTGTCCTAGGATGCTCTCAAGGATCTTGCGAAGTGCCTCGACGCTCTCCTTCTGGCCGGATGTCGCCATCTGCGAATCAAGCTTGTGGAGGTACTCGGTAATAATCCAGAATTTATCCATGACCTGAAGCTGTAGTAGGTTCCATTGTGCCTGCTTCTTCGATATTGCCTGCAGCTCTCTCTGTCGTTTCTCCACCTCCAACCTCTTCTGCAAAATCCGCTCTTCCTCCTCTTGGTGTTTCCGTTTCTGTTCCTGCTTCTCGGCCTCAAGTTGTTGTTGACGCAGCTGTCGCTGTTGTTGTGCGGCCAACTCAATCGCCTGCTGTTGTGCAGCCTTTGCTCTCTTGTTGGCGTTGTAGACCCTTGAGAACTTTATGGCGGCTCTCATCCCGTTGTCGAGCATAAAGTACCCTCCACCAGACCCCCCGTCTCTCCAGACCTGCTCCCTAACGGCTTGAATCAATGCAGCAATGTCGTCGTGGTAGGTATGCGGGATCGTCACGGCATATTGGAGCAAGAAATCCTGGGTCTCTCGGCCATTCAAAGGTGGGAGGTATATAAAGTCGTCGTCGGCGGGATAATCTTCATACCAGGACTGGACAAATGTCTGGTAGGGGAATAGGGGGCCGTGTCCATTGGTAAGGCGGTTGAGGTATGCCCTTAAGCCATCAATGGTGTTCAGCTTGTGGAGGTATATGTTCTGGTCGCAAGGGAGATCGAAGCACCCTGGGTTATCCTTGTAGGTCCCGCGGATATGTTCGTATGCGTCGGCGAGGTCTTCGAGAGAGCATCGGTTTTGTCTGTCGGTGACCTTGCCGGCCATTTCAAAGAGGAGACAGTCCAGGAGGACGGTCATGAAATGGAATCGAGACATGGTTGGAGATGGGAGAGTAAGATGCGATGAACAAAAAAAAAAAAGAGAGGGATGGATGAAAAGTGGGTGTGGAGGTATAAGAAAAAAAAGTAGAAAGACAAGGAGTTGCTTATGGCGAGGTCGAGCAATATTTCGAGGGCTAGATCCTTCGATGGTGTTCCATTTTGGCAGGAGGAAGCTGTAGCAGCGCAGACGAACGAGAGCAACGCATGAACTACTTCCTCTCGGATTACGAATGATAGGCGTGGGTCAATCAACTCTATCAGTCTTGATTGTTGGTCTTTGAGCAGTCTCGACGGTTGTCCTTGGAGTGGATTACCAGCGCATCGGAATTCAAAGCACTTGCTCGCCTTGATTCATACCCTCGTAAACTGTCTTATATGTATTCACACCCTTCTTCTCCACTCAACTCGCTCTTCCTCGGTCTTCATTCTCGGTCAAAGCATAGGGAAGGACAGGAACAGCGCCAAAACAACTACGCATCCATAACCCACATATCCTCCTCTTCTCTTCACGCTTCTCTTTTCCTCTACTCCCTTTTCCTTCGTTCCTTTTCTCCGCTTTTCAATGTTACGCAACCTCCGTGATATGTCAAATCAATAGTGGGTTATCTGTTTCGAAAATACTTTAATGGAGAAACAAACAACCAGTCTAACATTCTCACTCTCTCACTCTCTCTCACTATCTTTTGAACGCCTTGTCAATGTTGCAGACTTTGAGGGCATCACCCGCAGATCGAAAAGCCTGCTGGATATCCGCCGCATGGTTATGGCGACAGTTGCCAGCAACATTCCTGCTCGGGATAAACGGGTCCAGAATACACACCGACCAGTCCTTGGGTCGAGTGTCCATATTACTCCGTGGGGGTGTTGCGACGCTACGGTTCCTAATGATTCCAAAGCGAGGGTTGACTTCCTGTTTCAGGTAGTCGAATGTGTACCCAAAGTACTGACAGAACTCTGTCAGTAGTTGGCCCTCGGATTTGGTGTTCTTGGATGCCAAGGCGGTGTAGTTCCTGGGTTTCTGGTCATAGGCGCAAACGAGTCCGTCAACTAGGGAGGCGAACATCCTGTGTGCGCCTTGTTGTTGGAGTCTTGGGAGGATTGGTGGGGTGGTGACGTCCTGGAGGAATACGATCAACATCATCGTCAGCGCATAAGAGGACAAGTATCTCATGTTGCCGCCCAAGATGCCGTGTTTCTCTGCCAGCGAGCGGAGACCGAACCAGAGTCCCAGGAACCGACTGTCGATCCTTTGATAGGCGCGGATGAGCTGTGAGTTGAAGACACCCATCGGCTGATTAATGCTCATGTCGCAGCTAATGTTGTTTTTGACAAAGGAGACGATGGGGACGCGGGCACTGGGGATCGTCGTGATGGGTCCGTACCCTGCTGCGCGGAGGATACCAGCCAGTCCGTGGATGAGCTTGCCGCTAGTGCTCACAAAATTGTATACTGTGAAATCGGCGTCGCTGGTGAGCGTGCTCAAACCCGACTCGAAGGATCCAAAGAGGCAAACCTCGAGATTCTCCAGATGGGTATTAGCGCGAAGGGTTGTCTCGAGGTTCTTTCGGAGAGTTTCGACTCCTTGCCGGGTCTCCTCAGTCGCCGCCTGGAGCTTGAGTTCTTCCAGGTACCGTGTAATGCTCCCATACCGGGCATCGTCAATCAACTGCTGTAGTCGAAGCTTCTCGGCCGTCTCCACATCCATAGCACGTGCCTTCCTCGCCTCATTCTCCTCCTCCTTACGCGCCCGTTCCTGTTTCTGTTTCTCGGCCTTCCGTCTCGCCTCCTCCTGAGCCAGCTGTTGACGATGCCTCGCTGCGGCCTGCTGTCGCTCAAACTCACGAGCCTGTTGTCGTCCTGCCTTGCGTCGCTTGATCGCATTGTGAACCTTGGAATACTTTGTCACGCCCAAGACCCCGCCTACCGACAGCTCTGCACTTTCACCTCCAGAACCCTTCCGATTCCTCCAACAGTTGTTCCTGAGGTACAGCACTACCGCCGCGATATCATCATGGAAAGCATTCGGGACATTCTCCGAATAATTCCGCAAGAAATCAGTCACCTCACCACTCGAACAAGCCGGCAACGACACATGATCCTCCTGAGCATTTCCATTGGCATCCACGGCGCTGCACCGGACAGGAGTCGGGTAGGGGAAATAGGCATGATTGCCACGCTGGAGCTGGCGCATGTATTCTCGAAGCCCCAGGGGTGTGTGGAGCTTGTGGTGCTGGATATAGACGTCGCCGGGGTGTCTGAGGTTGTTGGTACGGTGGTTGATGATGAACATGGTTCGGGCGTGGGCAAACGCGATAGCGAGGTCGCGGATGAGGTACCTGTCGTTCTGGGCTTCGCGGTATCCAGCGCACTCGAATAGGATCACGTCTAAGAGGACCCCTGTGATGTCTTGTCGGTCGATTGTCATAGCGTCCGGAATGAGGGAATGGGGTCTTACAAAGTGATTTTTTTTGTGGCAGTTGTGTTTGGGTGGGGAAGAGGGGTGAGGAAAGGGAACTGGAGGAAGAAGGAAGACGGGATGAGAGAGTGGCCAAGGTCGAGGATCTAATATAAGAATAAAAAGAGCACAGCAATTGCAATGCTAGCATGCAAGTAAGCCTTGGCAGGTGGTCATTTTTTTTTATGGAGATGGATCTGCGTATGCAAGGTGCATGAATTTTGGAAGCAAAGGGAATAGATGGCGAGTGAAAAGCACTATTTCACTAAAGGAGGGTATGGTTGGCCTCGTGTGAATCCCCCCCTCCCGAGAGCTCGAGGGTTCAGGTTCCTGGAACCATCGAGGAAGCAGCCATGGTCTGTGCGTCGAAACCATCCTGGTCGTACCTGGTTGGTGACTTTGGTGCAAAACGGCAATTCACACATGAGTATAGGGTTTCACTCCTTTCTTCTCTACTCTACTCACCATCTCTTGGTCCCTCGAGTTCGGCTTCTAAGTGTTGTACCTACTCTTCTGACAGGATGAGTGAATTGGACTACGAATTGGTCAAAAAAAGAGTTGGTGGGCGCATCTTCTTCCCTTCTCTCAACCCTCTTCTCGTTCTACATTTCTCTCTGGAACACACAAAAATAAAACATTAGAGAGAAAACACTAACAGCCTCCAACCTCATAGTCGCGTTCAATTAAAAAAGATACTTCACTTTTTTCACTTTTTTCATTTTTATTTTTTGTTCCTGATATTCATTTTATACTTTAAACGCCTTGGTGATATCGTCTTTCACAATAGCCTCATACGCATCCCGGAAACACTTTTGGATGTCAGCAACATGGTTGGAACGACAATTGCCCGCCACATTCCTGCCAGTAATGAACGGATCCAGGACCAACATCCGCCAATCCTTGGGTCGGCTGTCTCTTCTACTCCGTGGGGGTGCTGGGACACTCCAGCCCCTGATCACACCCAGGCGAGGGTTGACTTCCAAGGTCGTGTAGTCGAATGTGTGTCCAAAGTATATGCAGAACTCTGTCAATAGCTGTCCTGCCGATTTAGTGTTCTGGGCTGCCAAGGTGGCGTAGTTCCTGGGTTCCTTGTCGAAGGCGCAGTGGTAGCCGTCGATCGTGCGGCTGATCATCTTGTCCGCGCTTTGTTGCTGGAGTCTTGGGAGGACGGGCGGGGAGGTGATGTCTTGGAGGAAAACGATTAACATCATCGTGAGCGCGTAAGAAGAGAGATATCCTGTGCTGCCGCTCAAAATCCCATTCTTGTCCGCCAAAGTGCGAAGGCCGAACCACATTCCCAGAAACCGAGGGTCGATCCGTTGATAGGCGTTGATGAGCTGAGAATTGAAGACGCCCATGGGTTGGTTGATGCTCATGTCACATCGGATCCCGTGGCCGGTGAATGAGACGATGGGGACTCGGGCGTTGGCGATCGTCTTGATGGGACCCCAGCCCGAGTCTTCGAGGTTGCTGGCCAGCTCGCGGATGGGTTCTCTGCCCAAGTCCCTGAAGTTGAGCACTGTAAAGTCCGCATCGCTAGTGAGCGTGCTCAATCCTGACTCGAACGATCCGAACAGACAGACCTCGGCTTGCGGTTGATGGTGGTGATGGCGTAAAAGTGTCTCAAGGGCTTGACGGAGCATCTCCACGTTGCGCCGAGTCCCTGCAGTCGCCGCCTGAAGCCGGAGTTGGTCCAGATACCGATTGATGCTCCTGTACCGGGCCTCGTTAGCGCGTTCCTCAATCCGTTGCATCTCGGCTAATCGAATGTCCAGGAGACTCGTCCTTCCCATCCCCACCTGCAAACTTTCAATCTCTTGTTCCCGTTTCTCCGTCTCCTGTCTCGCCTTCTTCTCTTCTTCCTCCTCCTCCTCCTGACGTTGTCGAACCAAGGCCATTTGTTGTTCCAACTCGCGTGCTTGAGCCCGTGCCGTTCTCTGTCGCTTTTTGTCGTTGTGATCCTTCGAATACTTGGTCACACCCATGGTCCCATCAGGCAGAAAAGACGCGTATCCTCCGGTACCTCGTCGATTCGTCCAGCAATTAATTCGTAAGTAATAGATCACCGCCGCAATCTCGTCCTGGTACTCGCTCGGGACATCGTCGGCATACTTCTGCAAGAACTCGTTGATTTGACGACTGCCCAAGGGCGGTAGATAGATATAATCATTGACGCCAAGAGGCTCGCCGGGCCGGGACTTGACTGGAGTCTTGTAAGGGAAGAAGGAGTCTTGGCAGAGGGCGGGCAGGCTGAGTTTTAGAGCAGCAGTGTTGTGCAAACCATGTGTTTGAATGTAGGTGGCCATGTCGGAAAACTGGGAGTTGGGTTTGCTGAGGAACATTTGGCGGACGTGGGCGAATGTTGTTGCGAGGTCATGGAGAAGGTAGTTGTAGTCTTGGGTGCCGCTCTTGCCTGCGACTTCGAATAAGATCGCGTCGAGCAAACAGTATGGAAAGGTCGATTTGTCGTCCATGGTTGGTGTTCTGCTGAATGAGATGAAGGAGGGAAGGAAGAGGATGTGGATTCGAAGGTAGGGATTCTTTATGGGTTGGATGCAGTTCTGGTTGAATGGGTAGCGAAGAGCAGCAGTGCGGGGGGGTGGGTAAAAGTGAACGTGAGGGAAACAAGAAACACGAAAAAATAGAGAACAAGAAAAGCAGGGGAAAAGTATCATCGGTCATATCTGATTAACATGATACTTTATTTTGTTCCTGAATTTGATCACACGCAAAACGCTTTGTTGATGTCGTTCTCCTGAAGGGCGTGATACGCGGACTGGAAACAAGTCTGGATCCTCGCCACGTTCTCCTTGCCGCAATTACCCGCCACGTTTCTGTCCGTAATAAAGGGATCCAGAATACAAATAGGCCAATCCTTGGGTCGTCTGTCCATCCGACTGCGTGCTGGTGGGGTAATGCTGCGATTCTGGATCATGCCAAGCGACGGGTGCACCTCCTGACTGGCATAGTCAAAGATGTATCCGTAAAAATAAAAAAAGTCGATCAACAGCTGTCCTACAGAACGTGTGTTGTCGGCGCCATAGTTGGTGTAGATGGTTTGGGAGTCGAATGAGCAGTCGTAGCCATCGATGATGTGTAGAGTCGCAAGTGGGCTTTGTTGAAGTCGAGGAAGGATTGTTGGGCTAGTGACGTCCTGAAGAAAGACGATCAACAACATTGTGAGGGCGTAAGACGACAAGAATCCTGTACTTGCTGAGATAATGCCGTGTTGCTTGCCGATCTGCTTGATGGAGAACCAGAGAGTCATGAACCGGTCGTCGATTTTGGAGTATGTCGAGATGAGTTTGGAGTTGTGAACACCCATGGGTTGGTTCAGGTTCGCATCGCATTGGATCCCGTGCAGCTTCCAGGAGGCGATGGGAACTCGGGCATTGGGGATGGAGGTTACGCGCTGGTAGCTAAAGCGCTGGTAGCTAATGCGCTGAAGAACGGCGGCCAGTTCGACAATCGGCGGGCAGTGGGGTGAAGCCATACGGATATTGTACACCGTCATGTCGGCATCACTGCTCATGCTGCAGAGTCCCGAGGCAAAGGAGCCGAAAAGATGTACCTCGATACCGTAGTCGCGGTAATGTTCCCGTAGCCTCCTCTCCACAGCATGTCGAATAGCTTGCACCTCGTTCTTCCTGCGAGGAGTCGCGGCCTGGGTCGCCCGTAGTTTGTCCATGTACTCTGTGATGGCGATATTCCTTTGGGCGAGGTTTTCTGTGTCCTGCGCTTGTCTCTGATGCTGCCGATACATGTCCGCTTCTTCGTCCGTGATAGCATTGAAATATCTCAGATTGTTAATCAGGCCATTCCACAGGGCAGTATTCACGCCATCCCCCCAGTCATCTCCCCGCTTCCAGGTTTCCGCTTCTTCGTTCGTGATAATGTTGAAATCTCTCAGATTGCTAACGAAGCCATTCCACATGGCAGTTTCCAGCTCATCCCCCAAGTAATCTCCCAACTTATTCTTCAAGGCTTTCAATTGCTGATCCATGGGTGAGAGTTGATTAGGTTCGTCCTCAAGCCTCCGCCCAGCTGCAACCCGCTTGCAGTCATTATATTCCTTCGTGAACATCTTCACCGCCTCCATCCCATTCGGCAAACAACACACATCCTTAGGCCGTATCATCCGGTACCAAACATCCAGCCTCAGCTCCTGTGTCAGCACCGCCAGATCGTTATGGAAGCTCATCGGGATCGATTTGGCATAGAACCGCAAGAACATCTTCCTCTCGGCGGCTGTAAACTGTCGCACATGGATGTGGTGCTCTTCCGTGTCGCCGAGGTACCCCAATCCACCGCAGGTATTGTCGTCGGCCAGGTGGAGGTCAATGCTGTACGGGAAGTAGTACTTTCGCTGGCGGCCGGTTGGTGGGGGGTTGGTTGATGTATGAGGAGAATGGTAAATGAGGTAGTTCATCATGCCCTCGGGAGTGTCGAGACGGTGTTGGCGGATAAATGCGACGGAGTGGCCATTGTCGAATTCTCCTGGGTCGCTATATTCGAATATCTGGCGGACGTGGGCAAAGGCTTCTGCGATCTCGACACAGCTGAGTTGGTCGTCGAGGTGGTCGTAGTGTCCTGAACAGTCGAAGAGGATCAAGAGGAAGAGGGCATCTATGAAGAGGACCTGGTTGGTGTTATTGTTGGTGTGTGCCGTGGCTTTGGGGCGGGGTATAGGAGCTCGATGGGAGTCCATGTGTTGGTGTTGAGTAAATGAGGCCAAAAAGACGGAATAAGAGACAGTGAATGTGAATGAGTTGAAAGAAGGAGAGCGTATAGAGTGAAAGAGGGAATGAGAGAATGAAAGCAGGATGAAGAAAGGACGTTGATGATGTCAAAACAAGAGAAGCAATGAAGAGATAGAACATCAGCACACCCCACCCGAGACACAGAAAACAAAATCAAAAACAAAGGAGCGGCTGTTGAAAAAAAAAAAGTTGGCGGCGTCAGAAAGGAGCAATAGTTGCACAACAGATTGATAATATTGGTTTTTGTTTATGAAGATCAAGGTCTGAGTGCCCCCTTGATGTCGATGTTCTTGAGGGCATCATAGACGTTTCGGAAGCTATCCCGAATCTTGACCACATTGTCCCTGCCACAGTTTCCCGCCACGTTCCTGTCCGTAATAAAGGGATCCAGAATACAAATAGGCCAATCCTTGGGTCGACTGTCCGTTGAACTGCGTGCTGGTGGGATAATGCTGCGTTTCTGGATCTTGCCCAGCGACGGGTACACCTCCTGACTGGCATAGTCAAAGATGTATCCGTAAAAGTTAAAAAAGTCGATCAACAGCTGTCCTACAGAACGTGTGTTGTCGGCGCCATAGTTGGTGTAGATGGTTTGGGAGTCGAATGAGCAGTCGTAGCCATCGATGATGTGTAGAGTCGCAAGTGGGTTTTGTTGAAGTCGAGGAAGGATTGTTGGGCTAGTGACGTCCTGAAGAAAGATGATCAGCAACATTGTGAGGATGCTTCATGGTAATATGTTTAATGGAGAACCTAGCATGTCCTGAATCTGTTGTCGATCGCGACGTAGACCGAAATGAGCTCCGAGTTCTGGACACTCATAGGCTGCTCGACGCTGACATCGAAGCTGTTTACCCCGCAGCACATAGGATGCAATGGGAACCCGGGGCGTGAGGAATCGAGATCACAAGCTGGTAACCTAAATCCTTGAGTGTATCAGCCAGTTCGTCGATGGATGGCGTGAAACAATCGAAGTACGCCGTGAAGTCCGCATCACTAGTCATGCTGCAGAGTCCCGAGGCGTAAGATCCATAGGTGTGAACTTCGACGTCGTCGCGAAAGTAACGGAAGAGATCTCTTTTCGAGTTCCTGACCCGTGTTGGACACTCGAACAGCGTGGTATCATAGAGTAATCCGATAAACAGGTCCAGGTCGAAAGTCATTGTGTGGTTGTCGCGTTAAATATTCATTTTTGTATTTCGTTCAAAAGACGTTAATTAAAAATGAAACGGTGATGGACAGGGTGTGTGTGTGTGTTTTCAACGCTTGAAGGCCGTATCGATGTCTCCGAGGAAGAGAGCGCTGTAGGACCACTGGAAGCACACCTTGATGTCCTGGAGTTGGCTGGGGCGACAGTTTCCTGCAAGGTTCTTGTTGGCGATAAAGGGATCCCGGATGACGATCGAATAGGCATTGCGGGTACGGTCTGAAGTAGGCGGCGAAAAGGAGACGATAGAGCGCAAGACAACGGCCCCAGATCTCGGGTTGACTTCCTGGGTGTCATAGTTGAAGGTGTGGCCAAAGTACTTGAGAAAGTTTATCAACAGCTCACCGGCAGACTTGAGCATTCGAAAAGAATCGAGTCGTAGAGATACCCGATGAATTGGGATCGGGACCGCGATATCCTGAAGGTATGCTTGCTGCTAGAATGGTTCCTGAGGTGGTGAAACAAACGCCACCAAATATATGCCAGTATGACGCAAGTGGAGACAAATTCGATCGCAGGCGTTGCACATGACGCGTATCGTGCGCTTTGCGTGGACCTTTTCCCCCTTTGCACACACACGTCTGGATTTCTCGATACACGAGTGGACTACTCTTCTCTCACACACACACATTTGATAGTCCTTGTTCTCCCTCTTTTTTCTTCTTCACTTACTTTTCACGACCAGACAACGACCCTCCCTTTCGCCGACCACCCAAGGACTTTTGACCCGCACCATCACCACCACTAACCAACACCAACCACACGACACAGTAACAACACTACAACCAACAACAATCCTAGCATGAGTTCCATCGGTACAGGGGTAAAGCCAACCAGCCAAACCGAACTTCGTCGCATGGAGCAGCTAATGCAGTGCAGTATCCCACAAAGGAGGACGAGCTTACAAGGAATGGAGCATAGCGTTAATCGACTCTCTCTTCTTTTCTCGGTTTGGCCACTTTGGTTTTGTATAGTACGACGTTTCCGTATCAACATACTCGCCTGACGGCCGAGTCTTCCAGGTCGAATACGCCGGCAAGGCTGTCGAGAACAGTGGGTACGTTCTTAACCCCCCCCTTACCAGGCGCGATATTTCCTCGGGACGCGATGATACAGGAGCCTTCACTGGATAACGCACCTTATAAAGACAAAAGACACGTCAATTGACACGATTCTTTGTTTTGTTTGTTGGATTAATTAGAACTGCCATTGGTATTCGCGTCAAGGATGGTGTCGTCTTGGCTGTCGAGAAGTTGGTCCAGTCCAAGCTCCTCGTCCCCGGCGCTAACCGCCGTATCCAGAATGTCGACCGTCACGTCGGAATCGTACGTCCTGTTTTCGCTTCTTTTTATGATCTGCAGGAAGCAAGAGGATTTTATATGTTGCAACAGGAAGGAGAGAGAGGTCAATGAAGAAGCTAACACTGCAAAAACAATTTGTTATATGAAAACAATGCGATAGGCCACCGCCGGATTGTTGGCAGATGGTCGTCATATTGTGAAGCGCGCCCGCGAGGAAGCACAGAGCTGGAGAGACGTCTATAGACTGCCCATTGATGGCAAGGTACAACACCCAGCATCACGTACTACTGAGCGCAACATGATTTTACGTTTTTTGCAGGTTTTTTTCCTGTAACTCACACTCACTTCCTTATTACTCTCATGACAGAACATTGCGTCGCGTGTCGGTGATTATGTTGCGGCTTATACCTTATACTCGAGCGTGCGTCCTTTCGGAAGCAGCACGATCATCGCTGCCATGGACACCACCGGCCCCAAACTCTATATGGTCGAGCCCTCTGGCTTGTACTGGGTACGTCTTTCAACCACGACTGCATATTATTTGAGGCTACACTTTCTACAAGCGCTCGATCGTTTACCTAACGTCACCGCTACTTTTGATGTATATGTTGATTAGGGTTACCACGGAACTGCGATTGGAAAGGGTCGCCAGGTGGCCAAGACTGAGATTGAGAAGTTGAACCTCGAGGAGATGACATGTCGCGAGGCAGTGAAGCACGCCGCCCGCATGTAAGTTTTTTTTTTTCTTTCGGGTTCTTTTATTCTTTATATACAACATGGCCTAGCATGCGAATGCTAAAAAGATTTCTCTTATTAACTCTCAATGTTCTTTTTTTCCCATTGGAACCAAAAAATAATAATAATTAGTATCTACAATGTGCATGATGATGCCAAGGACAAGGAGTTCGAGCTGGAGTTGAGCTGGGTCTGCGAGGAGTCAAAGGGACTCCACCAGATTGTCCCCAAGGAGATTGCAGATGAGGCAGAGACCCTCGCAAAGGCTGCCTTGAACGACGACGATATGGACGATGATTAAACAACTCGCCCGGGCCAAGCACTTGTCACTACTCACCCCCCCCTTACGGACGTAGGAAAAGAGAAAGGAACAGGCGCACGTAAACGCACAAAGACAGGAACATTTCTCCGAATATCATTTTGTCAAATAAAAATAGGATGAAGTGAAAACATCATTGCAACGGGGATCTGGCTTTTGGAGGGGTTTTTTTTGGTTCTTTAATTATTTTTTTTTTTGGCTGCAAGCAAAAGAAAAAAAAGAGATCTGAGGTGTGTGTGTGTGTATTGTTTTTTGTTTTTTTCTCGGATTTTTGTATGTTTTTTTTTCGGGGGGGAGGTTTGTTTTGTGTTGGTACAAGCAAAAAGCAAAAGAAAAAAAAGAAAAAAAGGGGAAACGAAAGGAACAGTATGGTACAAGGTATGTGGCTAGAGAGAAGAGAGAGAGAATCTGTATGTGTATGTGTATGTTTTTGAGAGGCGAGGGGGAGGGGGGGAAGAAGCTGTATGGATCAGCGACGAGACCAGAGGCCAGAGAGACGGTTCATGACGCCGTTGCGCGATCTGCGACCAGAGGCAGGGAAATCCTTTTCAGTGAAATAGTGTCCATCGCCCATATCGCTCATCGTCCAGGGAGCAGCCTCGTTGCTGTTGTTACTGGCGACAGACTCCAGAGTCCCCACAGAGTTGTCCTTGGAATGGATGGCAGACGGTTCAGGAGATTCGCGTCCAGAGGCGTACGACCAAAATCGAGAGAATCGACCCGACACAGTCGCACTTCCGGAAAAGGACGCGCGATGCTTCGTATAGCCGGAGTTGTTGCTGCTGTTGTCCATCCTGTTTTGGAAAGACGAATCAGAGGCCAGAGGAGGCGAGAAAAAGGAAGCATCCAGAGGCTCTTGCATGCTGCGACGGTGACGGGCTTTCATGTCGACCTCGTGATGGTGTGGAGAGGTCATCGATCTCAGGTCAAGGGATGAACGAATGCCTGGCTCGGATGCTGAGGATCCTCTACGCAAAGCAGCAAGGGATGAAACAGAGATGATGTTCGCAGTAGGACCATTGGTCTCGGATGCCTCGGCAAGGGTAACATTGGATGCGGGAGAAGAGGAAGGCGATTGGATCTTGTCCAGCTGAGTTCGACTGTCGTTGCCTGACATAGCCATCATCGGGTTCACCAAGGTTGAGCAGGACGATTGATCGGGGGAGACAATCGTTTCAGAAGTTGACGCACCTGAATCCCGTCGCGTCTTACTATCCGCGGTCCATCCTTCTGGAATGACCGCGTCAAGTACAGGAGGTACAGCGCGCAACTGATCTAGCGATTTCCTCCTGTTGACAGCGAGCGCAATCCTAGGAGACAAGAATCCTGTCCCCAACAAGTCAACCGAGCGGCGTCTTCCGCCAGGGGCTACAGGAGCCGATTCTGCGGGCCTGGGTGCCGCTGGAGTGTTATCGGTAGAGGAAGGCAAGGCAGTCTGGACAGTAACTGGCTGTTGGGTCTTGGTGAGGGAAAAGATGTTGCTCAATCTGGATGGAGCTCCCGAAAAGTGAGAATCCGTCGACTTTTTCCGTGAGTGCAAAAGTTCCGTCGACAGGGGTGGTCTTCCCAAGTCGCACGATTGTCTGGGCAAGTTCGAGGTCACAGGCGATGAGGGAGATTCGATGATACAAGGCAGGCTGACACGGCGTTGGTAGATGTTGTGAGGCACTTTTCCTAGAGCTGCTGATGGTGGAGAGGAAACGTCGGTGCTGATGCGCGAAGGAGGTGGCCGTGAAGAAGATTCGAGTCCTGAACGGGTGGGTGCCATGACTGCCGAGATCCTACGACTAAAGTCGCCGCTGCTCCTGGGACTTGTGAACGGATCACCGTTCCTCGAGCCACAAATATCAAGGTCGGGTGTGGTGACCTGCAGGCCGCGTTGCATAGACAGGTGCATGTGGAGCAGAGCAGCAACGTCTGGATGATTCCTTGCTGTTGCAACAGTGTATGGAGTGGATCCGTACTGTTGTAGTTATCGTAATCAAACGTCATAAGAGGGAGCATGAGTTAGTTTGATTATGAAATGTACATTCCAAATGAACGCCAAGATTGTCATCCGATATCGCACTTTTTATTCTCTTCATCTTTTACCTTGTCAGCCAAATCAGGCGTCGCGCCGTGACGCAGCAGGATCTCAACAATGGCGAGACAGCCGTTCGCCGCCGCAAAGTGTAAAGGGGTTGATCCGGTGGTCCCTACCGTTTGGCTAAAGACAAAAGAAAAGAAGGAAAAGAAGGAAAGGAAGGAAAGGAAGGAAAGGAAGGAAAGGAAGGATTAGAAATCGATTCAGTCTCAGGTCCGGAACTTCCATGTCTCTTGTTATCTTTTCTTTTGGAGAGACAGGGGGTGCCCGCAGTGTGTCATGCGCATGAGACTGTTTTGGGTCCATATCATGTTGTGCGCATGCTGACCCTATTCCCCGCGGGGGATACGCTGGGAAGAAATAAACATACACAAACAAACAAACACGAATGGGGTGGCTGGATCTGATCCCGCATGGGCCAAGTCGCGCTTAGCCAAAAGAGGTTCAAGGGAGAAGGGACGGGCGTCGGAGGGTGTTAAGATTCGATCGATCTTAGAATACGCTTTGACAAAACAACTTACGCGCCGACGACTCTATCGCCACTGTACTTGCGAGGGAACCGCCGAGAGTTAACATCAGCCCCGCGTTCGATCAGAAAGAGGACCACGGCCACATTCCCGTTGCTGCAGCAGGCAGCATGAATTGGCAAGACGCCGTTGATCACAGAGTCGATTGGTTGTCCATTATCCAGCGCGAATTTGACCAAGCCTAGGCGCAATGAAAAAAAAAGGGAGCGATGTCAGTCAGTCAGGTTAGGGGTGCAATCTCGACTCGAGAGATTATAGGGGTTTAGCTTGACTTTTATTCTTCATTTCCAGGGGGGAGGAAATGAACATTGTAGATATGATGGGCAATGAAAAGGATATGAAAAGAGGAAAAAGGAATAAAAAAAGGGGGTTCAAGTATAATGGATAGACTGGATGGGAAGACGAAAAAGAAGGGTCGGAGAGGGAGAACGAACGGAGCCAAGGGAAGATGGAAGCAGAGAAGGGAGGATCGAGAATCAACGATGCTAAGTTTGGGATGGAAAGGGTTCATCTCATCGTCCGATAGGAGCAAACTAGGATCCGCACATAGGAACCCGTATCGATCGCCCTTGCGCACCTGCTGTCATTGTCGCCAAAATTGTCCGTCGCCACATCTAAAACGCCAATAGGCTATCCAGCGTCATCGTCCTCGTGTTTTGAGTTGCGGAGTAGAAGTGGAGCAACAAAGAGAGTCTGTTGCAGTCATCATCCACTGTGTTTTTCCGATCTGGATTGCCTCAATGGGCGTTCGTTTTGGAATGATGTAAGGCCATGGATTGGGGACCCAGGACAGACGGGAATGATCTGCAAGGAACAGACTGCACGACTCAACAGAACGCTCATTTCTGCCTTTGAGAACTTGTGGGTGCATGGATTGTGCCTGTTCCTGGAAAGGGTCAAGGAAAAAGGTTTCTTTTCCTTTTTTTGTGCAACAAGCGAGTGGGAAGCAGGGCGTGGGAGGGCGAAAAATGGGGCACGGGAAGGATGGAAAGAAGTGGGAAAAAAAGAGGGGGTGGCACGGGTAACAAGGGGGAACTACAGTCTACTCCAGAAGCAACCACAATGTTGTGGGGAGTACACCAACTGAGTGAAAGAATAATGTCTGCGAAAGGAGGGGTGGAAAGAAAGCATTACGATCCAAGGTAAAGATAAAGAGAGTTGAAGGTACGAACAAGCGTCAAAATAGAGGGGGGAGAGGGGTGGATTGGTGTTGATGAAAAAGGGAGAGCATGCTATGCGTAGTAGCAGCAAGGCAGGAAGGAGGGATGGTGTGGAAGGAAAAGAGATGGCAGGAGGATAAGGGATGAGTGGAAAAGAACGAGTGCTCTGGATGCAGGATTTTCTTTCCTTCTTTTCCTGTGGGCGCATAATTGGGCATAGCTGGGAAGACTGGGAGAAAAGCATGCACACGCACGAGTTTTTTTCCTCTTTCTTTGTCACAAATGGAGTAGAAGCAAAGCATGTGGGAATAAGGGAGAGAGAGAAAAAAGGACAGGGGGTGTAAACAGACCCCTGGATGAAAAGAGAGAGAGAGAGAGAGAGAGAAAAAGAAAAAGACGATGAATACGATACTTACCGAGGTTGCCGGAGGCTGCACCAGAGTGCAGCCCTAGGTTGAGGGGTTGCTTTTTGGAGGAGTGGGACGAGGTTGAGGTTGTGGAGAGGGAGGAGGTGGTCGGTGCAGTCGCCGTGGGTCGGGGTAAAGTTGCGCAGTGCATTCCTGGTGGAAGAGGATCAGAGCGTAGTTGTGAATGAGAATGTGAATGTGAATCAGAGTTGCTGTTGTTGTGTTGTTGTTGTGAAGAAGAAGAAGGGGGAGGAAAAGAAGCAGAAGTTGACGAAGGAGTAAAGAAGGAGGAAGCAGAGGCGCCTGGTCGGAGCTGAAGCATGGCTCTCAAAGTGGCCATGGCTGAATAAGTTGAGGTTGAAGAAGGTGTGTCAGCCAGTGGGTGTCAGAAGAAGGAGAAGAAGGGAAGAGGGAGCAGGGAAAAAAGGATAAGAAAAAGAGTAGTGGTTGCTGTTGTTGTTGTGGAAGGGAGAGGAGAAGGAAGGAAGAGGGGATCAATGATCTCGCGAGACAGAGAGGAGAAGGAAGGTGAATGAGAAAACAGAGGAAAGACTTAAGTCAATGCGAAGAAGAAAAGAAAATAAAAAAAAAAAACAAACAGCACAGGTGCCAAGAAGTAGTCGATTTTTATCCTTTATTTAGACTCCTCGGGCGTAACACAATGTACACACGAACACACACACACACACACACACACACACAGGAACACATACACGAACACGTCGGTCGACAATACAAAAATCACACAGCCCTCTTCCTCCCCTTGGTAATAATAACAAGTGAGTGAGAGAGAGAGAGAGAGAGAGAGAGAGTGAGAGTGAGAGAGAGCATTAGTGAACGTGCTGTGGCGACGATGACAGAGATAACGGAGATGGCTGTGGACCCTTCCCCCTTCCCCCTAGGCTGATGTCACTCCCTGACTTGGCGCAGTGAGCGATAAAATATAGATCAATGTCGAATGGTCATCATCAGGGGGCTGAGAAGAGAGCCTGCCAGTCCATCTCCATGTATCCATAGATAGATGGATGGATGTGGCTCATATCCTGACAAAAGAATGTGGTCGCTCCCTCTTTCATACCCTCGTAGATATCATTGCCCCTGTCGCAACCAACCTACAGCTTTTCTATGAGAATACTCACACCCTTTCTTCCGATACCTATAATGATTCATGTCACCACATCCACCACATTCATATTTATATCCACCCCCATTCATATTATCCATCCCTTCAGACACCAACTTGCCTGCCCCCTATCTCAAATGTTAACATGTCCGACATGCATACTCTGAACCCAATAGTTGTTGCAACTTGCAATGCTCCATGTCTCTTCTTGTAATCCCTCAAGATGAGACTCTACTATTACCAATAGGTGTCACTTGTCCATTAGCAAATAAAACCAATGGTGTATGCCCCACATCTAGTTTTTGTATGCAAAACGCATCCATCCGACGCATACATACTCTCTACTACTTCTTCCTCTTCTTACTTGTGAATGTAGATATCTCGACTTTTTTAACGCCTCATTTGACCCCAGTTGGAATTCGCCACGAGGTTGTCAAGGGTCCAATCCAGTTCGAGTTCAGGGTGATTCTCATCTATTTAATTCGCTCAGTCCCTCTCCTCTCCTTTCGCGCTCTCTTGGCTGCACCTCGTGCTCCTCATCCTTCTACTTTTCCTTTCCCGTCCATCTTGTCTTGCGTTTCCGGGAAGGAATAAAAAAGGGAACAATAAGCAAGGAACGTGATCAAGCAAAGCGCCTCCAAAGATATTTTTTCCCTTCTTTCACGCTTGCCGCAAAAGCGGAGGGGTGGTCATGGAGACCAAGGATGGGACAAAGACGGTAAAAAAAGGTGTCGACTTTTGATCGCTGCTTTGCAATTGCGGGCCGCTCTGTATGCATTGAATCTGTGCTACTCTATGCGTGTTGACTCGAGCCTCATCCACTTTGGACACGTGCCATTTCATAGAAGTGTAGGTTACTCGTAACAGGAACAGGGTTGACATCTCTAGATGCATTCGCTGCATAGCAGGACGAGACAGTTGACGTCGTAATGGTCCCCCTTCCTTCGGAGCATGGTGTCACCCATGTGAACCGTTTCTTTTTTTTTTTTTTTTTTTTTTTTTGGGGGGGGGAAGTCTCTCAAGTCTCAATTGAGCGCGAGTACAGTCGTAGTCCCATAGGATGAGAAATAACGCGTCGCTCTATCTTGCCAGTGATATGAGTTGTAGATCTAGGGTACGGATAGAACCTATGTCATTAAAAAGAAAGTCGAGAGTGGCTGCCAAGCTGAGCCTTTTTGTTCATGACTGGCTAGTTCATTTTGATACGCCTCGTGGAAAGAAGGCATAATTGCTTGTGCGCAATACTAATGTGGAGTTATGGCACCCCCACCGCGGAGGAGCCCATTGTCGTCGACTTTTTTGTTATGACTTCAATTCCACTTATTGCTTGCGTTGCCAATGTGCTCCGATCGCCCTTTTCTTGATTTTCATGAGTGAAAGGAGAGAGAGTCTTGTTCTTGTGTCCTTGGGGCAAATGCAGAATCAAATGCTAGCCCAAGCCCTACCCCTGTGCCCTTCCTATCTTCATCTTATTCGGGCAAGAGTCTGTCCCTGTGGCCTCTTCGTCTAAGGCACAACACAGACGTTAAGATAATAAAAGTAGGTTGGCGTCGGCTCATCTGACCGAATCTCTTCCTTCACTTTTCTTCACTTCTTCGCATTCCTTTATTCTCTCATTCATTCGTTCTCCCAGTCAGTCATTGCAACACACTCCCCACTCTCCACTCTCTACTCAACTCTCAACTCTCTACTCATACCCCTACCACCTTCTCTTAATACATACACATATCTTACATGCCCAAAATGGCCGCTACCACTACTCTTGCTGCTGCTGCTGCTGCCTCGGTCTTGACTCTCGTTGGGGTCAAAAAGGTCCACTCGGCCATCACTGCCGAGCGTGGCTTGACACTGCCCAGTCTCCGTGATGTTAATCTCCTCAAGTGCGCCTACCCCGAGGACTACTATCCTGGTACACCCACCCATTCCTCTCACCCCCTCACCCACTCGCCTTCTCCTCCTCCCTCCTCATTCTCGACCATGTTCCCCCCCAACCGCCGGCTCAATTGATGCACACACCATATTCTAACAACGATGGTTTACTATTATTTGTGATGGATGGGATCTCATGTAGGTGGAAAGTATGCCGAATTGTCGTATGGAGAGACCCATTATTTCATGTTTGGACCTGAGGATGGCAAGAAGGTCAGTAATTCACCCGCCTCTTTCCTTTTGCTCTCTTTTTTATTCGATCGATCGATCGTCCTATGGGTTGGGTGCCGTTAACACTCGTCTTGTGTCGAAAAATACCTAACAACATCTTATGGAATGTTCACATACACAACCTATTCTAGATCGTTTTCGTCCATGGACTATCGACCCCAGCTTCTGTCTACAGCAATGTCGCCCGCCACATGGCCGCCAATGGCTGCCGTGTCCTTCTCTATGGTACACATAGCCAATGATTGCTTTGAATGTTTGAGTCTCTTCTCCAGTACCATTCAAGTCCAGCTAAAACCAGATTCTTATTGTTGCTACTTAGATCTGTACTCTCGAGGATACTCAGTTGGTCCTGGAGTGGATCATGACCCTGTGTTCTATGTGACCCAGTTGCACGAGCTGTTGAAGCATGTTGGATGGACGCAATGCAACTTTGTCGGCCTGTCACTCGGAGGTGGGATCGTTGCAGCCTATGCCCACAGGTTCCCCGAGACTGTCCTGTCCTTGAACTTTATCACACCTGGCGGCCTCTTGTCCGTGAGTTCTTTATGTCAGCATGATCGGTCAATGCCAATGAACCAAAACAAACAGAAAACTTATTTCCCAACGTACTAAGACAACCAATCCTGATGCGCCTCCTTGCTTCAATTAGCCAAAGGATATCCCCTGGGTCGGCAAAATCTTTTCGCTGCCGTACAGTGAAGAGGTATTTTCCCACAAGTCCATGAAGGGCTACTTCTCCGGCAAGAATGTCGCGTCTATGCGCGCAGAATTCAAGGACCCCAAGGAGATCCCGGCTTGCGTCGACGAGGCGTGCGAGATCTTGAAGCTGCAGTTCCGTCACCATGCTGGATATGCGCGTGGATTGATGTCAACCTTGAAGATGTTCCCCTTGACCGCCTTGAGGGCCGAGTTTGCGACCGCCCAGGCCCACTCCTTCCCCGTTCAAATCGTCTGGGTGAGTTAAAGACAGACTTTTTGCGTGCATGCTCCTTAAAGATTTGCATTGGTTCTAATATGCAACACGCCCTTCTTTTATTCAATAGGGCACAAGGGATACTGTCATCCCGGGCACTACGGTCGAGACCATTCAGGAGCTGATTCCCAGGATCCGTGTCACCAAGGTCGAGGGGGCAACCCACAGCATTGCCATGACCCACCCCGAGGCGATCATCCGCAGCCTGGAGGATTATATTGTGTAATAAAATGAGACCCAGGCTGTTGTTATATGAAGTATGGGCCGGAGCATGAGGTGCCATTCGAGAAAATAAAACGTGCGCAATAGAAAGAAAGATGAAAGAAAGAAAGAAAGAAAGAAAGAGATGGGCTTATTCACTCCAAGCAATGTCCAAACGAAGCTCTTTCATTTTCTTATGACAGTCCAAATGTCGTTCGATGTGGAGGTGTGTGTCGTGTCTCAAAATTAGAAGAGAAAATCGTTTCATTCCCTTTCCCCCGTTTATCTTTCTGCCTGTTCATTATCCGCTTTTTTTCTTTTTCTTTTTCTTTTCTTTCTTCTCACACTCTCCCATCGGTTTTCAACTCCACCCGCCTAATTCTTCATCCACACAGGCCGACACGCACTATGCCCGCCACTCCCTCAACTCTCAGCACGCGTCTGCAGACCCTCATCAAGGTATACCTTCTCATCCTCTCTTCTTGTTCATCCTCACACTCTTCTACTCTTCTTTTTTTTTTTTTCTCTTTTCCATGTCCAAAGTAGCTTCAACACGAGAAAAAAAAGGCGAGAGACACCGGCAGAAACAGCGGACTGAGTGGGAACATCGAAACGGCACAAAAACGACCACCGGAAGGAAAGAGGAACAGCCACAGGAAGAAATAGAAAAAAAAAAAAAAACGCCAAGGCAGGACCACTACACCCTTCAACCTTCGAACGACAATGAGTGAACGCCAGATGGATGACCAAGTTGGCTGATCAGGAGTCCCACCACCCCCCACAGCCAGAAACCAGATTAGAAGACGAACGAAAAAAAAAGAAAAAGAAAAGAGAACGCCGGATCAACTCTTCGCCGAGAAAGAGAGAAAGAAAAGACCCATTGCTAACGGACTGAATCCCTTTCTGTCATCTTGCAAACCTCATCCATGGATCAATAGGGCCCCCAATTCGTTTGGTGGTTGGGCCATCTCACGATGCTCATCAGCACAGCTTTCTTCATCCCTTACTGGGCTACTTTCAACTCCAAGGCTGGTGCCCACTGGTACTCGCGCGCCTTCCTCGGTGCTTTGGTCTCCTACGGTGTTGTCGTCTACAAGTCCTTCCCTGTAAGTTGTTTTTTTCCTGTCCTTTATCCACAGGAAGAAGAGGAAAGGAACAAATGGTGAAAGAGCAAGCAGAGAGTGTTGCATAGTGGATCATGCTGATTTTGGGGACGATGATGATGGGGATATTTTGTTGTGTGTGTGACCCAAGCCCAAAGGTTATGACAAACACAAAAAAATAGTTATGGATTGCATTGGTTCTGATCAATGCATGTATCTTTTATTGTTCTCTCCTTTGTTGTTACAAATAGCAAATCAAATTCGAGGCCCAGTTTTTGCAGAGCATGCTCGTTGAGGAAAACGTCCAGTACTTCTTGATGGCTGTCTTCTGGTGGAGATCGACCCCCATGATCGGTAACGGCGCCAAGGCCTGCTACTTGTAGCAATAATGTTCTTACAGGAAAGAACTTGACGACTAACGTTCTTTATAATCTCATGCTGCATTTAGCTCCTCTGGTCCCCTACGCCGTGTTCGCCTTCTTCAACGCCATCAACTATACCAGGACTAGCATCCTCCCCGCCATCTTCCCTGCTGGCAGCACCGACCCCAAGGCCTCCCACGCCGCCGGTCTCTCGCGCAAGATCCAGACCTGGAGCGAAAAGAACCATGGACCTGCCATGGCCCTCGTTGCCTATGTTGAGGTTATTGGTGTCATGGGCTCGTTGATCCTTGGAGCCATTACGTAAGTTTTGTGCATATTTTTTTTTGTCCTTTGGCAGTTGGGTGAGGCAGTCATTATTAGAAGGTTTCATTTTAGAGCCGTGGGATGACAACATTCGACGCGACAGGCTGACAGGATTGGATTGGACTGGGCTGGACTGGATGACTGGACCGACTGGGATTGGGCTGGAGAATTAAACCTCCATTCGGATTTTTTTTTTACGTTCGCGATATTGGATCTGGACCATTGGAGTTCATGGAGGAGAACTTTGCAACGAATCTACACGCGCTTTCAACCACATGGCAATATCTCACCACTCCCAAATTGCCATTTCTTCGCAACGCGCGCTTTCACCCAATAGTTTCCAGTCGTCGTTCTTGTCGCCTATTGTGTATGCCAACTTCTTGCGTTTCCGTTACTTCTTCTCGATCCACACCCGCAACGCCTTTGCTGTGATCCGCGCCCGTCTGGATGCCAAGGTTGTCGGTAACCCCAAGGTTCCCCCCCAGGCCCTCAAGGCCTACGAGATTGCCCGTGGAGCCATCACCCGCTTCGGAATGGCTGCCGTCCAGCAACCCGCTACCCCTGCTCAGTAAAATCAATCGATCGGAATCGATATGAGTTCTGGTCTAGTAGACGTATCTAGCCTAGGATGTGATCCAACACTGAATTACCGTTTTTGTTTTTCTTCTATCTTTTACACTTCACCATCCACCTAACAAAACAACAAAACAAGAATACAAGTTTTTTTTTGCCTTTTCTACTTCTCCACTCTTACTTCTTCCGCGTTGCCAATGTTGGATGGGGGGAAAAATACATATTTTTGTATTATGCTTGACAATGAAGGGGAGGGGGGAATGATGGGATATGATGAATGAGAATGAGAAAATAAATAAATAATGGAATGGAAGAGACGGACTATGGATGAATAGAGGGTGGCACTTTTTAAGCCTTGGCAGCCTCAGCGGCGGCCTCGGCAGCAGCAGCAGCAGCCTTGACGACGTTAGCATCAGCAGTCTGGATCAAGTTCATGATAAACTCTTGCTGCTTGGGCGTAGTCGCCTTGGTCAACTCGTTGTAAGAAGCTGGGTTATGCTGCTGAAGTCCCGTAAACACATCCCGGAAGATGACATAAGGGTCCAAGTCATCGAGGGGCGACTCGAAATAGATCTCCTCCTCCAAATCGTCATACTCGGACTCTTCATCGTCTTCCCGGTCATCGGGCCGGGTCTTGGAGGCCTGCTGGGCCAGGTACTCGAGGTACTCGTGGCCCTCGTCAAAGACATCCTCCTCGTCGTCGACCCACTCCTCCTCCACACCGTCCTCGTCACCGGCCAATGCCGATTCCAAGGCAGTCTGGCCCTCATCGTCCTCATCATCCTCGTCATCCTCATCGTCCGATCCGATGTTGTACATCTTCTCCATCTCCTTGCGCTCTATTGGAGCGAAGAAAGGAAAATAATAATGTTGATAAAATGCAATGGTGAGTACAAGGGTTCAAAGTTCGAAAATACACAACAATGAAAAATGAACAAGACTTACTGGCCTGGGCAATGGGGAGTCCCTCAAAGTTGGACAAGATACCGTCCAAGACTTGGGGCCAGTTGCTCTGGAGAGCAGGGGGCAACTGCTCGACAGGCACGCTCAAGATCGAGCACAGGGCAATGATAGAAAGCTTCTTGTCGTGGACACGCGAGAACTTGTCCAAGCTGGTGAACCAGGCAGTCAAGAAACGCTGGGTCCATCCGTTCTCCTCCAAAAGACGCAATGTCACGGCGGCGTTGTAGTAAAGAGCGTTCATCACAACCTCGATAGCCTGGACACGGAACTCAGCAGTCTGGATGCGGTCAGCAGGGGCCAAGTGTTCAAAGACAAGACCCAAGATAGGAGCGACGTACTTGTCGACGTGACCGCGGCAGTTCAACAACAACGACTCGGCCAACTTGCAGGCAGAAACGCGGTCGTTCTCACCCAAGCGATCGCTCTTCATCACGGTCTCGATGATATCGTAGATCATGTGCTGAACGTTCTCGTTGGTCGAGACGACCTCCTTTCCGTAGGCGACATAGTTATCGAGCGAGGGGAGCATTTCCTCCATGAAATCCAGAGCAGACTCCTTGAAGGTCTTGTAGATGAGCTCAAAGACGCTCCACATGTTGGGCGAGATGGTTTTGCCCGAAAAGGTGCAGCTGTCAATGATCTCAAAGACACCGTCAAAGAGGTCAATGATGGCGTTCTGCAGGGTGAAGGTGATGACGGGCAAGAGGGCAATCTCGAGCTGGTTCAAAACCTCGGGGGTGCTCTCCAAGCTGAGAATCAAGGTACCCATGGTCTTCAAGACACCCATGGCAGCCATGGTCTTGTCCGAAGCCTCATCGATAGCACTGTCAGAAACATCGTCCAATCCTTCGGTGCCCTTGGCCATATCCTCGCAGATGCGCAAGAAAGTGTCGCGCAACTGCTCGCAAAGCTGAACAGCAAAAGGAGCCAAATCCTGAGCAAAGACCTCGACAAACTCGTCCATGACATCGGCTAAAGTGTCGACGTCGATCTGGTTGGTCATTGCCAAGAGCTCGTGCATGATGAACTGGAGGTGAGGCTTCATGGCCTCGCAAATAGCCTCGTGACGGATCATAGGACGAAGAGCCAAGGCAGCGGTGACCTTGACGGGAAGCTCGGTGTCGCGAAGGCTCTCCATCAAGCTGGTGAAAGCGATGGCAATGTTGTTGGGATCCTCAAAGTCCAAGTCGCTGAACTGGTTGATCATCTCGCAAGCCTAGGTGATCCAAGCAAAAATGTGTATATAACCATTAGATTGAAGATACAGTGCATCAGGGCGTCGAATTTCTTGCAGACAGGAACGCGTGTTGATACTTACGCGTGCGCGAAGGAAGGGGAACTGGCTCTTGAACTCGGTGAAGACGTGGTTGACAAAAAAGGGCTCCATCATGCTCGACAAGGATTTCTGCAATCACAAAAAACAAAAATATCGTTCGAAAGATTAGATTAATTTGCTCCGCATCAACCATTTCTCTCAAAGTCGCATTCCAAAGCAAACATGAATGTCCTGTTACCTTGCGGAGAATCAAGGGAGCCAAGCTGCCGACCATGACCAAAGCACCGTCCTTCTCTCTGGGGTCCTTGGCCTCGGCAGGGGCGTCGTTGTACTTCTGAAGAACAGTGTTGGCCAAAGCGAGGATCTGCATGAAGGCGTTCTGACGGTAGCGAGCCATGACGGTCATAAAGTTGACAGCGGCAGTCGAGGGGCTGGTGAAGTCCTCCAACATATCAATCCTGGCGTGAACATACTCGACAGGGTCGTCCAACCAAAGGTTCTCATCCTCGGGAGTGAAGCAGAGCTGAGGGAAGACAAAGTGAGTAATCAAAGTCTCAGAGTGGGGCTTCATGATCGACCAAATGCTCTTATCCTTGACACTATTTCATGGGAATGAGATGCTTCGAGTCAGTCTCTGAGATCGCCATTATCACGTCGAATCTGCATCCCATGCATCCTAATGTATGTCAAAAAGTTGCTTACCACTCCTCGAAGAAGTTGCCGATGAGGCAAAGTACACGGGGGCTCAACCAAGCCTGCTTGGCAACCCAGAGCTCGATCTGCTTCAAGTAGGCAGACAAGATGTTGGGCGCAAAGTTGGCGACAAAGCCCTTGGCAAAGGCCTTAAACTTGGACTCGGAGGTCAAAGCAGTGGGGTTTCCGTATCTGGTGTAGAGACGGTTCAAGCACTGGTAAGCCCAACGCTTGGCCTTCCACCAGGGGTGCTTCGCCAACTCTTCCAAATCAGTGGGGAGACCCTCAGCGGGGACGGGCTTCTCGATCATCTGGAGGAACAAGGTGCCCCAGGGAACCAAGGAAGCGTTGTCTCTCTGGCGCTCCGAAAGGTCGATCTGGATGGTGTAGTGGTAGCACTTGAAGATGATCTTGAGCATCTCCGCAGCCTCGACGTTGTTGGCGTTGATCAATCCAGCGCCGATCTGTTGAATAGCAGGGAAAAAGTTGGCGATGATCTCATCCACGGGCTCACGGTCCTCAATCTTGAACCTATGTTAGGAATGAACGTGCGGTCAGTTCCTGTACGAAGATCTCCTGTCAAACTTATTCTGCTGAGCGCCAGTCGTCCTTACTTGTAGACACGAAGAACCTCCTTCAAGGCAATAAGTCCAACAAAGACAATCTTGGGATCCTGAGACTGGAGCAAAGTCTGGACAGTGTTGAGGTATCCGGGGTACTTTGCAGGGAAGTCGTTCGACAAAATTGTTCCAAGGACGGTGATCAATTGAGTGCTACGAAACAAAAGAGATCAAGATACTTGGTTAGCGAAAAGATCTCTCAATTCAGTTCATGCTAGGGGGAATGAATAAAGCCGGTTGTCCTGTATCGCATACCGAATGACAGCTGGGGCAGAAGCCAAGAGCTGGAGAATGTTGCTCTTGATGGCATCCTTGTCAGCCTCAGAGATCTTGAGATGGGCAGGGGTCGACTCGGTCTCGAACCAGTAGCGTCTGACGGCGTTCTTGAAGTAGATGGACGCTAGTTATGAGGCGATTCCATGCAACATTGTAGATGAACATTATATCAGTCATCCTGCTGCTCTCTCTGCTGACCGCTTGTTTGCTTTGTTTGTTCGTTGTTTGTTTGTTGTCTGTTTGCTGTTGCCGAGTCTTTTTTTGTCCAATGTGTATGTCTGCCCCTGTGTCTGTTTGTGTTGCGCCAGTCGCCAGTTGAAGTTTTGGGTCGGGTTGAAAAGTATGTCGTATTCAGCCTTAGTCGACAGTCCCAGTCCTTACCAGCCTGACGGACATGAAGCTCGGACTCTTCAGCGCCAATGATCTGCATGGACTGGAGAAGGGTTCCCTGAGTGCCCTCCAGCTAATGAAAGTCCATGGGAGAGAGGATCCGTAGAAAGCCGATTAGTATAGTATTTTATTTGGTGGCAAAAGCAGAAAAATAAAGGACTCCCAGACCACAACGAAAAAAGAGAAGAAGAGAAAAAGAAAAGGCTTTTTATACCTGCTTCAGCTTCAACTCGGCCTGGATGCGGACGTTGGGGTCAGGCTGGAAGGTGGCCTGGAAGAGCTGGTAGAGGCCTTGGATGTCCATGGTGAGTTTGTGAATTAAGTCTCCTAAGGGATGAGGAGGGGAAGAAGAGGAAAGATCAATTCGACTGCCGTAAAAATTTTTTATACTTTGTCTCCTTGGGTGTGTGTGGCAAAGCCAAGTTACCTGTGTGTGCTCACCCTTTTGGACTTGCTCGTGTTCGCTCAGTGCCCTCCTTTTCCCTTCTCCGCTTTCTCCTCTTCTCTCTTCCCTCTTCCCTCTTCTTGACACGTTCACCCACCCACTCACACTTCACACAAACAAACACTCACGATATGCTAAGAAGAGACCCGACGAGGATAGAACTGAGGGCAGAGGACCTCCTCGACTTTGACCGCGCAAGGGAAGAGTACCTCGACGCAACTGGAGCCAACAACACCTCAAACAAGAACAAACACAAGGCAACCACCGCAGGACCACCGCCAACTCCCGCCAACCAAACAACAACCACTGTAGGCCGCAAACCCGACCCTTTCGAACTCGCAGAACGAGAGCGCAAAGGAAAGTCCGCCAGGGAGAGAATCTTTGGCAACAACTAGACATCACCCACCCTCTCTCGTTCTTGCTACTGCAGCCATGACCTCCATTCGGTCATTCGCCGGGACAGCACCATGGAGACACGCCGTGTCTCGAGCTTGGTTTCTGAAGTACCATTTCTCTTCCAGTCTTCGTTCAGACCCTTAAGGGCCCAGTAACTCGTCCCCTCCACTTTGCTCCCACCCTCCCCAACCTCAGAAGCTGTTACTCTTTCCTCCGCTCTTCATCCCTCGCATACTTTTCTTCATACCTCTTGCATTCACTCAAATAAAACCTCATTGACTATCATTGCACCAACAACACTCCATGGCAACTCGTCTCCAGTCCTCACTCAGGCTTGTCGCCCGACAGACCGGCGCCACTCTTGCGAGAACCCCTGTCTGGAACAGGCCTGTCGCCTGGGCCACCCGAGCCGCGTTCTCCACCAACGCCCCTCACCTTTTCGCTGCACCTCACGGCAAAGTTCCTTTCACGGCCGACAAGTACCCACACATGAAACGCGACAGTACCTTCAAAAAGGTAAAAGGACTTCTTACTTTTGTTCAAATACAGCATCAAGACATGGACCATGGTACCTGTGTCTGACTTAAGTTGTTCAATTGCTATTCCAAAAGCTTTCCGAGGAGGACGTTGCCTATTTCAAATCGATCCTCGGGCCTTCAAGCATCACCCAGGACAGTGAGGATCTGGAGACGTTCAACATTGACTGGTTGAACAAGTACCGCGGTCAGTCCAAGCTGGTCCTGAAGCCAACTTCTACAGAACAAGTTTCCAAGATCCTGAAATATTGCAACGACCACAAGTACGTCTTCCTCCCGGTGGTTTTGATACTCGAATCTCGGATCCGATGAATGGACCATTGACCCTTTGAACTGTTTCTTGTCGACATGCATAGATTGGCTGTCGTCCCTCAAGGAGGCAACACAGGCCTGGTTGGTACGTCCTGAAGGCAGGATCGGAGTAATTGAAGCCTTTTCGGAGGAACGAAAATCGACCAACTAATTAACCATTCCATACAATCAACATTGTAGGCGGAGGTGTGGCAGTCTTTGACGAAATTGTCGTGTCAATGTCGAACATGAACACTGTCCGCACCTTTGACAACGTCTCTGGTAGGCACCATTCACCACCCTTTTATTTTTCCCACGAATCGGAGGTTATGCAGCTCAAAGTCGTACAAGGAGCTGACTCGATTGCCGTTTTGCTCGGAAATGTGTGATAGGTGCACTTGTTTGTGACGCGGGATGTATCTTGGAGGTACTGGACAAGTACCTCGAGGAGCGTGGATATCTTATGCCGCTTGACTTGGGCGCCAAGGGAAGGTAATGATGCACAAGGGGGTTGCTCGTTTTCGCGTTCACCTTTTTGTACTTGTCAACAAACAGGTCCGACTGACATTGTTTGTTTGTGCAACGAACCATAGCTGTCACATCGGAGGAAACGTGTCGACAAATGCCGGTGGTTTGCGCTTGCTTCGATATGGATCTCTCCACGGAACGGTCCTTGGTCTGGAAGTGGTAAAGTTTTATAACGTGGAAGATTTTGGTTTGCATCTCGTTCACGTCAATTGACGCGAACTGACCGTTTATCGCTTTTCGTTTTACATAGGTCCTGCCTGATGGAACTATCCTGGATAACCTTTCGACGCTGCGAAAGGACAATACTGGATACGATCTGAAGCAGCTCTTTATCGGCGCGGAAGGCACTCTAGGCATGGTCACCGGTGTCTCGATCTTGGCACCCAAGCGACCCAAGGCCATCAACGTGGCCTTGCTGGGCATGGACACGTTCGATCAGGTCCAGGCAGCGTTCAAGCGATCCAAGAACGAACTTTCAGAGATCCTGTCAGCTTTTGAGTTCTGGGATCGGGCTGCCATCAAGTTGGTCAAGGAGCACCTTGTCGCGGGCGCGAACGATCCTCTCGAGTCGCTGCACAACTTTTACGTCCTGATCGAGACCAGCGGTAGCAACAAAGACCATGATGACGAAAAGCTCAACGCCTACTTGGAAGGGCTGATGGGCGATGAGATTGTCCAGGACGGAGTGGTGGCTCAGGATACAACGCAGATTCAAAACTTATGGGCTATTCGTGAGGGTATTCCTGAGGCATGCTCCAAGGCTGGCGCGGTCTACAAGTACGACATCTCGATGCCTGTCCCCGTCCTCTATCAGGCCGTTGAGGATATGAGGGCCCGTCTTGTTCAAAGCGATGCGTACGGAGACGGCAAGTTGTTTACGTCAGTCATAGGCTATGGACATGTTGGTGACGGCAACTTGCACCTGAACGTTGCGGCTGAAGAGTTTTCCAACGAGGCCACGGCTCTCATTGAGCCATTTATCTTTGAATGGACCGGTACGTACTTTATACATTTTAGTTATTGTTAACGACATATACTGCAACCAATACCTAACAATTTCCATTTCCTTACCCTGGATAGCTGGACATTCGGGATCGATCTCGGCTGAGCATGGTCTTGGTATCTCCAAGAACAACTTTTTGCACTATTCAAAGTCAGCGTCAATGATTGAGCTCATGAAGCGATTCAAGGAGATGCTCGATCCCAACGGCATCATGAACCCCTACAAGTATCTGCCTGACAAGTAGTTTATCCAAGCAAGAAGTATTAAAAACTTGATATTCTTTCTGTGCAGCTGCAATGATATTTAGTCAAACATCGTATCGGTGGCTGGCTCAAAAGTGCTATCTCCAACCGTCCGCACAAGGATCCCATTGCTGAAGAATCCTTGCCCATTCCACGATTTCATATCTGTTCCTGAGAAGGGTCCAAAGACTTGATCCGCATCCTGACCTTCCTGGGGGTTGGCCCACTTGTACTCCCATTGGGCGGGAGTCGGTGCCAGCAGCGGGTCGTTCTCTAGATCCAGCAGCGCCGCGAGTCGCTCTCCAGGCTTCAGAACGGGCGTACCAACCTCCCAGTCGTCCTCAATGACGTCGGCCCTCCGGAGTTTACGGACCATTTGTTCGTATGTTTCCTCGTAGATCTCAAAGTGTCCCAAAGCCATCATCTTGTCGCAAAGATCGGTCAGCTTCTCGATGGCCTGCCTCCGCTTGACGTCGTCTTCGGTTTCTGCTGCGCCGGCGTGGGCGTCTGTCTCCATGTCGGTGCTGGTCGTGGCCTTGCTCTTTTGCCAGCTCCTCTTCTTGACCTGCTTAGCCCCTCCCTTCTTTCCTCCGCCCAGACGTTGAAGTGCTCCGACGACACTCTCGGAAGGTCGAATAATGTTGACGATTTCCACGTAGATGTCCGTCTCGGTCATGGCACTCGCTGCAGCCTCCTTCTCCTCCATCAGTACTTTCCTCTCCTTGCGCTCATGGGCTTGCCGGGCAGACTCGATCTCTTTGCGTGAAAGGCCCTCGAGCCAAGAGTCGTGGAACCGCTCAGGGTCCAGCTTGCGCACAAAGTCTCCATTCTCGTCAATCTCGTTTCCTTCCTCCAGCTCCTCGTCCATGTTGAAGGCCTCGATCTTCAGGTTGCCCTCCTCGTCATAGTCGTCCTCGTCTAGATCTTCCTCGACCAGCTTCTCGCCCTCAATTTCTGACCGGTCAAAGCCCTTGCCAGTTGCCTTTCCTTTCTTCCTCTTCAAGAGCTGCTTCTTCTTCTCCAGCAACTCCTTCTCCTTTGCGATCCTCGCTTGTTTCTCTGGATCTACATCGGCAAACATGTCGTCTTCATCATCCCCTTCCTCGACCGCAGGCAAGAAGCTGGTCTCGTCATCCTCGTCCTCCTCGTCGTTGACAATGACCTTCTTCTTTTTCTCGTCCATTTCATCGTCACTGCTCACTTCGCCGTCCTGGTACTCGACGACCGTGACAGCTCTGCGTCGTCCTTTGCGCTGCTCCAGCATGTCGGCATCGTTGACCTCGAGATCTTCTGTGTTGGGCCGTCCTCCTCCAAACCGAACGCGTTTAGACTTTGAAGCACCGCCGCTACCGGTGGCCCATTCCTCGCTAGTTGATCTTTTGTTGTTGGTTGCCATTGTGGGTGTGTCGTGTGTCGTGTGGTGAGGGGGAGGGGGATCAACCTGTGGGAAAAATGGTTGAGAAACAAGAAGAGGGAAGCTGGGAGGCGAACAGCGCGCGTGAAATTTAAACGTGCCAAGCCACACCCTCCAGGTTTAGCGCCCACAGACCTTGTGAAAAGGTACTTAGCTCTACATTTAGTTCTGCTCTTTTTCATCATCACCTAACCAATCACCCCTTCTCCAACTACTCGCATTCCCATCCCCCCACGGACTCAATCTCAACGATACTTCCGCAGGGTGTCACACCAAAACGGGAGACTGACAAAATAAACATTCCCCTCCCTCCCTCCTTCCTGCAGCAATAAAAAATGTACTGGGCTACAGGAAGCGCACGCGTTCTAGCGGTCGAGCCGTCACTGCTCAAGCCCAGCTCTGATGGCGAGGATGAAGAGCTGGAGCTGGTTCTTCCCGTCATCACCTCAGGACAGGACCACGGCACCGATATCGAAGCTAATTCCCAGATGGGTATCATGTCCCGCGTTGTCAAGGGCGCTGGCAGTGGCATTGTCGACATGGCACGGAACGAGCAGGGATCACTTTGGGCGACCATCACGCGCGAGTCCATTCAACTCTGGGTTCATAGGGTAAATATGAAATTGCATAACGCAGATCTCAAGCGCGGGGCCAATTGGTAGTGATCATGTATATTAACCATATATGTTTACGTTGCGGATCGGATGCTACATAGCCTGCGGGTGTAATTGCCAAGGTTGTGAGGACACCAAAGTCGCTTCTGGACCATGGTGCCAACCTGAAGGTCATGTGGAAACCAGACTCGACCATGCTGGTTGTCGTCGTAAGTCAAACCTTGCTTGTTTTCAGTGGTTTGGTCGATCCTGCTGTGCAAATTGATAAAGTGCCACGTTCATTTCGGAAAGACTGACGTGATTTTGTGGAACGAGGATAGACCGAACAAAGCTTTTTGCATCTGTACAAGATCGCGCCACAGGGAAACGACGGAGCGAGTTATCAACTCACCAACAGCAAAAGCTATGCATTGGGACCAGGAGAAGGCGTTGGCTTTCCCGACCTCACCATCAAGTTCAAGATGACCATCAAAATGGATGCTGGTGTGTCCAGGTAATAATTAATCCAGTTGTTATCAGGATGATAGCCAAAGAATATGCTCAATCCTAGGATACTGACACAATGTTGTTCTCTGTATTCCCTCCATTAGCATGGTCGGACTGGATTCGGATATTGTAGTGGCGACAGTCAACCCACCAGCAGTACAGCTCATCCCCTGGATGGGCAAGGTCGATGTCAAGACATGCTTAATTCGTCATATGAGCTTTTTGCTGGACAAGTCTGTCATGATTGTCGCCATGAGCCGGTTCCCAAAGTCAACCACCCAGACATGGTGCATGTCCGACGGAAAAGCCTACATCGTATACTATACCCCCAACTCATCCGATGCAGCCTCTCCTAGTTCGGTATGTCTTTGCGCTTTGATTTGAACGTCGTTACATCAGGCACGTTTACATCTAACTAATTCAACTTTTGGCCTCGAATTAATGATAGGTATCATCGAATGGTGAGAGCTGGTATGGATTTTGCTTCCATGGAAACCCCGAAGGATTCGACAGGCAAGACGCAGGCGTTGTTGCAGCGAGTAACCCGGAATACAGCCTCTTGGCCATTGGAACTCGAGGGTATGTCAAATTGAGAAGATCTGTACTATGAACTGAAATCAGAGGAGAATGTAGCGCTTACATTGACTTCTTTTTCATCTGTTTACAGAGGAGATGTTCGTATCTTCAAGTCAGGAGAGCATGCAGGACAATGGGTGTTTTCCCACAAACTGGCGTTGAAGGAATCGCAGAGCTATGTCAGTGGTCCCCCGGACAGGATTGTCTCCCTGGCATGGAACTCTGATGGAAGCGCACTTGCCGTTGGCCAGGAATCTCGTTGTCCGTCCATTTGGAGTGTCTATGGGCGGCGCCTCTTCCCCTCCGGCTCACACGATATACCCAGCCTGTAAGAATATGCTTTGTTGCTTTACTTACTGAAGGATTCTCGCTACCAGTTCGTCGAAACTAATCGTTATGATCATTATGGTCAAATAGGAAAAAAGCTACCGAGGATCCATATCTGCAAGGATCTAGAGCATTGGTAAGAACATCGACCATTGGACTGATTCGTCATCTTTTAGTTTCTTGCAGGATCAGGCGGACTAACGTGTTCTCTTTTCTCCTTCTTGCGTGTTTAGTTCTGGAGTGCTGGAAACATGGATCTGATTGTTTTGAGCTCTGACGACTCGAGCTGTAAGTGACAGGATCTTATTCTTAATGGCAGCGTGGAAAGCAGGCACCACGTTCTTGATCCCTCAAGCTCATCGTTACTTCCTTCACTCTTTCTAGTGAACTTCTATGCGATCCCTTGCGCAAAGGCCCTGCCTTCTGTGCAGAACCAGTTGGTAAGTTATATGTTTTTAGCATGATCTTGAAAGGATTCATGCTTTGTGTGATGTTCTGGCTATTAACTCATATCCATCATCTTCACCAACCTATAGAGCTCTGCTCCTCAGTGCTTGCTACACTTGAACGACCGCCTTTTGGTGTATAGTGAAGGGCATCGTCAGGATGTGACGTCGACCATCAACCCCGATACCTTTGTCTGGAACAACGTCATGGTGAGGACTCATAAGAATCACCCTCCATCACGAAGTTTGTAAACGTCTTCGTAAAGGCCATGATTAACGACCATTACCCGCTTTGTCTAGGTTCCACCGGTGTACCTGAGTGACAACTGGCCAATTCGGTACTCTTGCTTGAGCCAGGACGGACACTATCTCGCTATCGCTGGACGACGTGGATTGACACATTACAACTTGCACTCTTGCCGCTGGAGATTGTTTGGAAACTGGGCTCAGGAGCAATCTTTTAAAGTGCAGGGCGGTCTGGCATGGTTCAAAAACATCCTCATCGCCGGCTGTGAGACGATACAGGAACAAAAATTTGAGGTAAGCGCAGAATGGCTGAGGCAAAAACATGTCTGAGGTACTTTGCGCGGAACTGACATTTTTTTTGTATTCCCTGCACGTATAGCTGCGATTGTATCAACGCGAGAATAATCTGGACAACAATGACATTTTGTTCACGGAACAGTTTGAGTCGCGAATCGCCCATATATCTGTTTGGCGATCATCTCTCTTGGTCTACACAGCCAACAATACACTCTACTGCTATTCCCTTGGAACTGGTACGGACCCTGCCCTGCCTCTAGTACTGTTTGACTCTTTCGATCTACACACCTCACTAATGTCCGCACCATCCATATTTTCATTAGCCAAGCGGATCGACCTGCAGTTGGTATGGAAGACTTCATTACAGGACATCGTAGAGTCGCCAACATTGCTCAAGTCTGTGTCCATTTTAACCACAGAAGGCGCAGAAGGCGATGTCGCAACACATATCACGCTCCTCGTTGACGGCAAGATTTATTTTTTGCGACCCGAGTTCTTGGTAAGAACCGCTCGACAATCGATACCGTGTTGATCTCGACGAGGATATTCGGAGCTTTTCTTAACGGTAGTGTGTTTCTTTGCTATTAGCCCGACGGAAATGTGAGGCTGTCGTTTAGACAGATCACAGATAAAGTTGAATACTACTGGATCACGCGGTCAGCCCATGACGCCAATGACTTTTCTCTCTGGGCATTCAACGGCAATACGCTCAAGGTAACAATCACAGGCTGCTATATCATGTCTTTCGGCTAGGGAGCTCTGTCACCATCACGCTTCTAACCAGTTCCCTCCCTTGTTTTGGTTTGAAATTAGATGTGGTGGCATGTGTTTGGACCTGGAGGCAGTGAACGGAGTCTGGCTGCATTTGCCAAACACAACTTTTTGGAGATGGACATTGAGTTTTATCCACTAGGTAATGATGCATTTCTGTTTGCCTAATGCTCCTGCACTGTGTTTTGATTATCTCTATGGCACCAGAGTCTAATTCTTTCATTGTCCTCTCGTAGCCATTTTGCCGGAGCGTGGTATTGTTCTCGGTCTGGAACCGGAGATCGCGATCCACAAACCCAAGTCCCTTGCCATGTTCAAAATGGCCACCAAGGTACACAAACCTGCTATTGATCCTCGTCTATCTACTTTCACGTCCTGGAACCAACAGCCTGACCTCTGTCCATGTTCTTACCTTGACTTTTAGACACACCTTTTCCTTCAAACGATTCTCCGTCATATACTGACGCATAACGCCGAAGGCGAGTGGGAAGCATACGAGTTTGCAAAGCATTATCAGGAGCTGGGATACTTTGGACATGCGCTAGAGATCCTGCTTCACAATGTCCTTGAGGACGAGGCTGAATCTGATATCGGGTTTGAAGAAGGTATTTCCTTTTACTTCTGTTTGTTCTATGCGGTGTGAACATTGAGTTTTGAAATGTGGGCGCGACGTCTAAACATCTGATTTACTTCATTTCCAACGTAATAGGCGCGGTCCTGCCAAGAGTCGTCAGCTTCTTGCAGCAGTTTCCTCACTACCTGGACGTTATTGTGTCATGCGCACGCAAGACTGAGGTTGCTCTTTGGGAGTACTTGTTCACGATTGTGGGAGCACCCAAGGATCTCTTTGAGGTATGTACCAGTGTGGATCCCAACTGCCTTTTGTAAGTAATGTCTGCTGAAGTTGCAGCTTAACTGACCTCCAAATCGTATCTTACGTCAACACCATTAGCAATGCCTGGCTGCGGATCAGCTGAAAACGGCAACCTCATATTTGCTCATCCTGCATACATTGGAACCCTTGCAAACGACAAGTCAGGACACTGTGCGCCTGTTGGAGATGACTCTTCAAGCTGAAGATTTCGAGGTAACTTTCACGCAAGCCATTTCAATGCCGACTGGTTACCTTCAGGCGTCTTGCGCTGCTAACCCTCAACACACTTTCATTGTGCAAATATAGCTCTGCAAGGAACTCGTCCGGTTTTTGAACTCCATTGATTGTAAGTTGCTGTCTTTTCAATCCCTTGAATGTTATGCGAAATGGTGGCAAATGTTTTCAATTTGACTGACGCATTTTCGCCTGCCTTTCGCACAATTTAGCCACTGGAGCAACACTTCAGCAAGCATTATCGATGGTCACCATATCAGACGCCTAGACAGGCCATCTTCCGTCGTTTTTCGCAGGTGAGTTTCGAAACATACAAGCATATCCAAGAAGCATTGGCATTAGGGATGGGTTGGGTGATTATCCTTATGATGAGTTATCGTGTAAAAGGTTTGAGGAGTCTTTGAAGCTACTGGTTTCTTTCTGCCATGAAGATCTTTTTTTGGTTCTTTGAGCTGTTTGTGTCTTTGTGCTGTGTGGTGGATCTCTTCCCGTATCTCCCATTCTCAGTGTACTCTTTAGCTTGTCTGTCTATTTTCCCTTCGCCCCATTATATCTCTCATGTTTTTGTCTTTCTGGACTATCAAACTGTGCGTTGCTTCTCTTCCATTTGGGTACCTCGTTTCTAACATTGACAATGGGCCCTGGTTATCAAGAGCATACATTGTACCTCAACAAGCGATCTTTTCAAGAGTCCTGGCTTCTATCATCGAGCTGTCGTATTTTCTATGCGTTTGGATCAAAGGCAGATCGCTACAATAACCTGTTCACTATAGCGTGGGGTTCTGGAAGATGAGATATGTGGAGATGGAGTTGAAAATGGTTCTGGAGATTCGGGTTTTAGAGTGAGGAAGGCGGAGAACAGGCTGTGTGGGTCTGCTGTAGGGTGTGAGGGTATAGATGGCAACAGAGGTGACTAGGAGAGGTCATTGATTCTTGACGGGGAGGATCGTAGCTTTGGGGACCTCGCAGGAGAACACTTTTGATTAGCACTGAAGGATCCACATTATTTCCCTGATGGTCGCTCATTGCCTGCGCTTTTCGTGTGAATTTGATGACTAACCAACGCGCCGCTCTTTCTTTTCTCCCTTTATTTGGTCCTTTCCTTCTGTTGCATATCTCGCCGTCTTACTCTTATGTTCCCTGCTCACTATGGATTGCTCCAATCGCGTTTACCCCCTGGATACCTCGCCGATTGCTAGATTACCTTGCACAGAAAAATAGAAACTGAGAATGCATTTTTTTTCCCCTGTTGCCAACTCGAACTAAAAGTGGGATATGCACAAGGGCGTGCCCCTGTCATTGAAAGAGAAAATAGCGTCCACCAGGATGAACGATTCAGTGTAGCAGGGTTAGCGTTTCTTTGTTGGCTCGATACAAGAAAAGGGTCCGAGAGGTCCAAGACGAAGGTCGTAAGTTGGAGTCATGTCGCCATTGGAACACTTCAGCTTAGGGGGTTGGCGTAGACGCGAAGGGTGCTAAAATGATGGCAGAAAGAGGGCCGAGGAACTATTGGGCCAAACTATTCCGCAATGTCCATGCGTCCCTGTTTTGTAGCATGGCACGGCAATTATTGTTTCTTTGTTTTGATTTGTATTTGGTGCTGCGTATTTCCGATTTTGGTTAGACGTGTTATTTGGCAAAGAGGAGTGGATCGATTGGCTAGTCCCTCCCCTCCTCGCCTTTTTTTTTTGCTGAGCGTGAACAAAAGCCGTGTGGTGAGAATTTTTTCTTGAACGTGTTGACGATCACCGCCACCGATTTTTGTGTTTCACCCGTAAGGTATCAGTGCACACACAGAGTGACCGCAAGAAAATAATAAGGTTAGACAGTGGTACTAGAAAAACTCAATTGAAGAAACAACTTGGGTACCTCTGTCCGAGAAGGGCTGTCATCGAAAAAAGGGATGCCTTCGACACTTGTGAGGAGGATATGTTGAGAAGAAAGTAAAAGGCGCTTGGTAGGAGATCTGGGCGCTAAAAGAGAGAGAGAGAGTGATAATGTTATGAATTCATGTTGCAAAAAGGCAACCCGCAGTTTTACCTTCATACTGCGGATTTCTTTTCTTTTAAGGCGGTCAAGCTAATGTATAACTTGACGTCCATCGGACATTCATGATTGCAACATGAGCAAGGTTCTAACAGCGGTTGTGAGATCGAGCATTGCACCTTCGGCCCTGGAGTTCATTACGGTCAGAAGCGACATCAATTGTTCTATCAGAAGCGACTCAAAAGCTGCAACTCAAACGCAGCAACTGACTTTTGTTCAGAAGCCCAAAAAAAAGTCATTATTTCGCCGATGCGCTTCCTCACACTCAGGGGGAAGACAACAAGATAAAGGTGGTCAAGCGAAAGCGGATGTACTGCGGGATGATGTGATTGGCAGGGGAAGGACGGGAGGAAGGATGGCATTTGAGCCCGAGCTGTTGACTTTTTTCATTTTATTTTGACAGACCTAAGGTTTGCTTGTTGATTGGCAGGGGCCGAATGACAAAGTGAAGAAGGGAATAAAATGGTGGCTAATAACATCAACTGACGAGGAAACTGCTGAGGCATGCATGCATGTTCGGATGTCATCCGCGTTTTCTTTTTCTCTTGAAGAGTTGCGTTTTGGCTTACATGGGCGCCAAAACTGAAAGACGCACGCGCAATAATGAACTGTGCGCCTTTGAACCTGTCCTCCTGTGTGCCTTTGTTCTGCCTTTTGAAGAGATTCATACCAGATCACACAGAAAGATTTTTTCTTTTGGTCACTTTTTTTCCCTTTCAAACAGGTGCTTGATGTCGACATGGCAGTTGTGTTGCTGTTAGGTATTGTAGTACGTACATGCTCACGCCTTGCGCATGCGTATGTGTATGTGCGTACACATTATTCACAGGAAGAAGATTGGATATGCTCAAAAATACAAACAAACAACAGGTAAGAAAAAGGACTGGACCTTCATTGTTTCCATTCGTCCGGTCCCTTTCAATCGAAGTAAGTCCTCTTCGTGGCCTTGCCTTTTCATTTAAAAGGAGGTCTTATCTTCTCGTCTTTTATTCTCTTCTCCTCTCCTCTCTCCCTCTGCAGTCATCTCTCCTCGTCTTCCCCTGCAGTCCTATCTCCTCCTCTCCTTTCTTTCCCTTCCCTCTCTTCCCTCTCTTCCCCCCTTCCACCTTTAACCTGACAGGCTGTGTCGCTTTTCGCTCCTCTCTTCCCCTTCCATCCTTCTTTCTTACTTTCGTTGGGTGACCATTTCGCACCTTCTTTCATCAACGTTTGAGTGTCGCTGTTCTTTTCGAACCCCTCCTTCCATCCTTGCCTTCTCACCAAAAAGAAGAAGCACCTTCGCCCAGCAATGATCGCTCCTCTCGAGTAAGATACACAACTTCACTTTGAGAAGCGGACACATGAAAAAAGGGGTGCTACGTTTCAATTGACACCTAACAATTGAACTTTCTCCTCGTTATACTTTTTTTCCTTTCATTTCTTTGTAAGCAGCGTCAGTACCGTCCAGGCAACTCTGCCGTTGGTGTACTCGATCGCCTCTGCTCTCACACTCGTCTACCTGTCAAGAAAGCGAGTTCACCTCAGTCAATATGAAGCATTGAGGGATAGCGAACAACAAGACGATGACGACAATGAGGTCGAAGAAGAAGTGCTCGACCAAGCCGACCCTTCTGCTACCTCAACCACTACTCCCCCTTCCATCGATGTTCTTCAGGCACAATACCAGGCTCAACAGAACGCCGGCATCAGCATCAGTATTGCCCGCCTCGGCCTCACCTTCACACAACTCGGCCTAGTCGTCTTCACAACCGCCTTCACGACGAGTCTTTTCCACAACAAGAGGAACAGCAAAATCGATACCCATGACAGATACATTACACTATCCATTGCTAGCTTCGGCTTGGAAGAGATTGTCCAGATCCTGAGCTGGACATACATCCTTGCCTTGACGTTGATCCATTTGATCCGGCCCAAGGTGTCGTACCAGTACTGGATCCGTCCCCAGATGGATATCTTCTACCTCCTTCAATGGATCCTCTCGACGGTCGGTCTTGTCCTGACCAAGGAAGTCCAAGAGGTTCCTGTGAGTGAATGGTCCCTCGGCTTGCGACTCGGTGTGGTCGCCTGGTTGGTCAACCTGGTCTTGCTTTGGACTACTGTCGTGACACGTCCCTACCAGCCATTGCCTACATCCCATGAGTTTGCTGTAAAAAAGTTGAAGGCTGGTGAGGTTGCTCGTCTGCCCTCGTCTGAATACAACTCGTCGCTGTATGCTCGCTTGACATACACCTGGGTGAATTCTCTGGTCTACTTGGGGTTCAAGCGTACGCTCCAGGACAATGACCTGCCGAGCCTGGAGGACTCTGACCGTGCCGACCAGTCGATTCGCATCTATGATGTTCAGACGTAAGTGTTTCTGTCGTCCATTGTTCCTATCTATCCCGTCGTTCTTCCTCTCTTTGTCTATCTATCCCTCTCTTTCTCTCTCTCCCTCTCTTTCTCTCTCTCCCTCTCTCTCTCCTCACTTGTCTGTTTGTGTTCCATTCCATAACATTTTATTCGCCCAAAATACTTTTTTGTTCTCATCATCCTCCTCTCCCTGTCACTCTTTCTCCTCCCTCTCTACGATGCTAATCCGAGCTCGCTCCTCTCTTTTTTCTTCTGACTACTGCTCGTACTTTTCTTTGTTTTTGTTTCCCATCCCTCCTTTAATAACATTGGCGATGTATCACTAGTGGAAAGACGTTTACCCGTCGTCTCTTGCTCTCGCTCCGCTGGGAATTCTTCTGGCAGTTCACCTGGACCGTGCCCTGGGCCATTATGACCACAGCCTCGCCCTACTGTCTCAACAAGATCATCCAGTACATCGAGTGCAAGGACTGTGGACCTCCAACAGCCTCTCAATACATCTGGGTTTTTGCCCTCCTGGGTGCCTCCATCGTCGAATCCCTCTGCTTCCAGACCGCTCTCCACTATGGTCGTCGCATCTATGTCCACACGACCTCGATCTGTAACGCTGCCGTCTTTGCCAAGGCCCTGAAGCGCAAGGATATGGCCTCGCCTGTTGGGAAGTCTGATGAGGAGAAGGAGGATGGTGGGAAGAAGAAGGATGACGAGGACAAGAAGAAGGATAGCGGCGCCAACATCTCCAGTAAGCCTCTGTCGAACCTTTATTTACTCCCTTTATTTCATTGTCCATGCCTCCAGTTTCTAACCTCCTTTCTCTTCTCGATCGAAAATAGACCTGGTGGCGGTGGACATCAAGAAGATGGAGCTACCATTCAGTTACTTCTTCCAGATGTACGCGACACCCATCCAATTTCTGGTGGCCGGAGTGCAGCTCTACAACTTACTCGGAAAAGCCGCCCTGGTCGGAGTCGCCTTTATGATCGCCTCGTACCCTATCCCCGCCAAACTCTACGCCATGATCATGAAGCTCTTCAAGGATATCATGAACACCAAAGACGAGCGCATGGATGCCCTGAATGAGATGCTGAGCGCGATCCGGATCGTCAAGTTCTTTGGATGGGAGGCTCAGTTTGTCAAAAAGATCACCGCAGCGAGAGAGAAGGAGTTGAAGCGGACCAAGGAGTCGTATGTCCAGATCGTCTTTGCCGATATTGTCTGGATGTTGACTCCTCTTTTGAACACTGTTGTCATTCTGCTGGCGTACACCAAGCTGTTCGGGCATGAGATCACGGCGTCCAAGATCTTTACGACGCTGGCATTGTTCAACATTATGCGACAGGCGCTCAACTCGCTTCCCTGGAACATCAAGTCGACCATGCAGGCCCTTGTCAGTTTGAATCGTATCAACAGGTTCTTGAGCGATGAAGAGATTGTTCTCGACACTACTGTCACCAAACTCGACCCCAAGGCGCGCCTCTCAACTGCTACCGTCTCGTCCCACCTCCTCGCTGCTGGATTGTCAGGATCGGAACTCCATCACCCGACTATCGGATTTGTCAACGCCTCGTTCATCTGGCCTAACAAGGAACACGACGTCGAGGCCCAGGATAATGTCAAGAACAAGCCTTCCTGGATTCAACGCATCAAGTCCAAGCTCTCGAGAAAGTCTGCCACCATTGAGGAACCTGCTGTCGCCGAGGCCCCCGCTGTCAAGGAGCGGTTCAAGCTCAAGAACGTCACTGTGGATTTCCCTGTTGGCCAGTTGTCGTTGGTCGTTGGTCCTACTGGTTCTGGAAAGTCTGCTTTGTTGTTGGCGCTCTTGGGCGAACTCGAGAAGCTGGAGGGACACATGTACCTCCCTCGTCTGGATTATTCCTCTGATCATCCCGTGGCCCAGTCACGTCGTCATCATCGCACTGTTGGATCTGGAATCGCCTATGTCTCCCAGACCGCCTGGCTGCAGAACACGACCATCCGTGCCAACATTCTTTTCGGCAAGGAGTTTGATCAAGACCGGTATGATGCTGTTATCGAGGGATGTGCGTTGGTGACCGACTTTGAGATCCTGGAGTCTGGTGACAAAACCGAGATTGGTGAACAGGGTATTACATTGTCGGGAGGTCAGAAGCAGCGTGTCTCGTTGGCACGCGCGATCTACTCGGATGCTGAGGTCTTGCTCCTGGACGACTGCCTCTCGGCTGTGGACTCTCATACTGGCAAACACCTCTTCCAGACCCTGACTGGACCCCTGCTGGAGGGCCGCACTATCGTCATGGCGACGCACCAGGTTCAATTGACTCTTGGCGCCGCAAGCACTGTTTTGGTCCTCAACAAAGGCGAGGTACTGGGAGTCGGCACCCCCGAGGAGGCCGTCCTTAAGGAGTGGGTCGAAAATGTTACTCTGACGTCTTCGGCTCAGGTGTCGGATGCCAGCAGCGAGATTAGCACCCTCAACGAAGGCGAGTCCAAGACTGACAAGAAGGGCAATGACGCGGACGGCAAGAAGAAGAAGGAGAAGATCAGTGTCAAGTTGACCGAGGAGGAGAAGAAACAGGAGGGCGCTGTCGCTTGGAGGGTCTACAAGACGTACCTGAACGCATCGGGCGGTTGGGTTTTCTGGTTGGGTCTCATTGGCATCTTCTTCCTTCGTGAGATTGTCGATGTGGGTCAGAACGCTTGGTTGGCTGTCTGGGCTAACAAAATGGCGGAGAACACTGGCGCGCTTGCGATCAAGGTCTTTAACACCGTCACCCCGGCACCCTTGACCCAGTCCTTCTATACTGCGTTTGCACCCCGCGACGGATCCGAGTATGGCATCATGACGATGAACGTCTTTGGCAAAGGCACTCCCGAGACCGTCAGTGTTGACTATTATCTTGGTATCTATGTCCTCCTCAGCATCTGCGCCATGATCCTCGGTTCTCTCAACATGTACTACGTCGTCATGGGCGGTCTGGCCGCCTCTCGTGTCCTGCACGAGCGTCTCCTCAAGAGTATCACCCGCGCCAAGGTCCGCTTCTTTGACACGACCCCCATGGGCCGCATTATCAACCGGTTCAGTTCCGACATCTCGACTATCGATGACGAAGTCAGTAACGGTATCCAGGGTCTCTTCGGTTGTGTCACCACCTTGACGGGCATCGTTGTCATCATCTCGATCAACATGCCGATCTTCCTGGTCGCCGCATTCTTTATTGTCATCATCTATGTAGCTATTGGCGCCCTGTACGTCCCCATCTCGCGTGACCTCAAGCGTCTCAACTCCAACTCCAAGTCACCCATTCTCAACCACTTCAACGAATCCCTCAACGGTCTGGCTACCATCCGAGCCTACGGGTTCCAGAAGCGGTTCTTGTCCAAGAACTTGAGCAACCTGGACGACAACAACCGGACGTTCTTCTTGCTCTGGTCGACCAACCGGTGGTTGCACTGGCGTGTCGATGTTGTCGGTGCCTCCGTTGCTTTTATTACTGGTGTCCTCGTCCTCCAGAATTGGGGACTGATCGAGCCTGGTTGGGCGGCGCTCAGTTTGACGTACTCGTTGATGTTCACGGGTAATGTTGTCTGGTTCATTCGCATGTATGCGATGAACGAGATGAACTTGAACTCTGTCGAGCGTGTTGTCGAGTACATGGACATCGAGTCCGAGTCTGCAGCTATTATCGAGGGATCCCGCCCTCCAGCCTCGTGGCCCCATGCCGGAGAGATCAAGATTGACCATCTCACCATGCGCTATGCGCCCGATACCCCCGAGGTCATCAAGGACATTTCGTTGACCATCCACCCTGGTGAGAAGGTCGGTGTTGTCGGCCGTACTGGATCAGGAAAGTCGACTCTGGCGATCTCGTTGTTCCGGTTTATGGACCCTGCTGCCGGTACGATCACCATCGATGGAATCGATATCTGTAAGATTGGACTTCAGGATCTCCGGTCCAACTTGACCATCATCCCTCAGGATCCGATCTTGTTCAAGGGTACACTCCGGTCGAATCTGGATCCCTTTGGAGAGCGTGAGGATCGGGAGTTGTGGGAGGCCTTGAGGAGGAGTCATTTGATCCCAGCCGAGAGCAAGTCTGTCCTGGACTCTGCTGCCGCCAGCAAACGCAACAGTATCGAGGTTACGTCTACTCAAGCTGACGAACTCTTGTCCGTTCCTTCTGAGGCTGGTCCTTCGACTGGATCCAAATCCCCCGCCTCATCGATCAAGCCCGTCTCTGACAACAACAACCCTAACGAAATCGTCGACTCGTCAAAGATCACACTTGACACCCCCGTCAAAGAAAACGGCTCAAACTTCTCCCAAGGCCAACGCCAACTCATCGCCCTCGCTCGCGCCCTGGTTCGCCAATCCAAGATCATCGTCATGGATGAAGCAACTGCCAGTGTCGATTTCGAGACCGACCTCAAGGTTCAGCTCACCATCCGCGAAGAAATGGCCGACGCGACAATCTTGACAATCGCCCATCGTATCCGGACGATCGCAGATTTCGATAGAGTCCTGGTTATGAATGCTGGAGAGGTGGTTGAGTTTGATCGGCCATATGTTTTGATGCGGCAGGAGGATTCGTTGTTCCGGTCCATGTGTGAACGGTCGAGCGAGTTTGAGGCCTTGTTGGCGATTGCTGAGGAGAAGGAGAAGCGTGATCGCGCCGCTAGACTTCTCGTCGACGTTTAGACGAAAGCGAGACAGGGACGAGAAAGGAGTTTTTTTTTGCTTACCTACATTTTGTATCTATTTTTTGTTCATACCTCAAAATTAAAATGACTTTCTGCATGCCTTCATTTTTTATACGTATTTTCTAATTGATTATACTTGTTGGGGATTCTATGAAAGGGTTTTGCTAACTTTCGTCTTTGGGTAACTTCCACATCTTCGGATTCAACGCTAATCGGTTTTCAACAGAAAAAAAAAAAAAAAAAGAAGAGTCGGATCAGCATCGAAAAAAAAACGCGCGAAGTTGATCCCCCTTCCCCCCCCCAGGCACGCGAAAGAAAGATACTTTGCAGCTATAAAAACTTACATTCAAGGTATCGGATAGTCGGCGCAATGTACGTGAAGAGCAGCACGGTACCAATGGTGACACATAACGTGTTGATATAATAGTACCCATCCTGTTGCATCAGACACTCTCCATTCACCTCTTGACACAACGACTTGCCTGGTTCTGACGCGCACGAGAATTCTATGAATGTGTCATTTTTGAGCCAATAGAAGAAGTTTTTGTAAAAGCAGATCGTTTAGTGATGAGGTTTTTATGATAGGATGCGCTTTCCAATTGGGGGGGTTTTTTTTGTACCTTCGTTGTCCATGTTAGGAACGGAACACATGGAGACGGTGTAATAGTCGACAGCCTTGAGGACAAAGATCCGTGGCCAGGTGCCTCCAAAGTTGCTCAATGTATTCAACAACTACAGTATCCGTGAACACGTAACGAACATTGCGGGGTTAGGGTTAGATAAAAGCAATACAATGTCAAAAAAAACCCCCCCTCCCCCTTCCTTCTTGAGAAAGGGTGCTTGCAACGAAAACTTACAGTCATGTAGGTGCCTCCGATGACGGGATCCGCAATGACCGTCATGAACGCGCCCATGCTCACAAACGCCACGGTACTAGTTTTGGCGCAGGCAAAGAAAAGAGAAAGAAAAAAACGAGTTGTCACATTAAAACGTGAACCCGTCAATGTGGCAAGGAAAAGAAAATATAAAAATAAAGAGGCGGAGCAAATTATCCTGTAAAGGAGTTTTACCTTGTGAAAGAGGTTGTAACAGTGGTTGCGAGGACCATGTAAAAATAAGTTGGGGTCACAACGCCATCTTCAGGGAATCCTGACACGATCAGCATTGCGACAACGCAGCACACAAGGTGGGCACAGAACGCCCATAGCCACTAATTGAAAAATGAAAACAATCAAGCTAATTAACACATGTTCCAGCCAACAGTTTGCTGCAAAAGTGTTCAAACAACAACATAAAAAAAAGACGACTTACAGGCTTGAGAGGCCGAGCGCCAGAACTCCAGCGGACGGCATAGTACCCAAAGATGATCTGGAGCGGGAAATCGATCAACACTGCCAGCGCCAAATCCTCCTTACTGAATCCTTTCTCCAGTAACTTGAGCGCCGTCACCGCACTGTTGGCAACGAATCCAACCTTGGCCATCAACAGCACAAGCATGTAGGATTTCATATGCGGCAGACGGATGATCTTGAGGATGATCTTGTAGACCGACTTGATATCGATGTCGTTATCGTCCAAATGTGACCGCTCCTCCTTCTTCAGAAAGACCAACCACAATGTGATCGCGAAATACATCATCGACCAGAACTTGAGGTATCCTCCTAGGGGAACCAGACCATATTCCTGAGGCTCCGATCGAAAGTACTTGTTGCTGAACGCTGGAGAGTTGAACGCCAGAAAGACCGTGAAAGATAAAAAGTAGCCCGAGTTGAGTCCAATCGTCTGAGCCGTCGACGCGTAGGAGAGATTATCCTTCGACAACAGTGTCAGCGCCCACCCATCGACTGCAATGTCCTGTGTGGCCGAAAAGAAGATCAGCACAAAGAACACCACCGTCAGGGTCCCGACCGCGATCTGGTCCTGACTCATCCAGTCGTCAATGTTGATCCCAAGCCAGAGGAACATGAATCCTGTCAGGAGCTGAATGGGGACGATCCATGACTTGCGCCGTCCGATTTCCTTGCTGTAGACTGCATCGACGATGGGTGACCAGAGAAACTTCATGCTGTAGGGGTAGTGAGCCAACGAGAAGATTCCGATTTGTGTGTAGCTCATCTTGGCCTTGAGCAGGAACGGGATACTGCCAAACGCCAACCCAACAGGAACTCCTTGCAGAAGATCTGTCTCATCAGAAAGCAAAGCCAAAGAAAAGAGTCAAAGTCCAGACTTGTCAATTGCGAACTGGGAGGCAGCAAGGCGAGACATACAAATACATATGTGACAGCATCGTCCTTACATAATACAACCAGGAGTGCAAAGTTCCAAGTATCCTTGGCCGACATGGGTGTCGCCGGTGTGGCTGCGGACTCCTTTTCTTCCATAGCCAGTGAAGTGTGCAGTTCTGACCTTTCCTCGGGCGAAGGTGAAGGGGATCCCCGTCTCGTTAACATCAGCTCCTCGCGCTCGTCATCAGCCAGCAGTGTATCTCCTCTTGTCTTCCGTGCCAACATCCTGAATTGGTTGTTTGTAAAATATGTGTTTGTTGATTGTTGACCAGACAAAGTGATCCTGCAACCAAAAGTGAACCCTCGCCTTGCTGGATTGGTTGGTGGTCTGGCAGTCTAGTTTATCTTGTTGCTGTCGTTGTTGTTCCTGCAGGTCCCTGTACCAATGCAGTCTGCCGAGTACTCAGTGTGTTGATGGCGTACGGTCTGTCGGTCCCTTGGTTCGAACAAGAACAACTATCTGACATTTAAAAAAAAAAAGTAATTGAACAATCGACGGTTAGCGCGGAACGAAGGGAGGACAAGAGGGTAACGTATCAATTGACTCCAAGTTGTGATGGTGAGATATCAAGTTGTGTTAAGTGTTGTCTAGACAGACGGGGTTGTCCTGTGCTTCGTGCACCCTCTCTTTATTGTCCAGTTTCTTCGCTCTCTTTGAGACATCTACTTTGTCACTTCAAGGGTTCCCATGATGAGCAGCTTTTGCCTTTGAATGCGAGATGTCTCGAGACGAACAAAGATGAAAAAGTCAGGAATGGTCGACGTACAAGAACAGGAGGTGCGAATGAGAACTCGAGGATGAGGTGTGAAGAAGAGTGTCGATCGATCGGATCAGGTAACGTGAAGAAGTCCTCGACGTTTGTGTGTGTTGGTGTGTGCGAGTGGAGCGGGTAGAGGTTGATAGGTGTCCCTTTGTTATCGCTGGGGAGTGTCGAGTGAGGGCGATGGCGATGGTTGAACAAAAGCAGAGTAAGGGAAGGAGAAGCAAAAAAATGCAAAAAGGGGTTAGAAAAAAGGGACGAACGATATGATGGATTGATGGCTTGATACATGAGAGATGAAGAATAAATCAATCAAAGGGGTCCAAGAGTGTGTTCAATGATCCTATTCCAATCAAAGCGTCCAACGTCCATCATCCATCTACATATCTAATCGATACTATCATCGACACAACTTTCCATCCCGCTTTGTTGACTCGTGAAAAAGCAAAAAGGAATTGGTGAGGCTATGGCTTACAATCAGCCCGAACATGCTACTCCCTTCCGCCCTACCTTCGATTGGTCTGGATGCTCCTTCCCCTCTCGCTCTCAACTCACCCCACCTCACTCAACCCCTGCTGATGTTACACGTTGCTTCCCCTACTCACCTCCTTTGGTCCATTTTGTTCTCCTGTCCTCATGCCCACCTTCAATCCACTGGACTCATTACGAGCCCATTTTTTTTTCTTTCTGTTTGGTTCAATGCTCTGAAGGTTAAACTTGTTAATTTTCGCAAGTGCAACAAAAGACCAAACGGTGCAGCTGAAGGTTTTTTTCTTTGCTCTGAGCAACTGAGCAGCAGCTGAAAAGAAAAAGAAGAACCTGTAACACGCGCAAAAGAGACAGACGCCGTGTCCAAAAAAATCGTGCATGCTGAGAACGAGAATGTCTGAGTATGTGAAATGCGATATGTTGGAAGAACGTTGTTAAAAAAACAAAAAAATATGAACAGAATAATGAAGAACTATGTTGAATAAACAAAAGAGAGAAACCACTCTAGAAACCGGCACTTTTCATGAGAGCAGCACCACTGGCTTTGGGCTTGGGAGGCTTAAGCTTAGCAAGGACGCCCTTCTTCTTTTCGTCCTGGTCACTCTTGGAACTCTTGATGCTGGCCTTGCTGCTGTTGCTCGACTTGTGCGACGAAGTTGTCTCGGCAATCGACTCAGCCGCTGAAGTTATCTGGCTCGCTGCATATCCTCCGCCACCACCGACCTTGGACGACAATGAAGCGTTGCTGGCTGCGCCGTGGAGGTATCGGTGTTGTTGCTGCTGTTGTTGCTGTAGCTGTTGCTGTTGCTGCTGTTGGAGAATCAACTCGGCATCGCGGAGCTGCTGCTGTTCAACCAGGTGCTGCTGCTGTTGAGGATGTTGGGCAGCGTATTCCAGACGCATACGATATTGTTGCTGCTGCTCCATGTCGTACTGCATCTGCATTTGCAGACGGCGCTTGGCCTGCTGCGCTCTCAGATCACCCTGGCCCTGGTAGCCCGAGAACGCCGATGAACCATCGTCATTCTCCTCTTGGCCATAGACACTGGGAGACCCGTCACTTCCAGATCCACCACGCATCGAAGGGGCGTATCCTCCTTGTGGACTGAAAGTCGAGAACGAGGGCTGTGCCTGAATATTGGGTGACAGGGGTGAGGGATACGCCTGTTGGTGGTATTGTTGCTGGTACTGTTGCTGCTGCTGTTGAAGTTGGGGATTCCGGGGCAATCCAGGTGAGGCGAGAGCGCTATCGTACATGGATCCACCCGAGCTGTTGCTCATGTAGGACAATGGGTGGTTCGAAGGGGTGTGCTGCATGTTGGGTGGCATAGGAGGCGACCGCATCTTGCGCACTCTGGCACCGGGCTCGGGCGAGGACAGGTACAAGGCAGGCTCGCCGCTCTCTGGAATTGATGGAGCCATCCGGCCACCTGAAGGAGGGGCGTTGGTGTTGTATTGTTGCATGAGACCATCGCCTCCGAGGCCACCATCCGTGCTGACACTGTCTCTCGAGTGGTTAGACGCTGCACGCCGACGCTCTGGTGGGAAGGGAAGACGGCTTGAGGGTGGAGGCACGCGGTTGCTGTAATTTCTGCTCAAAGTACTGTCTAGCAATGGGGGCTGGGCCGATATCCTCCTGCGAGAGCCAGCCAATGGAGAGGGAGACGATGCTCCGTCCCGTCCTGCTGGTGGAGCAGCAGCCTTGTTGGCAGACGCGTTCATGGCCAACTCGACGGCTCTGGCCTGCAGTCCAAGTTCACCAGCCATGAGAGCAGAGCTGTACACGCGAATAGGGTTGACGGTGACAGTTTGGTGCAGGATATCGACGGCCAAGGCATGAAGGCCGTTTAGCTGGTACCGCCTTGCAAGGATCAACAGGTAGTCGGCCACGCCGGGAGTGACAATCGAGTTCAAGGGCAGCGCTCCAGTGTAGAGGTAGTACAGGAACATGGGCACAACCTCATCTGGGACAGGCAGCTCCAGAATCAAAGGAGTAACATACGGTGGCGAGAGGAGCATGGTTGCAAACTCCGGCCAGCGTGCCGCAAGGATGGTCGAGTTGGCGCCAAAGAGGGTTCCGTTGATTGAGGAAATCTCCATGTCGTTCAGACCTGGCTCTCTGAGCAAATCGTGTCCCAGATCCTGAGCGGTTGGGAGGAAAGAAGGGATGGGGCGTTCATAGAGTCCATAGGCCTGTAAGTTGACCATCATGAGGTGGTTGTGGTGCTGGATCCGGTTAGAATAGTCCGAATCTGCGTTCGACTCGTAGTGACCAAAGATAAGCAAAGTGCCCGTCGCAGGGTGAAGGAGCGACCGGTTCCATGATCCCTTGTCGAGTGTCGTGTCGGTGTCGAGCCGATCCCACATGTGTGTAATCAGGTTGAAGGAGTAGATGGCCAGAGTCGGTGCCTTGCCCGAGACGATCAATGTGCCGGTCAGAATGAGCTGGTTCTGGTATACGTGGCCCTGAGGGAAGCGCAAACCTGGGGGGAGAGGGTGGTCTTGTCCAAGCCTCTCGAATGCCTCAGTTTTTTCAACTATCGAAAACGTGGGCACGGAGGCGGAAGGGTGGGTATACTGGGGCGTGATGATCTTGAGCTCGCGGCGCAGGTTTTGGAAGTTGTAGTTGGAGTAGAGGTAGATTGAGGGCAATTCGCTGCCGGCCTTGAAGGCAGGGGTCAGGTCTCCACTCATCAGTCGCGCGGTTGCCTTCTTGTTGCCCTGAGTGTTGATAGGTTGAGAGTCGAAGTTTTTGGATGAATGCAGAGATGAGGACGTTGAGCTGGGTGCCGAGATACGTCCGCTGAGGACCTGTGAGATGCTGGCCATTGCGTCAATGGCGCCATCCTCGGTTGTTGGCCACGAAAGGTTGGAGGAGATCTGAGGAGAAAAGGCGTCGGCAGAGGGGAAGGAAGGCGTTGAAGGGGTGATTTCAGCAGTTGTCTGGAGGCTGGGTCCTGTTGCGGCGATTGTCCTGTAGGATCCGCACTGGCCAATGTTTTGGATCGATGCAACCCACTCCCAGGTATGCAGATCAAGTACACAGGCGTCCTCGACATAGTTTTTGTTGGTATCTGTACCTCCGATGACGACCAAAAAGTGGTCCAGGACTGCTGCCAAATGCGCCCAGCGAGCCCTGGGTGTGTGTTGGTTGACTGTGGGTGTCTTCTGTTGCCACCGTTGTGTGATAATGTCGTAGACGTGCAGATCGGCAAGGGCGGCCAACTGACTCTGCTGGTTGTCGCCTTCATTGTCGCTGTCCTCGCCGTCCCTGTTGATGGGGATGGCGCCCATGCCGCCAAAGAGGATGAGGGAGGTTCCGTAGGCATTGACAGTGTGGAAGTAGCGAGGTTGGGGTGGGATCGAGAGGGTGTCGGATAAAGAACCGGAGTTGGTATTGACGGGATCGGTTGTCAAAGACAGCGAGAAGAGAGCCCTTGGGTCATTCACGTTTCTATCGGCGTTGTTGTTGTTCATGGAGTCGGTTGTGGGTGCGGGGAGGATGGTCTGCCAGTAGCCCGTCTCGACATCGAGGACATAGTGACAGTTGGTGAGCTCGCGATTGTCGAGGCGGCCGCCAAAGCAGTGCAGAGCCGAGTCGTTGACGAGGACAATGGCCGAGCCCATGAGTGGGGGAGGAGGTGAGCCCCGGGTGGCTCTAGATGTGATGGCCAAGGCTTTTTTCGATGGTTGCTGGCTCTGGGGCGATGTTTCAGTTGAGCCTTGTTGTTGCTGTTGTTGTTGTTGTTGTTGTTGTTGTTGGAGGCTGAGGCCAGTATATTGAGGGTTGGCGGCGGCGGTGTTGTTGTTGTTGTAGCGAGAATAGGGGTCGTTGTAGGCGCCCTGGGGATTCCTTGGTACTGCGGCCATGTTTATGATATGGGGGTGTTGTACTACTGTATTAAGTTGTTGTATTGTTGTCCGTGCTATGAAGTCAGGAATGAAAGAGCGAGAGTGTGAGAGAGGGATGAGGAGAGAGATGAGGAGAAGAGGGATGACGACGACGAGGGAAAGGGATGATGAACAGTGAAGAGGAGGAAGAAGGTTGTAAGGTGAGGATAGGTAAAGTGGAGAAGGGAGTGTGTCAAAGTTGTTGAGTGGAGTGGAGAACGGAGGTCCAGCAGGCATATAGTGCGAAAAGAGAGTAAGTAAAAAGAGGTGATCCAGGAACCAAACTGTCAAAGGAGAGCCAATCGATCGGTCTTCCTTCCTGACTGAGCTGAATGACTTGTAGATAATTTAATTTAACAAAAGGTGGGGAGAGACGAGAGAGAGTGGGACTGGGATTGGGAGAGTGCCGGTAGAGAGATGAAGGAGAGAGATACGATCTGGCGGATGTGGAGCGGGAGTTAGAAAACAGGGTTACGTTGGGGATAAACATCTTGCCATGTATAAAAAAAATATATATCATCGACAGCATCCACCTGGCTGTGGATGTTGTTGGCGCTAATGGGTGCAAGAGGGAAAGGAGGGGCGCAACATTGCTGGTGTTTGTTCACTCACTGCCACAAAGTCATTGAAGGTATGGCTGTTGGAGTGGCATGTAATCAGTGCACTTACCAACTGACTGGCTGATGAAAAAAAGGAACACTCGGTACACGCGTCGAGAGGGAGAAAGGAAGGAGAGGAATGGATGGATTTAGGGCTGGCGGGAAAGAATGGAGGAAGGAAGGATGGAGGTGAGTAAAAGAGGGTGTTTGCTGTTCCGGAGTGGAGAGTGAAATACAGGGGAAGAGGAGGAAGTAACGGAGCGAAGGCGTGAGTGAAGGAGTGAGCGAAGGCGTGAGTGAAGGAGTGAGCGAAAGAAGGTGAGTGATAATCGAGAAGGAGGAAGAGAGGAGGAGAAGGGGAAAGAAAGATGAGACGAGTGAGTGAGTGAATGAGTGAGTGAGTAAGGGGAAGATGAAAGAGAAGAGGAGGAGAAGAGGGAGGAAGGGATGGGGGATAGGGAAGAGAAGAGAAGAAGGAGAAAAGAGAAGAGAAGGAAAGAAAAGTAAGAGAAGGAATGAAAAGTAAGAGAAGAGAATAAAGGGATGGAAATGAAGAGTAGTAAAAAGGGTCAGGCAAACAAACACAAAACAAACACAAAACAAACAAACAAACAAACAAACAAATAAAACAAACGTTCGCCAACAACAAAGCGATCGCCCATTCGAACAACATAAACAGGGACTAACAGCATCATTGTTCTCATTGTCAACCAAGGAAAAAGTGTATGCATGCCAAGTTCAGCAACAACAGATATGTCCTTTTTATCGGCCCATGCCAATGCCCAATGTCATTGACACTGACAGCGACACTCATGAGAACAAAAAGTACAAGACAATTGTTACATCTCGAACAGGTATCCTCAGAGATGGTACCTGAATCATCGTCCTCCTCCTCAACCACACTCCCACATGAATAATCTGTTGAACTCTCTTTCTCCTTCCTTCCACATCCTCTCCTCTCCATTTTTTTTCTCCTTCCTTCTCCCTCTTCTGAACTTTGAATCGATGAAATGAACCTTGGTTTTCTTTTTTCCACAGCAGTACATTCAATACTCCGGTTTCTATTCAATTCATACAATTTCTGCACTGACAAGGTTCATTTATATGGATGTGGTTGTCCGGACAAACAACCAGTCGGCCACCTTGCCAGCCAGACAGCTCTTACTCCCGCTTTATGGTTTTTTATTTCCATTGCCTGTTCTCTCCTTCCATTTTTTCTTTTTTGTGTTTTGTGCAATCGTATGGTGCGCCCTCTTTCTCCCTTCCTTTCGCTCTCTGGTGGGCGGTTGCCATCAAGGCAGCCCGACTCCGCGGTCATTATTTTCTTGTATATTCCCACACAACACAACATAACAGAACAGACGCATGTTCTCGATCGAGCTCTCTATTTTATGTTGTTGTTGTTGTTGTTGTTGTTGTTGTGAACCATGCATTTGCCTCCACATGCATATAGTCATGCACCCTCCTCCCCTACGCCATACACGCACACCGTTTCTCCAAACCCATCAGAGACAGGACTGGCTCAGCCGTCAACTCAGGAAAATACAAAATGCATGAACGACATACGACAACCACAACACACCCGCAGGTTCCAACCATCCACCCATTGCCCTTTGCCCCCTCTTTTTCATTCCACAAAGCAGGTACGGTGAACATCAATTCGTTCATCCGCTCGTATATCCCTCACCTTTCATTCATTTCACTCACTCTCCGCTCGTCATTTCGCTAATCTAACATATATGAAAGCGATAATACTGCTCAACACTATCTGTCAACCAAACGATCTCTCCCGCAACGGCCAGCCAACCCAACCCAGTGTGCCTGCAGGGCCTCCAGTTTTTTTTCCTGCTGCTCACGTCCCGCAATTAAGCCAGCTGCTGAGATGATGTTGTTATTTTCCTTTAGTCTCCTCTTTTCAATTCACGTCCGACATGAACAGGTTAACAATCCATACTGCTAGACTAAGCCTGGATCTGGTCCCCTTTGTTGGGTGCCCTCGTTTTTTTACGAAAAGAGCGTTTTTGGGACCATTGGACATCCCTGAGCTTCTTTATTGGTAACTGCTAACTTTTAACTGTTAGGCTAACTGCCAATCCCTTTCCTTCCGGTTCATTTCAGCGGCGGTGGTCGGATGCAAAGAATGTAGTAAGAATGACCTAGGTTGAGGTAGGTTAACAGAAGATGAGCAAGAAAGAGGTAATGGTTTGTTTTTCTTTGTTTGGTTAGTTGCCAACGACAATCTCCATCTCTTCATAAACGAGGCAGACAGCGAGGATTTTGTCCCCACAAATCACAGGTGCGTGAAGAAAACAAAAAAACCGGTCGACGCACAATCCTTTTCTCCTCCACTGTGCTTTTCAATCACCATCGACCCCGAGGGTAAAGGCTTCTGACAAAGCTTTGGCCTGCCTTGGCTTGTTGTGGCCCCAGCTCCCTTCTATTTATTCCTCCTTATCTTTCGCCTCACTCCCTCTCTCTCTCTACATTCACCTCGTACCTTCATGGTGACAGGTAATGCTCGTGTCAGAGCAACAGTATGCAAGGCCAATGTACCACCAAGGGTATAACACTCTACCTTTTTCTTGTTTTGTCTGTGCGACCATCCTGGCGCAACAACAGCACACTCACAGACTGTAATTTTCTTTGTTTGCTCTGGTGACTTCCAACAAAACGAGAGCCTTCTTCGCCGCCCCTCTTCCGTTCAACACACTCTCGATCTCTTATTTTCACTCCGAGCCAGACAGGCACATGTTACATCTCTTTTCTGATACTTTGTGGTGTATGGGCCAGGCGAGGCTAGACTTTTCATGAACGGACATATGAAATATGCCTTAAGAAATACAAGCATACGTACAGGCTATATCGGACAAGCATGCGCACACACACACACAAACACAGACACAGACACAGACATGCACACAAGTCGGCGCCATGCATGTAATGGAAGGGGCTGCCGTATACTTTGTATTTTACATGCCGCATAGAAAATGTAAGGAAGAAGGAAACGAAGGAACGTAGACCGTTGCTCTGTCTCCATCGGAGTCCATGGACCCCCTTCTTGTATTAACCATAAATCGACTGTCCTTCCTCTTCCCCTCAGCCCTCAGCCCAATTGCATGTTAGCAAGAAATACAATCCATGCAGGACATCGCAAACAATAACAAAAAGAAAAGAAGAGTCTGGACTGTCCGATTTTCAGGCATGGTCCTTGCTCCGTTATGAGTTATGACTCTTTAGAAGTTTGGATACGGTTATCTTATTGTGTCCATGCACGAAAACGTCTTGGGTAGCATGGCTTTTATCTTTCGCATTCCAATAAAATAACCAACGAGGTGGTTGTTCTCCTCATCATTTTGCTTGTCTTCTCTAATCACGCTTACTTTTTTTTTCTTCTTTTGTGGGGTTGAAACGGCTGCTCAACTTTCTTCATCCTCTTGGCTCAATACAAGAGCCAAGAAGCTCCTTCCCTCTCTTCCTTCTCCCTCTCCACTCTTCCTCGATCTCTTCTCACTTACCTATCCTCTTTCTTTCTCCAACACACCTCCACATCTCTTATAGGTCGCCTGATCATTTTTGCATACGCCTTCGTATTGATATTCTTCCCCCCTCAATGGACGTAATTCTGACAAGCGGAGATAAAATAGCAGCCTGGGAAAGCACAGGCATAAACGAACCAACCAAAGATGTCGTTAGTGCCACTTTGTTCGCAAGTGGGGAAGTGGGGCCCAGAACCTTCTTTACCGTGCATGTTTTTGAATGGCATCAAGAGTGATCTTTAAGATGAGAAACAGAATCCAGGAACGGAATACATACAATAGAAATTGATCAGCGAGGCGTACGAGTGGGGCGATATATGTTTCATCAGGTTGGTTCCAAACTGCCAGCTAGCCAATAAGCTGTTGATGTTCTCTCCGATACCTCTATTAAGAGCTTGTCGATCTCTCCGTCGACAAAACATGACCCACTTTCACTCATATTCTTGACATACGTAAATAGTACGTAGCTTGCGCGAAAACGTGCTCCTTCGTCTACATGTAGCATTCACACGCGCCACGCGTGAAGAGATGAACTTGCAGCATCTCTCCCTGCCAGGCCAGAAAAAGTAATACGCGCGTATGTGCAATATGCAATGTTTCTGAAGTGTAGCGATGACTCCTTCTTTTGAGCGAGCCGGTAACAAGAAAAAGTATTTCGCCATAGATTATCGCTTGATTACTCTCTTAGTCCCACACACGGACCCTTCCTTCTTCTCTGCCCTGTCTGTCATCCCGGATGTCGTTTTCCTCTTTAGTCGTCTTTTCTTTCCTTGTCACACCTTCTTTCTTTTATCTCTCTTTTCCTCCTTTCTTCGGTCCACAAAGAAATAAAACACCCTTCGAAAACCACAATTACATGTAAAAAGCAAACGACCAACAAAAAATGACAATGGCAATGAACTCATTACCCGCCATTCCAGAAGAGATTCGTCAACTCATCGGCTCATACCTCGACAGACAGACCCTCGGCACCATCATACAGGTCTCTCGTGCCCTCCACTCGTCATTCATCCCACTCCTATGGAAACAAGCCGAGCTCCGAGGTGGATTTTGGAACGATTATATGGAGAGCGGAGCAGGAGCGACCTACAACAGTACCGACAACGAGGGCTTCGCCGAAAAATGTAGGAGCCAACTGCCATCGCCACCACCGTCGCCAGGACTCCACGCATCGTCACCGTCGCCATTGATGATGGATCTGTCACTTCTGCAGGCGCGATCTCGACATATCGAACACCTCACGATCAGTGCTCCCATCCCCTCGGACTATTACATGGTCGCCTTCCCAAGGCTCCGGACCCTCATCCTCACCGACGACTACACCTCCACTGGGTCTCTGCAGGATGTAGTCCAATTGGCGCGTCTTAACCCAACCATCGAACGGCTCGTCATCAACGACATCCAATCCTCGCTCCCGGCACAGTTTTGGGAGACCATCTTTTCAGAGTGGAAGAACCCTAAGAAACTGTGCATTCGGTACAGTCCCATCTCCAAGGATAGCACCGCAGTTGCCGCGCTCTGGAGGGCTTGTACCCGGTTTGAAGATCTCGAGCTCCAGGGCGTCGATCTTCCACATTACGCCACTGCATCTTCTCCAGCCATCATCATCAACAACAACAGCATCAGCAGCAACAGCGACAGCGTTAACGAAGACGGTCCGTCTTCACCATTGGTCATCACGACGTTCCCAAAGGCGAAGCGAGTCCACCTATCAATCACCATCAACGCACGCCAAACCCACTTATTCTTTAACCCTTCCCAACAACTCGCCATGATGCAATCCTGCCCAAACCTTCGCGAGTTCGTCTGGGACGGATCCCATTTCCACATCGACCCACAACTCTCCTCCCAATTCACCACCGCACTCCTCCCCAACAACAACTCCAGCAGCCCCAATGACAGGACAACATGCTGGCCACATCTCGAAAGTCTCGTCCTGCTACACATCTCCTTCCGCAGAAACGACCGCCTCCGCCGCCTGCGCCTCGCAGAAATCTTGCGTGCCGTACCCGTCCTGAAATCATTCCAGATCCGTGGTGGGGTATGGGAACCCTTTGCGATGAATGCTTTGAGGGCACCCCGGAGACATTTCGAGACATTGGAGAAGGTTTCTGTACAGGGGTGCAAGGGGTTTTCGAGTAGTATGGTTCATGAGGTGTTGAGCCAGTGTGCGGGATTGAGAGAGTTTTGTGCGGATTTCATATATGTTCAGGATGTTGTTCTCAATGTCGCATCCTCATCGACTCTAGCCTCAGGAACAGGAGCATCAGGAGAAGGAGGAGGAGGAGGAGGAGGAGGAGGAGGAGGAGTGCAGCCATGGGCATGTCAGGGCCGTCTGAAACGCCTCAAAATTTGTATCTATGCCACACCCATCGACTCCACCTCCACCACCTCCGCAAACTCCAACTGCACCGCACGCCAAGCCCTCCTCCAACTCGCAACACTCACACAACTCGAACACCTCGACCTCCGTCGGAACCTCATCGATGAACGTCCTCTCCTGAACCTCACCCTCGCCTCTGGACTTGATGCCCTTGTCGCTTTGACTCGTTTGCGGAGTTTTCAGTTTGATGATTGCTGTGGCAGTACAGAAGGAAGAGAAGGATGGGCGATGGGTGAGGAGGAGATGGGCTGGATGTTGAGCCGATGGAGGGTTTTGGAGGAGGTAACGGGTCTGTTTAGGAGCCCGTCGATGGCGGATGAGGATGAGGTTCGAGCTGTTTTCAACCAGCGCCATATCGCTTATTCTTCTGTTGGAGTAGTAGAATGGCATTGAGTTGATCTACCAACAATATAAAAAAAAGAACTGTTTGCTATGTCTACCTTTATCTGATTTCTCACACCCTCCTCCGTTGAGACATGTAAAGTGCCCCATGTCTGGAAAGTAAGGTACTTTCTATGTTCCAGGCTAGACTCGCATGGGAGAGGGGGCAAGGAAAAATATAATCATTCCTGCATGCAACAACGCTTTTTTTTTTTTTTTTTGCGTGGTTGCTCAACGGTTCACTCCACCCTTCCCATCCCCTTATCCTGGACCTGCATCGATAGGAGCGCACAGCAGATAAACTGTATGATATCGATCCCCGATCAAGCTCTAAAATGCAAAACCACCGCCTTGTCTCCTTTAACACATCTCGTACACTCAAAAACACAAAGAGGCGTACTTTGAGAATGTGAGCATAGAAGAGTAACAAAAGGTGCGATGGGGGGGGGAAAGGGATGAACTCACTTGTGTGAGGTATCTGTGGAAAAGGAAGGTCTCTTGTCTTAGGGAGCACATCCGTTCCATCTCGTTGTACCAGCGAGCAGGCGAACACCCTGGAGGTGGGGACGGTGAAAGATAGGAATGGAAGGGCCAAGACCAAAGAAAAGCCACCTTCAAGCCACACTGTTGGAAATCAGGAGAAGGATCACGGAGCGGGGCGGGTTCGGGCCGAGTAAAAAATGGATCATGAGCTTCTTTCAAGCTAAAAGCTTATCTCTTATGTTGCCACCAATTTCGCCACTGCTATCACCTCCTATTGCTGCTCGCCTCACTGCCTTGTCAGCAAAAAAAAAAGTCCTGCCATGTGTAGTTGGATGGTACTGGCTGCCATCAAGGCAGCGTTTATTATCTCAAAATGACATGGTGACTAAAAAGACAGTTAATAAATACAATGAGGAGTGGGTACATGATGCATGGGGTAAAGCGGAATAAACAAATTAAAAGAGAGAGTAGAATGAAAAGATGCAGTCTAGGAGAGAGAAGTCAGAAGAGTCAAAAAAAGGTATACAGGGCTGACCTGCTTCATCCTCCTCTCTCCTCCATCACCGCCGTTTATCGTCTTCGCCCTCCTTTTCCCGTTGATCTCTCTCATGCCATGGAGGTAGGGATAGAGATCATGTGTCGCATACGCTCAACTTTGACCTTCAAGTACTTGTCGAGCTCCTTGCCCTTGACAATCTTGTCCTGAACAGCACCCTCGCGGACAACAAAGTCGGCCTCGGTGCCCTGGACAATCGCCTCCCATGACTTTGGCATCATGGGCACACGCTCGACGACCTTGATCTCGCTGTCCTTCTCGACCTGCTCGATCTTGTCGGGATTGTTGGTCAAGAGACGGATCTGGTTCAGTCCCAGATCCTCCAGAATCGCCTGTGCAACTTCGTAGGTGCGCTCGTCTGCTCCATGGTTCAACATCAGGTTGGCCATCACCGTATCGTATCCAAGATCCTGCAAGTTGTACGCCCTGGGGAAGATAGAAAGAAAAAGGAGGTGTAAGTAGATGGGTCAACGACAAAAAATTGCACGTGAAAAGGATTGGTTGATATTCTCTGGATCTCCTCAGAAAGCAACACCCAGGAAAGAAAACTTACTTGATCTTCTCGCCCAAACCAATACCACGACCCTCTTGACGAAGATAAACAACAACTCCCGATCCGGCCTCCTTCATCAAACGGATCGCCTCATCGAGCTGCTCACCGCAATCGCAACGAGCCGAGTGTCCAATCTCTCCAGTAAAACACTCCGAGTGGATTCGTACAAGAGGGGACGAAGGCAACACTGGCTGCTCGTCCGATCCTGTGGAGTAGGCCGAAGGGGTGTTGGCTTCATGAGCGGCCTGCTCGTTCTCCGAGACAGTGTTGCGCAGACGTCCAGTGTAGGCTCCTCGCTTGACTCTGTCCAACTCTGTCTCGTCCCACTGGACCCTGTCGAGGCTCTGACTCCGGATCGCATCTCCAAAGACAAACGCCAGGTGCTCCTTCTTGTCCTTGATGTTCTCATAGATGTGCAAAAAGTATTCGGATCCGTCTGGCGTGGGGATACGGGCTCGGGCTGTGCACCAGGCTATGGCATCGGCAATCGACTTTGTAGGTGTCTGAGCAAGTGGTGGGGTTGCGGGTGGGGTTGTGTAAGAGACAACGGTCGATGCTGTCGAGAGGGTTGAGTCGGCTGGTGAAGGGGCCGAGGGACGTACGGAGGCGTCGATCTGGACCGAGGGCCGACGGGGGACGGGTGTCTGGAGGAACTCTTTGTGTGCGTGAGAGTGAGTGTGACAGTGACTGTGGGACTTGTGGAAGAAGGGGTTCATGTGGTCGATTGCGTTCCTGGGGATATAAGCGTCCTGTGCGGGGGAAGCCTGAGTCATACTGATATCGTAGGTCATTTTTGGTGTGTGTTTGTAAGTGTGTGTGAAAAGAGTGTGGGGTAGATGGGGATAGATGATTGCGAAGGAAGTTGTATGAAGTTGTTGTTGTTGTGTGTGTGTGTTGATGTCAACAGGTGAGCGTAATGAGGCACTTTGGTATATTAGCCGTTGGGGTGAGGGCAAGAATTGGGTTGTTGGTTGGTTGAGTGTTGGGTGAATGAGAAGAGATAAAGAACAAATAAAAAGAGAGGGAAGTGTGTTCCTGAACCAGTTCTTTTTATAATCGGGTTGAATAATGAGATGAAGAGTACGGTTGGAGTTGATCCGACTCAAGTAAGTAGTAGTACCAGGCAAATAAACAAAGTGAACAGGAAGCAAAGTGAAGAGTGATATTTGTCAGTGGCAGAGGACGATGTTTGACGGAGAGATAGCAATTGGGTGGCTGGATTGGATGATGCTTGTTTGAACCTGTATTGTGTTCCATTACTCAGCGGGTTTGTGCTCACTCCGCACTCCTTCCCATTGGCCCATTTATTTGTTGTACTCTTTCACTCTTTCGCAACACACACGATTGTTCGAATGTACAATACATTCTGCTCTTTTTTGTTGGCAGACTGACCGAGTGCCATCGACAAAGGGACAAAGACAGCGGCGCAAAAGCGATCGTGATTTGAGTTTGCGCTTCGCTATTCTTTTGTCGCTCTTTCTTTCTTTGTGTCCATCGTTCGCAGAAATTGTCTTATGAGCTATGGCAGCGCGAAGGAGGTGATCGTGCCTGAATTTTCATTTGATCAAACAAAATACGCTCTTGAGAGATTGCGCGACACTGCTGTTGACATTCTGCCATCCTGCGCAGAGCTGCACACCAAATCGCATCATTTTTGCTACACTTTTCCTTGGGTTGTACCCGATGGAAAAACTACAACCTCATGAACATATCGCCGCCCTTCCTCTCTTCGTTATTGATAGACTCCACTATTTTCTTCAGCCACTTCGCGTCAATCAGCCTTCGTTTGAAGTTTTGAACAGGAGTACATTTTCTTTTACGACTTCGCAATTTTGCTCGAGAGCGCCTCAACCTTTTCTTGAATTTATCCTTCAAATAATTGTTCCTGTGCCGTCAGTTAGCCAACTCCACGTCCTTCTTTCTTCTCGCGGTTTATGTTTACCTTCGCGTCGTTGCGTTTTCTTTCTTTGTGGTTCCTTCGAGTTCCATTACCGCAGGTAGTGTTCAATTGCGAAGAGACTGCCGTAGTCAACGCAGAAATAAAGTGCGTAGTCAAACCTCGTCATCGAGCAATGTGCAAAGGTACAAAGGCTATTAAGGCATCAATTGAGCACGCTTCGCAACGAATCCGTTTGGGTTATTATTCCGCTACATCCGCCTGCCATAAAGGCAGAAAATGGGATAAAGCCTGTTCATAATTTTGCTGATGAAGAGCAAGCAGGTGGACAAAACATTGAAAGAAAGGTATACGCACCCAGAGCGCGAAATGGTGTCATTGACAGCTCAATTGTTAAGCAATAACCGTGGCTTTGATGCTTACTCTTTATCTTCACCATTTCCAGCTGTCAGCAACAAGCCTCTTTTCTTATATGTACCTCTTTCTCCACCTTGCCAACTTCTCGTCGTCGTCTCGCCTCTTCGTTCCTTTGATGAAGGTCACCACCACTTCTATCATAGTTCGCTTCCAGCAGGTTAAACTAATTTTTCCTTCGGTCGTCACAGCGCTTGCGATCACATAAATTACCTCTACCTCATTATCGCACACTCCCGGAGTGTGCCTAGAGTATTCTTAAAAAACATGCACTTGAAATCGTAATCATCAACGCCAACCCACCTCACTCCACTCCATCGCCATGAACCGCCTCACCGCCTTCTCCCGCCCTCTCGCCGCCACCGCTCGCGTCCAGATCGCTCGCTCGGCTGTTGCCACCCGCTCTGCCATCCAGAGTATGTCTTTTTTTCTGACCCAATCTTCGTATTTTTCCGACCTTGCAGCTCCTCAGATCTATTTTTTTCGGATCCGAAGGTTTGGCGTGCCGCATGGAGGGGATGGACGGCCGACACATAGTTCGGAAACCGGCACTTGCAAGGAGGAATTAGGATGGCAGCTCGGGATCAAGACTTCGTTCGATTCATCACGCTGGACGACACGTTCCGGAGACACCATCGGGTTCGCACCTTTTGTGCAGCGTCCGGTTACACGGAACTCATACACGGAATCATCGTTGAGCCAAAGAACGGACGTACAGTCGGGATCTGTGCATGGACATCGGGATCACCAAACCAAGGACAGGAGGAGGAAAGCTTTGATCACAGATATCTATTTTACGCGCACTTGAGCCGACCTTTGAGCGATTGCTGGACAATCCGCGACCGTTCAATTGATACCCGCCATCAGTATCCGCATACGACTGTGGCCAACCAGAGAGAGTTAGCACACAGCACAAAGACCATCGCTCAATTGATATCCCCAATGTCAATTGCTTCAACTTCTTCTCTGGAAGAGGACACCCACACACAAATCAAAAGAATACACTAATTGACCTCACCCTAACCTTTTCATTGTCTTGTACTTTCTACCAAATCTAGTCCGCAACTACTCTTCGGAGCACGGTGAGGAGTCTTTCGAGCACTTCACTGAGCGTTTCATCAAGTTCTTTGATAACGTCGATGATGTCTTTGAGCTCCAGCGTGGATTGAACAACGCCTTCGGTTACGATCTCGTCCCCTCGCCCTCCGTCATTGCCGCTGCCCTCAAGGCTTCCAGACGTGTTGACGACTATGCCACCGCTGTCCGTGTTTTCGAGGGATTGAAGGTCAAGGCTGGTTCGGATGCTCTTTACAAGCAGTACTTGGATGAGCTCGCTCCCCTCAAGAACGAGTTGGGTGTCCAGACCAAGGAGGAGCTCGGATTGTAAAGACTCTCGACGAATTTTTACAAAGAAAGAACGACAGCAATTACAGAACTACCAATACACAAACCTCCCCTCTTACCTATTTCACATCAATCAAAGACCCAGTGCGGCTTTTTTTTTATGGAAGCATCTCATCTCACTCCCCTCTCTCTCCTCCGTCCGAATTACCATAACGATTAAACATTATACACAAAGCCCACTGAAGGATTAGGAGAGCGATGGTAAAAGTATCAAGCTAATGTACAATGGATCAAGAGAATAGCACAACGAATAGGCATCTTGTAGCAATCGTTACATACAGCATATTGTAGCCAGTATCTATTTATTCTCGAGCAACAAATGTTAAAGCCAAAGTGGTCGCTCATTGTACTTGAACAATGAGAGAGCGTTTTGCTCGCGTTTGCGTTCAATTGGACGGCGATAAAAAGAAATTGATCAGAAGAGAAAGGTGATTAAACCTGATGCAATGATTGACGGTTACGGATTTTTGGTGGCGCGTTTGAAGGCGAACTAGTCAGCTTAGCCAGTGAGGTGGTCTAAAACGAGAATCCAGTCCTCGAAGTGCGTCTTGACCCTTCAGTCCCTTTTGACAGGCCCACCCAACATTCTTCGTCCCTCTCTTTCTTCATCAAGAGGAACTCCTGAGAGAAAGAAGTCCCATGATGGCGCACTCGGAAAGGATCAACGAAGATCGTGTACCTGATTGGACATGGTCAGATCTTTATTTTTCTTACGTGACATGATAACCATATCGAAAAAGAATAACAATTCGTTAGGGCTGCATGGCATTATTCGGAAATGAGACGCTTCTTTTTTTTTTTTTTTTGGGTAGTGGTGGTCACTGCGCAGATTGCTCTCTTTCAGGTAAGCAAGCCCAAAAAACAAAACCCACGATGCATGAAAAAAGGAAGAAGCAAACTTTTTGAGTCCATCTCTTGTTACTCGGGTTCGGCTAAGCCTGGTTAAGGAACCACGAGCAACATGACAGTGAAATGGAGAGGTTCGGACAGACCTCACTCTCTTACCACTTTTCTTTTTCTGGCTCATGGCAGGCACCAGGTGAAGTAAGAGTGAAGAAAGAAAGAAAAAAAGATCGCAGATCGGGGGAGAGAGAATGGCGTGTGAGCTGCAGAAGGGATGGAAGGATTGTTCTATTCTTTCTTAATCTACCTCCACTACCCAGTCCCCTAGACTCGGTGGCTCGGATCTGAATTCCCCTTCTAGGTCAAGGCTGCTTATTTTTCTATGTGTCTATATTCCATGCGAAATAAGTCCGAGAGGTATATAGGTGGTGTTCAAGTATTGTAACATGAGGGGTTAATAGTACGTGTATTGCTGAAGTATTTGTAGAAGGATCGTGGCAAAGGCAAAAAAAAGGGGGAAGGGGAAGGTGTAGCTGAAAGGGTCCAGATTGGTTTGTCAAGGGCTCTAAGCAAAAGGAAACAAGGAGATAACAAACGATTGAGCGACGTTACAAGATTAAAGCAAGAAAAACGACAATAACGTGAAACTAGAGAATGAGGGGGGTAGCCTCCGCCTCCCCTCCGGAGATCCGTAGCAGGGGCGAGGAGATGATACGATCTGACGATGGCTTGTAGGTCGACTGTCCACATAGTGCTAGGCGGTGGGGTAGGTGGGGGTGTTTGCCAGTCCTCCTAAAGCCAGTCATTGCCCGCCCGAGAGAACCCTTTGTTCGTTTACTAATTGTTTGAACGATCTCCATCTCTTCATAGGTAGAGTGGAAAGAGAATCCTACAAGGAGAGCGTGGAGGATAACCAGAGACCAATCAGATTGAACAGATGCGATCCCTCGATGGTGCAATTTTCCTGACAATTCGTGCTTTTTGCCAATTGCCGTGACTTGCTTTTTAGTTTCTCATACTCATCCAGGCGAAGTAACTCCGTGTCGTTGACGACAGCTGGTTAGACTTCAAGGATCTCGCCATAGCGGAGGTGAACCCCTTTGGAGCAAGGGCATTGGCTGGGAGCAGAAAGACAGACATACACTCACTTCGGATTGTTACAGGGCTGCAACGCGACTTTTTTTCTTTTTGGATCTATCTCTTGTCAATCTTGTGGGTGCCTGGCTGGAAAGAAAGAAGTACTTCGGATTTTTTTTTTGATTTAATCAGTTCGAGTGATTTGATTGCTTCGTCAGTCAGAGCAAGTGCGTGCTTGCCTTCTTGTTCTCGGAGGAAACAAAAATATAAAGCTCGGTGCATTGCCCCCATCTTCTGCTTTCCTTTTTGTTCCCACTCTCTCTCACTCTTCACTCTTCTTCATTCTTTCATCCCTTCATCCTCCTTCATAGACGTATTCCTCCCTGTCTTCATCCTTCTCTTCTTCTTCTTCTTTTTCATTCCCTTTCCCCGTCGCATTATATCCTGTATCATAAATCCCTCTTTGTTTGACGTCGTTGTATCTACCTCCTCCACATCATCTCCCCTCGAATTGTAATCTTTCTCCTCCTCCTCCCTTCATAAAAAAGAAATGGTTTCTAGCTTTGACAACCTGGCCCAGGCCGCTTTTGCGTCGTCCGAGGCCATCTTCTCCATCAACTCGCCTTCGTCACATCCTTCGCGGGCGATCGACCGTCTCTCGGACAAGTACACCATCTCCAACACATCCCCAGCCGTCACGACCCTCCAGGCCAACGCCGACCCCTTCCAAAAGATCCAAGAGTCTGCCGCGACCAAGAAAGAGTTGACCTCCGTCCTCGCCACCTCGGATTCCCTCCTGGCTGCCATCCCCCATCTCTTCAAGACCGCCTCCCAGCGCTCGGCTGTTGTTGTTCATGTGGAGACCAAGGAGCGGGATTCTGACAGCTCTACTACCCAACATATCAATGGAACAGCAGCACCAACGAAATCTACAGGAGGACATAACGGAGTCCCCTCGTACGCCGATTTGATGGCTGTTCGTCAGACGGGATTTGCAGTCCTGACCTCGGACAATGCACAGGCTGCATTTGATTTGGCCTTGGTCGCCCAGGCCGCTGCTGTCCAGACCAGCACCCCCTTCTTGAACGCCGTCAACTCGGCTGCTGCCGGTGCCTCAGACAAGAAGATTGTCTTGGACCACCAGCGTGTTGCCCCTGCCCTGATCTCAGAGCAAGATCTGATTGCACATCGTGAGCGTCAGTCTGCCGTGAGCGAGATCTCGCTCTCGTCCTTGTACCTCAAGCCCCAGGAGGGTCAGCCTGCTGCTGATTCGGCTGCTCCTGCGGCTGCCTCGGCCGAGGAGGTTTACAACAAGGTTGAGGAGTTGCTTGATGTTCTGCAGAAGCAGACTGGCCGTTCGTACCGCCCGATCGAGTACCAGGGTAAGTTTTCATATCGGACAAATAAGATTGAGCGAGATGATGGCGAATTCGTCATTTCTTCTTTTGATTTCGCGTCGTTATTACTTTTAAGCGTTACTTTTCATTTTTGACAGTCAAAGAATCAAACTGATCACTGGCTGATCGACTCTGACTGATCCGTGCTTTGAACATTGAATGCTAACATAATCTCTCTTATTCCCTTCAATCGGAACAATAGGCCCCGCAAACGCAAAGACCGTCTTTGTCTCCTTGGCCATCGGCTCTTCCTCCCTTGATCACGCCCTCAAGGCCCACCACGCCAAGGACGTCGGCCTCGTCAAGATCCACCTCTACCGCCCCTGGTCCGAGCGCCACTTCCTCCAGGCCCTCCCCACCTCCGTCGAGCGTGTCATCGTCTTTGAACAGTCCCCCGCTGCCCACACCGCCTGGACTCCCCTCTTCCTCGACGTCTCCGCCTCCTTCCACGCCTCTGCCGACGACAAGGCTGCCTGGGCTGGCAAGGTCCCCAAGATCCTCAGCGCTCGCTTCCGTGGTTCCGGAGCTGAGGTCACTGATGCCGATGTCAAGGCTGCCCTCACCTCCGAGCACGCCAAACCTACCTTCGTCATCAACCCTCACTTTGTTGCCCAGTCGGTTTCGTCTGCTTCTTCTCTCCAGGAATCCGATGTTGATACTCCTTACATCCAGATGTTGAACCAGGTCTTCCAGGATCGCCTCAACATCGAGAACGGGCTCAAGACCGACTCTGTCTGGGGCTCTGCCCAGCAGTCGCCCGAGTTTGGTTACGGTTCCCTTGTGACCAAGGTTTCTGCCCGTGCTCGTTTCGCCGAGTTGGTCTCCAAGACTGTCCAGGATTCCAACCTCAAGATCGCCGAGCCCCTCCGCAAGGCCTTGACTCAGTGGCACCTCAACCGTTCCGACTCTAAGCTTGCCAAGCGCCACGGTGACGAGGTCATTGCTCTCCTCCAGGAAGCCAAGGACAGCCTTGTCGGTTCTCTTGCCGAGATCTCTGCCCAGTCCTCGCAGTTCGCCAAGCCCTCGCACTGGTTGATTGGAGCTGACGCCTGGGCGTTCGATATCGCCAACTCGGGTGTCCACCATGTCATCTCGTCCAACGCCGACATCAACCTCTTGATCCTCGACACTGAGCCCTATACCGCTCGCACCCAGAACCCCGAGAACCGCAAGAAGGATATCGGTCTCTATGCCATGAACTATGGCTCGGTCTTTGTTGCCTCCGTCGCAGTCTACTCGTCCTACTCCCAGGTTCTCCATGCCTTGATCGAAGCCGACCAGTACCAGGGCCCCTCCGTTGTTTTGGCCTACCTCCCTCGCCCCGACGAGGAGAACGTCTCGCCCATCACTGTCCTCAAGGAGACCAAGTTGGCCGTCGATACTGGCTACTGGCCCCTCTACCGCTGGAACCCTGCCCTGGAGGAGAAGGGCGAGGAGGCCTTCCGCCTTGACTCTGAGCGCATCAAGCTCGACCTCCAGCAGTTCCTTGAGCGCGAGAACCACCTCTCGTTGATCATCCAGCAGAACCCCGACGTTGCCCGTACTCTCACCCATTCGATCGAGTCCGAGGCCAAGGCCCGCGATGTCGCCCTCAAGAAGAAGGCCAAGGATGACTTTGCCAAGTTGATGGGCGGTCTTGGTGGCCCCCCACTCTTGATCCTCTTCGGTTCTGATGGCTCCAACGCCGAGGGTCTTGCCAAGCGTTTGGTCAAGGGCGCCAAGCTCCGTAACCTCTCTGCTCGCTACTCTGCTATGGACGATGTCTCGATCGAGGACCTTACGCTCGAGAAGCATGTCATCTTTGTTGTCTCGACTGCCGGCCAGGGAGAGTTCCCCGTCAACGCCCGCGAGTTCTGGAAGGCCCTCAGTGCCGCTACCGAGCTCGGTGTCTCCGAGACCAAGTTTTCCGTCTTTGGTTTGGGTGACTCCCATTACTGGCCCCGTGAGGAGGATGCGATCTTCTACAACCGTCCCTCGAAGGAGCTCAACGCCAAGTTGATTGAGTTGGGTGCTCAGCCCTTGACCGACCTCGGACTCGGTAACGACCAGGACGCTGATGCCTTTGAGACTGCCTGGGCTGTCTGGGAGCCCCTCCTCTGGACCTCCCTTGGTTGTAAGCCTCTTGAGGGTGTTGTCGAGGAACCCAAGAAGTCTGCCGATGATGCCATGAAGATCGACTCGAACTACCTCCGTGGTACCATTGCCGAGGGTCTCTTGGACGACACCACTGGCCAGCTCCGCGCCGAGGCCGACACCAAGTTGACCAAGTTCCACGGTATCTACCAGCAGGACGATCGCGATCTTCGTGAGGAGCGCAAGAAACAGGGACTCGAGAAGGCCTTCTCATTCATGGTCCGTGTCCGTGTCCCCGGTGGTGTTGCAACCCCTGCCCAGTGGTTGGCCATGGATTCGATCTCGGATGTCACCGCCAACGGTACCTTGAAGTTGACCACCCGCCAGGCGTTCCAATTCCATGGAATCCTGAAGCGCAACCTGAAGAAGAACATCCAATTGATCAACAAGTCCTTGCTCGACACCATCGCTGCCTGTGGAGACGTCAACCGTAACATCATGTGCAACCCCAACCCTCACCAGTCGGACTTGCACAAGCAGGTTAACGACTTTGCCACCGACTTGTCGGCCCACTTGTTGCCCAAGACTTCGGCCTACCGCGAGATCTGGCTTGACCAGAAGCTCGTCAAGGGCGAGGCTGTCGTCGACCACGAGCCCCTCTACGGTCCCACCTACCTTCCTCGCAAGTTCAAGATCGGTAAGTTTTTTTTTGTCACTCTTCTTACTACAACGTCTTATTGTTTCTTTTTGAATTATTTAACTGACATTTCTTTCTTCTATTTTTTGGTTACCTCATTCTAGTCGTTGCGGTCCCACCTAGCAACGATGTCGATGTCTACGCTCACGACCTGGGTTACATCGCTATCACCAACAAGGACGGCTCCCTCGCCGGTTTCAACGTGACCGTCGGAGGAGGCATGGGCATGACCCACGGTAACAAGAAGACCTACCCCCGTGTCGCCGACCTCATCGGCTTCGTCACCACCGAGCAAGCCATCGAAACCGGTGAGAAGGTCATGCTCGTCCAGCGCGATTTCGGTGACCGTATGAACCGCAAGCACGCCCGTATGAAGTACACCATCGACGACCGTGGCATCGAGTGGTTCAAGACCGAACTCCAGTCCCGTCTCCCCTTCCAAATCCAGGAAGCTCGTCCCTTCAAGTTCTTGGATAACGCTGATCGGTACGGTTGGACTCAGGGTCAGGACAAGATGTGGCATTACTGCTGTTACATCGAGAACGGACGTGTCAAGGATACCCCTGCCGAGCCCCACAAGACTGGTCTTCGTGAGATTGCCAAGATCCACAACGGCGAGTTCCGTCTGACCCCCAACCAGCACTTGATCATCGCCAACGTCAAGGCTTCGGAAAAGGCCCACATCCAGTCTCTGTTGGAGCAATACAAACTCGACAAGCTCAACTACACCGGTGCCATGCTCAACTCCATGGCCTGTGTTGCCTTCCCAACCTGCTCTTTGGCAATGGCAGAATCCGAGCGTTACCTCCCCTCGCTCGTCCAGCTCCTCGAGTCGACCATCGAAGAAGTCGGCCTCCGGGACGATGCTATCACCATCCGTATGACAGGATGTCCCAACGGTTGTGCCCGCCCCTACGTTGCCGAGATTGCCTTTGTCGGCAAGGCCTTTGGCGCTTACAATGTCTACCTTGGTGGAGGACACCATGGCCAGAGATTGAACAAGTTGTACAAGGAGTCCTTGACGGAACCCGAGATCGTTGCAGAGTTGAAGCCCATGATTAGACGGTACGCTGCTGAGCGGTTGGACGGAGAGCATTTCGGCGACTTTGTTATTCGTGTGGGCATCATTAAGGCTACCCTCTCAGGCAAGACCTTCCATGATCTTTCATAACTTCTTTTTTCTTCTTTGCTTTCAGTTTTCCACCCCTTTTTTTTCCCTTTCCTTTCCTTCTCTTTCATCTGTTCGCATCTTAATATTTCTTTCAGCATCTGCAAAATAAACAGCAACATAAATAATCTTCTTTGTGCTGGAAATACAATGCAATGTGCTAAAAATGGAGCGAAATTGGGTCGTGAAGAGAATGAAAATAAAGTGGAAAGGATGGCAACGATAGGCAAACTTGCAACCAGCTCTGACGAAGGTCTTTCAATAAGAAAGGAGGGAAAAGAAAAAAACATAAAAGAGTATATATTTATTTCATTGTTGGGAAACTACAAAGGTGCAACATCATCTCATCATGAGAAAGGAAGGCAAAAGGGAAGAAAGAAAGGATTGGATAAATGTACAAGGAAAAAGGAGAAAAACACAAAAAAAAGAAGACAGAGCTCATTCCACTGATTTAAGAGTAGAGGTCGTCGTCAAGAGCGTTGCCCTGGTTGAAAGCAGCGTTGGACTCTCCGGCAGCGGTGGGTGCAACCGATCCTCCAACGCCTCCCTCGGGGAACTTGAATGTGTTGAATCCACGAGAGTTCTGAAGGTTCTGGGCAAACATCTCGTAGCGACGGATATCGCTGTCCTGGACTGACCGACGAGCAAACTTCATGGCCTCCTCAAAGTGGGCACGGGTGAGCTCAGGGACGGCATCCTCGTCATCCTCATCCATGGCCTCCTCATCACCACGCTCCTTGCGCTCACGCTCCTTGCGGATATCGGCCTCAATGTTCTCGCGAATGGCGAGCTTGCAGGCACGCTGACAGATCTCGGTCAAATCAGCTCCAGAGAATCCGTGGGTAGCCTTGGCGATGTGGTCAAGGTTGATCTCGACCGAGATGGGGGACTTGCGAAGAGTTGACTTCAAGACAGCAAGACGTGAAGCCTCATCGGGAAGAGGAATGTAGATCAATTGGTCAAGACGACCGGGACGCAACAAGGCGTTATCGATCTGGTCGGGTCTGTTGGTGGCTCCAATGACAAAGACGTTCTTCTTGGCGTTCATTCCATCCATCTCGGTCAAAATTTGGTTGAGGACACGGTCACCGGCTCCTCCACCATCTCCAGAGGAACCACCACGGGCCTTGGCGATCGAATCCAACTCGTCAAAGAACATGACACAGGGAGCAGCGGCACGAGCCTTGTCAAAGACATCACGGACGTTGGCCTCAGACTCTCCGAACCACATGGTCAACAGCTCAGGACCCTTGATCGAGATGAAGTTGGCCTGGCACTCGTTGGCAATGGCCTTGGCCAACAAAGTCTTTCCGCATCCAGGGGGTCCGTAGAAGAGAACACCGCGGGAAGGAGACATACCGAACTTCAAGAATTTTTCGGGGTGCTCGACGGGGTACTGGACAGTCTCCTGGAGCTCCTGCTTGACCTTCTCCAAACCACCAACGTCGTTCCAGGTAGTGGTGGGGACCTCGACAACAGTCTCGCGAAGGGCCGAAGGGTTGGAGATACCCAAAGCATAGCGGAAGTTCTCCATAGTGACGGCGAGCGAGTTGAGGACCTCAGCATCGATGGTTTCATCGTCGAGATCAAAGAGCTCCATCTTCTCACGAATCTGCTGCATGGCAGCCTCAGAGCACAAACTGGCAACATCCGATCCGACGTAACCGTGGGTCTCGGAAGCAATCTGCTCCAGATCGACATCATCGTCCAACTTCATGTTCTTGGTGTGGATGCGGAGAATCTCGAGACGTCCAGTGGGGTCGGGAATACCAATGTCGAGCTCACGATCGAAGCGTCCGAAACGACGAAGGGCGGGGTCGATAGAATTGGGGCGGTTGGTGGCGGCCATGACGACAATGTTGGAGCGAGCCTTCAATCCATCCATGAGGGTCAAGAGCTGGGAAACAACACGTCTCTCGACCTCTCCGTTGGTCTTGTCACGCTTGGGAGCAATCGAATCGATCTCGTCGATGAAGATAATGGCGGGGCTGTTCTTCTCGGCCTCCTCAAAGGCCTTGCGCAAGTTGCTCTCGGACTCTCCGGCCATCTTGGACATGATCTCGGGTCCGTTGATCAAGAAGAAAAAGGCACCGGTCTCGTTGGCGACTGCACGAGCCATGAGGGTCTTTCCTGTTCCTGGAGGTCCAAACATAAGAATACCGCGGGGAGGCTTGATACCGATGGACTTGAAGAGCTGAGGGTGACGGAGAGGGAGCTCGACCAACTCACGGATCTGAGCCATCTGCTTGCGGCATCCTCCAATGTCATCGTATCCGACGTCAGCAAGGTTGGATTCCTCATCCTCACGCTTGATAGGCTCGCCTTCGCAATGGATCACGGTATCTTGGGCAACCTGGGAGTCAAAAGAGATGGAAAAGGTAATAGTTAGTCACAATGAAATCGGATCCCATGAGTGTCATCGTCCTTGGCGAACAAAATAATAGAGATAGCACTTACGATACAGTAGTCGGCAGGGTCGGTTTCAATGACCTTGAACTCGACGGCTCTCATACCACCACGGACGAGGAAGAGATCGCCCTTGCGGACGGGTCTGTAGGCCTCGAGGAAGTAAGGCTTGAGGTAGACCTCAAAGAGGTTTCCGGTGACGCCCTCGACAGTGTCGTCAACAGGGAGGACGTGGATGCGTTTTCCGTACTTGATATCAGTGCAGGTGTGAAGCGAGACGACATCTCCGAGACGGACACGCAAGTTCTGGCGGACGACTGCGGCACGAGATCACATCGTAAAGATTGGCGGAAGAAAAGAAAGAAAAGATGTGTCGTTTTAGTATGTGCATATCGAACAATTGTTTTCTGTCTACTTGCACTCAACCATCTCACCTCCTATTTCTGACTTTGGTCATCATTCTTTGTAACCACAACTTGTGGTCGTCTCTCTCTCTCTTTTTGGGGATTCAAAAATTGCATTCTGTGTCCTGCCATTTTTAAACAAAAGTTATCCACTCTTCGTACACCATTCTTTCTTTCTCTCTGATCTAGAGCTGCGGCCATTGCAATCAAGTGTCGATGTAATAACTTGTTATGCGCATGTTTCCTTTATCGCCTTTCCTTTTATCGTACGCAAGCCTATCCAAAACACCCCTTTTCCATTTTCTCATCCTTTCCCTTTCCTTACTCGTCCTGCAGATCTAGGAAGAATAACAAGCCGAATCATGTAGCTTACCCTTGTTGATGCGGACCTTGGAGTCCTCAATAGAATCGTCAGCAAGGACGATAAGAACAGTGTCACGACGCTTCTTGCCCTTGACGAGAACCATATCACCACGGAAGAACTGGAGCTTCTCCATGGTGGCAGTGGAGAGGGCGAGGACAGAGTTGTCGTCGTTGGTAGCATCGTCGACAACCAATTTGTTGGGAGCCGACTTTTTGCGCAGGATAGCGGTGGCGGGGTCGTGCTCGGGGTCGACATCGGGAGCTGTAATAGAGGCATTCTCACTATTGTTGGAAAGAATGAATGAGTTAGCCGGGTCTGTACTTATTGTTTCGAATGCGTACCGTTTTTTTACGATGCCAAGGGAAAGAACGATGCGATGAGAGTGGACTTACACAAGCTTTCCCTTGGATTTTCCACTGTCGGCCATTGTGTATGTATGTGTGTATGTAGGTGAGTGAAGTTAGAGGGAGTGGAGTGTGAGGGAGTAAGAGAAGGGTGCGTAAGTGATGGGAATGAGAGAGAGGGGTGTACAAGGGCGAGGGAGGAGAAGGAGTGAGTGAAGAAGAAGTAAGAAGGAAAGAAACAAAAGAAGAGGTGTTGCGTAGGTATGTTAAATTGTGCAGTCAAAAGAAGGGGCAGCAATCTGTCTTTGTGGCAACGCGTCAGTGCCTTTTTTTTCTGAAGAATTGACGTGGCTAGCTGATTTGACACCAAGGAAGGGCAAAGAAGGTTGGGGGCGCTCATCAAAATGAAAATGGGTCACGCGCAATGGGAATTGGACCCACTGGATATCTGTTCTATGCTTGATAGCTTGATACCGCAGTCTTCCTTTGGTGGGGGGGCAACGGGGCAGTGGAGTGGTCGCCGTGTGTGTTGCTGTGTGATTGGGATTGATGGCTTGGCAGCAAGCAAGAACCCTTTGTCGCCTTTTTGTTTCAACAAGGAAGGACCCCTTGTCTTTTCGTCATGCAACCAGTGTGTTGCAAATACGATGTTTCCTTTATTCGTTATTTATAAGATCACATGATCCCTGTAATAGACTGGAATGTCGATTGCCACCAAATCACTTGTTGCTCCAAAGGAATGCCCCAACAGGCACACTACACACACGCGCAAGTACTGGTCCCTGATGACCCCCCTCGAACTGATCGATCGACACGAGTATGGAGATACAATCAATCCACTGTCAAAAAGAGCCAGGGCGGACCTTTCTTTGCTCTTGCAAACAGCCCTCTGCTTATGTATTCGCCTCCTTTCATCTCCCCGCAACTATGTCCTATTGAACCTTCTTCTTCCTCTTCCTCTTGTTGTTGTTTTCCTTTCTTCTTGCTGTTGTTTTCCTTCGTCCTGTCCCTCTTTCCTTACTTGACCTCCATCCTCTCTCGTCCGTTGTTTGTCCATCCTCCTCTCTTTTTCTTTCCCTTTACACCCGCCCCTTCCTCTCTTATTCACATTGGTCATCGCCAAGGACCCTTCTGAAAACTAGAACAGTATTAAAAAAACGTTCTCATTCAGCCTTACTCTTTTACACTCTCCACATCACCCTCCACACTCGGCTTCTTCCTTTCCTTTTCCTCCTCATCTCATGACCCGATCCACTCTCTAATCCTCCACCTCCTCCACACTCCTCCCTCCCTCTCACCCCCTCACCCTATCCCTATCCGACAGTATCACGCACACATCCTCGCAAATGGACTCACACGGAAATCCATGGTCCTTCCAGCAACAGCAACAGCAGCAGCAGACTCAGTTCTTGGAGGATGAAGACGACGATACTACTGCTGCCAACAGCCCCTTCCACTCACAACGCTCCCATGACCGCAAACACTACTCCTTCGCCAGCTCTATCACCCTTGCATCCGACTCCTTCCACGACGACTTTTTCTCCCTCCGCAAGTCAACACCCTCAACAACCACGGGCGCCTATGACTCGAGCGATCGCGACCTGCAACAGCAACAGCAGCAACAGCAGTCGTCGCATGTCAGAACGTGGTCTCAAGAAGACACCATCACCTCTGCATCTGATTACGGAGAAGACGACAAGCACCATCGCCACCGCCACCACCACCACAACAACACGGGCAACTTTCAACGCCATAGTGATAACGATGACGTTTTAGAGGCGTTATCGCTGGCCGACAATACCCTCGAATCAAGCCTATTACCTTCATCGACCGGCCACTCGCTATCCTTCACCGCATCCTCAAGTTTCGAAGTAATCCCTCACACTCACACGGACCTGGCTGTGGAAAGGAACATGTCAGACTCTGGGATTGGTGTTGAGGTATGTCTGTAATCGCTATGCACCATGACAAACACAAGGCACACTTGCTCTCCTTCACATGTTTCTCCTGCTCCTTCCTTCTATCCCATCAAGTCGATACCATACTTAATTCATTACATTCGCCACGCTCACTATCTACACCAACCGCACGCTGGCTTGGCAAAAAGGGAAAGAGGAGAGAGACTCGACTCAATTGAACCAGCAATATAACAACGACTGTATCAATAGCACACTGTTAAGAGATGATATGAATGCATTGTTTTAGAAGACCCTTTATCTTTTCTCCACAACCCTTGAGTGCAAAGAAATGAGAAACCTTGCTCTAGCTTTGCCGTCTTTCCCTCGCTCTTCCCTCTTTTCCCACTCCACTTTTGCCAGCGAAAGAATTAAAACAGGGCGCTCGGGACAAGGGCGGAGTGCGTGGTCATTGGCTCAATGCTCCTCCTGCAGAATGCAGCAACAGAAGTGCACACAATTCTTCCCCTGATTCAGCAACGACAACCCACGCTCTTTTTGACCCTTTGGGTTAATGGCCGGAAAACAGGAGCAAGTGATAGAAAAGAGAGCTGAACCATAAAACAAACAACAACGGCGCTCTTTCTCATAATACACGACACGCAGTTTGTTATCAAATACCCCACCTGCCCAGCCCTTTTTTGCGCTTTCTCACTCTAATCCCTCCTCTCCCCACACTCTCGCTCTTCCCTGGAAAGATCATGTCCGACAACTCCCTCCCCGCAATTTTTACTGACTATGTTTGTTTGTACTATGCGATAGGGGGATGTGCTTGGGCACCTGGTCCAGAAGCTGCAATCAGAAGTAGCTGATACGCGGGCAGTGGTTTCTGACCTGGAAACAAGACTAAACGCGTAAGTGTCTGTCTGTTTGTCGGTCGGTCGGCCGGTCTGTGCATTGCTCGCATGCTTGGAGGACGGGGAATTATAATTGTTACCCAAGGAGGCCTATTGTCTTTTTCCTCGCATCCTCACATAAGTTGTAATCCGATCATTTTTTCTTTGTAGGGCCGAGCACTCAAACAAGCATATCGTCGAAGAGCTCAAGATGCTGCTGGCCGAGTAAGTGTTTTTTCTCGCTATCTTTGCTTATTATCCTCTTTTTACTCCTTCCTCCTTTTCAATGCCATGGCAGTCAATGTGATTGCCAATGGCTTGCCCACACACACACCACCGCATACATGCAACATTCTGCGGTCCACGACCACATCGTTTCATGGAATTTTCGGCTGGGGAAGACAGAAGTAACGTGTAACGTGGTAGTCTAATCATGCGCACCCCACTGACTTCGTTTTATGTGACAAAGCGTAAATCTACACCAAAGTGGACAAAAAATGTGTTTTGGCGTGGTGTGATCTTTGGGCTAAATTATGACAGCACATTTTTAGCTTGTGCAATCGCAGAGCACTGTGTAGGTTGTCGTCTGTCCTACACTATGCTAGTCCGTCCTATACTGTGCTAGTCCAGCCCTAGCCGATAACCTTTTGATTTGGCAGCGGCGACAACAGAGAGCGAGCATGGACAAGGACAAGCAAAGCATTCTAATGTTTTCCGTTTTTTTCATTTCTTTAGTGCGGAAGGAACGTTAGTTGGTTCAGACGACTCGGACAGCGGTGGCGAGTCCGAAGTGGTCAGCTCTAAGCATGGTTCGGGAAGTGAAGACGAAACCAACATTGTCTACAACCGGATATGTCACGCGCTCCAGTCCTTGATCTCTGAGGCCCAGACGGCGCTCGTTCTCAATACCAGCGCAGCACTCTTTGCACCACCACCAACAGGACGCGGTCCTTGTCGCCACCAACAACAGCAACGGTTAAAACCGATCACTCAGAACCAAGGACCACAGGGGCAGTCGATACCGGGATTGTTCATTGACGACAGCGAGTTGCTCAACAACGGCGGTAGTAGTAACCAAGGCGATACTTGCAGTCATTCGTCGTGTCGTACCTCCCGCAGGGGCTCTATCAACCTTTCCCGATCACCCTTTCATCTTCGTGTTGCGTCAGGATCCTCGGCGGCATCTGTCACATCGTCGTCCTCACGACTTTCACGGTCCTCCTCCATAAATAGTGCATACTCGCGGATGATCTGGAAAGAAAAGCAGTTGGAGCAGTATGAGCGGTATCGGCGGTCTTGTGACAGAGTCTCACTGGAACTGGAGATGCTCCTCAACGACACTAGGATGGATGCAGACTATGACGACGATTACAGTAATCCTCTGGGGTCGCTGTTCCCGCTCCTCACAGAGTCGCCTTTTGCGCATCTCCATCCTGGCATTTCGGAAACAAGCAAAGGGACGACACCTATGAAACCGCCGCCATTATCGACGGCGACGCTGGAGGAGGAAGCCAAGGCTCAGCCGGGACGAGGAGGACGAGCAGAGGCTCTCAGAGCTGGTTCCAGAGCGGAAAGGATTCAGCGCAACTTTCAGGCACAGTTCTTGAGCCCACAGGTCCACACCGGCCGATCTCATTCTCATCTATACGGTTACCAAGGATACCAACATCAACAGCACCCACCTAGCCCATACCTGCGTTTCCGTTCAAGCGGAAAGAGCTCCATGCATTCTATGCCCCGGCAACAACAACTACGGAACTTTCGGAACCAGGGCGTTGGAAGCAGTCGATCACAGAGTTTGTTATTGCAGTTGTATGGACTCTGGAAACAGACTTGGTTACGTCGGCGGATCATGCATATCCTGACGGGATCGCTGGAAGTTGGGCTCATCCTCTGGGTGATTTTCAAACTTGGAGAGGTGTCGCTTTCCTTGATGGGTGTCCCATTGTTGAAGGGCGGGCCTCAGACATGGCTTTTGTACGTCTATGGCGATCGTCAGGGACCGGGTTCGACAGTCGCTAAGGAGTTATATGAAAAGATACGGAGGGATGGATTGAAGTTGCGACAGGTCCATTTGAGACGCGCCCGGGAGAGCGAGCAGATATTGCAGGACTTTGCTGCCTCTGAAGTTGCGTCTGGTCTTGTCGCTGGATTCGGACCTGCAGGAAACCAAGGGGCCAAGGTACCATTCTCGGCGGCGGGGATGGTCTGGGGTCCTGTGCAACGGATGGTCACCCATGCTGCTACTGGATTTGTGCTCGCATACTTGGCTGATCATGGCAAACGTCTCTCCAAGAAGCTCTAATTCACGTCCTTTTTCTTTTTTTGCAATTTATATTTTTACACCTCTTAATGGCATTTTTCTCCTTTCCTTTCCTTCCTTTCCTTTCCGACCCTCACCTCACCTCATCTCGCCAATTCATATCACTCCCACTACTGTCCTTGTCCATTTATTTGCGACCCATATCAACCACAAACACACACAACTATACCCGCCTTTCGCACCCACACAGACACACACACCTCAATAAAATCACAATTGAGCTTTCTTGATCATAATAGCAAACTAATGATGCATACTTGTAGGATTGGAGATACGCCTTCTGTCATCACAGGCAACAACGTACCCGGGCAATTTTAACTGGACTAACAACGCATACACCTGCTCCTACAACACCCCCACAGTCCTGCAGAGCTACCACCCAACTACCTCCACCGTTGCCAGATCTCGAATAATTTTTACGACGTGATTGCAGCCTCAGAATTCAGCAACGTTGAGTGTGGTTGATGGGGCATGCGCTGGCCGAGTATGAGGTAATTTTCTATCAGTCGGCTACAAGATTCTGGAACAAGGAAATCTCTTACTGGCCGTTAGGTTGTGCATATAGGGTTGAGGATGGGTACTTGACTTTTTTTGTACTTCTAGCGAGGGAACCTTGAACGAGTCTGCGTCCTTGCATGTCGGTCATATATGCTGCATGCAAAGAGAGAGAGAGAGAGAGAGAGAGAGAGAGAGAGAGCGCGCGCGGTGTGGATGGCATGTATGAGTTGAATGAAATGCGTGAGGGCGAATTAAAAACCGACGGTGAGATAGCCGTTGCGAGTGGGGTTATATAAAACACGCGATCTTGCCCACCAAAGCTATTGTTTTTTTCTTTTTCTTTTTCTTTTCTTTTCTTTTCTTTTCTTCTCTTTCTTCTTCATTCCTCATCGGTCTTTCTCCTCGGTACCCGCCTCCACCTGTTAGGGCCCTATTTCGTTGCTTCAGCGATATATGGTAAGATAAGCCCTTCCCTTCCTCCTCCTTCAAGCAAACGGGGGGAAAAGGAAGAGGGAGTGCCTGTTGCATAACGTTGTTCTCTTTTCCCCTGTCCCCGTTCCGTCCTGCTTCCTTTCCTTGCGTTTCTTTTGTTTGGGGGGTGTGCGCGGTGTATTTTTTTTTGTTCTTTCTTGGCGTTTTTCTTTGAAGTACGCGTTTTTTATTTTTTTATTTTTTTATTTGTGTGTGCCTTTTTCCCCCCACATTCTCTCGCCTCCCTTCACACGCGACAAAAAAAAAAAAAAAAAGATCCACATACAAACTTGGTGGCGCAAAATTCTTGCAAACCAGAAAATCTACTTTTTCTTCATCGTGTCAACTTTAGTGTCAAGAGGAGTGCCGAGTGGAGACCAAGAAGGGGCCAAGACACCACCTACCTCTCTCTCCCTCATACCCAAGTGTCCGCAAGCCTGTCTTGACATGGGTGCGCCGGTATGGTGGTCGACTTGAGAGGAGGGGGAGGGGATCTGGCCTTCCCAGCATTGGCATATGCTGTTGGAGGAAGACGTAATAGGGGTGGTAATCTCTGGTCTCGTCGCATGTCCTCTTTTTTATTTAGAATGAGGTCGCGGGATACTAAGGAATTCTGAGAGCTAAGATGGGATCGCGGGCATATAATGGCATTATGAGGGTTAACATGGTATTCTGAGGGCTGATCAAAACACAACACCAGTTAATCAACACGGCGAAGCCAAACGAAATGAACAAGAAAAAAAAGCCCCCCGAACCGTGTAAACAACGTATAACACAAAAAAGACCAAGTCATCTGTGGTTGGTTGTTGATGTTGATTGTGCCTGAACTTTTTTTTAATTTTTTCTATGATACAGGGGGGATGTCGAGGCGTTTTTATGCGTCGCCTTGAGTGAATGAGTTCGTTGGATTGGAGTGGAGGGGGTTCGTTAACTAAAGTTTAGGGGTGAAAAGTTTTCGAGTAATGAGGAATGTGAATGGGAAGAGGAAGGGAAAGAAGAATAAAGAAGTGGGTGGCGAAGAGGAGCAAAAAATTAAGAGAAAAAAAAGTGGTGCACGCTGCAACACCTTTGTGTCTTCTCTGTTTCGAGCTCGACAGTTCGTTATATATATTTAAAGAGCACCCTGGGAGACCCAGAACCGCCGGGTGATGGCCTCATACCGATCAATGACCTCTCCACCCTCAGGGAACTCCCACCCTTCCATCGCAGTACTACCCTTTGTCATCGGTGCGGTCGTGGAGGGCACATTGTTATTGGCAAGGGCAGAGAAATCGGCCCGTACCTGGACAACAACCATCTGGACACGAAGACGATAGAACGCAGGAGCGAGACGGTCCTGGATGCTCAGGTATTGGAACATGGTTTCGGCGGGAACGTCTTTGGCCAGGACCGAGACAGACTCCGTGGTCTGGTCCTTGATGATCTCGACCAGGACCTTGGCCATGAATGTCGATTTCGGGAACAACGCCGATGCAGACGCCTGTGAATAGGCATTGCTCTTGGAGATGGAGTTGAACAAAGCTTGGGCTTGACGGGTGTACTCGAGCAACTCGGCGACACGTTCAGGAATCTTCCATTCGAGGGTGTAAGGCGTGTGGGTATAGACCTTTTGGTGGAGACCAAACGTATGTTCGAGCGTCAGGGGTTGGATCGTGTTGGGGTACTCTTGTCGAAGCTCGTCTGGGAGGAACTCCATTGACCGTTCCTGACTGGCGCCTGTATAAAAGTCATCGTGGTTGATGTCGTGGTGCGAACCAGTCGAAGCCTTGTTGCTGCCGGGAGAATTTGAGCGACCGTTAGCGTCGTTGTTGATGTTGTCGTTGGAGTTGGAGAAGGAGGAGCCGGGAGGGTAGCGGGGGATATCTCGTTTGGAGGCAGCGGGGGCGATGTTGATATCCGACCTCCGCACAATCCTCGCGAGAACATCTGCCGTTGTTGTTGCTGCTGGTTGCTGAGAGGATACAGGTCCTCCGCCATTACTGCTCCCTGGAAGGGCGTTTGAAGGCTTGTCTTCCTGATCCTGATGGTACCGATATGGCGATCTTGCTTCCGCTCCTGCTGCGGCTGGTGGTGGTGGAGCGGAAGAAACAGAAGGCGACGTGCTAGTGATGGGTTCCTTGCTCCGACCACGGTAAAGCTCCAGGACCAGAACAAACGAAGTTCCCTCAAGAATAGTCGTCGGCACCCAGACCTGAGATCCGCCCTTCTTGAAGGGCACAAACCGCTTCAACGAGGCGACCTTTTGGTTGGTTTTGGAGTCGATCAACACAATGTCGACTGTTGTGTCCGCGGGCAAGCTCTTAGTATACTTGCGGTTCCACCGCACCATCTGGTAGGATCCTGTATGCCAGACTGAGCGGGAGTCGGGGAGGAGTAAGAAGGGAGCGTTCTTTTTGGGTGTTGAAGAAGAGGGAAAAGGTTCGGCGGAAGCAGCAGCGGCTCGCTTTCGAAGACCAGGAGGAGCTGGGGGTGTAGCTGAGGGAAGAAGAAGAGCCCTCCTTTTTTTCATCGTCGACTTTCTCTTATCATTGTTGTTGAGCTCTGTCGTTGCTGCTGCCGCAGAGGCCCTATTTTGGTCATCGCTATTCTTGTGGTTCTTGCGTCGACGGAGTTCCTGTTGGCGTTGTTGAGAATGTGTTGTTGTCTTTGCTTTTGACAAGATAGTCCGCCGCCGGTGGTCTATTTTTGCTGCAGAAACCGCACCTCTATCGTTGCGTCGTTTTACAGAAGAACCGTTCTTGTTGTTATTGCTGGAGGTAGAGGTCGTAGCGGTGGGGGGGCGAGCAGGGGCGACAAGAGCCTTGAAAGCAGGATGGCCTGAGAGCCCTCCACGTTGCTGCAGTTGACGACGTTGTTGCTGTTGGTTTTCCCGTGTAGAAATAGAAGCTGCAGCGAGGCGGGCACCTTCTTGTGCAGGTGTGGGAGGGGAGAGTTTGTTGAGGGAAGAGGAGGAGGAAGGGGCAGCGTCGGCGAAGAGGGTGAGTGCCGAGGCGATGCTCAGGGTGACGAGGAAGATGGGTTGTGTGAACTTCATGAGATGTACAAGAGGAGAAGGGTGGAATGAGGAAGATGCGAGGGGAATGGGAAGTGAGTGAGGAGAAGGAGGAGAGTGGAAAAAGGAAGAAAAGGAGTGAGAGGGGAGTGCGGAAAATAAGGAGGAAAGGTGATGGCAATTGAATGTCAGAGGGGAGAAGGTTGGTACTTCTGTGAGGGAAGGAGGAAGGGCGTAAAGTTCGTTCTATGATTAGGAGGGAGGAGGTAGGGGTGCGCCGGAGGCTGGGGAGGGATCGGACAAACGGAGAAGGAGGAAAGAGATAAGGACGGAGGGTTGACGAGCAGGAGCAAGAACAAGAGTAAGAAGAAAGAAGAAGGGAGGAGAGGAGAGGGGAAGGACGACAGAGAGAAGTGGAGAAAGGAAGTAGACGGAAAGAGGGCCCTGTATTTGTATGAAACGGAAACAAAGATTCAGAAGCACACCCCAACCCCTTTTCTACTGCATCTCATTGTCTGTGATTGTTCTTGGTTCCGTCAGGCACACACCCCCTAGTGAAGGGAAACGAGGAAACGAGACCTTCACCTTCTCCCAGGGCACACTATCTCAACAAACATTTACGCCCACCGCACGCACTCAAAGGTAAAAATAGGGGCTGTTTCTGTTTGTTGTCACTGCTGCTTGTACGCTGCCTTGTTGTCCGTTAAAGTTCCTTCTTTTGCTTTGTTTTCAAATAGAAACAAAAAAAATAAAATAACCTTGTCTTTAAGGTGTCAGTCACCCTTTTCCTTTCTTCCTTTCTTTTTCTCACAACTACCCGGACTTCAACTGTACTTTCACCTGGACAGTCTCATTGTCGATAGCTCTATTTCACCCGCACCCCATCTTTATCTTGAACAACCTTTTCTCATTTACACGCACGCCATTCCAATGAACGGAAAAATATCCTCTCTGGCATCACACGGTCCAGGCCCAGGCACAAACAAATCAACACACGCCAAAATCCGGGGCTCTTGGTTGGCCCGTTTAATTTTTTTACTGTGTGTAATTGTGAGAAGGTGGTCGATGACGGCGGCAGATTCAGGAAGTTCACCAGGGGAAGGGGGAGTGAAGAAAAAAATAAATCGAGAGCAGCGGCAGCAACGGCGGCGGCCGAAGTGGAGAGTAGAGTGCAGGGCTAAAATGGAAAAAAAAAAGTGACCAGGGGACCAGGGGTCCATCCATTTGAAGAGAAGACAGCGAAGAGGATAAAAAGCAAAATGTTGAGAGCATTTTGTTCTTTTCTCTTATTTGTTGCATCTCTGTTCTTTCTTTTCATTGCGAAAAGGAAAAGAGAAAAGAGAAAAGAGATGATGAGGGTGGCGAGTGACAATTAAACGGGGTTGAATTGGGTGCGAAGAAAAAAAAGTACAACTGGACAAGGATGTACCGAGATTATTCATGACCCCGATCAGTTTTTAGTTGTTTTGTCATCTTAAGGAGGTATACGACTTATTAGATTGTCTTTGATTGCATTCTTTATTGTCTCTCATCCCTCTTCCCGCACCACCCCCTAGCCCTCGAAATTGCCTTTACCGTTAGTCATTGTTGCTTGTTTGCCTCCTTCGTTGCACGCACCTTGCAAATCAATCGAAGTAATAAAAAAAAAGGATGGCGCTTCATTTGGTTTAGCTTCCTTTTCATCCTCCCCTTCCCTCACACAACGCAACGCAACGGCGAGCAAGAGAGAGAGCGTTTGAAGAGTGCTCTCTTCGACTCTTGATGGACTCTCAACTCCAGTGGCAAAAACATAATATCATCTCCCTCTGTTCTGGAGTCGTGTCTTCCCACTGCCGCTATTCTTATTTTCACACACAGACACACACACAGTGCCAATGCGCACACGTTTTGTTTCCCCTGCTCGATTGACTCTTTGGATTCTGTTGGCTTTGATGGATTGGGTTTCGACTCAACGACTACGCCTCACATGTACCTCCCTGGTGTGTCCACCACGGATAAACACACATACTCTCTCTCTCTCTCTCTCTCTCTCTCTCTCTCTCTCTCTCTCTCTCTCTCTCTCTCTCTCCATCTCTCTCCCCCTCTCTCTGTATTCTCCTTTTTTATTTTTACTGTCTATGCAATGTCAGCAGACCCTTTATCCATGCGGTCTTATAGTTTTATGCCAACGGTCGAGTTTTCCCCGGAGGCATCTGTAATTCTCTTTTCCTAGAGAGTGGCTGGGTGGCAGTGGGACCTGACGTAAATTAATCCTGACGACACACGGTCTCACGTATATCTAATTTTGTTTATAAGATAACCAAAGAAGGGGGAGGAGGAGGGGAGCAAGTGGTTTTTTTTTTATCTGCCTCCAATTCACTCATACACAACCACGTTCCCTTGAAACGGAGGCTTGGAGAACCCCAAATTTAGCCCACCATTCACCCCTTTTACAGATTACACAATTGTGGAGTCTGTTACTCGGGAATGAATGAAAAAAACGTGCTGTCCTATCCGATTAAGGAACGAAAGATTTGAACTAGACAAAACCACTACATATTAGGGTAGCAGGGCTTACAAGTTACAACCGCAAGCCCCTTGGGACTCGCTTTTACTTTCGTTCCTCATTACCTGATCGACGGCTATTTCCTCACGGATAAAGACTACACCTTCGCTTTGTGGTTAATGTCGTAACCGCTGTGGAGTAGTGCCAATGCAGGTAATTAGCTGACCCTCGAAGAAGACTGAAGAGGAGCATTTTTTTTTTTTGTTGGGCGGTGCAATCTTGTTATGAATTTTATTATGCGTGTGTGTGTGTTTGTGTATGTAGTGTTTTGTGTGTAATAAAGGGTAAGTGGTAGTAATTGTTTGCCGTTTAGAATATTGAGGCCTTAACCGTTACCAAAAGATCGTCAAGTTCCTACAAAACACAAAACATGGAGTTTTTAGTCAATCGTATCACCACAACCAAACCAAAAAAAAAAAAAAAAAAACAATCAACATAAAAAAAAATTGGAACTTACCCGCTCGACACGATCAAGGTCGGCATCAACATCCTTCCAGCAGTCATACACATCCGGATGACATTCCTGTTGGACATCCTTCAACGTCAATTCGTTCAACATCAAAAGCATCATCCTCGTCTGCTCCACACTCTTCTCACCTCCTCCTCCACTTGATTTGTCGTTATTGTCATTACTTGTTGTGTTCCTGTTGTTGTTGTTGTTCCTGGTATTGTTGAGGCTGCTGGAACTGTTCTTGCCGCGCAACATTGAATCCCCCCCATTCTCGGACGAAGGGGATGAAGGTGATTGAGACCTGCTGTTACTGTTGCTCAGCAAGGATGCCTTGATCGTGGAAGGCAACGCGATCAGTTTGCCATCCTTTCCGATCCAAGGTCCTGCTCCACCTGCTCCAACGCCTCCAACACCTCTCAAAAGATGCATCGACGAATTACTGGGGGAGCTGACAGAGCTGGATCGTCCCGCACGGACCAACGTCAACAGATCCTGCATGCCCGTGTTATAATCCGACGACAGCAGCCACTCCTTGTTACCTCCGGGGGAGGAAGGAGTTCCAACTCGTTCAGAGTGGTTGCTGCTGTTGCTGTTGCTGTGGGCCAGACCTTTGGAGTCGGCAACAACACTAGCGCTTGCGGATCGGTTCCGTGAAGAGGTGACAGAAGAGTTCGAAGCCCCCGAATTGGAGCGGCCGTTCGCTGCTGTTGATGCTGCTGGACTGACACGACCGCCGTTAGGAGAGGACGAGGGGGAGCTGGGACGGAGGTTGGGTGATCCAGAAGTAAGCGAAGGCGTTGAGCCAGCCTGTCTCAAAGCAGGTGAAGGTGATTGCAACCGCCGTGGGATGGGCGAGAACGACCGCGCAGAAGGATCCTGAGCCTGGACGTCATTACCACCATCCATCAACGGGGAATGGGCCGCCACACCTCCAGCTCTGACGGCGTTGGCATTCGAGATCAGCGTAGGTTTGGCCATACCATAAGGAGAGCCTGACCGAAGCGACCGTGGAGAATCCGAACCTCGAGAAGAAGGAGGCTGTTCTGTCAGCATGGGGGATGCAGATCGAGTGCTCAAGGAGGCAACAGAAGCCACTTGGATCTCGACATCGCTCTCCCGCTTCTTGCTCCGCATCGTCGGTGAGGGCGAAGATAGAAGCAGTGGTGAAGCCAGGGTCTGGTTTTGGTTCTGAGCCATCATTGCGGCTGCTTGGCGTGACTGAGTTGGCGAGGGCGATCCTTCTCTGGAATATTGCTGTTGCTCGTCCATGGTTGATCTCATCGCGACAGGGGAAGCGACACGACTCCGGGTGGCAGAAGAAATCACCTCGTCCCGGTTATTGGCAGCTGCACGCTCCTTCCGGGAGGCAGCAGCGTTGGCAGCACGCGCAACAGCAGCAGCAGTTCGATCGCGTCTCGAGACCGACTCGACATCACTGCTATTCGCCGCAACAGCAAGGTGTTGAAGGACATCCTCCTTGGCCGCGATAACAGCAGGCTCGTTATCCGCATACGCCTCCTCACCCAGGATATCTTCAATAATGTCGGAAATATCCACCTCCTCGCCCGTCTCGGTAGGGATGAACGAGTACCGGTACTGCTTCGAGTTCATCAACCGCGATGACCGGACGACGCCCTTGTCCAGGTAGAAGTCCATTCCTTGTGCCTCGTTCTTCTTGATGTTCAGCGGCGCTGCAACCATCGACCCTCCTCTTCCTGAATCCATGTGGTTGCCCTGCTCATTGGCCTGGAGCATGACAGCCGTCAACGAGAGCGGTGATGGTCCATGAGTCAAAGGCTGAGCAATAGCGCGCTGTGGACGATCGGGTCTCTCAGGACGAGCAGGTCTCTCAGGTGTAGAAGCCCGAGAGCTGTCTTTCTCCACGACTCCACCGTTGGAAACAGGTGAAGGAGCTTGGCCAGGACGCATACCCTGGCTGACACTAGGCGAGCGGTTCCTGCCCATCACTCCGCTATGATCGGGTGTGGGTGTTCGAGACCCAGCTCCTCCTTCAGGGTGAGTGGAACGAATAGGACTGGTGGGCGTCAGGATGACAGAATCTGTACGACGAGGGATGCGGATGTTGCCATCAGGGCCCTGAGAAGGTGAAGCGGTGCGAGCGCTGCCAGGAGGCCGGCCAGGTGACAGTGGACCATTGTTGATAAGGGCCGCTCCTTGGCCACCAGCCGAACCATCATCAAAGCTACGAAGCGAGCGAAGTGACCGAGGGCTGGTGACGCTGGTCGTAGGACTGGGCTGGGCCGGGCTCCGAGGCGACTCGTTGACAGAGGATGAAGCACCAAAAAGCGACTGAGCCTGCAATGGTGCTGGGACTTTCCTGGGTTGTTGCTGTTGTTGCTGTTGTTGCTGTTGTTGTGGTTGTTGCTGAGCAAATTTGGTCTCTTCCTGAACACTCTTGGGCGACTTCTTGAGGTAAAAGAAATACTCTGGGTTGGTGGGCATCGACGCAACATCAGCCTTGGGGGAGCGACGGACCGGTGCGAGCTGATGATCGTCAAAGCAGCGAATGAGAGGTGTCTGGGGGACCAAAGTCAGCTCATCCCCTTGTCTTGCTCTTGGCGACACAGGGGTGTCCAACTTTAGAATGAGCTGGTACTCAATCACAATGCCATTGGGAGCAGAGTTGCGCTTGGAGACAATGACATGATTGGGCACACCCTCAACCACACCCGAGCGAATGCCGATGGTCTCCAGGGTCTTGAAGATAACATCGCCAGCTTTGGAAGCAGAGTGCATGGGGATCCAGTGCTCGACCTTGTTGGCAAAAACCTGACCCTGGGCACGAGGATCACTCCTGTTCATAGCAGTCCTCATCCCATCAATCACGACCATCGACTGGGGCAACTCCTGGGCCTTGCAAACAACCTTAACCCAGAAAAAGTCTTCTTGCGACGGCGCTGTGGGTGTAGTTGGTGTTGTGGGAGTACCGGGTGTTGAAGAAACGGATCCACGCTTGATCTTTTTGTTGAGAAGGAAGCGAATGGATCGCTGGTGTGGATCAGATTTTCCTGATCCGATGCGACGGACAGAACTGGGGCTGGTGGGTGTCGAGGGTGGGTTGGAGTTGTAGGAGCTGACAGAGTTGACAGACATCATAGAGGAGACAGAGGAGATTGAAAGGCGATGGTTTGCAGGCAACGGGGTCGTCAAGTGAGCTGTGAGAGATTGGTAGATCGCCATCGGCTTGTCCGTCGGCAACAGCACCGTCTCGTCTAAAATAATCGAACCGCGTAAAGGGTAATAAATAATTAGTATCTTCGCCCTCCACATTTCATGAACCAAGCGCCGAATATTTTTGCATAACAAAATAAAAGTTACCTCCGTCGACGCCACGAACGGTGATGAAGAAATCACTGCTTGAAGCAACACCATCGGGTGCTAGACGGAACTTGACAACGGCCTGGTTAGCAACCTCGGATGCCATAGTAGAAGCGTTGACAACGACAGTCTTGTACATCGACGCGCCAAAATCAACGTTGCCCGGGTACACGCGCAGAGTAATGATCTCTGGTGAATCGCCATCCTCAGAGACGCTCGTAGGCGACATTGGTCCGTTGGCGTTGTGGGGACCAGATCCTGGACCACCTGGTGATCCAATCGATCCGCTCGAATTGGTACGTGCCCTCTGTCCATCAGCACTGTTGGAAAAGCTGTTACCGCCTGGCGACGACGCCACAGGTGTGGACTTATTACCGAGTCCAGCAAGACGTTCTCTCTCGAGTCTTTCCTTCTCCTTCTTCTCCTTGTCCTTGGATCCCTTGCCGACTCCAAAGAGACTCTTGAACTTTCCAGGCTTCCTGGTCGACTCTGAAGAGTCACTAGTAGTGGTACTTCCTCCCTTGCTGGGGGCTGACTCCTTGTCGCCAAGAAGAGCAGCCAACTTGGCCTCTGTGCGTTCCTGCATCCGCTTCTGCGCCGCCGCTCGATCCTCTTCTTCAGACTCAAGGCTTCCTGACCGGCGGTCACTGTTCGAAGAAGCATCATCTCCAGTTCCATTCGCCTGCTGGCGAGGCGTCAGGGGCGATGCAGAGACCTCGCCATTGCTTCCACGCTGCCCAGGAGAACCGATAGATCTAGGGCTTCCGTTCAACGAATCCTCATCGCCCAGACGCAATTTCTTACCCCTGCCTGTTGGAGTAAGGGCTCTGCTCACATCATCCTGTGCAATCGAGGGTGTCAACGAAATCTTGCGGGGCTCATCGTTAAACATCAGATCGTCATCGTCCAACAGCGGCCGGCGGTACTTGTTTGTAACCTCTACCTCCTCGTCCTCGTCATTACCCACCATCTCCTGGTCAGAATTATCCATCGCGAAGCTGCTCTTCCTTGGCTTCTGACCGCCCTGCTGCTGCTGTTGTTGTTGTTGCTGCTGCTGCTGCTGCAGTCTCTGATTCTCCTCCTCCAGAATCTCCTGCTGAACACGCTCAGCCTCCAACTGAATATCCGATTTCCCACCCTCTCCATCTTCAGCATCACCTTCCTCGCCCTCCTCACGGCTCTCATAGTACTCGCCCATCTCATCATCCTCGTCGCCCTCGCCATCCTCATCATCCCATTCATTGTCGCTGGCTCCAAAGTACTCGTTCTGGCCTGTGAAGATGACGGACCGGCGATGGCTGGCCTTGTGTGCTACAGCTTCGGCGTTCAGGGGTTGAATGGGTTCGTCAAAGGTTCCCCATTCGGGTGAAGGGGCTGAGAGTCCAACGTTGCGGTACTTGTTCAGCCTCGCCAAACGTTCAAACGGAGTCTAGTAAAAATAAACGAAATGTCGTTTTAAAAATAAATAAATAAGGGGGGTTAATAATCCAACTGGAGTGTGCATTCTTATCCTAGGCGACAGATTGCCAAAAAAAAAAAAAAAAAAAAAAAAAAAATCTTGATAGTTTCCTACCTCAATGTTCTCGGCAGGGATATATCCGATAACGCCCGTCTTCAAAACCCGAACCAACCACCAGTAGACGTTGGCGTCCTCGAGCAGCATCAACGAGTCATTACGAACAACCGAGGCCTGACCTTCCTGGGTGGCTACAAAGGTATGGAAGGCATAGACGAGATTGAAATCGATATCGTCCTCCGTCAACGAGTTGGTGTCGGATGCATCATCATCATCCTCGTCGTCCATGTCATCCTCGTCCTCTTCAAAGCTCTCCTCATCGTCTTCAAGGATCTGGTTCTGACGTGCTTGGACCTCCTGGCGGTTAGCAGCATCGGCGGCGGCGGCGGCGGCGGCGGCGCTATCCCGCTGGTCATCTTGGTGATGGCGGTCGTCATCCTGATCCTGGTCGTCGTCATGGAGCATATGCCGCATGTTGTGGACCTTGTTACCGCCACCGTTACTGTTATTGTTGTGAGCTGCGGCCTCCTGGTCCTGGATATAGGAAGTATACTCTTCATCCTCTTCGGTACTGTCGTCAGAATCGGGCACCCTCGCGTCTCTATCATTGTGACGGTATTGGTTTCCTCCCCATTGACTGTTGTTGTTGTTGTTGTTGTTGTTGTTGTTGTTATTATTGTCGTTGTAGTATCCTTGATTATTATTAGAGTTATTGTTATTGGTTGTTGCCCCTTGGGATGCAGGTCCCGATCCAGCAGCCGGGTCTGAACGTCCTGCGGCCGATCGTAATGACGAAGCTAGCCCACTCACTCCGCCAGGGCCAGCTCTGGAGGGCGATGATGTGTTTGAGGCCATGTATGCAGGAGGTGTTTAGGTATTTGTATTATGTGGTTGTTGTAGTGGCGTGTGTCCTTTTGGTATTATCCCCCTGAATTCGGAGAGATGGGGTGGGGATGTGATGCTTGCCTAATAGATATTTTAAATTGGATATTGCATCGCATTGGTCAGCACCAACAAACGGAGGTATTCACACAACGAGACGAGATGTATATTTGAAAGAAAAGGGAAAAGGAAGGGACAGCAAAGAGCATCCTAACACCCCCTCACAGACTTAACCCCCCCCCCCCCACCTGTTCCTCGTTCCTCTTTCCTCTCATTTTTTTCTGTTCACCATTGAGCATGCTACTAGGGAACACTCAAGGCGAGATCGAGAGCATAAAAAAAACAGACTTTCGTTCCATTGCCAGTTTTGTTTTTTATGTCTGCTCTCAAAATATAGAAAAAGAGACGAACAAACGCACTAAACACAACAAACACTTGCAACAATAATGGTTTCTAGTTCACTCAGTAACGAGGACAAGAAGGGGTTTACTGTCGAGTTGAAGACTTACCAGCCAACAGAATAGAAGCTAACAATGGAGACGAGTAAAGTAAGCTGTGGCACAGACAGACGGAAGGAGTTGGCAGGGCAAGATGTGGTTGAAGGTGGTGGTGTTGTTGGTTGTTGTGTTAAGGTGTCTCCGGGCTTGTTCTAAAACATCGAATGGTGGATGATAGGGGCAAGAAGAAGAAACAACAATGGTTGTTATTAGTAAGTGATTAAAATCAGTGCGACATCAATCAATCAACCGATCAGCGGGTTCAAGTCAGGCACGGAACTCAATTTTGTATGATGAATATAGAAACAAGACGGGTGAAGGGGGAGGAAGGGAGCTAAGCACCAAAAGAAGAAGCAACCACACGTTGGTGTTCTACGGTTCCTTTCAAACACGACACCCCCTTGTAGAGAGAGCGACTTCCTCATCAACAAGGTAAAAGCAAGCAGAAGGAAAAACAGCACGCGACACGACGAGGGTACAGTGTTGCGGCAGTTCATCATCTCTTTTCAGTGATGCTCCCTCCACAGTAACGCATTCTGGATTCAAAATGAAAGTGAATGTGGGAAGAGGAAGTGAAGGAACGGTCGAGATGACAGCAAAGAGAGACGAAGACGACGAGACATGGAGGAAGAGGGTGTAGACAAAAATGGGGCAGAGAAGGTGGCGTGAGTGTGATGGGGATGTGAATAGTACCATTGACAAGGCCGTTGTGAGGTGACAAGTGTGTCGGGGTAGGACTGTATGCGGGGTGATGGTGGTCTGGAGGAGTGAAAAGAGGATGTGAAACGAGAGAGCGAGGTTCACAACGTGCGGGGGCTCATTAATACAAGGGATGAGAGTGTGAGTGTGATGAAAGAGTTGGTGGGAGTGAGAGTGAAAAGAAAGATGATGGAATGGACGTGATCCAAGGACGGGTGGGGTGTGGGTGTGATGAAAAGAGAAGGAATGGGGAAAGTGGAGGGAAGGTGGGAAGGGGTGAAAGAGAGTAAAAGGTAAAAAAAAAGGGGAGAAGAACAAGGGACATTGCAAAGAAACGAAAAGGGTGATATGTCTTTGATTAAACACACCCAGGAACGGCGACAGAGACAGGCAATAGGGCGAGGCACTCGATATCCAGGGGTACAGCATTGTGCCTGCACCACATCATAACCAAAAGGCCATTTGCTCCTCATCCACTCTGTACGCTGCAACATCAATTTTACTTTCATTTTCGCACCAATTGCCTCAGACCCTCGCCCTTTGTTTTATTAACAGCAGTCGAATAAGGTTGTCGGTGTGCCTTCCTCTCTCTCTCTCTCTCTCTCCCTCCAATTGAGGGTTCATCTCCACCCCCACCTCCGACAGCAAATGAACAAACGAGCAAACGAGCAGTGGGAGGTGAAAGAACTACTACTCACAACCCAAAGGCTCACCCTCCTTCCTCAAACACTCAATCAATCATTGTCTCTTTCTATGCGTTTGCTCTCGTTCTTCCTCTCACTCTTACATTGTCCAATGTTAACATAGGAGCACCAAAAAAAAAGGGTACATAGAAGGTAAAGAAAGCAATCGCAAAGAGAGTAAAATGTGTAAGATGAGGCTCTCAATCGACCATTCATAATTCATGAAACCATCCCGCACCCTCTCCATGCCCCTGCTCCTTCCTCGCAAAAACAAAGTCGACAGACAATCCATTGATCGTCTGTCTCCGTCATCACCAACATTGACTAGGGCCATGGTCTTCAAAGTGCATATACATTCGCAAAGTGCATCTCTTTTTATCGGGTAGTAGTAATGAGAAAGAAGAATGGACGGAAGAATGGACTAAAAGTACATGCTACAAAAAGGTCTATAAAGGAGTAATGAATGGATCGTGGTGTGGCAAACTGGAAGAATGAATGAATGAAGTGAAATAAAAAAGACAAAAAAACAAAGCAGGGAATGGTGGTACAAAATAAAGAAAAAAATCTGTCGACACGCGCACGGTTTATGCCTTCTCCGTGCGAGGTTGGCTCCTGCTTCTCCTTGGCCCAGGCTTGACCCTAAACTCTTCACGGCCACCTTCGAGACTGCCGTCCGCCATCTCCTTCGTCGATCTTGACAGCTCCTTCGCAATCGCAGAAGCATCTCGGCCTGTCAGTTCTCGAACTCGTCGCACAACCACATCCCATTTCCACTGAGGCCCAAGTTCAATCCCGCACGACTCGACCAGTCGGACTAGCCGAATCGCGTGTTGACATCTTTCCAAGATATCCTCCTTGGTCTCGGGACGCTGTGGCAAAGACGACGGTAATGAAAACGGGGCACTTGAAGAGCCGCTCTCCACCACCGCTGGTTGCAAATAGTGATCCAAGAGGCGCCTCAAAAGACTGTTCTTGCCCTTAACATCGGCGCTCAAGACCCTCGAGCTGTCGTCGTCCCTCTCTCTCACTTCACCCTTGCGAGGTGATGAGATCCAGGCCGAAGTGAGAATGCCCGACAGGTACTGCTTCCTTGCGTCGTCGGATCCTGACATGTCTGGCGAGCGAATTGGACTGTATCGAGTCCGCTCCATTTCATCCATGACGGTGGCCAATTCTTGGATCACCAGAGAGACGTGACCATCTCGTGGTCGACGATACTGAAGATCCTTGGAGTTGTCATCATCTAGTACTTGAAACCCTCCATCGAAAGCACTAGGACGGGAGATCAGCTGATGATCAGGCTGCAAAGGCTTCTCAAGCTCCATGGCACATCGCAACAGACCCTTCCATGCTTTGGCATCAGGATAGAGGCCAGACTGGGTTCGCATCGCGCGGAGGGTTTCCAAGCCTGCACGAATGTCTCCCTTTCGGATCGATCCTGACAAGAGAAGAACATAGGCACGGCTATCTGGGACCATCCCTGCTTCGACCATGGCTTGGACGACATGCTGAGCCGAGCGAAGATCGTTTTGACGGATATGGTACTTGATCAACGTAGTAAGGGTCACGCTGTCCAGCCCCGACTCGAGTGGTGCTCCTCCAAACGACTGCTTGGATGGCGATCCTGGTAAACGGGCAAGTCGATCTCGGGCCGCAATTTGGCGGCTCTGACGTTGTGAGCGGTCAAGGCGGCGCACAGGAATCTCGGCATCTAGTCCTGAGGACAAGGACTCGGTCTCGGCAGCAACAGTAACCATACCACTCAGTGTCTCCCGAATCTTGGACGCCGATGCACTCGCCTCAACCAAGCTATCAAGCACCGCGTTGGTGAGATACAGTCCTGGCTCCATGTTGCGGTTTCTCGCTTCCTGAAGAACTCGATCGACCGACTTGAGATCGCCTCTCTTCGCAAAGGCATTCGCGAGGATGTTGCAAATGACCACATCAGGTTCGAGTCCGAGCTGCTTCATCTCGACAAAGAGCTCCGAGATCGACTCAATCTCGCCTCGCTTGGCAAACGCTCCTAGGAGAATTGAGAAGGTGTGCCCATCCGGCCGAAATAGGCTCCCATCCGACTGACGGGAGGACGAGCTTGACTGCGTAATGAGGCTCTTCAACATCAGGGGCGAGTCCATTCCTTGACCAGACAACGAGACCCTTCCTGCAGAGTCGCCCGAAACAGCGCTCATAAACACATTCCAGCCCTTGTCGAGATCGGTTCGCAGATTCTCTCCGCTCTGACGCCCACGGCCATACTGCCTCGACTTGAGCAACTGTCGAACCATGATTTCTCGTCCCAGCTCACGCATGCCTGACTGTTCCCCACTGCCCATGGTCCTCCTCCCCGGTCTCGAAAGCGGTGCCAAGTCGACCAGCGACTTGAGAAGCGTGTTGTAAAATATCATGTTGTGTGAAATGCCGTGTTCTTTCATGATATCGACCACTTGGTGGACTCGGTCAAACTCTGCGTGGCGAGACCAGGCTCCAGCAAGCTCCGTCAGGATGTCGACGTCGACAGACGATGGCTGGTTGGCTGCATCGTCCGATATAAGCTGTGCCGTATTAAGGTGCTGCTCGACTATCCAATGCGCCTTGTCTAGATGCTTCGGTTCGTCCGACATGACGAGGGCGTGGACAAGTTTCCTGACTTCCTCAATCGATGGAGGACGCGCAATCCGTTCGGAGACATTCTTGGCACCGTCCTGCAAGTAGACATGGCTATGGAGCGCGACCGCGACGTCATACTCCTGATGTTGAAGAAGCACCCACATCGCCTTGTTGTACGCCTCAGATCCAGGCAACAGCTGACCCTGGCACTGGAGGCTCCTGGCAAGAGGTCCTGTATGTCCCGATGACTCGGCCACTGCCATGAACCAGTCTGAGAGTTGTCCCGTCCACTTATTCGAAGCGGATCCTGCTGCCGACATGGTGGAGACGGCGCACATCATGGCCAGATCGGATCGCAAAAATCCATCAGCAAAGCCGCGGACATCCGCAATCGCTGAAAGGCCATATCCTTGTGGTGGTGGTGGGAATGGGCTCTGTTTCTGTCTCACACCTGCATGCAATCGACCAGCAGCGAGCTTCGTCTGCTTCCAAAGGTCGTTTCCTTTCAGTGAGCGAAATTCGATCTCAATCACCTGCGACATGAGACCCAGGTGCCTTGATCGGAGCGCGAAATGGTGAGCAACGTTGTGGAGAAGACTGCGATACGCTCCGAGAGTATCCTGCACAGATGCAGTCGACATGGTCTCCTGGATAGCCCGCTGGAGTGCAATAAACGCTTTGACCGATTCTTTGCTTGAAGCGTTGCCGGGCTGAGAGTGGGCTGCACTTGACGCTTTGGCTATCATCTCTTCGAGGTGAGCGGTCAACGCATCATGGTATCCTCCGGGGGTTGAGTTCGCCTGGTGAAAATCCTTGGGGCCCTCCCGAAGGGGCGAATGCGAGGGTTGAATCACAGCCAAGACGTCCGGATGGACAGATCGCACGACATCTTCCATGCAGAGATCCTCGGACAAAACTCCCACCATGGCCATCTCGCGCCATAGCTCCTCCTCAACCGTCCGATTGTTGTGAGGGCTAATAACTGCAGCTCCCTGAATCCCAGCGAGCCAAGACTCTGTTTGGTCAAGGCGCTTCCAGAAATCCATCTGGTAGTACTGCTTCTTGCTAGCAGAGGCGCCAAGGTCTATGCTGGCCTGACGCAAAACAAGTCTCAAGGTGTCTCCTGCGGCTGCACGGGTCGATGAGAGACGGCAGGGGATAGTGTCGAGTAGGTCCTGAACCCAAAGCTCGGGCGTTCCTGTGGCCTTATTCGAGAGCCGGAAGAGATCTAAGATCCAGTCCGGGCGATCAGATTGCTGAAAATGATCCGCCAGCCCCTGCTTGAACTCAAGTTGACTCCATTGACAGAGCCAATCCTGACGATCCAGTCGCTCCCACAGCCAAATCCACTGCATGGCACCCTTGTGATCTCCCAAAGCAACAAAGACGTCCAGAGCGACCCTCCTTGAGCTGGAAACCGATGTTGGTGCTACCGTTACATCCTGAAAGATGGTGGTCGTAGAAGGGAACAGGCGCCGACTGGAAATACCCTGCAGGAAGGGATATACTGCGGATGCTAGTGCTTGCTGATCTGGAGAAGCCATTTGGGAGGTCGGCGCGGGTGGTGATCCGAGTAACTCGCTCCAGTTCTTGGCGATAATGGCAAGGGTATAGTCCAGTAAGGGATCCTGGTGCAGCTGAAAGGTCGACTTGAACGAGATTCTAGAGCGCGTCTTAAACTTTCCCACGGGCTCCAAAATAGACGCATTGAGGCGTTGCAGCGTGTCGACAATGTCAATGTTCCCGATCTGAGCCTCGTGTGCGCACAGCAGCCGGCAGCAGTACTCGACCAGGCAGAGATCCTGATAGTGCCATCGAGCCACTAGTGTCGAAGCAGTACTCTGAGGAAACGTCGAGAGACCGCGGATATAGTCGTGCTCCTTGGCCTTTTCGACAACAACGAGTGCCTGCATGTAGTTTTGCTTCTGAAACAAGTCGCGGGCGTGGGAGATCTGCGAAAGCATCCAGTCTTTGACGATGAGCGGTGTGGGCGGTTGTAATGGAGAGCGTTGGATTGAGTCGAGTGGGAGAAACTCTTCTGGTATCCGGAGATCTGGTATGTCCTCAAGAGTCTTTGCGCTGTGTTGCTGGAAGATGGAGCGGCTGGGTATAGTAGCGATGGCGTTCCTAATATAGCGCGTCGATCCGAATCCAGAGTGTGATGATGAATGAAGAGTCCTGGACCCTGTTGATGCCGACGATGAAGAGGAGTGTTGAGATGTTGGTGCGGCTTGACCATTGGAGGAGAGTGAGTTGAGGCAGGTTGGCTCGGCTCGCGATGTTGAGTAGAAACGTCTGGGCGCAGAGTGGTTCCCACTTCTCCTCCATGATCCCGAGTAAAAGTGGACAGCTGTCGGATCGCTGGTGGTTGCGTAGATGCCTGGCTGGTTTGAACAGTATGTGGCCGATGTCGACGTTGAGGTAGATTGTATCCGGCCTTGGTTAGATTGTTGAGGACAGTGGTGTCGAGTGGTGTTCCGTGACTCGAGAATAAAGCGGAAGACAGGGTAGAGATCCGAAATTGTTGTGGGCGATTGGTGAGAGTGCGAGGAGAGTGATGAAGAAGAAGAGGTGGATCCATGTGTATCCGAATGGCGTTGGTTCGAAGTGCGCGTAGATCCTGATCGCCTTGATCGCCCTGTCAAAGGCTCAACAGTCGGATGGATCGCTGGTCTCGCTTTTGCTATTGTTGCTGTGGTGGTTGATATTGAGAGACATTGCGACTGTGAGGTAGATCCTTGTCTTCGGATCGGCGGTTTGCGTTTGCTGGCCGGGTGGAGAACCCGACTGAGAAAAGGCATCCAGAACAAACGGGTGGAGCTGTCGTCCCAATGATCGTCGGTTTAATTATGAGTTATGGAAGACTCCAGTAGGCCTATTAGTTTCGAGGCGACCGGAAAAAAGGTTAGGATCACTGGAAAAATACACGATCCGGAGAATTAGGAGCTCCTCTGCAATACATCTAGTGTGGCGCGCGTTGTAAATACCTCTTGATGATCCAGGCTTGATTTTGTTATGATAACGACGTGGACACTACTAGTGGTATGCTCAAAGTTCCATCGCTCATTCAAGAACTAGGACTATGGTCTTGTTGTTGTTATCTGTCAGGCGAGAGAGCGGTGAACCTGATGTATTACACGAATGGAAAGGAGAAGAGGAAAAAGTGTCGACAAAGGAGACAAGGAGATGAATGGGAGGTTGGATGTACTCGCGACGTGGTGTGGTGGTATGTTTCCTTTAGTGCGTTTGGATGATGCCGAGAGGTTGAGGCGTACCGGTGTTATTGTTGAAGGAATGTGTGCGGGTGGAGAGGATGATGAGGCGCCCGAACTACCGGAAAGAAGGCTGGTCGCTGGAAGGAAGAGAGGAAAAATGAGTGTGGGATGTTCGTCGGTTCCTGGAGCAAAGACCTCGCTCAATCTCCGAAGCTACTTGTTCTGGCCACCAAAGAGGGCAATAGTGGCTTGGCATATTTTGATCTACTAATATTTTGCTTCATTACCCCTTAACATCCTCATCAACGACTCGTACATCCCCTGAACCCATAACGACAAAACCTCCGAAGCCATCGAGAGAGCGTTTGGTCAGACAACAGAGATCAGCATAAAATATCCAAGATACGTATATGTAAGAGGAGGAGAAGGAGCGCAACAATTATTATTATTATGATTAGGGTGTGATTAATACTATTGTAATACTCTAAAAGTAACGAAGGGATGCTGTACAGGTGTGGGTGGAGGAGGGCAGAGGACCTAAAAGTCCAACAGAGGCTTGGGCCGGCGAGGCGACCGTGAAGAATGAGCACGCGAACCAGAGGGGGCAGCATTGTGGGTGGTGTAGTTGTTGCTGCCATTGGTAAGCAAGCCAGGGCCAATCACATCTGCGCCCGTGTGAATGTTGCCCAAGTCGATCAAGGGCTTCACGCGACCACGACTCTGACTCTGACTCTGACTCTGACTCTGTCCGGGACCAGGGCGTCTAGAACCAGCTGATGGCTGTTGACGCTGGCTGCTGGAAGAACTGCTCATCATATGGTTCGAGTACGATGGCTGCTTGGTCGAACGGGCTCGGTCGAGCAGCAATCCAGGCTGGATCATGGCATCGGCATGGGCGAACTGGAGGAGAGGTCCCTGTGGCACGGGTGGAGCAAAGTCTGGTGATCGAGGGGAGCTTGGGGAGATGGGTCTACCATAGGCGACTCGATCTTCTCCTGGGCCACGGCTTCTTGACCTTGAGCGGGGACTGCTGCTACTGCTGCTCGTGCCAGAGTTGTTGCTACCACCGTTGGTTGGACGAAGCAATCCGGTACCTGCGCTCTTGGATCGACTGAGCTGAGCTGCTCGGACTTCACCCTGCTCGATCAAAGTACCGGGACCGCCAAACTTGGGAGAGAAATGGGACTGCATCGATTGCTGCTGTTGTTGCTGCTGCTGGTATGCGTAAGGCGATGTTGCTGAGGAAATCGAGGTAGCTGAACTGGTAGAAGAAAGACCACGACCATGACCACCTTGCTGATAATGTGACGTGAGAAGACCAGGAGAGAGGAGGGAGAGCGACGAGTCACCGGTGTTGTTGATGTTTCTTGAACCGAGGACACCTGCCTGTTCGCGCATCTTGAGCTGCATCTTCATGTTTTCGATTTCTTGCTTCTCGGCCTCGACACGCTGTTGGAGGAGACTTCCGGTCATGAAGGGAGTCTTGAGGTTGTAGCCTCCACCGTTACTTGCGTGCAACATGTTTTGTGAGTTGGATGTGTTGGATGGATCTTCTGGTTGTTGTGGGGTTGTTGGAGTGGTGGTTGTAGTGGTGGTCTGTGCGTTATTGTTATCGTCGGTTGTTGTTGAAGGAAGAAGAAAGGACGAGGAAGAGAGCGATTGAGTCAGAGATATAAGAGACTGTTGAGGTCCAAGGAGCTGGAAAGTGTCTTTGAGTAAGGGTGAAGAAGAGGGTGTGTCGTTTTGGTATTGTTGTTGTTGTTGCTGTTGTTGTTGCTGTTGTTGTTGCTGTTGTTGCTGTTGTTGTTGTTGTTGTTGTTGTTGTTGAGAGTGCAAATCCTGCTGCTGTGGTTGTGGGGCGGCGTTTGAGTGAGAGGAAGAGGCAGCGGGGAGTAGTGGGTCAAGAGAAGAAGAAGGAAGTAGAGAGACTCCTTGTGCAGATTTGGAATCAGGTGTCGTTGCTCCGTCAATGAGCTGAATGAGAGGAAGAAAAAGAGGGGAGAGAAAATGAATGTCAGAACGAAGGCTTCAGGTCAAGTGGGAGAGAGTAGCAGAAGAAAGAGTGGTCAAAGAAAAGAAAGAAGGGGTTCGAGGAAAACCAATAGGAAGTAAGAAATAAGAAGAAGGTTGAGTGGAAATAATGCGCCGATAATGAAGTAAGAAGAGGAATGAAGAAGAGCACGGACAAGTAACGAGAGCAAACAAGGAGGATGATTGAGCACGACAAAGGTAAGGATGTCTTTGTGTGTTTGAAGAGAAAGAGAAAGAGAGCAGCGGAGAGGAGGCAATGAGGAAAGAAGAAAGAAGAAGGTCGAGAGTGTGCTTTTAAGAGAAAATGGAGCTGCAAAAAAAACCACCAAGGGTCAAGAGTAGACATTGAAAAGATTAGAGAGCATCTTGCAGCGAACGGTGGCTACTCTCCTTCTTTGTTCCCCACCAAAGAGACACGCACACATACACCGTCGAAGAGGATCGAGAACCGGAAACAAAAGACACACACACAGGAGAAAAGTGGGAGAGAAGGGAAAGGGAAATGAGCAATAACACCACACAACCAACCAACTAAACAAACCAAACCAGAGCAACCATCCAAACAAGTATCCTTGGTGTGAAATGGGTGTTGCATTGCATGGCCAACACACGCTCCACTAAGACACACAACATCAGTCGACTGAATGACCAGAAGAAGGTTGAACCCCGAAAGCACACAAAAGGGGGGGTTCACGGAGGAGGAGGAAGAAGAAATGGAAAGACAAGGAGAGTAGATGGGGATCTGAACCCCATTGTGTCCTGCAGAGTACAGTGTGTGTGGTTTCCCTTGTCGTTTGCTTTGTGTTTCTGAAGACTGTCTGAGAAGTAAAGGAGAGGAAGAGGCATATTGCTGAAGGGATAGGGAAAAGGCAAGGGTCACCACCACCTCCTTCACTCAATTGACAAAGACAACAAGAAAAGAAAGACAGACCGGTGATAAAAAAAAGGGAGGCTGTGGTGGTTGATGTGGCTAAACCCAACCGCATCTGGTCTGTCAACAGCCAAAAAACAAAAAAGCCAGGACCCAATCCTGTCCAAATCCACTGTTTTTGAAGTAGTTCTTGCCGCGTTCGAGTAAGAGTGCCGTACCATCCCTTGCTTTCGCGTGTAACGCGTTGTGTCCGTGTCCGTGTGTGCACGTTATGAACGTGGTTGTAATTTGGATGTCTTCTTTCTTGTAATAAGAAAAAGGGCGAGAAAAGTGGATACCAGGATGACGATGGGAGATGCAGCCAAGATGGATGCGATGTGATGTGATGTGATGTGATGTGATGGAAAAAGGAAGAAGGGAAGGATGGAAAACAAGGGAGGAAGGATCGATTTGCTCTAGGTTGCAATGGGCTGGTAGCTGAAGCCATTTGGTCCTATTACCACATATCGCATACAAGAATGCAAGGTTGGCCAAATAATAAAAACAAGGAGCTCCTTCCCCTTCCCACTCTTCCCGCATCTCCTATCCTGTCGAAACCATCCATGACAGCAACGGACATTATCAATGGCTGTGGAGAAAAAAGAAGGGATGAAAGAATGACCAAAGTATGAAGTGATGTCTGAAAGAACAAGGAACTGCCTGGGTACTCCACCTTGTCTTGGCTCCCTCACAACACAACCAAACCAACTGAACGGAAAAAGACCGAACTAATCAACTCGAAATCGAGATGGGCGCTTTTTGAAAGTGATCAATTCCAGCCAAACGCATCTTTTCCACCCTTCTTTCTATCATCCCATTTTTTGGGTGGTCCTCCACTGTCCTTAATTTACAGTGTCGCGTGTGCATCGTCCGTGTCTGTCAGCATTTGTCGTTGTCGTTGCTTTTGTTTGTTTGTTTGTTTGTTTGTTTGTGTCCGTTTGATGCTTAGTTGATATTGGTCCTGATGGGTCACGAGAATGTTGCGTTTGTGGAACAAAATATGTGTTTGGAATGGGTGGAGGAAGGAGGCGTGTGCGTATGCGTGTGCGTGTGCGTGTGTGAATCAAAAAGGTGCGCGAAAAAAAAGAAAAAAAAAAAAAGAAAAGGAGGTGCCACCGAGGAGATGGAATGTCCTCCTGGGCTGTCGCGCAAAAGTCGCCATTATGCAGCTGCGAGAGTCTGTGCGTATCTCCTCAACATCTTGGTTTTTTGGTGTTAACCCGCTAGATCGTCCTCCTCTTTTATCCGTTCCCCCTCTCTTTCTGACTATCCCTCCTGGATGTGTCCTTTTCTGTCTCCCCAATTATTTTCTGGTTCTGTCCTCCTTCCTCTCCTCCTTGTCCTGTCCTTGTCCCTTGTCCTTCTCTCTCCCATTCGCTATCGCCTAGACTCGATCTTGCCTCGTAATCCTGGCATGCTGCATCCGCTTGTAAGAGCAAAAGAAAATACAGGAATGTCCTTCCCTTTGAAAAAGAAAAAGACGCCTCCTTTCTCTCTTTCTCCTTATCTGTGTCTTACAATCTTGAAAGTATGTTCCTTATATGCCTGCTTTGCCTGACTGAATTGTCTTCAAGGGCGTGGTCCAAAAGCACATTACATTGTCCATTGCGCTCGTCGTGTGGAGGGAGGTGGGCTATACTCGTTGTTATTGATGTCTTGCAGACAAAAACACTCAAAAAGAAGAAAAGAAGAAAAGAAGGAATGCAAAAAAGAAAGGATATCGGCGAGTGATAGCACGAGGAATCACCAAGAAGACAAAAAGGAAAAGAAAAAAAACGCCGCGAAGGCAAGATGCAGGGGAGAAAGAACGCTCAAGAAACAAAGCAAAGACAAAGAGAGTGGAGAGAAAGGTGGTATGGGAATGTGGAAAGGAAATAAATAAAAAGAAAAGGAGAAACTAGCGTTTTCTATTCCCCGGCCCGTTCATGCTGCTATTCAACATGCCCCAATCGGCCAGTTTTGCTTCCGCAATGCTCACCTGCTCTTCTGTCAGATTTCCTCTTGTCAGTCCATCCTGACTTCCTGACGATGCCAGCTCGGTCGCATGCTTCACTCCTTCGCGAATCACTTCGGGGTTGCTATGGTACATGAACATGCCCTAAGAACGTTCGCCGAAAGGGAAAAAGAACAACACCATCCATAGACAAATCGATGTTAGATATTAATGCATAACATTAACAATAAAACGTAGTTTCCATGACTATTCAGAATGCCTTCAATCTAAATGCTCGACATGTTCGTGGACGCCAGCAAATTGTATCTTACCTTGGCAGCGCGAAGACCAGCAAGCCATTCACGAAGAGAATCCCCAGAGTCGGTGCAGATGTAATGGATATAGTCGTCCTCTGGTGTCTCGAAAAGATGAATCTTGTCGGATGACTTCAGCGCGAATCCAAACTTGGTGGGCGCTTTCTTCCGTGGGACTTGGACAGTGTAAACGTCAAAGTTGCGAAGCAAGCATAGCATGCTCTCTCCATTAAACTAAAAACCAAGCACAACACAAGTATCATTAGTACACCAGTTTTGCAGCAAAATGGCTCCATCGTGCAGATGCCTGTTCGCGAAAATGTACCTTGGCATCCTTGGAGTGGTAGACAGCTGTATCGGTGATATGAAGGTATCTCTTCACCCACTTGCTCTTCTTCATCTCGATATGCACCCATCCATGAGGTCGCACAAAGCTCTCCTGTCCAGCAGGTCCGACCAAACGAACAACCTCCTGGGCGGCGAGCTCGTTGCGTGCGGGGAAGGGCTTGCAGATCATCTTGTTGTCTTTGTCAGCCTCCCAGGTCTTCATCACATCCAAGATCACCTCAAAGTCACGCAGAGGACGCTCGATGAGGAACTCCTTGGAGTATTCGAAAATGGTCCATCGATCGTGGTAGCGACCATCGCCTGGTTGACCAAAGACTCCACGCTCCTGCAGCATATGCAACGCATCCAGGGCGGTTGAGTTGGGAGCCAAGTTGACAGACTTGAAATCGATCTCGGTCTGAATGTAAATGCGAGTGGCTACAAGGCGTTGAGTTGCTGCTTGGTTGGCTGCTCCTGGGGTAACGCCTGTAGGCGACATGGGTGTCTGCTGGGCGTTTGATGACTGGTTGGTGGCTGAAGGCGAGTCTGGAGGAGATCCGTTGGCCGCTACAGCGGCTGCTAGGCGTTGTTGCTGTTGCTGAAGGTGTTGCATTTGTTGAGCTTGTTGGAGCTGGAGCTGGCGCTGTTGCATCTGCTGCTCGCTCGAGCTAGGAGAGTTATCGTCCCTCATCATGGCCAGGGCCATACCTCTCATTCCTCCGCCAGACAAAGGCGACTGAGTTGTTGGGAAAGAAGGCTGGGGGGTGAGGAGGACTGCAGGCGCGATCGGGGTGCTTCCCATACCCATTCCGCGAATCATGTTATCGTGGTGCATAGTGCTCTTGTTGGTGCTGACATTTAAGGACAGGGAAGGAAGACCTGAAGACGTGTCGTTGGGAACGGCGGTCGGGTTGGCGAATGGTGGAGGGTTACGAGCGAACTTGGAGGTTGATTTGCTTCTGTGGTGGAGAGAAGTTGTCGAGTCGCCATTTGAACCTGGTTGAGGAACTGGTGGCCATCCGTTGCTGTCTGCCTGGAAGTTTTGGTTGGAAGCCTTTCTTGGCAACGACTTTGAGCGTTGACTTCCCAATGCTCCTGTGCTGCGACTAGGAATCAAAGCAGGGTTGTACTCGGGGTATGTGGACTCAGGCACTGGATGGGACTAAAACAACATCGAATAAATTTAAGAATGTCAGTTTAAATGAACCCAAAAATAACAACGATTGTCCACATCATATTTTGAAAATCCACCAATAGTCTGTTTTTTTTACCGTCTCGTAGTTGGGCTTGGCATTGGAGGCATCCCTGGACTTGCTGCGCGATCTCACCCATGCAAACATGCCACCCTTGGACGTGCCCTCCTCTGGCTTTTGTTTCCTGCCACGTTCAGTTTCATTCTGGGTTTCTCCTGCTCCCGATGGCTCTCGTGAGCGACCACCTTCATTGGAGTCAGCAAAACCGGTGTTAGATAGATTGCGGTCACGGTTGGGGCGTCTCTCTGAAGCATGGCGACTAGGAAGGCGGTCGCGCATGGGAGGTTCCTGTTGATGCTGACGGTACATAGCTGCGGGATCTACCGATTGTTGTTTGCGGAGAATGGGGCGTCCATCGTGACCTTCGTTTTCTTCCTGAGCAGAGGCCTGGCGTGGAGGAATAGAATGTGCTGGAAGAAGAGATGGTGCCAACGAATGCACAGCCTGTTGTCCATTGTCCTCGAAGCTTTGACCCAGGCTGTTGTTGGAGCTCTTTTTCTGAATGTGCCCAGCGCTATCGGGTGAATCGGCAACGCTCCGCTGCAAAGCCTCGTCTGAAGCAGCAATGGTCTGTTGCTGCTGCTCTGGCTCTTCCTCCTTCTGTTGAGGTTGTTGAGGTTGGAGTTGGACAGGCTGAGGTTGGACGGGTTGTTGCTGTTCAGGCTGGGGTTGGATTGGTGGCAGATCCTTTTCCTCCTGGGGTTGCTGAGGTTGTTGAGACTGCTGAGGCTGTTGAGGTTGTGCAGGGACAGTTGAGAGGACATGTGGTTCCTGAAGCGACAAGGGTGTTTCGCGATCTTCGGCGATCGACGGTGTAGACATAAAAGGAAAATCGTCGAGTTTGTTATCAGTCTTGGTGATGGTATTGGATCGACTCAGGGATCGTGATGCTGATCGTGATCTGGGTGGAACCACCGGACTCTGGGGTCCCTGCTGATGGTGGTATTGGTATTGGTGCTGTTGTTGCTGTTGCTGCTGTTGCTGTTGCTGCTGTTGCTGCTGTTGCTGCTGTTGCTGCTGGTCATAAGGGGAACCCAGGGTGGAATGTTCAGAGATTGAGGGCGATCCAGGGACAGGTCTCGGTGACTTGGCATAATTGCGACTGTTGGAACGAGCAGGTACCCGGGGTGATGCCGACATCATCTGCCCATTCTGGGCCAAGGTCGACAGTGAGGGGGAGGATGGATAGGGTCGAAGAAACTGGCGAGGCGCTGGGCCGTCAAAGACGGCTGTCGAGGTCTCCTGAGGCGTTGATGGTGAACTCTCTAATCCATTGACTACCCGCTCACTATTTTCGTCCAAAGTCATCTGAGGACGGCCCGAACCATGCGAGATTGACCTTGACCGTTGAGCAGATTTGGGTGGCAAAGGAACAGGAACAGCCCGCTTGCTCTCTCTGCGGGCCAGGCCACCAGGAAGAGGACCGACCGTTTCCACCGCTGCGCCGTTGATGCTGGGTACTGGATCGCCAGCGTCTAGTCGCGAAGGGGTGGTTGGTGTTTCAGGGATGGTGGCATCAATCCTCATCCTTGGCTGTTCATTCCTATCGTTGTCCGTAGTTCTGTCCTGAGTTGGGCGGTTGAGACGAGCGTTCAGACGACTCTCGGGGTCTCGCAGACTAACGGCGGCGGTGATGGCTCGCTTGGAGAGAGGAGAGACAGGTGACAAGACTGCGGAAGAGTTGGGCGAACCAGTCTGATCCAGAGCGGCGGTCTCTACTGTGAGGGAGGTGTCGGTTCTGGTCTCTGTCCTGGCTCGAGTCAATCTTGTGCGTCGGGGCTCCTGTTCGGCATCTCGCGGAGTCGTTGGGCGAGAACCGAAGCGGTTTGCTTGCTATTGATATTGCACAGCAGCAAGGGAGGGAGAACAAGGGGGGAAAGGAGCTAAGAGTCAATTGATGGGTCCCCAAGGTGAAAATACAACAGAGTTGACCCGGCTGCCAACACTAATGGAGCGGAAAGCCCAATTAATGCGAGCGGCTGCTTTGTTGTTGTTTGTTGTGGGTTTGGGTGTTGCTTGACTTTTTGGCGCTAGACTCCACTGTGTTTAAAACATAATAAAACACAGTTCAATTGAACAGCCATCCTTGGTCCTTGGCCCTGCTACAACCGAAAGGAATAAGCATTGCTTGTTTCCTTCCTCTGACAACAACGATTAACGCCATTGGAAGCGAAAAGGGGGGAGAAAGATAAATGGCCTCTTTACTTTTGTCCATGTCTGGGCCTTGAAAGTCGATTATATCTTTTGTATATCCTCGAGCCCATGAGGAAATGAGATCCCGCCCTGTTCGGCTTCCTTGTTCCTGTCCGTGTGCGTGAGTGCCTGTCTATTCATCCAGTTGCTGCCCTCCATTTTTCTATATTTAACATATGTCATGAAATAAGAATATTTACTCTGTTGGCAAGGTCCGTCTTCATGGCGGCAAGTTCTCCCATCATCTGTTCAAAGTCCATGTCGTTGTCTGCATTCTGGGCCATGGTGTCGATGCTCTTTTTTTTTGTTGACAGATTGAAGGGTATAGAAGGGTGAGCAGGAGATAGACAGAGGGTGGCGTAAAGCAGTGGCGGGAACGGGAAGAAAGAGGGTGGAACAAGAAAATATGTAGAGGGGGGAAAAAATGAAGAGAAAAGACAAGACAAGGAGGTTCTTGGATGAACGAGGAGGGATAGAAAACGAAAGGGGGGAATGAAAGGAGGAAGAGAACGGAGAAGAACGAAAGAGAAGAAGAAGGTTATGTGAGGAAAGAAGAATAAAGAATGAAGAAAGAAGAAGAACTCTCAAGTCTGAACAGTGAGAAAAAAGAGAGCCAGAAACCATTCTTTCTCTCCCTCATTCTTGTCCTTCTCTTTGGAACACAACCGTGCAACACACAACGGCCTTCCTTTTTTTTTTGTGAGTACCTCACTCCCATGTATCCAATACAGCCTCCATGGTACTCTTGTTCATTTTCCTGCATTCATCCCCACTTTTCTTCCTCCTCCACTCATTCACTTTGTCATGTATCTATTTCAATGTGGAGACATATACCTTCGTCCCTTTGCCCGCTCACTCTCTCAAAGAATGAAAATAACCATTCGTTGCCACCGTCTTCTCCTCTTTTTCTATTTTCTATCTTCAATCCTCTCTCTCCCTCTTTTTCGACTCCTCCGTTTCCTCCTCGTGCTCTTCCCAGAACTCTTCGCTCATTGTCACACCTCAAGTAATATAACTCTTGGTCCAAAGCGCATAGAGGGCGTTAGGCCGCAGTGAGCGAGTGAGGCAGGGCATTGCTTCTTTCTTTCACAGACTTCAATTGCTCACAAGGGCAAAAGGAAAAAGGGATCCAGGACACTTGTCTCCGCCCATCTGTCTATTCGTCTGTTCTGTTCATTTACCGTCCGGCGTCCGTCCGTCTGTCGTCTGAACTGAACAGTACACACAGACGTATACACGCACCCACATGCTGAGCCCCCAATCTCATTTGTTTGTCAACTGCTTGGAAAGAGAGAGAAAATGGGTGAAAATGAAAAAAAGTGAACCGGGAGCGTGTGAAGCGCGGAAGAAGATGAGAAAGGCCGAGAATAATGAAAAATAGATGGAGAGGGAGTGAAGAAGGCGATGTTCAAGTGGGGAAGCTATTTATTTGTCTAGGTCTCGGTCAAACACATGTGCCTGCAAGGGACACCCACTGAGGATTCCTTTTGTTCGCGAAGCTGACTGGCTGGGAGTATCCAATTGACCACCCTGGGATACTTTCTCACCCATCGCGACCCCCCTGGTCACTCTATTACTTGTTCATGTCACTGCGTTACTGAGAAGAAAAGATGACCTGTGGTTAGATAACAGTGACGCTGATCAACGCAGAGGAATAAATATCAACGCGGTCATGCTTCCCTTTGGGCCTCTCTTTACTTCACACTCCACCTCTCTGCACAAACCCATTCGCTCATTCCACAACCCTTCTCTCCAATCACCCACACTCACTTCTACCAAACAATTCACAATGCGTGTCCTCGTCACCGGTGCCTCGGGTCTCCTCGGTCGCGCAGTCGTCACCGAGTTCAAGAATGCCGGCCATGAAGGTATGCAAATGAAAAGTCATGCAAGTCTAAACGATCAACTTTTATTTTCTTCTTCATCCACGAATTAACATACTGACTTTTTCCATTGCCGAAATAGTTGTTGGTGTCGCGTTCTCTCGCGCCAAGGGTGACCTCAAGAAGGTACACATATCGTTATCGATCTGGTTTCGAACAGACCGATAAGCCAGCGCTTCTTTTTGTCCTTAGTGCTCAATCGATCCTTCTTCCTCTCTGTCGTCTCTCACTGTTGATCATGGATCAACGGTAGCGGCAAAATTGGCTCACACTGTCTGTGTTCTCTCTCTGTTCTCTCCAATACGCTTGTGCCTGGTCTCTTTTAGTTGGACCTGGAGGACTCGAACGCCGTCCAGACGTTTGTCGATGCTGAAAACCCCGATGGTAATGAACGGTGAACAATGATGACAAACGCCAATTGCCCTCCACTCTGACATCTGCGATATCCTCGACTAGTGTTAATTCTTGTAACTCAACTGGAATGGATGGATGGTGGCGCGAGCTCTCTTGCTTCGACTAATGCTCTCTGTCTCCCTCTCTCTCTCCCTTTCTCTCTCTCTTTGCTCTTTTGTCAATGCCGCTCGTGCTTCCTTTGGGATTGATGCTCTGATAGTGATTGTGCACTGTGCCGCTGAGCGCCGCCCAGATGTTGTCGAGAAGAATCCTGACGGCGCCAAAAACGTAAGTTCTATTCTTCATCCATTTTTTCTATATCAGTCGTCTTCCATTGCCACGTAACTTATCCATAGCTTCTTTCATTCTCGTTGTTGTTAGTTGAATGTCCAGGTGCCGGGGTTGTTGGCCGATCTCACAAATGACCGTGGGATTTTGTTAATCTACATTTCGACTGATTACGTCTTTGACGGCACCAGCCCTCCCTACGATGTCCGCGATAAGGCCAACCCTCTGAACCTCTATGGTAAACAACTTATTTTAAGTGCAAACCTTTGGTCCTCTTGTGGGGGCGACTCTGTTATCTTAGATACTAACTACGGAAATACACTTTCTCATTATGAATCATACGTGTATTTGTACCATCAGGTCAGACAAAGTACGACGGAGAGAAGGAGATCAAAAAGTTCAACTCTTCTGCGATCATCCTCAGAGTGCCTATCCTCTATGGAGCCACAGAGTACAATGGCGAGTCAGCTGTCAACTCGTTGATTGACAGCGTTAAGGATGTAAGTTCCTAACTGCGTTTCTTTTCCCTCTTGCCGTCATCGTACAGATCCAAAGTTCTTTTTTTTAACATGATCCATGTGGTATTCTAGGGCAAGGCTGTCTCCATGGATCACTATGGGGTCCGCTACCCCACCAACGGTATGTACTTGTCTCTTTGATCACCGACAAAGTTCTATCGCCAGACTTTGAACCACTCTAGGGACAACGACAGGTCTCATTCTCATTTCCACTCTCTTTCCTCTCAACCAATAGTCGCGGATGTCGCTCGCGTCGTCAAGGATCTGTCGAGTAAGTCACACATTTTTTTCGTTGTCTCCGTTACATCAATACAGCTGTCTCGATATGCATGTGTACTTCAACCTAACCATTACACGCTCACACATCATTCTCGTTAATAGCCAAGGTCCGTCATGAAAAGGTCTTCATCTCGGGAATCCTTCACTTCTCCGGCGAAGAAAAGTACACTAAATACGAGATCTGCCGTAAGTCCAGCGTCAATGTTTCACGTTATATACCCTCTGCATGTTTATCGGGGCTTCGATGTGCAAGGAATGTTGGCTCATCATAACGCGTACCATACGATACAATAGAGGTGATTGCCAAGGTCCTGGGTACCTCCACCGACCATTTGACCCCCAACGCCGAAGCTCCCAAGGACGGAAGTAAGTCTGCATTTACTGCTTTGCTTGAGTCTATGTTGTTACTTGTAGCGATTGGCTATCAGTGCCTTATCCCGTTTGCTTCCTTGTTTGTTCCCTTTGGATATAGCCACGAGACCTTACGACTGCCACCTGTCGAACAGGTGCCTTGCTGGCGTGGGTATCAACACCCACTGCGTCAAGTTCTCGGATTGGATGCAGGGATGGCTCAACAAGAGCCAGTAAAAAGTAGTTGTCGTTGCGCTGAACTACAACGTTCCTTATTACTGTACGTCAAATACATACTTTTGTCTTATCAAGGAGAATTGGCCGTTGGGGTGGGATATAGAATGCGAAGAGGTTCATTACTGAAGGGTGCCGGACAAAGTTAACCCGAAGTAGGTGTGGTGTTTGTTTGTTGTGAGACGAGAGCCTGGTCGGGACTCTGTGGCCTGGGGCACTACGGATCTAAAAATAATGAAAGTGGGGATCGAGGTACCATGGCACGAGGAGGCTGAAGAAAAAAAGCGCGTCATTTATTTATATACATATTCCTTTGGTGAAGATAACTTGAGACCGAAAGGGTCTAGAACTCGACACCACTCTCGGCGGCGATGTAGGTCCAGATGGCCATGACGGCGGCCGACTGCTTCGCCTGGTCGGGGGTAAATGCGCCCATGGTATCAGCCTCCGTGTGGTGGTAGTAGAAGTATCCGCTGTCGACTGGGCGTCGAGGTGCCTCTTCAGGGTGGGAGTGGTGGCGGTGGCGGCGGTGGAGGTGTTTGCGGTCATGCTTTCCATGGTGCCGTTGGTGTTCCTGAGATTCGTCGTCTTCTTGTTCCAGAGGTGGCTTTGTCAATGCATATGGTGAAGTGGAGTAGGGCAAGGGGAAGGGGTCGGCAGGCATGAAATGAGCACAGGCAACACCCTTTTCGCACAAAGGCTCGATATCAGCTCCACCTCCGTTGGGTAGAACATGGCGTCCAGCTCCTGAGTATCCCAAATCCTCGCGTGAACCCAGAAAGTACTCTCCAGCTGCTGCGAGATAATCCATGGGTGTGATGCTCTTGGGGTCTCTCAACAGATTCCTCTGGGTCTGACTGGGTGTGAATCCGATGCCGTAGGGGTCAAAGACACCAATGTCGGACTCGAATGCAAAGACGTGGCGGCTGTCCGTAGACTCGGGGTGGTTCTTGGCATAAACGACGCCTCCAACCGAGGTGTTCTCTTCTGAGGTCCAGAAAACGACTCTGATAGTCCTGCGAGGAGGTCGGTCCAGTCGGCTAAGTTGACGGATAGTCTCCCAAGCAATAAAGCAGCCAATACCATCATCCACAGCTCCACTACCGACATCCCAACTGTCGATATGTCCTCCAAGAACAACCACCTCCTCGGGTTTCTCCCTGCCCTTCAATTCCACGATGATGTTCCTCGAAACTCTAGCGTCCAGATCGGTTGTTGCTCCCATTACCAGCTTCACCTTGGGCCAGTCAGGGTATTGTTCAGGGTCTTGCTGATGGCGCTTCAGAGACCGCTCCAGCAGGTCAGCATCCTCGGCCGAGATGGAGGCTGTGGGGATCTTGGCAGCAATGGAGCCGCCGGTGTGAGGCGTCTGCAGCGAAAAGGGCCCAAGAGCTCGAACCAAGGCAGCGATGGCTCCATGTTTCTCTGCCCAGACGGCGCCCTCGAGTCGGTACATGTAACTGGTATCATACGAATCAAATCGTCGGTTCCACACCACGACCTTCCCCTTGACCTCGCCTGCTTCGCCCAATTGGTCCAACTCCTCCTTGGACTGGACCACAAGAACCTCACCAGTCAATCCGTTAACGGGGTCAGGTGTGGCAACACTGTATCCGAGTCCGAGGATATGCAACTTGACGGGCCCTCTGGTCGGGGAGAGGAAGTGAAGGGACTCCTGGTTCCGTTGCCAATAGTCGACCACCACATCTTCGGTTGTTACGGACAGGTTGTCGGCCTTGACCTTTCCCACGATCCAGTCAATAGACTTTTTTGGTTGGTTTTTTTTTTGTTTTGCATGATATTTCAAAAGAAAAAAAAAAAGGGAGGTCCTTGCGGTTAGCGCGCATATTTTTCTTGTTTTTTTTGTACTTCGGGGTCATGACCAACTTTGGATTGTTTGTAAAAAGAGTCGGATACCTTTTCCAATGCATCTGAACCGACGATACGAGGTCCATATGTATCTGTCATCTCTGCCAAACGATCCCATACGATACTACGTTTGTTCGAAGGAGAAGAGATGACAGTGCAGCAATGTCAACAAGCGTGGGATATCTTGGAAACAAACTCAGACTTTTTCTCGTTCGCCAACCCCCCCCCCCCCTCATTAGCGTCAGTCAACTATTCATCTCACTTACTTTGATTCGAGAGTTCCCTCGACGATCTGTTCAACAGCCGCATCCATATACTTCTCAAAGCCATACTTTTCCGCAAGACGGCGGTTATGATGTTCATTTTGAGCCCTGTGATGCGCCTTGTGGGCAGCATAGTGGCGGGAAGGACTCCGTTCGTTGAGGATATTGTCGTTATCATTCGAATCATCGTCCAAGGGCATCCAGAAGAGGGTGTAGAAGGCGGCGGCGACGAGACAGAGCTTGAAGAAGCCGATTCGAAGTCGTCGCCTGTAAATTGTTGCATCAATAGCTGTTGTGTCCTTTGAGGAGGAGGCACTGATGGTGTTGGTAGTGGTGTTGGGTGTTGCTGCCGGGTTGGCGGCTGTTGGTAAGAGGGAGTAGTGTTGTTTCTCGCTCATGTCTTGTTTGTTTTCTCTGATGAGAAAGTGAGGAAGAGTTGAGAGATGAGTAGAAGGTTGATCTCTACACTCCCACAATAATATCCACGTGGTTCAACGTACTTTTTTTTTTCTCACTTCCAACGATTCGCAGTCCCATTTCGTCGTCGCTAGACTCCCAGACTCTGACAGAATAAAAGAATCACACCAGGCATGATCGGAGGAGTGATAGTCCATATGCACAGATCATGGCTCTTGCTTCCTCGATGGCTCCAGGAACCACAGTTACCGTTTGTTATGTGTCATGGCGCAACGAAAGCCTTGTTATTTCCTGCCTGGCTATTGTCCTGCCCTTGTTTTGCGCTCCTCAGAATCATGCAAACATGAGTAAGCATGTGCATCCCTAACAATTGCCACCCCTCCTTCGCCAAGGCTTGCATTGCAACTGCTGTGTTAGTATTTGCGTTTGTGTTGTATTTGTGTAAATGCCCCTCTTTATTTTTGGTCCCGCCCATTGCCCACCTTTCTACTTTTCTTCTTCCTCTTCTTTTTTTTTTTTTGCTCTTCGCCACCCCCACCATCCCTCACTCACTCACTCACTCACCCATCCACCCACTTCCCACTTCTTTCATTCAAACAACCATGACCTTCGATCCTAAAGGGTTCACAGAAGTTCTTCTGGACGTGATTCTGTTTGAGTGTGCAAGCCAACCCAAAAACAAATACACCTTCCGCGAACTTGCCTGCGCCTTTTACAACTCCCTTCTATTGCTCCGCTTCGACAGCAACCTCAACTCCTCCTCCAGCCACGTTTACATCCAAAAACACAAACTCTACACCACTCAGGGGCTCATACAATACATCCATTCTCTCCATCGTGGCGGCAACAACGACTACTCTCCCTATCCGAACCACGCCATCCGCAAGGTCCTGTGGAACTCGTTCGACAACGATGCCTGCTACGACGAAGAGTTTGTATATCTCCGAGCCTGCTCCAGTACCGAAGTGGACAACTTTTTCAGCAACTACGCCGAGAAGGTCCCGAGTGCCTTTCATGACTACATTGCCGCTGTGGTCGAACACTTGCGAGACTGCTGTTGGGATGAGCATCGGGGTTCAGGCGGTGTGGGTGTAGTGCTCTCTTCTTTGGCCGGAACGTTGGGCGTGGCAAAGTATTCGATGGAGCATAACGCACACGAACGACTCAGGAGGAGACAATATCTGCCCGACAAGATTGCGCGACAGACAAGCTTCTCTCAACGATTTCAGGTGGCCCAGATGGGGAGGGAGTACCGAGAACGAGTGCGTTTGGAGAGGGAGTACCGGGAACGAGAGCGTTTAGAGAGAGATGTGAGGTTGATGCAGAAGAAGAAGGAGGAAGCGAGACGGATGCAGATGGAGGAAGTGAGACGGATGCAGAAGGAGAAGGAGGACCAAGAACGAGAGCGCATATTGAAGGATATGAGACGGATGCAGAAGGAGAAGGAGGACCAGGAACAAGAGCGTATATTGAGAGATATGAGACGGATGCGTATCATAGAAGGGTATAAGGCCAATCAACAGCGACTTCTTCAACAGCAACTTCAACACATTGATGCGCCCCACCTCGCGGACATCAATCTGTACCTGAACGAGCTCAAGTTGCAGGCGGCAACAGCTGACACCCGACGCAACGTGGAGACGCTTCGTCAAACTCTCGAGACAACCTTGCGCACCCATCCTCGTTTTCGAAACGCCGAAGTCAGTCTCTTCGGGTCATTCGAGTCAGGGCTAAGCACCCTCACCAGTGACGCCGACTTTACGGTGTCCAACCTTATGGGGTTGACCATTGAACCCATACACGACCTGGCCCGGGCTCTTCAGCTATCGGGCTACGGTCCCATCAAGACGGTCGCCGATGCTCGAGTCCCCATTGTCACCTTCACCGGCCAAGGGATCCGATGTGACATGAACATCAATCAGCCCATGGGAGTCTTCAACTCGCAGCTCATCCATGCCTATCAAAAGATCGACACGCGTTTTCTGGGAATCTGGTTCGGTCTCCGCTCTTTGGCGGACAGGCACGGGATTCTCAACGGAAAAAATCGATACCTAACGTCCTATGCGCTCACAATGATGCTGATCGTTTTCCTCCAAGATGTCACTTCCCCACCGATCCTCCCCAGGCTGCAGCAACAAAGCACATACAAGATGACTACCCGCATCATTGACGGGTACCTCTGCGCCTACGACAAGGACGCACGGAACTACTCAGAATTGGCGGCCAAGAACACCAAAACGCATGGAGAGCTGTTGAAAGAGTTTTGTCAGTACTTTGGACACACGTTCAACTACGCGACTCAGGAAGTCAACCCACGCCTGGGTGTGATCAGGAACAGGAGTGTCAAGCCACCTCCTCGGACCCTAACTGACAGTCGACTCAAGGATTGGTCGATCTGTGTGCTGGACCCGTTCATTGCTGACAGGAACGTGACCGGTAACTGCCGCGGCATTAATGTCGCGGTCATTCAAAGGTGCTTTCGGACTGTGCACGACGCTCTTGTGAAAGACGATATCAAGAAGGCGTTTAAAGTATGAATGAATTCAGGAACTCAATAAAAGAGTTGCAAGAGAAAAAGGCATATATCTTTCATTGAATGCGTCTCCGGGTTGGCGGCTGTTGGTATGAAGCAGTAGTGTTGTTTCTCGCTCATTGTTGTTTCTCTGAAGGAGACGTCTGAGAGTAGAGTAAAACTGTTGAAGGTGCCTCTCACTTCCTCTTTCTTCGATCAATTCGCAGTCCCATTCAAAAGTGACTCCCGTCTCTTCCTCAGTCCATTTCATTCATCCACCCTCCCTCATCAACCTTTCCCTCCCTCCATTCTTCCAACCTCCAAACAACGACAGCAACAACAATGGCATACAAGTACACGGCACAGGAACTCGATTCGTACCTCGAATTCGGTGTCCGTCTGGCCCAGTTGGCAGGACCCGTCATCCTCGAAGGCTTCAACTCCCGCTTTTCGCCCGAACGCAGCGCGCTCCTCGTCAAAAAGGGCAACACCGCCGACCTCGTCACCGAGTGGGACCAAAAGGTCGAAAAGATGGTCCGCGCCGAGATTGCCGACAATATGAAGGATCACTCGTACGGCAACCTCTTTTTTCTCACGTTCCCGTTCCTTTGTGAAGGAAACGCTGATCTGCAAAGTTTTAAGGACGCGATACAAAGAAGGAAAGCTAGGGCTAACACACGTTTTTGTTACTTCTCACTTTCTATGTCACGTATGGTAGCTTCATTGGAGAGGAGACTGTTGCTGGAGGAGAGGAGTGTAGACTGACAGATGCCCCTACCTGGATCGTTGACCCCATTGATGGCACTACTAACTTTGTCCACGGGTAAGTTGTTTTTTGTCCTCCTCAACCCAACAAAACACAAGCGTCCTTCCGTTTCTTGCTGCATGGAGGAAGGAGGAAGAAGGGAAAATAGTGGATGATCCGATCCACGTTGTATCGGCATTGGCTGCGACGGAGTAAGCAGTTGTTCAGACCAAAACTAATTCGCCCTCCTTGTTCATGTTATCACGATTACAGGTTCCCCTTTGTTGCTATTTCGATTGGCTTGACGATCAACCAGGAACCAGTCGTGGGAGTTATTTACAACCCCATTTTGAACCAAGTAAAGTTTTATTTATTTTTATCGCGATTAGAACATTGTTTTGTATTCTTCGCACACACTCCCTTTTCTTATCAACCGGGCTAGTTAACAAACTAACGAATTGTACCAACTCACTTACATAGCTGTTCACGGCGGTCAAGGGACAGGGGGCGTACTTGTCCAAGATTGACGAGAACCCCAGGACACAGGGCAAACGCCTGCCGCTCTCTCACCCTCACCCTGCTCCCCCACTGCCCTCGCTGTCGATGGCTCTCGTTGCTGGTGAATACGGATCAGACCGCAAGACAGAGGTGATTGATCCCAAGGTCAAGTCGATGCGCAACCTCTCTGCCAGAGATCCCTCTTCCCTCGCCCCAGGTCGTCCTGTTGGTCACGCCCATGGTATCCGTTGTCTTGGAAGTGCTGCCATGAACATGATGGCTGTTGCCCAGGGTCAGATCGACGTTTACTGGGAGGTCGGCTGCTGGGAATGGTAAGCATCCTTACGCTGTCGTCGTGATCTCTTCGCTTTTCTTTGTTTTCGTATCAATGGATCATCCCTAATTTATCTTTTCTTTTACAATAGGGACGTGTGCGCGGGAGTCATTATTGTGCGTGAGGCTGGCGGAGTGGTGGTGGATGGATGCGGTCGTCAGGTCACGGATGGACAGCTCTTGACTGGACGTCGCTTCTTGACGATCCGCGGATGCTGTGGCGAGGATGGCAGCACCACCCCCGAGGCCTCAGCTGCTGCCCAAAAGAACATCATTGATGAGGTCTGGTCTATTGTCGAGGATATGGAGGCGCCACGCAAGTAGGAGATTAGTTGATTCAATTTCGATTTCTTGCACATAAAAAAGCCACTTTGATTAGTTTGACACCATGCAGTATATGCATGCCCGGCTGAATCTCGAAGGATTTCCAAGTTGTTTGTGGAGGGGTTTCAATTGACACAAAAAAATCGCGTGGATACGTGAGGGCTATGGTTTCTATTTACGACTCTTCTCACACCACTCCACTCCACGGTACTATTTCGTCAAAGTTGCTTCGACAATGTCGCCATTCAAACGACGTACGTTTTCTATAGAGCAAAAAGGCAGCGCCATGGTTACCGTAAATGCCAGACTACATGTTGACTCTCTCTACGCTTTGTGACCACAGTTCTAGTCAATTGAAATACTAGTCGTGCCAGCGCAGCACCCAGGACAAGGCACCAATAAAAAAAAACGAAACCAAAACGACGACTACTAAACGCGCAGCCGACCTTATCGGTAGCCAGCTACAATTTCAACAAACACGCAAAAAAAACTGGATCCTAAAGCTGCTCAATTGACCGTTGACACTTCGATTGCCCTCACCACCAACTATTTCGGACCAGCGAGAACGTCTTTGGATATCGGCGGTGGGGGACTTGACCAAGGAAAGTCGTCAATTGCAGGTTTGCCAAGAAAAGAGTAGATCGGGCTGCTCGATGGATAGCGACAAAATATATATATGGTGAGTCAATTGGGTTTGTTTCCTTCTTTTGAACAATGAAACCAACATGGGAGATATCTTATACGAAACCCCAGTGACATAAAGAATCCCGATCGGAGCGAGAAGGCGACACCGGACTGTATATCGGCACTTTTGGCATCTACAAGAATTTGAGATGAGACCCAATAGATGAAATGAAACGCGAAATGGACGACCTGGACGCAACTAAGATCCTCCGGACTCTTTGGTAGATGTTGTCGAAACCAAATGGTAACTATCATCCGCGACTCTCGGTTGTTTGCATTGCCCAAAGTATGCTATCGTTGGACATTGCTCTGACCTTATATATCTAAACTACATCTCCAAATAGAAACCCTCAAGGTCAATATTCGAAGAGGTCAGAAGCGCCTATTTCATGTCAACATATCCCATGCCCGACGCCCCTGCACCAAGTCGTATCGTCAAAGATGATTGGAAATGCAGGAACGGGATCCGGGTTCCGAATCAGGGGCAACGTACGGCGCGGGGGAAAAAAAATACCTGCGACAGGGGCATATCCGAGGTACACGGCTATCACAAAACGGCAATGACAACTTGACTTCAAAACTCTGTGATCGCCATCACGTCTTTCGTTTTTGTCCGTTTTCAACGATTCGAGCGTTGCATATTTTCTACTATCCTCGAATCGGGCCGGAGAAAGCAAGGAGGTATGTGAAACTCAAGAATAATAATCATCGGTGCCCACCGCCTGCGGGTCCAGCACGTTGCACTCATCAACGTTGCTATTTTTTACGAAAGAAAGTTTGTTGTCGATGATTGAACGCATGCGCTTGCATCCCCAACAACGGTACACGATACCGTAATGTGAGATATTGTTTTTCTCATTGCATCAACAAACTTGACTTGACGCTTCACTAAAAAAGAGCGACATGGCGATTGATCGCGCATCCAACGTCCAATTTACCAACCACTTTTCGATGACTCTCGTACGTTTTATTGCTTGTTCGCATAAATACCATCGACTGAATGCTTTTTCCCACTTCCTTTCTTTTATTCTCTGTGCCAACTAAGGAAATGCGACGAAGACAATAACGAAGCCCTTTTCATTATCCAAGCGCGTTATGACGGATTTGGACAACGAGACCATGGTTTGAATGTCCCCGTTAAACTAGTCACAGGATCCATCGGGTGTCCTTAAAGCACGGCCAGATTTTGGGGCTCCCACGTCCATGGAAGCCAATTTTTTTCTTTAAACCAATAACCCTAAACAAAAACCCATAAGAATCGCACTAACTGTGTATGAAGACCTGGTCGGGACATAAGGGATTTCGGATCCATCAAGGCCTCTTTCAATCCACACATCCCTAATTCCCAACAGATTCACAATGACACGACAATAAAAAAGCAATCGACTGCCAGATTGGTACCTCGGCTGCATGAAAATTCCTGGCCATCCATTCAATCCAAATACACAAAAACAAACATGGATAACCATTCGTTTAGAGGCAATTACAGAAAAGTTTTTTTGTTCAATTGTTTTTTATTTACATTTTTTGATCAGCACAACAGCACCCCGCCCTCTTTTCACCCAGCCAAAATAAAGCAAATTCTCGGCGAAAACAAAACCTCATTGACAACGAATATGAAGAAGGGTGTCCAATCAGCTAGTCAAGGTTGTGACCATCACGACCAGCGCGGAAGAGGGTTTTTACGCCTCGACGGGGCTGACGTTAAAATAAGAGGTGCCAGAAGAGCATAAGAATAACATCATCTTGGGACTTCGTTCTCTTCATTGTCTTTGTCATAGGGTTGTTTCGCTGTCGTCGTCGTCGCTTTGTTTTGGCTGAATTACACCTCTTTATACCCTCTTAACACCAAACGCCCGCCGTTGATTCTCCATTGGTATATAATAAATGCATTTGCATGCCGGGATTCATCCTCGCTCGTCAGTCCTAGTCAACAAGACACCTCAGTAACAGAAGTCGTCGAGATCAACCTGAAAGAGATAGAAAAATGAGACAACAAAAGGATGTTAGAAACTTTTTCTTACACATGCCCCAACGACAGGGCGATGATTACCAATACAAAGGAATGGGGGATGGGTATCTCTCATTGAAATGTTTGTTTATGTTTGTATGTAGGTCAGGGTTAAAAAGCTCTTGAAGAATACTCAACATGGTCTTTCAGTTGAAGAAATTCGTTGTTATAAAACATCATCCGAACAAACGAAACAAACAAAGTGGAGAGATAGAGGGTGCGGGTCTGTCGATTGAGGATTGGATGTGGATGTAGATTGCTTACCATTCGTGAAAAGTAGGGTAGATCGATGTTGTGTATGTGTGGGAAGGGAAAGGGTTAAGGGAAGAGGAAAATAAAAAAGAAAAATTTTCTCAGGTTTACGGATTAAATAGACTCGCGAGATGTGGCTTGGCTGATAAACACACAAAATCAAAACGCGTCCCAAGAACGCGACTGCTGATATAAAAAAAAAGTCAAAATGAAGCTTCATGGGGGACCTCAACGGTCCGAACAGCTTTCGTGCTTTTATTTCGGACCTAGAAAAAAAGCGAAAAAGAAAAGAAAAGAAAAAAAAAGAAGAAAAAAGAAAGAAAAAGAAGGTGCTCGACAGTCTCAAAACTCTTTCAAGGCTGACTGAGACAACGACGGCGCCGATGAAGGAACTAGGACGGTTGTAATCGTAACATGACCACTCAGTTGACTCGCGCTTGTAGACTTGTCACCAAACTCTGAGGAACGACTAGGCTGCTGTCGAGAGTCACTTTGAAGACTCGAAACGCTACTGTGACTCTCCACCCTCTCTTGGTCCAACTTAGCCTCCATCTGAACATTCCGCATCTCAAGTTCTTGTCGCTGCTGGAGACGCTGATGTTCAAGGATAAACTGCTGGTGCTTGTACTCCTCAAATGCTTTGGCGTCCTTGAAACACGGGACGGTCGACGTTGACTCAGGTGCAAATGACTGAACTGGTGACCCACTAAGCGATTCTGGGGCCAGGGGTGGTGGTGGTGGCAATGTTAACGGCGGGTGCTCTTGTAACGGTTGCGGTTGTTGATGCTTGTGTTGTTGCAATGGTTGTGCTTGACCTTGTGGGAGTGGCTGGGGTATTTGCTGCTGGAGTTGCTGTTGTTCTTGTTGTTGTAATTGATTCTGCTGATGTTGTTGATGTAACTGTAACTGCTGCTGTTGCTGTTGAAGGTCTTGAAGGCGCATCTGTTGTTGTGTCGATTGCGATTGTGAATGATGCGACTGTTGACTCTCTTGCTGTTGTTGCTGCTGTTGCCGCTGTTGTTGTTGTTGACGGGCAAGGGGTAACTTTTGTTGCAATATCGCAAAGTGATTCATTGCTGCAAGGCTCTGATCCCAGTTGATGTTTTGCTCAAACCCTTCGTGAGGCATCACAATTGTGGGAGATCCTTGATTTAGCATATCACTCTGCTGGCGCTGAACAACGTGAGGGGATACTGGCTGTGACAATTGTGACGTGGTGGGGAGCGCCGCATTCCAAGGTTGGCCCGGCTGCAAGGAGTGCTGTTGCTGCTGTTGCTGCTGCTGTCGCTGTTGTTGTTGGTGTTGTTGGTGTTGTTGGCCATGCTGGTCAAGCGGGTGCACGTCAAGTGAATTGTTAAAAGTAATTGGCGATAAAGGTGAAAGGGGAGGAGGAAAAACCGGTGACGGAAAGTAGGACGGTTGCGTTTGCAAAAGATCCTGTCGAACGAATTGCGGGTAAGGCGAAGAATGTGTCTGAGGTCCTTGTTCAGCTGATACAGACGACGATGGACCTTGAGAGTGTCTTCGAGGGGAGGCAAGTAACGCGTTTGGGTTTACCAGCGTAGACGGGCTCTCGCGTATGGTGCTTGGTTGCAACATCAACGAGTCCAAACTGTGGGCACGCATCAATAACGGCGCCTCGATGGACGGACTAAGCGTAACGGCCATTGCCACAGAGGACGGTGTCCCCCATACAGGAGGACTCGGGCCACTATACGTTGCTGGCCCATCTACGCTCATAGGAGAAGACGACGCGTCCTTCCCGATAGGAAACTCTCTGATGTCTCTCCTTGTGACAGGTGAGGAGGAAGGAGAAGGAGACGATGATGCCGAGGACGCGGGAGAGGCCGTCATGGGAGTTGGGAAAGAGTCGACAGGCATGTGTTGGTCAAGGGCTGGTGTGGCCGTCATATGGGAGGAGGATGCATATGCTAAGGGCGATTGGTCAATGTCGGAAGCATCGCTCGCGGAGGCATCGAGTGGATGGAGCGAGGTTGAGAGGGGTGTCTCCTCAATCTTGGGCGGCATATTTGAGTCGAATGCGAAGGTAGTTCCCAAAGTTGCATCTTGGCCAGGTTGCCAATGGTATAGGGTGGTATTTTGAGAGGACGGGGACAGATCATCTCCATCAAGCACTGGGACAGTACCCTGTTGTGTTAACGATCTGGAGATATCCTTGGAAATATTTGCAGGCTCAGAGAAGCGTCTTCCAAAGGTCTAGTGAGCAAAAGAACAATGGCTGGGCTATTAATCATCGGTGTCTTCGCTCACTGTATACAGCCGAGCTCGCAATGATGGTTATATACGTACATCTTGCAACGTCACAGGAAGAGACAGACGCGACCGCGCTGGTCGAACACTGTAAGCTGCCCATGTGCGCGACCACGGCGGTTGCTCAACTTGGTGCTGCTGCTGAGCCAAGAGCCTGGGAGTCTGCAGCTGAGGGAGGTGGTAAGGGTCAGCGAGAGAATGGCGATGTTCCGATGCCGATAGATGCGCCCTTCTCAGGTCCTGAACATCCAAGTCTGGTCCATTTGTCTCGTGGTCAAGGGCAACAAGAGAGTCCGTGGGCATCGTCGAGCCACAGCTTTGCTCTCGCCGTTCTGCAACGTGACCTTCCGGAAAGACAATCCCCAACGGCTGCTCTTGCCAAGTGAAGGGACCCACATCTGTCTTGGGGGTGGATGACGTGGATGATTCTGTGGTAGAGGCTTGAATCTCCTGAACAGGAAAGAAAAATTGTTGTTGATACTGCTGATGCTGAAGCTGTTGCTGTAGTTGTTGCTGACGCTGGTATTGGAGTTGGAGCTGAAGTTGCTGTTGCTGAAACTGTTGCTGTTGCTGTTGTAGTTGTAAGCGGTGCTCAAGTTCCTGCTGGTGATGAAAAACGGCAATGCCGCTTTGGTTGACGAGAGTTTGGCTGCTCAAAGATGACGGATCGGGAATGATCTGGAGTCCTTTGTTGAAACACTCAATGAATCCAGGAGGGCAAGAGTTGCGCCGGGCCTGCTGGGCATCCTGAAGGAGCGTCGAATCTAATGCAGGAGAGTCTGGGCTCGAGTACCCCACTTGACTCATGCCCGTCGCCGTCGGCCAGTAAATAACCCCGCCTTGATTTGAAGATCCCGGTGTGGCTGACAAAGGTAAGGACGATGTTGGAAGGGCAATCGTGTTTCCTGATCGACCAGGGGCATCGGGAGGATGAGGAGACGACGATTGCTTCTGAACTTCACGGTCGAGCAAAACCATCGACGAGCCATCAGAAAGTTTCGCCATTGAACTGTCGTCTGTAGGTGGCCGCTGTTGCATCGTCATGTTTATCCAACTGTCCTGATAGACATTTTCTGTGACCGTGTAGTTTCCTTGTTGCATTGGTGACGCAAATGAATCCTGGCTACCAGAGGCTGAAATGTTTGGTCCTGTCGGCGAATGTTGTATGTCGAACTGGACACGTACTCCTGGCTGACCCTTGTTCCTGGGGGTAGTTTTCAAGGACGATCGTCTCCGGCCTTTCCTCGGATCCAAGGACCCAAAATGGCTCGCTTCGCCTGTTGTAACCATGGTGCTCTGCGCCAGCGTCGTACCCTGGCCCGCCATGATATGAGATTGTTGAGTCGAAGAAAGACCTCCCGCAGAACTCACAGTTGGGCTTGATTTTTGTTGTGTCGGCGATGCAGCACTGGCGCAACAGTCGCCACTATTGTCCGTTGCCATAAAGGGGCCCGCTGCGTTGGTTGTGTCGCGTTTCAGTGGTAACTGTCGGGTCACACCAATACCTCCCATCCACACAACTCTGGGTCCAGAATCCTGTCCTCCTTGGTTCTCAATCAAGGTGTGAGGGTTCGTCGCAGACGTCGTTCGTCCGAATACTTGATTGTCTGCAATCCTCGGCTGTTGCTCTGGTGGCGAAAACGTGAACGAAGGGGCATTGACAGATGTCGGCGACCCTGAAAACGACGATGGCGTGTCTCCGTGAACGATGCCTCCCGAGGTGTCAAAAACATGGATGCCGGCCATGGGTGATCCTCCTAAAAGACGGAAGTGCTTGCTCACGCTCTTTCTCCTCTTGCTCTGGACCTCTATTGGCGACACAATGGACTCTGTCTGACTAATTCCATCCAACGTCGAGCTCGAGCTTAGGCCATCCAAGGAGTGCACAGCCTTGTGCCTCGAGCAATGGTGGGACGAAGATAAGCCTGTCTCGTGAATTGAAACCCTACGCGAGAGTGGGTAGGTGCGTGCATGTCCTCGAGTGTCTCCCGCTAACCCCACGTGCCCAAACACTGTTCGCGACAGTTGGGTCCCGCCCATAGCTGCTGTTACCGCTGCCGTTGTCGCCATTGTTGTGGCTGTCGAGGTATCAATGGATGTTGTTGTCCTGGAAAGTGGGGGCTGAGGAGGAAGAGATGGATGAAAGGGTGGTGGTTGTGCGTTATTGTTGATAGTGTTGGTGTTGTTGACTGAGTATGGATGTGGCCGTTGATGGGATATTGATTGCTGAAGGTCGTTCGTGGATGGGCTCGGGTGCTGATCGCTCCAAATGTTTCCTTCTTGGTCGCCGCTCCCTAGGATAGTGGCCGGCATAGACATTCGTCGCAAAAGACTCAGAGTGGAAGGTCGCCGGTGGACAATCGGTATCGTCGAAACGGCTGGAGGCAACCCTTGAAAGTTTATTGTCTTTGAGTTTCGCCTTCTTGGGGAATCTACCGTTGTGAGGCATTGAAAGAAAAAGAACGGCAATCATCAGACCCAGACCATGAATAATAATAGGGTGTCGTAGAAACAAAATACACCCAAAAAAAAAAAAGGTAAGTCGCCGATTTGAACCTTGACAAAACGGCGTGAGAAAAGTATGACTGTACCTTGACTTTTCTGGAGTGTGCCAGGCCGCCAGGCGTCTCGAGTCACGACCGGAGTGTCCACGAATCGGGGTTGGTAAATGGGCTGTCGAGCAGCTGGTCCGAGGGCGGAGAGCGATGGTGAGCTGAAAGGGTCAACGGATGGAGCATGGCACGACTGGAAATTGGTTGATAGGTTATGCGCGCCTGCACTACTCCACATCTGTGAACGACCCCACGTATCTGCGTCGAGCGTGGATTCGTTGTCGTTGGAATTGCCTTGAAGGTGGGTCGTATCCGCTTTAACAGCCAGCGATTCGATGGATAGGACGGATGAAGAAGAAAAGTCGGACGCCATACTGTTCGATCGTGTTGCCTGGGCCTTACTTGTTGTTGGTGGCTCACCAAGAGCGTTGGAACTCTCGAACGTTCGAGTGGGAGCATAACTAGCGGAATCTCCTTCGATGGGCCCAGACTCGTCTGGGGCAAGAAGTGGGTCACCCTCTAGTCCGATATCGTCCTCCACTTGTGTGTCATCCGTGCTGGGGTTAGGGTTGGCTTGGTGGACGGCTGTGTTGGCCTGCTTGTTCTTGGCGCGCCTATTCTGGAACCATACTTGAATTCCGCGAGGGGTCATCGAGAGCCGTTGGGCAAGCTGTTGGCGTGTGCTGGCATTAGGCTTGGGGTTTTCAATGAATGCCTTTTCCAGGGTCTTGAACTGACTGCGGGATGTTCGCCGACGGCGCTTGATATCATAGGGATTGTAAAAGGCTGTCCGTAGTTCGCCGTGTGGGGATTGATGTTCCAGGTTGGATGACTCTGTCATTGTGAGACAGGAAGGAAGTAAAAAAGATAAAAAGACTCGCTCCTCTCCTATTCTCACCACTAAATAATTATGTGAATGGGAAATGAAAAGGAATAAAAATAAATGTCGATGAGACGGCGAGGATTTGATAACAGCCACCGTTTTTTTTTTTTTCGTGGGCGCAATCCGAACCAGCAAAAAGGTGGAGTGGTGGCGAGGAACAAGAGGCGGTGGATTAGCTTGTAGTCAGGCTGTAGAATAGAGGAAAGTCAGGCCGAGGAAGAGGGCAGACATGGGTGGAGGGAGGTAAAGAAACAGGAGGGAGGTAAGGATGCAATGGTGCAAGACTGGTGAGGTTAATGGTCTATGAAGTAATCGAGGACAAACAAAGAGGATGAGTGGTATGTGGTGTAGAGTGATTAAACAAGGTTTGCAAGGGGTTCATTGAGGAAAAAGAAGAAGGAAAAAAAATTGACTATTGTCTACTTGTGAAGGTGTGCAAAGACGAAGAAGGCACGGAAGGGCAGGAAGGTGAGAGGGGCAGAGGAAGAGCCGCAGGGATAGAGGAGGAGGGATAGTGGGATGGGATGAGATGAGGGCGAATAGAGTCAACAACAACCACAACAACAACAAACAATACACTCTCTCGATAACCGAAGTGTAATCATCTTGCAGACTTACTCACACTCCTTCTCTCACCCCCAATCCTTATCCGAACACAGGCATGCACACGCACATTGAGATGGCGAGAGTGAGAGTAAGAGAAGAAGAGAAAAGAGAGAACGAGGGGAAGGAGATGGACAGTTACAACCAGGTGTCTCAATATCGTTCCATTCTCACTTGCCCACTCCTTGGAAATCACCAATCTCGCCTTCCCCTCTGTTGTTGAGTGCATTGGAGAACATTAAAACCAACTGAAGGAGAAAAGAAAGAGAAAGGGAGAGGAGGGATAAAGTAGAAAATAACTAATCCGCGGCAGATGCCAAACCAAACATATCTTCTCTTTTCTTTCGATTTAGGAGTATGGTCGGGTTGCTCGTGAGAAATAAAGTACTGTTCAGGTCGACCAATTCTCTTGTTCTCTGCCTTCTCACTTTGTTTTTCACTCAATTAAAGGCCCTTTGATTCTCCGACTCTCTTCTGTTTTCTTCAGGTTCGAACAACACAGAAGGACTAAAGATGAATGTTCAACAACCAAGAATAAACAACAACCACACAGGCAACAACGACAACAGAGATTATTTTTGTTTTGGCGACACAAAATTTATGTGGACGAGGTGAGAAAAAAAGGAGGAAAACGAATGTGCCCTGAGAGAGCGCATGCAAGGAGGGATACAAATGTGGGTTGTGCTGGGGCGTGAGCAATAAATAATAAGCGCGAGAGCGAGAGTCGGTCGTTTTCTGGAAGAGGGAAAAAAACGAAGGAAAGACACGGAAGATGGGGTCACTTTGTCAATCCAATTTCAAGTACGAGAGCGAGGGTGGGCAACAAAAGGTTATGGTGTAAAGCCTTATAAACGGGCAAACCAGCCACGGGATTGACCGAGTAAGCGAATGCATGCAACGTTGCTTGGAAAGGTGTAAATAGCTCTTCTGACAAGGGAAGGTGAAGGCGGAGGAATGAAAACAGTAAGGGATAGGAGAAGAGGGGAGGGGAAAGATCGTGTGGTCGATGAGCGGACGTTTAACGCAAAATGTCGAAGTATGGCTTGAGTCCGGTGGATCGTGATTTTGGTTGAATGGGCGATGGCCGATATGGAAGGTGAGATACATGAAAGAGGATGAGTAGAAGATAAATTACCTATGGTGTGTTTGGCGATGGATCGTAGCGAAGGGTATCCAGGGGTTGAATGGGTGTTACTTATTGTCGGATGGTTGTAAGGGGTAACAGAGGAGAGGGAGCGAGGGGCGTTGCTTGTGCTGGTAGGAGGCGAAGAGTGGTGAGGGTAAAGGTGGTGGTGGTGACGGCTCGAAAGGAGGGAGGAGTGGGAGAAAAGTCTAGGAATTGGTGGATTGGTGTGGTGGTATGGTTGTCAATTGTCAGTTGGCCAGAGAAGAGGAAGAGACGAAGACGAAGAGGAGGAAAGAAAGAAAGGGAATATCAGATCTCGCTGTTTGATAGCAATTGAAGAAGACAACAAGCAGTAATTGTCGATGCCGATGTCGATGTCGATGATCAATGTTCACGTCCATGGGTTTGAGAGCATGGTGCGATAAGACAACAGTTTCTCGATTTACCAGAATGAGCCGAGAGGGAGAGGGAGAGAGATGAACCCTTGTGTCCGAGGATTAGGTATGGCCAATGTTGTTGCTGCTGTGTTTTAAAACATGAACCAATTGCTGCAAGTGCACGAAGGAGGGAAAACGGAAGGGAAGGGAATACGAAAAGGGAAACAAGAAAAAGAAGCAAAGATAAAGAAAAAAGAAAGAAAAAAGCGCAAAAATCAAATGACAAAGAGCGTTACCCATTCAACCAAAGGGCGAAAAGTGAAAAGGAGAGACGAGACGGAGAAAACAAAGAGTGCAAGAGAGGAATACCGAAATATTAACAATCGCGCGGACACCAACACTCAGGCAAGAAAGAAGAAAAAAAGAAGCCACTGAATAAGCTGAGGGGACACAAGGTCTGACAAATGGGCCAAGTGAGAATTGACCAGTACGATTGTTTGTATCCGTTACGTGAGCAAAGTGCATTGACAAAAGGGAGAAGGAAGGAAGGCTGTCGTTTGCTGCCGTTGATGTCGTTGTTGCTGGTATTGTTGTTGTCAGAATTGAAGGAGAAAGAAAGGACAAGGGGACGATAGGGAATTCGACTGGCGTACCTTACAGTTGCAAAGGACAAAAAACTCCCTTTTTCATTTCGTTTCGTTTCTTAACCCGCCATACTTCGTCCTTCTATCGCGACGGTTCACCGTTCTTCTCAATCATGGTTTTTCGTTACTTTTAATGTTTTTTTTTTTTTTTTTTTTCATTTCTTTCATTCTTCGATAGCTGATAGCAGGACCACTGACAATGGACGGTTGTCATTGACGCGACGAATGAACGAGACGCATTGTTCAAAAGGAACGACCATAACAGAAAACAAAAAAAATGAGCGTGCGCGTGATTAGGCCTTGATTGGACGACGGAGGAATCGCGAACGGCATATTTTTATTTCCTTTGAAGCGAAAAAGGGAAAGGTTATGCACAAGGACAACGAAGGAAGAGGAGAGGGAGGTGAAAGAGAAAAGACGAGAAGAAAGGAAGAAATGAAGAGTGGGGTGGATGGACACAACAAAGGCATCAACAATGACTTTGACAGCAACACGAGGCATGGAATGATATCGCACAAAGATAAAATAAAACGAAGGGAATAATGCCCATCCGTTGATGAATTGGTTGGGAGGGAGAGGTGAATGTGGTCTGAGGGTCTGGTCCTCGCTTTTTTAATTTGTTTTGCTTTTCTCAATATTGTTGTGTTAATGACAAACAAAGGCTCCTTTTCTTCCATTACTTTCTTTTCTTACTCTTTCTTGACGCGGTCCGAAAGCGACTTCATTGACCAACAATGGAAAAGTACAACAGCAGCGGAACCCTTGAATAAAATCGAATTGACACTAACGATCTTCCCTGCTTTGTTCTATGTGTTTTTTTCTCCTATTCCGCCGCACACCAACCAACCAAAAACCTATCAAGTTTGTCCAACTGTACTCTAGCAAACTGTACAAAATATCGCCGGGCATGTCACTTCTTGTCACCATGGAACTCCACACGCTTTTTCTTTCTTTGACTCCGTCCTTCGCTCTTCCATCCGAGAGGTGAATGAGAACAGAAAGGAGGAAAGCGGGGAGAGAAATCATGACAGCAACATTGAATCTTTGTCATTGATGCATCTATTTCTTCTCATCTACTTCACATGCTACAGACGCATGCCGGGTAAGTCGTGCGATGGAGAAATGACATTTGCAAGAATGGCAAAGGAGTTTTCTTGTGTTCTCCTTGACTAACGCGAAGAGGAAAAACTTAAAACTGCAATCGGGCAGCTTGGCCACTCTCATTTTCGGGAGTGATTTCCTCAGATGAGAACAGGGGTGACTCGAGAGCAAATACTGATGGATTAGGGGTGGAAAGCAATAAGAAAACATACCTTCTCGTAATGGTGTGAAGGCACTCCACCTTCGAGAGTGTGGACCTGGATGGACCAAGGACAGGCTGGATCAGAGTGGAGCGATCGAGACGCGAAACCCTATTCATATCTTGCCGGTAAAAGGAATCGTTTTTCTTTGTTGTTGCTTTTGTTTTCTTGTGCTTTTTTTTTGTTTTCACCCTATTGGTGTGTTTTGTTTGTTTGGTCCCATTTACCTTCTGGCCGATGTTGGTCTGTCCTGGGTCTGTTCTTACTTGCCGATGAACGACGGTCGCTTAGATGGATGTGAATGTTTACGAGCTTGATCTCTTCGTTTTCTCAATTGGCGTCCCTGCAACCTCTCCTCTTTTTTCAATTCATTAGGCGATGGATGTTGGTGCAACAACACCGGATAGGTTTACGTTCCTGAATTGTCACGCCATGGCACGGATGAAAAGACGCTAAAGAGGGAGCTTTTTTACTCACACCCTGCTTTCCCGAAGAGACACAATCGCGTTATCCATCGCCGTCCAAAAGAGCAATGGGCACCAACAAAACAACAACAAAGAAAAAGAAGGGAAAGAGGAGAGAGAAAAGGAAACAGGGAGGGGACTCTCCTTCCTCCTCACCCTTTGCTTCATCCCCATTCCCTGTACTTTCCCTTGACGTTCCCATCATACCCCTCGCCGCTTGTTCTCGGACTTGAACACAAAGGCAAAACGACAAAAAAAAAATAAAAATAAAAATACAAACAGGTAACCTACGCGTGAGTATGTGCGCCCTCCTCACGACTATGGGGAAAAAACGCACAAACACACAACTGACCCTCTCCACCCACTAAACTAATTGTGAGAGCATGAGAGCGTCCGGTCCGTCTTGACCCTTTTTTGTCTGTCGCGCGCTTCGAGTAAGTAGTCGGAGACACAACAATAAAAAACTTGACAAAGAGTACATGCCTTTTCATTGATGTACCCTTGCATGTTCGTTTTACTCATCATCGGCTGCCCGATTCTCCTCTCCACACATGTAAACACGCAATTTTGTCGGTGGAAGGAATTAGGAGAGAGGAGGAAAGCCAAGGGAAGACTGACAATCCTAACCTGCCCAAGCGCTGGTCCTTTTTTTGTCGACAGCCAGCATGTGATGGCATAGTGCTGCAGGTTTTGATGGAAGGAAACACGCGATTAAAAAAGACAGCAGGGTTAGGTGTAAAAATGGGTGGGAAGTTATTGTGGGGTGGGAAAATTTCTAACTAGTCAAATTTCTTTGTTCTCCTCCCTTCGCCCCATGTTTGATTTTTCATTCAGGTTCGATTTGGGCGGATCATTTTTTTGTTTGGTTTGCCAAAGCAAGGAGATGGTTCATTCATTCATTTGCACATGGGAAGGAGGAAAGGGAAGATAGAAGGAGATAGAGAGGATTGAAGATAGGTATGCCAAAAGAAAAAAAACAAAGTTGAGGGATGGATCTTTTGAAAATGCTTCCCGCCCACTTTCCCTATTTTGGCACGTCAGTTTTCACCGTTTGGTGTTTTTTCTTGTCGGACCCATTAACTGGCCTGGACTGGGACGGCGATTATTTTTATTAGTTCGTCCTAAAAGTCTGGGAACAGATCGCGGAAGTCTGTGGCCATGTCTTCATCGTGGTCCTTGTCGGACAAGGATGGACTGGATGCTGCAGAGTCCGAGTTGACCTTGCTGTTGCCCTTTGGCCCCTTGATTTCGTCGTCATCGTCGTCCTCTTCGGGATAGAAACCAAAACCTAGAAAAATGAAACAAATAAGCGTTGTTGTTTGGTGTTAGTCGTCAGTGGTCTGATCAGCAGAACAAAATAATAATGGTGGCAAACACGATGAATAGAAGCAACAAGCCAGTTGACTTACAGCTGGCATCGCCGTCCCATTTGACATCAGGGACAAAGGGCGCAGCGATCTCTCTCCTCAAGACCATCGACCAGTCAACACCCTCGAACCATGGATGATTCCTGATATCATGACATCCATCTCTCAAGTTTCCATACCGCTTGGTCAAGTCTGACACTAACAGTCGTTTCAACAGATCCTTGGCGAGTGCGTCAAAGTACTTGGGATACCGCATCTCCCCATCAACAATCTTTTGACACATCTTGAACAGATCGTCGTCGTAGAAGGGCGGGTAACCCGCCAGCATCTCAAAGATAAAGATCCCAAACGACCACCAGTCGGCCGCCTTGCCGTAGCCCTTAGACTTGATCACCTCTGGAGCGAGGTAATCGGGCGTTCCACAGAATGTCCATGCAGTGTCGTTGTCGGCCAGGTGCTTGGCAAACCCGAAGTCGGTGATCTTGACGTTGCCCTGCGCATCGATCAAAATGTTTTCGGGCTTGAGATCGCGGTAGATGATGTTGTTGCCGTGGAGATATTCCAGCGCCAACAGTACCTGGCACGCATAGAACTTGGCCACAGAGTTCGAGAATCGCTATTTCGTCACAAAAAAAATGAGGAAAACAGGCAATATGATGTCGATGTTAGTCAGGCCCCCTTCACCATGCTTATTGCTTTATAGCACCATATATCTTTCTTGCATTTGCTTTCATTTCTTGTCTCTTACCTGCATGCGACGTAACACGCTAAACAACTCTCCTCCGACGACATAGTCCATGACAATGTACAAACTGGCATGATCCTGGAAGGTACCCCAAGTCTTGACTAAGAACGGATGTCGAATCTGTTCCAGAATGCGCTTCTCCTCGTTGACGTGCTCGATTTGGTTCGACTGGACAATCTGTTTCTTCTTGAGGACTTTGAGGGCGTAGAAGCGAGAGTTGTAGATCGACTGGACAAGATGCACCCTTCCACAGGATCCTGTTCCGATGGTTCTGTTTATCGTAAAGTCCACCAGCTGGAAAGGCCTTGGTTTGACAGCAATCAGCTCCTGGGTTTGGAAATTAAAGTGCTTTTGTTCAAACTGGAAGGGCTGGGGCGAGACCGTCCTGGAGGAGTAGGACGACTGTCGGCTGGTGTTACTGTTTGAATAGCCAATTTGCTGTTGCTGTTGTGGGTAGTGATGTGATGATTGGTACTGTTGAGGTGGTGGTGGATGGTTTTGGTAGATATTATGTTGTTGTTGGTGCTGCTGATGCTGATAAGGGTGCGACTTTTGCATGTATGGTTCCTGCTCATACATTCCATAGGGCTGGTGTCCCATTGGTCCGTAAGGCACATTATTAGATTGTTGGTATGGTGCATGGTTCTGGAACATGTGATCCTCCTGACGGTGACCCTGACCCTGGGGAGTGTAAAATGTCGGCTGGTGCTTCTGCTGCTGGTGTTCGATGGTGTTATTGTTGCTGTTGTTGTTCTCAGGTCGGTTGGAAGGGGATTGCTGGTGTTGACGCTTGTCCCAACGATTCGTGTCGACTGGGGGTTCGTGCCCAAATCCAACCTGCTGGAATGTCGGATTTCCGATTGGGGAAGGAAGGGGCGAAGTCCCGGACTTTTTTCTGTCAGTATCCGTCATGGGTTTCCCTCCCTGGCCCTGATAGCCGTGGAACGATTGCTGCTGCTGCTGGCTGTCGTATTGATTGGTTTCTGCAGAGGCTGGAGTGAGAGAGTTATTCCTGTTGGCTCCTTGGAAATAGGATGGTTCCTGCCCAGAGACGTCCATCAGGTGCTCGCCAGCTGTGCTGTAATTGACGGGGAAAGGTGTTGCTGGCGACTCTCGTGGGAGAGGGCTGGGCTGAGAATGGCTCGGTCTGTTGAGAGCCTGGTTCTGTCCAGACGCACGGTGGGAGAGTTTAGCCTCAGAGGCGGACGTTCGGAGCATGGGAGGCTTTGTGGCACCACCACCTGAGGTAGCAAAGGTTGGAGAAGGGAAGGAGTGGGTCGTGCGCCCACTGCCCTCGTTATGATTGAGCTGACGACCGTCTTCGGAACGAACACGAGCCCTTGGTGGGTTCATGCCATTACCTAAAAGAGCTGCCTTCATCTTTGCACCCTCGCTCATATGATCCGCCGAGAGTGGTCCTTGCATGTACTTTTCTTGGAGATACATTTGCTGTTGTTGCTGGAAAGTGAGTGTTCCCGTGGAAGAGACAGACGATGCCGAGTTTGGGCCTGGGTCGCGGATATAGAGTGAGGGAGTCGGGAAGGAGGAGAGCATGTTTTGAAAGTTGTTCTCCTTGCGAGGGTAGGGTGATGTTGGTCGTGATGTGGATAGTTTTCTGGAAGATGCTGTTTTTGGCCAAGGTGCTTGTTGGTGTTTGAGATTGGTGGGCGAGGTGCCACTTTGATTAGAGCTGGGCTTGGAATGCCCTTGGGTATCTTGGATCGGAATGGTGTTCATGAAGGGCTTGTCAAAGTGGTGGATGAGATGGTCAAAAAAAAAGAGACAGAGCAAAAATGAGGAGAATCAGGAAAGGAGGGTGGTTCGTCGTGCGATTGAAGGAGAAGGAAGGAGACTTAAAAAATATGAAAGGGAAAGGATCTTTGTGTCAGGAGAAAGGGGGCTTGCCACAGTCGTAATACCAAAGTGTCCAATGGTTAAGCTGTGTGTTGAAGGGTCTGAATTGTTGAAGTAGTTGTCGATTGCCGTCTTTACTTGGCGAGGTTCGACACTTTCGTTGTGTCTATTGCCTCTGGAGAGTTTTTTTTCTAAGTAGGACCAAGAGGGAGGGAAGAAGCAGAGAGCGAGGAAAGTATGAGCAAAAGTGAGATCGAAGCGTTTTGAGTCAAGGCAACAAGAGCAAATTGCGACTAAGAATGCGCAAGAACGAGAGGTGAGGATACGAAAGAGCGAGACAAAATGGGAAAACAAAAAAACACGGATGCTCAATTGCCTCCACATTCTTCGAGAGAGAAAGAGGAGAGAGAGAGGGGACAGGGGAGAGCCCACAAGATGCAGAAAAAAAAGAACGAGTGGTTGCCCAACTTGCAGTCGGGAGTGATTCAATCGTCTTTATATACTGTGAAGCCTAATTCGTGCTTTGCAAGTTTGCAACGCAGGGTCGCCCCATCCATGCCTTTCAAAGAAAGGACACTGGATAAAAGATATTGAGTGAGAAGCATAGCACGAAAAGTCGAATTGGGGCGAGGGAGGGGGATTGAGGTGCAGCTCCTTTGACAAAAGGATCCGAGGGTCGCGTGCAGGTGAGATATGTGGGCGAAGGGGATAAAATACGACGAGAGGGCGAATGAAGAGTGAATAACGACTGAGGCATACTTTGTATGAGTGGATAAAAGTGATGAATGCTAGGGATTCAAGGGAGGATCGGGATGTGTATCGATGATATAGCCAGGGCACTGAGACGATGACGATGGGGTACAGAGGGGAGCAGAAGAGAGTTGGAGGTGGAAGAAGAAGGATTTATGAAAAAAGATGGCGTGAGGAATGAAGAAGAGAGAAAAGAAGAGAAAGGAGAGGAAAGGAGACGAAAGAAAAAGAAGGGAGAAAGGAATGGATGGTCTGTGGACAGTAAATCGTGGTTGAGCTTCGTATGGCTTCGACAGAGGAAGATGATTGGATTGGTGGAGGAGGAAGGGATCCAAACAGAAGAGGAAACATAGGGAGACAGGCCGACAGAGAGAAGGAGGGAGAACCATTCAAACACAGACAGAGCCATACAATAAGCGGGAGAGTACGAATGGGCAAACACAATTTGCGGTATCAATGGTACAGGCGGTACGACTAACGTCTCTTCCCTCTTAAAACTTTACAATGAGCAAGATGAGCAAATCCATATAGAGCCAAGGACGCACTCTTCTGGCTTGACGAGGGAACTGACTGAAGCTCCTCTGGGACGACCTGCCACTGTAGTCGATGCAATGGTAATAATATATGAAAGCGAGATATACATAGCAAGCGAGCGAGAAAGAGGGAGAGAGGGAGAGAGGGAGATAATGAGAGAGAGTGAGAGAAAGAGAGAGAGAGATGAGAGGGAGAAGGACATGGTCCAATGTTCATTCTTAGGCCTGTCGCTTCTCCTTTCCGACAATTTGGTTGCTTTTTTATTCTAATCAGCGGCCTCCTCCCCTTCTCCCGCGTTAAAAAAAAACAAAGCAAGATGTCACCAAAGAACGGTGTCTGTTGTGCCTGTTCAAGAAACATAAGGCACTCCTATCGTTGCATCTCAGCGCAAAGGGATTATCGTTTACACGGGCACAGACAAAATAAAAAGGCAAGAGTTAAAAAAATCAAACTTGGGAGGTGACATGCAGATTTGCGAGCTGGGGCATTGGGACATTCCTGCAGCTGTGTGAGTGTATGGTATGTGTGTGTGTGTTTTGCCTTTGCTCGAAAATCAAGGGGCGGATTGCTTTGTCACTGGGACCATGTCTACCTTTTCCACCTCCGCCCAAAATACGAGGAGCTGAACAAACCACAATAACTTAAGGAGAAGAGGAAAATGAATGAGAGGTATCATAGAAGGATTGAGACAACAAACAAATGAAGAAGACTTTGAAGAAGTGGAGCTAAAGGAGGAAGGAAGAAATGGGAGGATATGATAAGAAGGAAGGAATCTCCACGACCCCAGAAAGGGCTCACAAGGGTCTAGATGAGGCATCAAAGGACCGCCAATGACACCGTCCAAAACTCTGGAATGATGGGCCTGTTTGTTGGTAAGCGAAGTAATAAAACTCTGGAGCTGGAGAAGTAGAAGAGGAGGAAGAGGCAAAATATAGAAGACGAGGGGAAGAAAGTCGCTTTTTTTCTGTTTCTGCAAAAGTGAATATGGGAACAAGATCATTGAAGTGCAGATGGTGAAACGAGTGAGTGAAACGATTGAAGGAAAGAGGGATGGATACAAACAGCATGCACATGAGATAGTACCGTAAGCGAGTAGAGGACAAATCGACAGTAGAGGATGGAAGGTGAAAGCGAAAGAAGAACAGCAACGCCATACACACGAATAACCTACCAACCATTCTCCATGTCTTTGCATTTGCCCATTATGACGACCATGTAGGATTTCTGTGGTCACTGATCAGATCAATGAATGAGACCAAAAAGGTTTTTTTCAAACCACGCGTATTTCATTTTGAGAACCACACAGCATCAATATCTCCATTTCTTTTGTAGGAGAGACAACAACAAACAAACGTAGGGTAACAATCTTGGGTTAGGTACGCATTCTCCCTTTCTCCCGTGATTGGTTCTCTTGATAGATGCCCAGTTCCAACTCAACATGCCGCGGGAAGGGTGTCCCATTGCAATGCCTGCTCGTTCATGTCGCCCAAAAAAACGTGGGCATGTGCAGTCCCTGAACTCAGCTTTGGAGAGGAGGTTTAAAATGCGCTCTCCTACTTTTTTCTCTCCTTTCGCGCCTCGACGCCAATTGACGGTTTGTGCTTGTCTTGTCTCACGCAATGGAAAAATAGTTCCTCGCACACACGTCCCCGCACAAACCGGCTCGGTCGATAAAAAAGCATGCTCTCGTCCACTTTGACCTCACCAAAAACGAGTGTCTCTCCCTTGCCACGACCCTGGCTTTCGACGTTCTTCAACCCCCAAGGCCACACTTTTTTGACATTCAAACCCCATCCAAAAACACATTACTTCCATCTCATCTTTCTTTCACCAGTTCATTCTTCCCCCACTTAACATCTCACCATTACCTCTCTCCTAAACTCCGCATACCTCGTTTTACTTTCCTCAACTATCTTTCACCATGGTTTTCGCAAGCGCCAACATTGGATTCAAACAAGACGTTCCCCAAGAACAAAACGTCTTCCTTGAAGACCCTGTCATGGTCTCGGTTCTGGAGAGATACTTACCAGAGAAGATCCTTAACGAAATCTCTCCGTAAGTACCCAATCCTTCCCTCTACTTTTACTTTTTGTCGCTTTCTTCTTCCAGATGAAGCTGGAATGAAGACGGGAGAGACGGCGGGCTCTTACAGAAAGCCCTCCCCACTTCATATGCACTGCCTCTTTTTTGTTCTCACCTTCCACTAAAGTACGGGTGCCTATTACAAGAGCTGACGGATTGACGACCATTGTTCTTTTTCTTTGCATACCATAGTGATCTTATTCAGATCAGCGACTGGTCTAACACTGGTGAGTGTGGACAGAAACAACGCGCCTTTGCAAACTCGCTCCACATTCATGTTACCTTGCTTTGAACACGTTAAAGTAACACTCTACACGTGATCATTTAATTAGAGGGTGCTGCATTGACCGCCCGCATGGAGGAGGATCAGCCTCGCCTCCGCCAATACGACTCCTGGTGCAGGTAAAGACTTGCTTGTAGTCTCGAAGTTCAGTCTGACGTTCTGTTAATATGTATGTATGTCTGTATGATGCTAAGACACCTTCATTTTTTTTTTGGGAAAATAGACGCGTTGACGAGCTGTTAGTGACTGAAGCCTGGAAGAAGCAAAAGGAGATTGCGGCCCGCGAGGGAGTTGTCGCCATTGCCTATGAGCGCAAGTACGGCGAGTATTCGCGTATGTACCAGATGGCCAAGTTGATGCTCTGGACCTCGGGTGCTGGTCTTTACAGCTGCCCTATCGCCATGACAGGTAATCACATTTATTGTAATCCTCGTTCTTATATGACTTTTTTTTAGCCGATGGGTTGACTAACGTAGGCACCCTTTCATTATATTGAATAGATGGCTGCGCTCGTGTTCTCGAGCTCAATGGTACCCAGGAGATGAAAGAAACTGTCTACGAGCGTCTCATCAGGTATATTGCCGTCACATCCCCCCGATGTTCTCTATCACATCTCTGAATCTCCTCTCACAGTTGCTTTCTTACTTTGCCACTCCGTAGCCGGGACCCTAAAAAGTTCATCACCAGCGGTCAATGGATGACAGAGCGCGCCGGAGGCTCAGATGTCGGCCGCACCGAGACCCAAGCCGTCTGGGACGAGACTCGCAAATGCTGGTTGATTTCTGGGTTCAAATGGTTCTCGAGCGCCACCGACGCCGATGTGACCATGCTTCTCGCTCGCACCCACGACTCCAACCCATCCGCCACCCCCGGCTCCATGCGCGACGGTAGTAAAGGTCTTTCGTTGTACTTGGCCAATGTCCGTGATGGGGACGGCAAGCTGAACGGGGTTAGGATCCATAGGTTGAAGGATAAGGTGGGAACCAAGGCTTTGCCAACTGCCGAGTTGGAGTTGGATGGGATGATTGCTCAGCAGGTGGGGGATAATTATCGAGGTGTGAAGAATATTTCGGCAATTTTGAATATTACGCGTGTTTATTGTGGCATGGGATGTACTGCTGCGATGCAGAGATTCATCCTTGCCGTCAAGGAGTATGCCCGTCGTCGTGAGGTAAAGTAACCGTGCTTAATGTCATACTGGATGAAGACTTTTGTGGGATGCATTGTATTCCATGTACTTACCGCCTTACACCATGCGGATCAAATTGATTTCTACGATAGGTGTTTGGAGCACTGTTGAAGGACCAGCCCTTGCACCTGGCAACCGTTGCAAATATGGAGCTCCAGTACCGTGCCACCAGCCAGTTTACATTCTACTGTATCGCCATGCTGGGCCGCATCGAATCTCTCGACAACAACCTGCCCCGGGTCAAGGACCAGGACATCCCTCTCCTCCGTCTCTTGACCCCCATCTTGAAGGTCTGGTCTGCCAAAAACGCGTTTGCAATGTCGCAGGAGGCCATGGAGTGCTTTGGTGGCCAGGGTTACATGGAGGAAACTGGTCTGGGCCGTGCTATGAGAGATGTCTTGGTCAACACCATCTGGGAGGGTACTACGAACGTCCTGTCGTTGGATGTCCTCCGCGTCATGGCCGAGACTGGCGGTGATGCCTTGGACCTCTTTGCCGAGGTAACGTATCCTTATCATTTCTTATTTTGATGTTTATCTGACTCAAAGCGTCACTCATACCTGACAGGATCCTTTCTTATCTATCGCTCATTCGAACATATAGTCGGTCCGCGGTATTTTGGCGCCATTGAAGGACCAACCCCAATGGAGCAAGTCCGCGAGGAGCCTCGAAGACTGCCTGGCCTTAATCTCACATCACTTCACCACCTACGCAACCCTCGAGACCCGCAACTTCTTGGAAGCCTCAGCCCGCGGCCTCACCTTCGCGATGGCCGATGTGATTTCTGGCGCCCTGCTCTGCCAGCACGCTGCCTGGTCCGCTGTCAAGGCTCAAGCCAACCCATCCAACAGCATCGTCGCTTCCGAGGCTTCTGTCGACCGTATTTCTGCCCAGAGATGGTGCGAGGGTCTGGAAAAGAAGTTGTCTTTCCAGATCGGGGGTTTGGGAAGTGAGACTCGATATGATGAGGACAAGTTGATGCTGTTTGGTCTGGCCGATGCCCGTACCTCTCACACCATCACCGTCCAGGTCCCCATTGCTTCCAAGCTCTAAGTGGTTCCTGAACTGAGAAGTGTCCTCTGAACGTGCACATATTTTCCGTTTCAAGTTGTATTAAAACTGCAGTTATAACATATATCGATATGTATCCTGTTTTATTGGTATCTTCTTCCTGGATCCAGGCTCGTCTACTTTCTCTTTCCTGGTGGTGGAGGAGGAGGAAGTAGTGCAGGAAGCACTATTGAAAAACAATAACAACATAGGTGGGTTAGATGCTGTAAGTTTGTTACCACCTGACAACAAAAAAACAACAACAACAGATAAACAAAGATGATAGTGACCAGCCTACCTCCTTCGTCAGATGCTGCGGGTCGGGGTGGACGATTCCTACGCGTAGAAGCTCCGGTACCGCCGCCTGCAATGGTCAAGTTCAAAGTCTGGCCTTCTTTTAGCGAAAAGTCCAGTTTGGGCTGTTGAACGCCAGACTTCTTTTGTTCTGCCGATCGTTCCTCTGCCGCCAAATGCCTAAAGCAAGTTCACACGAAGCAAAAGGTCAGTCTGACGAAAAATATTATACAAATGAACGATATCACAAGAAGACAGCACCAATTGAACAAAAACACCATAGCCTTCCACCATACTTAAAATGATCCTGAAGGGCGACATTGAAATCGAAAGCATGGCTGCGGTCGAGGAAGCCCAGCCCAATGAAGGCATGTCGTCCTTGGTCTTCAATCCTGACGACAAAGTAGCGACTCGAGTCCGTGACGCTTTCAATACAGCCCTTGTTCTCTTCGTAGGGGCACACGGCAAAGAGTTCTCCTGTTTGACCGTCCTCGAGGCGGATAAAACAATTTTTGCCCTGGGCAATGATCCGAAGACGCCCACGCCAGATGGGCTCGTCGACGTTACCCCAATCGGCGGCTCTGTAGCCGCGACTTGATGACTGCAGCGGTGGCACTTTGTAGACTAATATATGAGTTAAGGAGAACGTTCTATGGATGTGAGTGATGGAGTAAAATGCGTTCTGTAGTGGTAGTGAAAAGAGCCAGTTATTATTATTATCTAATTGTAGGTGTGTACCATAGCACTCTCGAATTACGAGGAGCACGGATTCATAGTCCGAGTCGTCAGACATGGTGATAGTATGTAGTGTAGTGTAGCGTGGGGGTGGGTGAAAGTGAAGGTGGAAATGAAGGTGATGGGTGGATGGAAAGAAGGAGATGAAAAAGATGATGTCTGCCACGTTGAACGAAGGGGCTAAAAAAAGGTTGAGAATGGTTGGGGGCTCTCTAACTTGGATCGAGCAACAGTCACGACTCCCGTTCAACCTAATGCTTCTTGAAAGGACAATCCGTCTTCCCTGAAATACATCCACGTTTGCCGTCGTATTCCAGTCCACCAAAACATCCCGACCTGACAGCGTCGCGGCCCTCATTGCAGAGAAAGTACTCGCTGCAGCTGTCCGGGACGCGAATGATCTGGAGGGCTGTTTTGCAAGTTTCAACAGGTGCGGAAGAAATAGTGTCGAGCCATGGGGCAGTGGACAGCATCACCAACAGCAGTAGGGCAATGAAGGCGGCGGCAGGATTTGTTCTTGTTCGGAATGAAGAGTGCATGGTGGTACGGGCTGATCGTTTCTTGGTGCTTGGGCGAGTGCGAGAGAAGCTGAGAATTGATTAGAAAGGAGAAAAAAAACGAGAAGAGCAAGGTGGTATTTAAAAGCTGTTCCACAAAAGATGTTCGGTAAATGGGAGAGAGCCTTTGATGAATCCCATCCCTTTGTCTTGCTCGCTCGCTCGCACGTTTGTCTACCTCGTTAAGTTAACCGCAAAAAATGCCTGTGCATCGGTGTAGTAGTCAAATCAAAAAAAATGCAAAAAGCAAGCTCCCTCCCGCTTGCATGAAAGAAGGGTCCTTCAAGGGTCGTTCTCTTCTTTTCTCGTTGTTCGTCGTCAATGATGTGGTCTCCTCTCCACGGCTATTTTTGCCTTTTTTTTTTTTTTCCACAGGAGGTTTACTGTCCTTGAGGAGCAGAGACGCGTTTCATGGAAACTTTGGAAAAAGGTGCAGATGGCGCCTTCTAGCGAACAAACGGAGGAAATGATTTCTTTTTTGTTCAAGCAATCACAAAGGGGTGGCGAAAAAAATAGAGGATCAAAAGAAGGGCGGTAGTTAAAGTTGACCCAAATCTATGCCAGAGCGGGGTCCAAAAGGGTTGATGGAAAAGAGGAGGCGGCATCCCTCACTCAGAAGTGCGACAGTATGTTAGAAGTAGAACAGAAAAGAAGCGAACTCGAAAAGAAGGCGTCCAAAGAAGGAGGCAAGAGGGAGCTAATGTCCGATGTCGAGAAAGGACAGAAGCTAGTCGGGGTCAAGGTTGATCCTCAAACCTCGGTAACTCTTTTACTTTTCTCGCATGTCAACTGTCCGCTTTGTTTTGTTTCTCCACAAGAGCATTAACATGCTTATTTTGATGTTTTGTAAGGGTCAATGACTATTTTGGTCGTATCTATGCATGGGTAGATGGCTTTCCTGAATTTCTTGAAGTAGGTCACCTGCCTCCTTTGTGTTTCTGCTGCGGTCTGCTTGACGATGGCAGTTCGGACTCTGCTCAACAAGGACTAGCGCCCGTGTCGTAGAAAGAATACTCACTCACACAAAAACACTACCTGGTGAGGTAAGGCGAATGAATGACTTGACTTTGAGGGATTTTCTTTATTGTTTTATGTTTGCTCACACCAATGAAAAAAAAAAAAAAAAAAAAAAAAAAAAAAAAACCATTCGACAGGTCGTGCCCAATGCCTTTACACATTCATCTCTCCATTATTCGTTATCGATGTAGGCTTTTGGCGGTGGGTTAGCAGGGTTACCCATCTTGTAATTGTTCTTGCTTCCTCCCCTTCCATTTCATCTCGTGAGGGATTTTTCCAGTTCTATCGGTCCGAGCAAACATGCAACCAAAAACGACCTTGCAGAATACTGGTACTGTACATACCCTGGGCATACACCCCGCACATTCCACCTTTTCTTTTTGTCGTCATGGACAGGACAAAGTCCGGTGCTCGCCTCTACCCTTTCTCGCTCTCGTTTTCGTTTCTGCCCACCTTAAATAGGACCGATCCCCCTGCAGTCTTTTCAAGCTTAACTCGCTTTTTCCTCCTCTTCAAAACAAGCACTCTTTCTCCTCTCACCACTCTCTTCTACTCCAATAATCATTCCTCCTCACATAAAAACAACAACGCCAATATGTCGGCCACAACAACCCTACTAGCCTGGCTCATACCCGTCCTCATTCTCGCCATAGCCTTCATTGCCTGGCGCGTCTACGTCTACAAAACCCAAGGTCCCTTCCTACCAGAGTCCCTTCGCCGAAACGTCTTTGCCCGCACCCGGAGTATTATCCCAAGAACCCTCTCCTTCAACTCCTCCAACAAGGATGTCCTCCCAACCACTACACCCGCCGGGGCCGAGGCCACCAAGCCAATGGGTCCAATTGGTGCAGCAGGGGCAATACGCAACGAAACGAAGATCGATATGCCCAGTGCCGATGCGACTTCCCAACAACAGCCACCCATGGCCTCCATATCCTCAGATCACAGCCGTTATGTCGCTGCTCATTCCTTTGCTGCCGAGCCCTGCGACCGCAAGTCGCCTTCGCCTGCCGCAGGTGCTGATGGTTCGATATCCTCGGGACAGGGACATGCTCCCTCTCCTGCTATTTCTCGTCTTATAGCCATGAAGTAGTAATCCCTGTATATCAATCTAGTAAAAAGAATATTCATCCTTTTCCCTAGAAACCATTTGAACACTTTGGCTGATTGAAGGGTCGTTTGAGTGATTTTTGATCATATCCATACTATCCGTAGACGATTTTCGGCTCGTCACTGTTGATACAAAAATCGCATGTACTACAAACTCTCCACCTCCTCCGACCGAATAGGTATTTGATGATTGATTTCCGACGATTTCCCTCTCCTTCACTCACATCAACACCATCCTCATTCAAACACAATGATTGCCCCCGTCCAGAACCAGCTCTCCAAGTCTATGTTGATGCAGATCGGCATCGGCATGACCCTCGGAACGTACGTTTCCCTTCCTCTCCCTCTCTCCTCCTTTTCCTCCGTTCTCTTTTTTTTATCCACTTCGGACTTCTACCACTTTATAGAACCGGATTTTTCTCTTACACGGGAGCAGCATGTCGGAAAACAACAAATATCAATATGCGAGACATCCAATGGATCCGACCCTCTACTGCATGAAATACCCCCCCTTCGGAAACATCCATCACCATAAACAGCTCCATTCACACTATCATCAACACGTTAAAATGATCTCTTTCCAAAGAACAGGACTCTAAATAACCCAGCGCCGTGGAACGCGCGACTTTTTCAACCAACACCATCCAAATCTCTCACAGCCTCTTCTTCCACACCAAATGCTTCTCACTCAATCTCCCCGACCAGCTCCGTATCACAATTCGAAGCGTGACGAGAAAGCAAAAAAAACACCTTGACCCTAACGCGTCGTTCTCCTCCTCTCCTCACTCCCCTTTAGCACCGCTGCCTACGCCTACTGGCACAAGGTCGCCCTCGTCACCCGCAACCAGCGCGCGGCTTACTACGTCAACCTCAAGGCCAACAAGGATTAAATATGGAATATAAACCACCCCTAACTTCCATGTCTTTTACTCTCCTCTCATAACCAACACCACCCTTCCACCCCCAAAACTGTTTTATGTTTGTTTTCTAATACACATTACATCCCTTCAAAACTCGGTAACTCTTTTTCTTTCTCACTCTCCAATGGCCGATATGTTGTTCTTTCTTGTTTATACACGAAATGCGGGCCTTTTTTTTGGTTTTATTACATATTACATGGATATTGTTGGTGTAAAGAAAGTAGAGGAAAACAGAAACCAACTAATGACCTCCGCCACCAAAGAATCCGCCCAGTACCATTGAGGATGCAGACGGCGGGGCCGACTTTTTCCGTAAAGAGGCCACCTCTGCAGGCGACAATTGCAGTACCGTCGTCAGGACAGGAAGTAAGGGCTCCTTGTCCGTCGTTTCGAGGTACTTGAGGACAATGTTCTTGAGATAGTCTACGCTCAGGTTCTGTCGCCTCTCTGCGCGGTCCAAATTGCGGATCTCTTCTTTCAGCACCTATCAGCATCAAGTGGAGTGAGAGAGAAAAGGGAGATAAGAACATAGTCAGGTCATACGGTTCAAGACATGTTACTCTAAATTCCTATGGTGACAGCGGAAGATGAATGGTACCTTTTCTTGATCGAGGAGCCGTTGATGGTTGGCTTCACTCTCGTTCAAGAGCTCAGTCAAGTGCTGAAGCTTGATTTGGTATTCCCGTTCTCTTGCTGACGACAGGGCTGCGGCTGCTGCTGGAGTACCGAAACCACCATGTGCATCGCCAAAGGGTGACCGCTCTACCAGTGGTTTGGCTGCCAAAAGGTCAGACAGTGTGGCTACATTTGTTTTGAAATGTGATGGGCGTAAAAAATTAACGTGAGTGGATCGGCTCTTGCTAATGTCCGCATAAAGGTATCCGAAAAAATGTAACGAGGTGGCACTTACAGTAAACAGGCGGTCTCTCCGCTGGAAGAGACAAGGACGATGAAGTCCTAGAAATGGGTGATTCTTGATCGAGCGGGGAAAACGACGATCGGGGTCCAAGCGCCGTCGAGATATGGAGCTGACTATTGTTCTTTTCTGGTTCAAACATCTGTGAAGCGCCAGCGCTGGTACCTCCAATGGCAGGCGAGCCGCTCTCAGCATTGGCCTCAGAGCTACTCACAAGGTCGCGCAAGTTCTGGATCTCTTGCTTGGCAGCTGCCAGTTCGTCACTCAACCGGTCCAGGATCTTTTGAAGTTCGGCGTTTTCTTCCTCCTTCTTGGCCAAACGCTCCTCGGTGTGCTTGGTGTTGCCACCCAGCTCTTGCATCAGACTCTGTGCTTCCACGGCTCGCAGCTCTTGAAGAGAGGCAAGACGGGATTCGACAGCTTCTCGGTCACGTTGCGCGTCCTTGACGGACCGTTCCATATCTTTGAGCTGTCGTGCATGCTGCCGTTCCTGACGGCGACTGATCTCGTGACTCGACTCCAAGCTCGCTATCTGATCCATGGCCAACTGAAGCTCGCCCTCTAACGTCGTCTTCTTTGATTCTGCTTCTTGTAGCTCAGCTGCTGTAGATCTAAAGCATTGGTATAAACAGGAAGAGATCATATTAAGAAAGTGCCCTTGTTGCGCGTGCGGCGTTAAATGTCGCATCACAATTGTAACGGCTTCTTACTTATTTTCTCTCGCAAGATCCTGTAACTGGCTCTGGAGCTCCTTCAGTTGACTGTCATCATCCGCATGAACCGACTCCCGCTGCTGTTGAAGCAATACACTAGCACGCTGCTTGTACTGCTGGTATTCCACCTTGAGTTTTTCCAACTGTGAGTTCGACTGTTTGTATTTTCCTTCCTACATGAATAAAACCTTGCTGCGGTTAGTGACACGACTCGACGTGTTATACGGCAGTCAACTCCACACAAATAAAAAACGCACCATTTGCTGAAGTTTTGTGGTGGCAGCATCCGACCGGTTCTTGAGTTCAGCCTCAAGGTCCTGTACGATTTCTAAGAAATAAGCACAAGAGGCAGGGAGATAAGTAGGCTTTCTCCTTTTCAGCATCTATACCCCGATTCCTTGCGCTAGAATTGCCAGAGATACGTACGGTTCTGCTCATTGGCCTGCTCCTGGGTAGGCTCAGGGTTCTCCAGTTTAGCCCTCAGCTCTGTGATTTCCTCGTCCTTGGTCGCAATGGATGTTCGGTACTCATTCAAGTTCTTATTGGCGGCTGCAAAGATGGCCTTCATTTTTTTCATCTTCTCGTCGTGATCCGACTTCTGCTTTTTCAACTCCCCGGTTTTCTGAGCAAGAGATTCCTCCAAGGACTGACACTGCTCCGACTTTGCCGAGAGCTGCGACCTCAACTCTTTGATTGTGTTTTCTAATTCGGTCGTATTTGCTGTCGTTGATGCTGATATTGGTGGGGTTAGTATTGGTGCTGGCACTGTTGTTGTGGACTCGTTGATTGCTGCTGAAACTGAAGATGGAGAGTCGTCAGACGTCTCTGCTGTAGGCTGTTTACTGTCTCCAGAAGATACTCCTAATGGGTCCTCCGGTGTTGCTGCAATCCCAGGAACGCGACTGCCGTCCGTCTCTGACGCGCCGTCCTCAGCCGTCAACTTTGGTGAAAGAAACTCGTCCGTCGCCTTGTTCTCCAATGAGGCCCTCATTGCCTGAATCACAGCCCTCGCCTCCTGAAGCTCCTCGTTCAATGCCTCCTTGTCTTCCTTGAGCAGATCGGCATTCTTTGCAATCTAGCAAGAATAGAAGATCGTTTCGTGGTCAGTCTGGATGCAATCGCTAACATAGCAATAACGGTTCCTGGCTTTCGCGTTTTTTCATGACTGACTTACTTCGGACTTTTCCTGAGTCGCCTTCTGAAGTAACTTTTGAAGGGCCTCGACATCGTTGTAGGCCTCGTCGAGTTGCGACGCGAGCTGGGCATTGGTCGAGTGTGGGCTGTAGGCAAACAAAGATAATAATCCCTGTTAATTAATTGATCGTTGGGCGCAAACAATGAGCAAAGCCTGTCACTTTTTCAAAGCGAACGTTACTTGGCGGCCCCTCCAGAGTTGGTGCGAGGATTGGGGTTCCTTGGCTACAGCGACAGAGTCGAAAGAAGAATGATGGAGAGGGCGTGTCTCTAGGTTAGATGGTTGACAGGATGGAGATGTTTTCCAGTTGTCGAATGCATTGAAAAGAGCGATGTCAAAGCTGGCATGCATGCCTTTCTGACTGGACTACCGGCGCCGTTTTGTTGCTGCTGCTGTTGTTGTTGTCCTGCGAGGGGAGAGCCTGGAGGGCGACGGGCAGACGCAGGCGATCCAGGTCGGGAGTCCAGGGCCTCGCTAGCTAAGGCAGCGAATGAGGATTCGGATGCCTTTTTGAGGAGGTTGTTGAACATGGGCGAGTCCAAGTGTAGATGAAGAAACGGGCGTTGATAGATGAGAAAATGAAAAGAAGGATGGCAGACAAGAATAGCAACAGTGTGTAGGGCGAACACGGCTGTTGCATGGGGAAGTAAGAGAACACTCTGTTATTTGAACACCGCCACCGATCTCTTGATGTCAGAGATTTGCAAATAGGCGGGTTTATCTTTGTCTGTGCGCATTGACGGATCAAGGTGCCCCCCTTCTTTTCATACTTCGCTTCGAGTGGAGAACAAGGATAAGCGTCTACTCGACATTCCCCAGTAAAAAGGGGAAGCAAAAGAAGACAGTTGTGTGGTGTGTGGTTATTAGGAAGAGAAGAGCGAGAAGGAACAAAAAGGAATGTCCATATCTTGGCTTGTTTTCAGTCTTCCTCACGATCGTCATTGCTATAATCATAAATATCACTCTCTTTGGAGCATACCTACTCTACAACAAAACCTTAGCTGGACCTACCTCGACTCACGACAAGCTACTCCAGGAACTACAAGAACTCCATTAAAAGATCCTTCACGACGGCAGCTGGAACTCTCAATCGCGCAATTAAAACAGCTACTCGACGTGATCACTTCGAAACGAGTACCAAGTGCGCTATTATCGAGCTCTTTAGAGATTGAGAAAGAGTCAAGGCTTCTTCACTCCTTTCAGGTACGGACCTGGTGTTATGTCCACGCTCCTCTAGAAGACCGCGAGACGAAACACTCATCCTCTTTTATTTCACTCGTGTGAAAACTAGGCTTTAGAGGGACTCCTAAAGACACACGACATTTCTATTCCGCGTGATGTGCCGAAGTGGACAGAAGCTGACACAGCCTACCTCAACACAGTCGCTGGATTCAACATGATGGCAGGAATGTTAAAGCAGGACTACACAAAGACACAAAAAATCGTCACCATGTTGGCTGTGGATTTCGCATGGATCTCTCGAAAAGAGCAGGTCTACAAGTCGCTTTGGAACCATGTCCTCCCAATCTACCAATCTCTGGGTACGACACTACGCCCTCGCGACAAAGAGGCACGACTGCAAGAGCTGGCAAAGACACGACCGGAAGTAGACTTCTTCCTGAGACTGGAGCAGCGATTATTCCCATGGATCCAGGTCCGCCGGAAAACGAGCATGTCTCTTCACGGATCGTTCCATGGCCGAGGTTTCGTCCTTTGTGGTGGTGACAAGCAATTCCAGATGATGGTCACGTCCATCCAATCCCTTCGGCTCAAGCTGCACCCACAACTTTCCGATACAGGTCTCCCATATGGGCGAGAACGATCTGTCTCCCGAACGACAAGAATACATTCGGCAAATGACAAACGATATTGAAGTTCTAGACATCACGTACCATCTGGACAACGGCTACCTAAAGCTCAAAGGCTGGACCATCAAGCCATTTGCAATCCTTGCATCCAAGTTTGAAGAGGCGATTTTCATCGACGCAGATACTTACTTTCTCAGGGTACTTTTGAGGTCAGACTCATCGCCACCATACCTGCATTTACCATGCATCCTTATTAACAAACATTTTTGCGTTTTATTCAACTCTATTTTTATCTCTATACCAAAGTCTCCAGAGGTGCTCTTTGGCGATCCAGGGTACTTGGCAACAGGGGCCCCCTTCTTTTACGATCGAACCATCTTGCCAGGCTGGCGCAAAGGACCGGATTGGATCCGCGCCAACATACCATCCATGTCCAACATACCCCAGACCTCCCGCCCATTCCGAGGAACGACCGCTCACGAACGAGAGTCAGGCGTTGTGGTGATCAACAAGAGGAGGTGGCTGCCGGCGTTGTTCTCTGTATGTAAGATGAACAGCTTTTGGGAGCGCGACCTTTCAGCGTACCAAACCTTTTATGGCGACAAGGAGACGTTCTATATTGAGTTCGAGCTAGTGGAGCCTTACGCTTTTGTCCGCAACTATGGTGGCGTCATTGGAGAGCTTAACCCCGACGACGATCAGTCGATTTGTGGAGCACAGATGCATTTGGACTATCTGGGCAGACCTCTCTGGTGGAACAGTGGACTGGTGAAGAACAAGAACAACGATGACATGAGGGATTTGTCCTTTGGATACTGGATGTCGGGAGGTGGGGAACCAGATGAATCGCGAGTTGTTCATCAGGAACGACGAGATGAAGGAAAATCTGGCTTACGAACTCGAACTGGACTCGGCTGACGAACTACCGCCGCCTGAAGAACCGGTTGATCCGGTCTGGGACTACATGAGAGGTTGTATGAGTGGTTGTGAAGTCGAAGCGTTGCCAGAAGACGAGGCAGAGCTAGCTAACTCGTACGTCGTCATGGACAAGATCTCCAAGAGAGCGGATTCGCTCATTGCCCAACACAAGAATGTGGACCCCAAGGGCGACTGGGACACTATTTAGACAGCCATCCTTTTTTTTATTAAAGCAAACAACAAATTCTTAGCTATTCTCTCAACCCCTTACACCCTGCAAACAGGCAATTGCTCGGAGCATTGTCATCTTCTCTTACCTTTGCGTTCACGATGAGAGAGAGAGGAAGAAGACACCTTCTGTGCAGAGTCGCATTCCAGACCCAATTGGTGACAAATGGCTGATATTCGATTCTGTCCTATAGACATCCCTTTCAGCAGGCAAACAGACAAACAAAGAGATTTCTATGTTTCCCCGTTCCAATCTCGACCAGGAGCAAGAATCGATTCATTTTTATTTTTTTTTGCCACGAAAGTTCATTTTTTTATTGTTGCTTTTCAGGTCAGTGAGGATCGATACCGGTTCCCGTTTTATGCGTTGCACCCGACCGGAATCACGATCTCCACTCTTGGAGGAGCTGGCATGTTGAATCCATCCCACCGGTTTGTAGAGTCTCTCTCATGTCCTTTAGTTCTCATTTTGCCATCGAAGAGCGAACAGTGGTGTTTTCCTCGAGGTTTCATTTGTTTATTATTACAATACGGTGGACAATGCACTTGTAATTTGGGGCGCAAAGGTTATTGTTTTTTTTTTTTCATTTTCAGACCCATTCCATTCCCGACTTGAATGCTGCTGCTGCTGGGCGTTCTTACTCCTTTTCAGCACTTTACATGCCACATCGTACGCCAATTAACTTTTTCGTGATTCTCCAAAGTTTGAACAATAGAGCCATATTTAAAGCATGGGCTGTAACCCATGATCAGCCTTCTTTCTTATTTTCTTCTCTCCTTCTTTCTTCCCCTCTCTCGCCATTCTTCTCTCATTCCACCCCCGCGCCCTCGACGACTTCAAGCAAGCCGGATATCATACCGACGGTTGTCCCTCCTTCGTCCTCGCTATCTCTTCCAATTTTGATTTCAGTCAGCACACTCCCACTTCACTCACTCCACTCACATCCGTCATGCACACTACCATCGCCACAACAACCACAACTGTGAAGGGAATGGGCGTAAAATGCCGACCATTGTTGCTTGAGTACACCAGCGAGACAGCAGAGAGAGCACGACAGGAGGAACTATACAGCCCACCATCACGAACGCTGCAGTGGTGCCTCGCCCCATTGATCTTTGTTGCAACCATGGCAAGTTCTTCAACTACAACCTCTATCAGACTTCATACTGGATAATGTATTACGGACGAAAGAAGAGGTCGCTTTTAGTATAGTTGGATCTGCGAGATATGGAAGCCATTTTCTCGGTATTCCATCAAGTCATCATTGTGAAGGCAGTCAGCGTCAGCGGATAGCCAGGTCAGCAATCAACGGCCCCGCAACAAGGTTGCGAGTCTTTTTTTACTTTTGAGAAGCACGTTGAGTGGGAGCAAGAAGAGGGGCCACCCAATCTATCAGAGAGGCGATGATAGATTAGTTGTTTTTGTCCTTTGCCTCTTTCTTTGTGTGTCCATCCGTGAGCTTGGACCACGACCTGATCTGGACAAAAGGCAAGAGGCCAGAAGTGCCTTGACGAAAGAAGAAGCGAGAGGGGCCAGAATGACAGCGCCTAAAACAACTCAGGGCACCGCCTCTTGTTCCCCTCCTTTGTTCTCTCTCTCTCTCTCTCTCTCTCACTTTTTTTCTCGCAACTCTCTCCCCCTTTTCCTCACACTCACTCTGACACACTTTCGGTTCCACACCACACCACAAACACAACCCCTCTCTCTTGTTCCCCCTCATTCCTCTCATTCCTTCGTTCCTTTGGTTCTCACTTTCCCATTCAAAACTCCCTAAAGAGTGAAAAAAAAGTACATACGCCGGATAAACAGCCAATCCCGCTTCGTAGAAAACACAGAAAGAGCCGACAGTATTATGGTGGAACACATCGTTGTATTAACCTCTCTCTCCATGGTACCTTTTTTTTGCTTCGCCAACGGATCGCTGTCTTTTTTCATTTTTAGATTCCGGCCTCGGCGCTATTGATCCAGGTCCTCAAGACTCAGAACCAACAACCAGACTCGATGCGCCACGGGATTACACTGACGCCAACACTCTCCATCGGCGTCGATATCATGGGCATTGGCGTTGTTCTCGTCACTGTGATGGGCCTTCTCGGCGTTGCCAAGGGTTGCAGGCGGCTTATGAACTTGGTAAAATGAGAACGAAAGGATGATGAGGACGTTTTTTTGAGGCATCCCCTTTTTCTTACCGAGAAATGCATGGCATGACTTACATTCTTTCATTTTTGCCTTTCTTTTTATGATATAGTACTTTGGACTTGTAATGTGTTTCATTGCCATTCAGGTCGGATACGCAGTGGTGGGATTCATGTCAGGAGCAAACTGGGTTCATGAGGCGCTGGAAAAGTCTTGGGACAAGGCATATATGTCTGACAAGTCCCTTATCCATGACCTTCAAATTGAGGTATGCAACAGCGGAAAAAGGGCTAGATCGTTGGTGCAAAGATGCGACTGTCATTACGTTTACAATTGACATGGACACTAATCTCGGGATTATTCTTTCTCCTTTCCAATAGTCCCGTTGTCAAGGATTTTACAGTCGAGGCGACAGAGCGGTAGCAATGCCTCCAAGCATGGAGAACTATCTTGTTCCTTGTGCTGAGATCTTGAACCTGCGGTTTGGAAAGCGGCTTCAGCGGATGGGATACCTCATTCTCTGTATTCGGATGATCCAGGCAAGTGATGTCTGTGAAGTCGCGTGTGTTAGTTGATTGTTGTTCTCGATGTCTTTTTTATGCGCGTGATGAGTCGAGGAGCAAGGAACAAAAACAAAACAAATGAAGAAAAGAAAAGGGGCCTAACCCATTTGGCACTGATCTCATTCCAACTCCAAATGACTGCAATAGTTGACGGGCGTGTTCTTACTGTCGGTTTTGTTCAAGCACCTTGCAGTTCTCGATCAGGAAGATGCGGAGGATGAAGACAACATCAAAATCGACGAAGAATCACCATACTTCAAGAGCGAGAAGCAGCTCGAGTACGAAAACTCATGCGTACCGTTGCTTGCAGACGAAGAGGACGAAGATCTGCCCCACTACTCTGCGCACGACTACAACAACGATAGCGAGGACAGCGAGGACAGCGAGGATGGGGATGGCGGGGACGACGAGGAGCGTCTGCTTGGCAGTCGCCATGGGCGTGAATACCGTCACCTGCCTGAGTATGCAGAGGATGAGCGTGAGCCACAAGTATACGTCGCCTAGACGCCACCAAAACCATTTTCACCTGTAAATAAAAATGAAAAAATCTCCCTCAACGCCCTCTTGTCTCCTTCCCTCACACAATCTGCACACGCCACGACACCGATGAGAATAGAAGCGCCTCGTCATACTCCTCCTCCTCCTACTCCACATTGCTTTTGCTCACTCCCTACACTCCTCAAGCGTGAATGCCAGGGCGCAGTCTACAAGTGCCAAGCAAACCTCATCAACCCACCACAACCACCACTCGACAATTCCCAGCCAGACAGCGACAAGGACAACAGTGGTCGAGTCTTGGCAGGAGGCCATTTCACTTTTGTCCCAAGTTCGCCCCAACGACTCGCCGACATGAGGAAGGAATCAAAACCACCCGACCGTCCTCCAGCGACAAAGGCGGCCATTCAAGACATCACCTCCATCCTGACCTCGTTCGGCAAGACGCTTGGTCCCCGGTCTCCAAGCTTGTCCAAACATGGTCTCAAAGACGGTACCAACGTGAGCAGTAACAGCGAAAACAATAACAACAACAGTAATCACTACAGTATCAACACGCCGCAGCAGCCACATCAAATACAGCAACAATCACTGCCGACAATTCCCATGCCGCCTCCGCCTCCTCGGCTTGTCGGGCCTATTGGCGTCTGTGGGTTCCATGTACACACCAGCACCTGGGAAAACTTCAAGGTTCAACTCTGCCATGCAGAGAGCGTGACAGGAGGTGGAGCAGGGGGAGCAAATCCCTTCAGCCGCAGTCAAGGTCCGGAGCTGGATCAAGCCTTTGCAGAGGGACACCACAAGCTCATTCTCCGACACTCGTATCTTCATGGCGGATTTATTCGACAAGCTCGGAAGGACGGATGCAAGGCCCAGATGACGACAGTGGCTCAGTGGACAGCATGGGAGCAAGGGATCGTCGATCGAGACTCGCCAAGATCAGGAGGAGAGACAGCACCTAATTGTTTCTGCGGGTTTCCGATGAGACTGTCGTACCTGTACAATGGACAAGGACCCCAGATGAACTATGTGTGCGCGATGCGAATTCAGGACGTCCAGCGTGGCTGCAGTCGTGTATTGAGCTCGGCAAAGTGGGCCGTTCGAAGGAGGTCAGTTCCTATCCAGATCATGTCGTTGGAGGTCAGGCTCCCTTCAGCAAAGACCCAACATAGACAGGCCGAGTCTGGCCCTAAGCCACCTACGGATACTGGATTGAAAGTGGCTCGCAGGGTAGACAATGACGGCAGCGACAGTCAGGAAGCATCATTAGCGGCTCCTCTCGCATCCACACTCGACCATAAGCCACTTAAGGACGACACGTCGCGAGACAGTTGTCAAGACTCTGGGATCAAAGTCGACGAGAATGAGGCTAAATGCGAGGACGACGATGAGGGATCAGAGCCCGACTGGAACCGATCAACAGAATGGTGTCTTAACGCCTCTTCGCATCACAAGATGCGGTTGCTGCCTATACCGACTTGCCTCTTGGAGATGAGAGATCGGAACGGGGACCAGCAGGGCTGTCGAAGGAGCATACCCCAGGAGGAAGCGAAGAATGGTTTGTACGATCAATGTGGCGACAGGAGCGATCGCAATCGGTATGAACAGAGGAATACCGACGATGACAGCGCCGACACGGAACTCTCAAATCGACCAGTCCCGACTCGGTCTGTGGTCGGCGTCAAGTCCCTTTCCAAGGCGCAGATGAAGGATTTGTACCTTCCTTTGGAGAAGCCGAGGGAGTACGGCCCGCTGATTCAGCGTCTGCACGGTTCAAAGATGCTGGCGGCGGAGCGGGAGAGGAGCGAGAAAGTCGTGGAGCGGTCGGAGACACGTTTGAGGGACTGGGAAGAGTCGGTTGAGCGATTGGGAGCATACGTGAAGGAACTGTGCCAGGATGGGCTGGACAATAGCACGTTGTTGTGTCGGTCGTGTGGCAAGGGGACGTTTCTGCATGCGAATGTTCCGTGCTACCATTTGGTGATGTGTGACGACTGTATCAAGAAGTACCAGCGGTGTGTTGTGTGTTCGACCAAGATTGAGTCCAGCCAGCGGATCTACTGGTAGTTTGGTGGCTTTGTTCGCAGCATCGCGTCTCTTTCTCCCACTTGTACATTTTGTATCATTAGACAATTAAAAAAACAAAAGAAATATAGCTATTTGCGAGATGGTTGCTTAGGTTGACTTTGTACAGTTTGATTTTCGCGCTGATGTGAGTTGTTGGTGATGATATGTGTGTGATATTTGTCTGTCCAATGATGCTGCTGTCGGATTGGCTGTGCGCTGGACACCGTCAGCTTTCGGGGTTTTTTTAATGAGGCCACGCCTCAGGAAATCAAATCGACGGGTCGAGAGCAATTTCGCTCTCTGATATGTCTGTCAACCCTGTGCTGACCCCAGCAACCTGCAACGCCTCTCTTCTTATGAAGTTTGTTCATCTGGATTTTTGTTATTCTTTCCATCCATCATCTCTTTCCTCTCCTTTTTTTTTTTTTTTTTTTTTCATCTCTCTTTTTATTATTCGCCTCTCCTCCTTCTTGATCAACCTTCCCTCGGTCATCCTCTCTTTCCCTTCCCTCCGTCACTCCCTTTTTCTTTTTTCCTTCCTTCTCATTGCTCCCTCCTCCTGAAAGAAAGGATCGCCTCGATCAAATCGTCATTCGAACACCAAAACAGCATCTATCACTACCTGACGAACTCGACTCTTTTTTTCGACACCATTTTTCATCACTTGTGAGCACTTTCGTTTTTGTCTTGTCTACACCGTTCACAACTCTTGTGTTCTCCTATTACATCGTTCTTTACTCGGAATCAACATTCTCCATCAACAACGCAACGAATAACTCGCCTTTAGAAGGAACAGGTAAGCCATCACGACAACAGCAGCAGCAGTAACAACAACAACAACAACAACAACAGCACAAACCCTTCCTCGATCCAGTGCAGATTCATCTCGATCCTGCGTCGACCGACATCTTGCAACAGGAAAGGAAGAGGGGTGAAAAATAACTACACCAACAGCAACAACAACAAAAAGGTCAAAACAGGGGTTTGGGTCGTCTCTGTATATGCGTGTTGTTGTGTGGTGTGTGTGTGAGTCCTAACTATTATATTCTGTCGTGCACATTTGACTATCAACATCTTACTGCTGCACTCTCTTTGTCCCGTCCTTCTTTCCTCACACGCACGCACACACACACACACAGACGCATCCACAACCCAATCTTACAAAACACAATCCCGCATACTGCTTTCCTTCCTTCGCTTCTCTTCCCATCCCCTCCCTCCCCCTCTCTTCCTTGTCCTCTGTGCCCTTCCCCCATCTTTCCCTCTCTCTCTCTCTTTCCCTTTCCCCGATCGAATGGACGTACAAACAGCAATACTCACAGACCCTTGATACAAATGCACTGCCTCCGCTCAACCTCTTGGATGCCTTTTTCTTCTTTCTTGTTCACCTCCTCTGTCACATCATGGTCATCCCGAGATAAAATTTTGGCCGTGCGTGTGCCTTTGCGCGTCTTAGAACCCACGACCTTCCGCGCCGCCAAACAGCTGTGGACTCGTCGTCGTCCATTGACACGAAGGCAAAAAAAACATTGAAAACTAACAAACTTACTTCTCCATATGGCTGTTCTTCTTTCATAGAACGTACCTCAGGAATCGCCTAAATGTCAGGAATATATAACCATCGCCCGATGGTCCCCGGTCGCACCTCTGGCTTGCCCGAGTGGCTTGATCTTATCAAACAGGAGTTCGAGAGCCTGAGTCATGAAGCAATGGTTGCCAAGGCCCAGCGGGATGAGTGCGAGCACAAGAGTACGTGTCGATCAATTGAAGGTGGACTGCTGATCTGACTGGTTGTACCGACCATCAATCATCACGCATCATAATGATATTAACAATGATTTCATCAACAAAAATAGTTAACAGCCAGATTCAGGAAATGGACGCCTTCAAGAGAACGCTCTACGACCTCGAAAGGAAGCACGAGTCGATGAAGAACCAGTGCCACATGTAAGGCAATCGAGGATTTATGTATCACCAGGATTGCTCAATTCAACTATGGAGACAAGGAGCAAGGTGAAAACTGGAAAATAAGGCGCTAATCAGTCCGTTTCGTTTGTTGCTTCGCATTTGTTAGCTGGGAAGAGGAAGTTGCCAGGCTAAGACAGGAGGTCGAACAGCGTGGAGGAGCGGCGCAGCCCCCTCACCCACACCAGCATGCCCAACCCCCTCCTCCCAACATCGGACAAGGACACTCGAACCTTTTTGGCGGGATTATCAGTGGAGGCCCTGGAGGCCCTGGTTTGATTGCGCCACCTCAGATGGTCGACCCATCGCAGCAGCCTCCCCACGGTCAACAACACCCTCCCCAGCAGCCCCCACAACAGCAAGGTGGTCCACAGCAACAGGGAGGTCCTCAGCACCATATGCAACAGGCTCAACAACAGCAGCAGCATCACCCACAGCATATGCAGCAACAGCATCCTTACGGCGGCCCTGGTGGCCCCAACATGCCTCAGGGTGGCCCAGCTCCTCACTCGCCATACATGAATGGAGGCAATGGAATGCCACCTCAGCAAGGTCAGCCCCAGCCAAAGCGTTTCAAGACTGAGAATGAAGGACCCCGTTTTAAGACTGAGGGAGATATCCCACCTCCTGGCTACAATATGTCACCGACTCCTCACTCAAACGGACAGGGACCACCAGGAATGGGCCCTTCGTACAATGCGCCTGCACCACCCAACGCGAAGCCAACTACCAAGCCTGGCAAGGTAACAATTGATCACATCTTGGCATTTTGTTTACCTTGAAGGGAGAAAAAAGATCATATATACGATGCTTACACGACGCGTTGGAAATCAAATAGGGTGGTCCTTACATTCAGGCCAAAGAAGAATCTCAGTCGTCACCTGTGTCGAACAAGCGCAAGCCTGGCCAAGGACCTTCGACTCCTACAGCAGTGGCTCGCACTGCCAGGACAGGCAACAATCCTTCATCAAACTGGAGCGATGATCCCGACAACGTGCCACCTCAATTGAAGCGGGAGGGTGCAGACTGGTTTGCCATGTAAGTGCCATGAATTTATTTTTGTCGACTCTTAGTCAAGTGCATTTCAATATCACAATCGAAAAACCTAACCTCTTGTTGTGTTCTCTTAATGAATGTGACGAAATAGCTCCAACCCCAAGGTTCCACAGATACTGAAGGTGGATCTTGTGCACACAATGGAGCACTCGAGTGTTGTTTGCTGCGTTCGCTTCGATGCGGAAGGAAAATACCTTGCCACAGGATGCAACAGGAGTGCCCAGATCTACGACATTCATACTGGTCAGACTGTGTGGTAAGAATCGGTAGATCTACGAACAGATGAATGTGGATTTGGTTCATTCTTCTTGACGTTTCAGCCAAATAACACGATTATTACATGTGCCATATCTACCATCTAGTGTTCTTGCCGATGATGCAGCAGGAAAGGATGATCTCTACATCCGATCTGTCTGCTTCAGTCCCGACGGCAAATACCTTGCTACTGGAGCCGAGGACAAGCAGATTAGAGTAAGTGTCGCGTCTGTTGTGCTCAAATTCACATTGTCACCATTGTTCTTTTTTCGTTACTAGACTTGATGCTGATGCGTTGTCGCTTTTTAAATAATAATTATAGATCTGGGAGATTGGTCGCAAGAAGATTCGTATGGTGTTGAAGGGACACGAGCAGGATATCTACTCATTGGACTTTTCAAGGGACGGAAGGATTATTGTGTCTGGATCAGGAGATCAAACAGCTCGTGTTTGGGACACAGCCACTGGCAAGTGCCTGTTCGTTTTGACTGTCGGAGATGTGGATATGAAGGATGCTGGCGTGACTTCAGTGGCCATCTCACCGGATGGTCGTCTTGTCGCAGCAGGATCGCTTGACCGGATGGTTCGCGTTTGGGACACTCAGACGGGTCAACTTCTCGAGAAACTTGAGGGTCACAAGGATTCTGTCTACAGTGTGGCATTTGCGCCTGATGGCAAGACACTTGTCTCTGGCAGTCTGGATCGTACATTGAGGTCATGGGAGCTGGACCTCGGTGGCAGGCATGGATCTCGTGGAACCACCTGCAAAACAGTGTTCAACGGGCACAAGGTAAATTGTTGTTTTGAATGTGAACTGCGGCTAAGCTTTATATTTCGATCTGTGTATTGGAAATGAGTCTCACATGGTTCTGCTTTCAATATTTTTTCCCATGGATATGTTTATAGGACTTTGTTCTCTCGGTTGCAGTGTCCCCTGATGGCAAGTGGGTTGTGTCTGGCTCGAAAGACCGTGGTGTCCAATTCTGGGACCCTGTCACTGCCAACGTCCAGTTCATGCTTCAAGGCCACAAGAACTCTGGTGAGCTTTCCCTTGCTTATTTATTCTTTTCGTGCATGATTGACGGGCTGCAAAATGGAATATTAACCACCTTGTTTTTCCTCTTTTTCATGTGGATAGTTATCTCGGTTGCTATGAGCCCTGCTGGAACATACTTTGCTACTGGATCAGGCGATACTCGTGCGCGTGTGTGGAGCTACGAGCCTACCCACCAGGACTAGTGTGTCCTTCATACCTTATCTCGTTGTCGACTTTCTTCCAGTTTTTTTTCCCTTTTGTCGTTGTTCGTTCTTCATGTCATTTTGTTCCTTTCAAGAAAAATAAAAAAAGCTCATTGAATGTGGCTTAGAAAAAAAAGGTCACCCTCTTTAAAATGTGCCCACTCTGCCATGCGAATTCTTTGTACGTTTTTTTTTTCCTTCCACTCTCAACTTTCCGTACGTCCCTTTTGCCAACTAAACCACCATTGAACAGCGTACCTAGGGCGGCAACTCGACCACGACAGGAGAACAGCACCGCCAGGAACAAAGCGTCCCTCCTCCTCTGATCTACGCAGTACTACCCTTCCAAAAAGGTACACCCTCTTGCATGTGTCACTTTGCATTCTCAAATCCGACACCATGCTACCTTCGGCTCAAGCCGCGCAAAGGACAGACAGTCATGTTACTCGACAAGAAAAACGAGAGGAGAGGAAGAAAGAGAGGGGGGAAGAGAGGCCCTCTATTGCGCTGTCTCGGGCCGAGTGATATTCTGTGGCATTTTCCACCACCAACGCGTTTATCTATATCCATTCTATTTACCGAAGATATTGTCCAGCGACCATGTACTTGTTTGCCATTGTATCCAGCTTCTTTCTTGCGCAGATCCCAACTCCTCATTAATTGTCTCCGTCATTATTTCGTATTTCTGTAGACCCAAAAGGACCTTGACGCCACATCCTGCCCTTGCTTTCTGACAGCCCGATCAAGGCGTTCAATTGATACTCTTATTCACGACTTAATCCTGCACAACCTCTCTCTCTCAGGACACATTTGAACGCACACGGGACCGACAACAATAAGGAGCGATCGGACGCATAAACGACAACCGAGGTATAGCATCTAGCCTCTTGTATCCTATAGCAACAGCCGAGGGAGAATCCGGTCAAGGAAACAACCACAGCCAGCGACACACACAAACATACACCCACACCCACAATGGCTGATCACGACATGAGCGACAGCACACACATCCTGGTGGCTAGTATCAGTCATGCCAATGGTACCCCAGGCGTGCTTGCCTCTGTTGTTAACAACCTCGGTGTTACCGGTGTCAATGGTTCCGAGGCTGGAGCCGGAGGACCTACAACATCGTCGGTTACATCAACAGCAACCAATGCAGCAATAGGAGCAGGAGTAGCAGGAGCAAGAGGAGGAGGAGGAGAAGGATCAGAAGGGTCGATGAAATCACATCCAAATCCCGCCATGACGTCAGATGCCATGCAGGGCTCAATTGGGATTCAACAGCAAACCCACAACCCAGCCGCGGTCATGATGCATACTCTTCCTCCTTCGTCAACATCCACATCTATATCCACACAACCTCCTCTTCCACCACCGACGTCATCAACTACCTCTGCGACCACAAGTGCATCCACTGCCGCGCAACTTATCAAGCAACATCAACAACATCAGCAACAACAACAACAACAACAACAACAACAACAACAACAACAACAGCAACAACAACAACAGCAACAGCAACAGCAACAACAACAACAACAACAGCAACAGCAACACCAGCAGCAACAACACCAGCAGCAACACCAGCAACAGCAACAGCAACAACAACAGCAGCAGCAGCAGCAGTTGTTGGGACAAGGATCAGCTGTGACTGGGGTGCCATCTGTCATGGGAGGAATCGCACCTTCGGGGCACGTCTCGGATGCATCTCCTGTTGTCAATGGAGACGGGATCCAAAAGCTGCCTGTAGCTTCTTCATATGACATCAGTATGGGCCAGTTGACGAGCGGGACGTCGACTAGTCAACTTTTACAGCAGCAGCAACAACAGCATCAGCAACAACTACTGATGCTTCAGCAGCAACAACAACAACAACAACAACAGCAACAGCAGCAGCAGCAACATCAGCAACAAGGAAAGGAGCAGAGGCGTTTACAACAACAAGCGATCAAGCAGCTGCAACAGCAACATCAACCGCAACCTGCACAACAATTACCCCAACCGCAGTCTATTCAACCACAGCAACAAGTCTTACAGCTTCAACCAGCCCAGCAACAGCCTCAAATCCACCAGCAGTCTCAGCCTCAGCCTCAGCTATTGCCAGATGGAGTTCAGTTGCTGCAGGATCATCCTGCGATGGATGAGAGCCTTGTTCCGAACCGGTCAATGGAGTTTGATACCTTGGAAGCGGCCCAACAGTTCGCGGAGAGGTATGCACGAGACGTGAACACTGTCGTGATCGTGAAGCGTACAACGAAGGACAAGCATGGAGCTGTAGTTCAGGTAATATGCCGAGGTCACCGCTGTATACTTGGGCTATGTCTCATTTGAATTGAGACTGACCACAGCTTTGACAAATTGGCATTTATAGAAAGATCTTGCTTGCGAGAGACAGGGAGCATACATGGGAACAGACAAGAAGCCGCCAGATTCCAATGTCCGAACTAAGCGCTGTGGCTGTCCGTGGATGATCTCTGTCGGATTCTCCAAAAAGCGCGGGAACCGGGATGGAAAGCGCGGTCGATTCACCAAGGTACATCTTGTCCATAACCATCCGCTCCTACCCCTCCCTGACGAAGCTGACGGCAGTGCAACAAAGCCCGCCATCAAGGAGTCCAAGTCAGGAGCAGGATCGTCCTCCAAGTCAGGAGGAGCAGCGTCCTCATCCTCTCGGAGTACCAACACACCCAGAACTCGGGCCTCAACGGCCAACGCAGCGGCGGGCTCTTCCAAGGCGGCAGCAGGCGGGCGTCGCGGGAGTGGAGCAGGTGTGGCAAACGACAACAAAAGCGACGCTACTTCAAGGAGTATAATGGATGTCATTGGCCCCCCCGCGCCGTCTGGCCCTCAGGAATCAAATGCGCCTATGGGCCCTTACAGCTTGCCCGATTTTTTGGCCCAAGGAGCCATCATCTCTTCTCGGTCGTCTGTTGTGCCGCCTGTGACAATATCAGGATTCCAGCCCTCCCATCCATCCTTGGGCTCCCTTCCCAGCGAGGTGATGTCGGCTCTTGGTGGTGCTAGCCACGATGTTCACCAAGCGCTGCAAGGCATGTCATCGCGGACGGAGATTACGTGGGATGATTTGAAGGCGCAGATGGATCAGATCCCCTGGGATCTTCAGCAGGATGTTATGAAGGCTTTCATGACCATTCTCCACATCACACAGCAAAACTTTCATGTCCCGATGGTCGGGGGCGACAGGAATACGGATGCTGAGGCCAGTGCGGCGGCAACTGCGGCAGCAATAGCGGATGTTGTCGGAAACTTGCCTGCCAATTATTCGACTAACGCCGGTCAGACTCAACAGTTGCACCAGCAGGTCCAGCAGCCTCAGCCTCAAGCTCAACCCCAAACTCAGGTTCAGCAACCTCAACAAACTCAACAGCCTCATCAGTCTCAACAGCCACAGCAAGCTCAACAGCACGCATCAACTGCCTTTGTACGCCACCACAATCTCTCTGGAGTCAGCGCAGGACCTTCCGCCATGGAGGGGATCTCCCACAGTTTGGGAACGACGTCCACCTCTGATCTGTTGCAGCTCCACCGCGCCGATGCCGAAGCTCTTCGGGAAAAGGGCCACAGTCGACAGAACTCGAGCGCAGGAGGTATGACAACGACTGGAGGCGGCGTTAATGGCGGAGGAGCCGTGGACGGGTCTTCAACGGTCATCAATCCCAGTCAGTCAACCGGTATTCTTTCCGTCGTGTCTTCGCTCTCGGGTACCACGGCTGAGAATATCTCTGTATCAACGCCGACACCGTCCCTTGCCATGTCATCTGCCAATGTCTCGCCACTGGTGACAGCAGTACCGACACTCCGCCATACCGCGGCGACCCACATGCACTCTGCAACGACGTCGGCGGGCGATATAGGTGCCCAACATCATCAAAACAACATTCTTCAGCACAGCCGCCAATCCAGTCAATCAGGAGGTCAACATAGTCGAACTCTCAGTGGATCGGGGCACAACATCAGTAATGTTGCAGGAAGTGCAGCCATGCGGACACTGGAAGCCAACGGCTCGATCCTGGCTCTTAGTCATACCCCCAGTGCAGCCAACAGCAACCACAGTAGCATGGAGTCTTCGCCCTTATTGGCCCAGGCGCAGGCCCAAGCTCAAGCTCATGCACAAGCCCAAGCTCAAGCTCAAGCTCAGGCACAAGCTCAGGTCCAGGCTGCCCACGCCCACGCCCACGCCCAAGTTCAAGCCGCACATGCCCACGCACAGGCACAAGCTCAAGCTCAAGCCCAGGCTCAAGCCCAGGCGCAGGCGCAAGCACAAGCCCAGGTTGCCCATTTACAGGCGCAGGTGGACGCCAACACCGAGGCAGCAGTGACCGCAGCGGTATTGAGTATGAATGGACTCCATGGGCCGAACGCTGGACCGGGCGCGGGATCAATGTCTGGAACAAGCAACGCTTCTGTACCTGCAGGATCAGTATCTAATGCGCACACGTTCTCGATCTACCCTATGGAGGATTCGCAGTTTCTCCAGCAACTCCAAGAACAACACCAACATCAACAACGACTCCAGTTAATGTCGCAGCAGCAGCAGCAGCAGCAGCAACAGCAGCAACGTCAGCAGCAGCCAGGACAGGCTGCAGGCGTAGTAACAGTTCATCAGGATCCGATCCATACCCGGTCTCCCGAAGTCGACCATCACAGCATTGAGCTGGATGGAGAGCCAGCCCGCAAGCGTGTCCGGTCTTGAGAAAAATAACAGCCGTGAATCCCACATTGCCCTTGTCCGGCTACACCCTTTCTCCTTCTTGCCTTTTATTTTTTGTTTGTTTTTTTCTTCTTTCTTTCGAGTTCAACACCTCGTTTCTTAGATGTATCATGTCCTTCACCTTTTTGTTTCTCTTCACTTATTTTCTCCCATCCACTTTCTTCCACGACAACCACAAAAAACTCATCTCATCTACATAAAAATTGTAAAATAGCCCATCTAAACCTACGTCGATATTTATTATCTATCCCATATATTCAAAATATGCAACAATGGGAGTGTGTTTGTGTTCTACCAGTCGAAAAAGTCCATGCTGTGTTCAACCTTCGGGAACAAGGTATTAAGCACCAAACGGGCTCCATCATCCCTGGCCGAGTTCTCACCATACGACCAGATCAACTCCTCCAACGACTGTTTTCCGGTCACCAGCTGCGTGAACGTCAATGGCGCAAAAGTTGCATAATACACTGTCGGCGCCGTTGTTCCATTCTTCTGGTTCTCCTTCTTCCAGGCTTGCCTTTCTGAAAACAAGTCTTCAGGACTTGGCTTGGCCCAATCATGGATCTTAACCAGTTGTCCCTTTTCAATAACGATCTCGAGGCCCTTGGAAGAGTTACCCTCGACCTTGCGGAAGAAATCGAGACGGAGACGGCAGGAGGTGCCGGCTGTGGCGGGGTTCTGGGCAAGACGGAGTTCGAGCTCGGGACGGACGGTGGTGAGGAAGAGGGGGTAACTGTTGATGCGGGTGTAGATGCGGAAGCCTGGGAGGTTGACGCCTGCGGGGAGGCGTTTGGCTTTTGTGCCGAGGAGCTGGATTAGCGGGTGGTCGTTGTGGAGGCAGAGGCTCAGGGAGACTGAGGGTGGTGGCCTGGGGGTGGAGTTGACGATGGCGGAGGCGGCGGCGGCATCCTCGACTGCGGATGTGGGTTCTGCCTTGGTGGCGGCGGCGGCGGCGGCGGCGGAGGGGTTCCTGAAGTCTTCGAGGGCTTTGGCGTTCCGGGCCTGGCGCTCCTTCGCAAACTCAAACAACTGTCTCATTGCCGAATGGACGACATCGACATAATGAACCCCTTCACCTTCATCCAACGCGAACGCCTCAACAGTCGACCCAAAGAACACATGCGACATGCTCACAAACCCCACCGCCTTCCCCTCACCATGGGTAACAATAAAAGTCTGACGATCGGCATCAAACCGCGACTGTTGATCGAGAAAACTATCATGAACAGCATACTGCCAGTACTCGCGGGTGTAGCGGGTTCCGACGGCGGCGGCCCGCGGTTCGAGGTATTGGTGTGGGGTTTGGGAGAGGCGGGTTAGGAAGGGGATATCGGTTTGTGTGGCGGAACGGAGAGGGTAGGGCTCGCCGTGGTTTGAAGGAGAGAGGGGTGGGATGTCGGTGGAGTCGATCTTGCTACCGGGGACGGGGGAGAGGCCATACTCGTAGCCGAATTGGCTATGTTGTAAATGGGAGAAGGGTTTGGGTGAGTCAGTAGGAGTAAGGGTGTGTGGGTGAGGGTCGTCGAGCTGTATGACGAGAAACACTTCAACTCCGATATCTGCGAAAGGTCAATGCGGCGATTCGATTTTTCTCCTTCATTTTCGAGTGAAAAAAAATGCTTGTTCCCGTTTCTATCACTTACCGGTAGAAGTACGGGATGCCAGGAATGAACTGGAGGACATGGCCTTTAGCCTCTGAGGCAGGATGGATCATCTCGTGCATCAGTTTTCGGATGAGTCCCTTGTTACGATACGACTATTACACATTATGTTATGTTATGTTATGTTATTTTATGTTATGGTTGTGTTGTGAGCGATGATAGCCAAAAATAAATATCAAATATCACTGAGCAAAGTGCTATAGATATGCCATGCAATGCACAATTCAACGACAAAATAAGAAAAATAGATTCAAAAAAGCAAAGAGTGAAAAAAGGGATGATTCCGCAGCATTGTTTCGTTTCTCACGCTCTTTTTTCTCTTTGACTCTCTCTTTCTCTCTCTCTCTTTCACATGATCGATAGCCGCAAATTTACAGAAAACAAGCAATTGAACAAAGAGCAACAGAGACGGAGACTTACGGGCTCGGTGGCGATCAATTCAGGTTTGCCAAAGACAAGGTTGACAGAGCCATAGTAGGCCGGGACGCTGTGGATGGAGACACAGGCGACGATCGGGTTGAGGCCCTTGGCCTTGTTGTTCGTGTCTTCGACCAATGCATAGTCGTTCTCGCTCATCGCCGCCGTCTTTCCCGACAACAATCGCCTCTACAAACATATATACACACACACACACACACACACACACAAAGAAAAAACGGTGACATAAAGATTAAGGCATGTCTGTTAGTCAAAGGTTCACTTTGTTTCGCAATTGACAATGTTCAAGAGTCAATTCCATGACATCGTTTTCTAAATGTAGATTATCAGAGAAGGGGGACTTACAGCGCCAGCCTTGAGGAGTTCGTGAGGTCCAGGAATCTCGTCTTCTGGGTGAGGGTCACCTAATGACAACCACTAACATTTCATGAATGAGGAAAAAAGAAAAGAGTCAATTCAATTCACAATGCCAGAAATCAGGGACGGCAAGGAGGGAGGCATAGTGAAGGGATAAAGAAGCTTACTCTGAAACTGTCACCGACGAGCTGGACAACATTGTCGGTGTCGGCCTGGATGGACCAGCGCATGATGAGGCCATCGCCAATGTCGATGACCTTGCTGTAGTCCTGGACGTCGATGTTCGCTTGGGTGTCGCTCAAGATAGTCATCTCAAGTGCCTCGAGTGTGTGATTGAGGGTGATGTGGAGGGGGAGAGGTGGTGTGAAAATAGGGGAAGGTGGGAAGTTTGAAGGAAGACGGCATCGGTTTTTCATTCGTCACTTTTATACCCGTTGCGACTGAGACGCCCCTGTATTTCATCATTGGTCACTTCTCGCACCACCCCCAACTTTTCAATTGACATGCTGAAACTGGACTACACCCTGACAGTTTCGACTCCAGAAAAGGAAAGCACAGTAAACAAAGTTGACGCGCCGAAGACGCGGGCAGAGGAAGAGAAGAAGCTGCAGAATGTAGTCTTAGTTCGTTTCTGTTTCTGGCAAGAATGGATGGGCGTACATACATGCTGTACACCAGCAATGCACTGCTTGGTATAAAGGATCGCGGAGTGGACTCAGAGGAGCTATGTACTTCATGTAGACAATGTTCCAAGAAGAAAATAAATACTGCGGACATTTAGCCCCCTAGTAGAGTCTGAACGCGTTAGCGTCTCTTGAACGCGTTTAGCAGATAGCTGTACTCAGTAAGAGAGTGGGGAGCGTTGTGCGCTGGCTGATGTAGAAGAAGGAGAAGAGAGTAGGAACGGGGGCAAGCAGCAACGAAAAACAACGCTTGGTAAGCCTGAGAACGCGTTATAGCATGAGAAATCGAGCTGCTCGACTAGGAAAGAGAAGGAACTCCTGGGATATTTCGTGATTTTGTAGATGGTCCCTGACTGGACTTTGCCGGGGCCGTTAAGGACGGGGAGAAGATAATCAAGGGTTGGCAATTGTGAACGCATCCAGGACTCAACCGAAGAGCAGGAGGCGGAGGAGAGAGATGGATCCAGGACCTGCTGGTTGGCTGGGATATCCGGGATGGTAGACGTAGTGCACATGCAGTTTATCATCACTCCAAGTGGCGATGGACTGATGGACTGATGGACTGATGGGCTGATGGCTGATGGCCTTTTAATCGTGTTTGCTCTGTATCATTGATGAAGGGATCCATCCCTTCAAAAGGATACGAAGGAGCATGGATATTACGAGATCATACGACGAGCAACAACGAGAACAACGATAGATATACGGTACACTCGCTGACAGATGAGGTGCAGTGCAGTGCATCGATGTAAGGAAGACGTAGCGACAGCGAAGTACAGACTGACACCTGTGAGCCGGAAGCAAAGCAATAGTACACGGGAGATGGCAAGAGTAAGAGTCAATGCAAAAATAACTTTTTGTTATTCTTGTGTTCGCTTGCTCTCTTCTTCTTTTTCCCTTTCTTTTTCTCTTTTTCTCTTTTTCACTCACACCACTCACACACTCTCTTTCTTCCCTCTTCTCCCTTTCCCTTGATCACCTCGACAGGCACTTTTATCATTTCTCCTCTGTCTCTATCGCCACCATTCCCTTCTTATCCATCCCTTCAAATACAAGCTTGCATCCATTCTCATTCCTTCTCTCGCCTCTTTTCTCCTCTAAACATACTCGCAATCTCATCACTCCCTTCTCCCTAATCACTCTCCCATCACACGTTCCTATTCTTCTTCCTCTTTGTACTACGACACTCATTCAATTCTTTTTTTTCTCTCACACTCACTCGTACTCATCAACCTCGGTTCTCCTGTCCCTCCCAGTCAGAGGATTTAAAAACAACAGCACTATCTCTACTTTACCCAACCGCCAACAAGGGGTGGTCTAACCTCACTAAAGCAGGGATCCAGACATGAGCCAGGTAAACAACAAACACACACAACAACCACCCTCTTCAGCAACCTTGGAGTATACCCTGTTCGGGAGCACCTTTTCCAGCACCCTTTTCCAGTTCAATTTTTTTTGCATGCACGGAAAACCTCACCCATACTCTGTCCCGCCTGTTCGCTTACTCAAACGCATACAACACATACAGCGAGGTTTCCCCTTGAGCTGACTCGAAGATACCAGATGTTTGGTGTCTGACACTGCTCTTGGGATTCGATACGATACCCCTGCCTCTGACCCGCCACTAAACAAAGAAACCCACTGATTCATTATGGAGGCTCTCAGGTGTTGTTTTGTTTTTGTCTTTTCAGCTCTCTCCCGCCAATTTAATTGTGCAACATGCAAGGACAGCATTGATTGAGAGTATGTGAGAAATTAGCCCGATGGAGTAGGATGCGACCGACCAAAGAGATAGCCAACAGAACGAGAGCCTTTGCCCACTTGGAGCACCGCAACGATATTTTTGGGGGTTGGGTTTAGCAATTGAGTGGTGGTGGTTGTAGACAGACATACAAACAGAAACAATTGGCAAAGGCAGACATTCAACTAACTCAACCCCTCCTCCTTTCTTTCTTTTCCTTTTTTTCCTTCTTTTCTCCCTTGTCCCCTCCTCTCCTTTTCTCCCTTGTCCTTTTTTATCTTTTTCGTCATCCCTTTTCCTTTTCCCCCTCTCCATATTTCTCTCTGCATGTATGCATGTGCATATGTCCCTTTTTGTATGGACTTGCGCCATTGAACCTACCATATAGACCATGGAAGTCCTGAGCACCCCCGGAATGGCCGACAGCCAAGACGTCTTTGTAAGGATCAAACGTGTATCAGCATTTTATTCATCCCGCTACCGCCATAGATTGTTGATGTGTCAAGCAGGCCGGGACAGAGAAGAAACAACTCACTACAGCAAGATCAGAAAAAAAGGAGCCTCTCATTGCTGGCCATCTTTCCTCCTTGTGAGCATCGTCCATCCTCCTTTCGATCCACCGTATACAATACTCACCCGCCTCTTTGCTCTTTCCTTTTTTCATTTTCCCTCTTTCCTCAATCGATCGTTATTTGTACTTTGTAGGAACGGGAAAGGCGCTACGAGTCACGTATCCCTCTCCCAAAGGCAAGGAGAGCAACCGCCGAGAGCGTGAACCGCCCAAATCCAAGGCAAATGGCCGCTTCAGCAGCAGCAGCAGCCTCATATGCCCAACTCTCATCTGCACCATCTATGCCTCGGCCCATCCCCAAGGGCAATAACAACAAACGAACGCCAATCCCCCAATCCAAATCAGCCGCCTCCTCGTATACCTTTGATGATACAGTGGCCAATCCATTCGTCTCATCAACCCCCTCGGCTTTTACTCCCTCTATGGAGCCCACATCATTCCTGGCATCACGTCCATCCCAAGAGGCCACATCAATCTCGACTGATTCGTTCTTCAACAGCAAATCTGCAGCCAACCCTAATGCACCGGCAACAACGGTCACCACCACCGATACCCCTGCTCCCCCGACCTCCGTCGCAAAGCCATTCATGGGAGCAGCTGCACGATCTCGAGATGCTTCTGTTTCGTCCTTACCAGGACCTAGGCACGAGGACATGATCCTTCCAGTGGTGGCTAAGCGTATCAAGGAGCAAGGACTGTTCGATCACGATGTTGTTGCTTACAGCGACGATTATAATGCACCTCTCTACAAGGCTCCTTCCTCGCCAGCCAATGCCGGCAACCCATTCGCGAGCTATGACAGGATGAAGGCTGCATCAAGTGGAGATCTTTCTAACCTCAGATCACTACCCGAATCATCGTCATCTGCCTACAATCGCAAGTTCGACCAGTCTCTAGAAAACGATCAGGACTTGGTTCAGAGTAAGGCAGGACAAGATTCAAGGGACGAGCACAATCGGGCCAGTACTTCATCAGAAAATCCAGTCCCATCTGTCTCACCACCATTATCTGACGCTTCGCCCAATCTGTCAACCGGGCATTCAGAAAGGAGGCAACGACAGCGCAAGGAAACAGTCGAGTCTCAACAATCACAGCAACATCAGCAACAAGCATCCAACGGCCCATCTTCATCTGTTGCCACCTCTCCTGTTACAACTCAACCTGACCGACCCCGGAGAGCCAGAAGGAACACCGAGAGATCGACTCGTCACGACCAATACGCCACCTACGGCGACTATGGAGTCCAGCCCGTACCCCAGTCACCACAATCTCCTCAGTCGCGACAGGAATATCTCGAGAGAACACAGCAGCCTTCTTGGGATCGCCCCTATCTTAACAATGGCGTTGGACAGGATCCTTATGCGCCTCCAGTCAACAAGTCGACTCGCCAGGAGATGACCCAGAACTCGGCAGCAGACGGCTACCAGCGACAGCACTCGCGCGAGCAAGGCTACGGACAGAGCCGAGGTCAGAACCAAGGGCAGAGTCAGAGGCAAGAATACGACTACCCATCTCAGGGAGACCAATACTCGAGCCGCCAACAACAGCAGCAATCGCACAGCAACAACGACCACTACCAGAACCAAGCAGCGGGCCAGAACCACGGCTACCAGGGCCAACAGGGCGGGGCGCAGAACGCTCACCTGAGGCCGGAGATGGTTCAGGTTGAGATGTCGACGATGGGCAACGAACCTAGGGAGGGCGAGTCATCCGAGGATCAGCAGCCCAAAGTTGTCCAGATCGATGCCAAGGGTGGACCCAAGAAGGAGAAGAAAGGCGCTGTCTGCTGTATTATCATGTAAAACTGGATGCCGGGACGAAACTCACGCACCACGAACAACGGAAGCAGGAACAAAACAACTATGCGAATGCGAGCAGGAACGAAGCGCGGAACGCCACCATCTATATAGCAATAGCAGCCATGTATTTTTTGTACAAACAAAGTCGCTTAATCTCCACTGGAGATTGTTTTCAAGTACTCACTGACTGTGCGCTGACGACACCCCGCAGCAATAGCAATAGACTGTTGTCCGTGTGAAACTTGGAGAGTTGTGCAGGTAGCCATCCGGATGCGCTTAATTGGTTTCTTCCGGTACTCTTCTTCCCCCCTTGCCTCGTCCCGGCCTCTCCCGTTATTTCGCTCCATCAGCTACACCAACCAAATGAAAAGTGTACACACTTGTGCCCGTCGCGTTGAGTCTCTGTACTTGTGTGTATGCGTTTTATGAAAACGCCACATGCAAGACAAAGGGGTGCAGGGATGTACGCTATGGTCCTACCGTCATTTTCTGTTTCTTTCCTCCTGTAATCAATGGTCTCAGATTCATTGATGATCAACTTTCTTTCACAGTTGAGGAGAAAATCTCCGACTGGGCAACTGATGAGGCCGATCGAGAGAGTAAGGTTAGAGCCAGGGATCTGAAGAATATCTGAGAAACGTATAACAAGGTTCTGGCTGTGGTTCATATGTACGGAGGCAGCTAGTAATGATCGGTAGCTGGTCTGGGGATGAATTAGTGAAAAAGGAAGCGGGGCATGCCCCAAAAAGGTAAGCAAGTCCGAAGTGTGGTCGATCAGTGTGATACGCCCGCTCAGACTTTGCAGGGCGAAGTTCAAGCGAAGTAAAAAGGAATGATTCTATTGACGCTAAAATATCGCGGAGGCACGTTTTTTGCTTTCTGTAGCAGCGCACGGAAGACGCAATGTTGAAAGAAAGAGAACCCAGGAGGTTTAGGTTAATGTTGTCGGGGGGAAAAGGGAGAGAAGGTTAGTCGGAAAAAGGAAGGAATGAGCCGGATAGTGTCAATCGGGGGTGTGGGGACTTGTTCGATCACGAAAAGAGGCTGTGATCATTTCGGAGAAGGTGGGAGAGGGGAGGCTGCGCAACAACAGCGAAACAAGGAAATGGGCAAAGCAACAAGATTTTGCGTTCATGGGATTTCCAAAGGGTGCACAGTGCGTCAAGCGAAGTGTAATAAGTGGTGATTTGACCTGTTCTCGTTCTTCATCTGGCCATTTTTCGTTTGTTCACTTAGACGTTGTTTTGGCAACTCAATCTTTTCTTTCCCTTCATAATTCGCCTTTTTCCTTCTGCCTTTTTCCTTCCTTCTCTTGCCACTTCATTACATCGCCGCGCTATCACTCTTTCACTCTTTCGCTCTTCCTCTCTCCCTTCATCCAGAACGTCCACACACACACAAACAATCTTCAGTATCGTCGTCCATCTCGTTCGTGCCACACGCACTTTTCGTTTACTGTACAGACGCCGCAGCTTCTAGCGTTCTCTACAATTCTTTCATCCGAACTCAACTCTCTTCTCCACAACCTTTTTCTTCTCTTTCTTCATTCTCCATCATTTCTCCTCTTGGCCTTTTTGTCGCTTTTTTCCATTCCGTACACTCTTCTCACCTGAGACTTCGCCCACCGAGACGTCAAATAACTTGTCCCCTGCTTTCGGTATAGTGTGTTCAAATCTCCCAATCGCCAAAACGCCAACTACCCTTTGTATTTCGATCCACCTACATGTGCCTACAAGCTTGTTAGACACGTACAACGTCGGCTGAAGCTACTACGAGTGGAACACACACAAGAAAATCGCCTTTTTTGTCTCCTGTTCCTGCTTTTTTCTTCATATCAGAAACCATTAGCCTTCCTTGCCTTGCAGCCCCTGTTTTCTCCACCCCTTTTTTTGGTGCGGTCCTCTCTCTTTCTTATTCTTCAACACCGACTTCGCCGAGAGTTCCACAGCTTTATTTTTTCTTACACCCATTTTGGCTCTTGTTGATTCTATTTCAGAGCCATTTCGACCTTGACGACGACGACACGACTGCTGGAAGATCAATCAGCTTGCCCATTCGACAACGAGTCTAATGATCCTGGACGACTTTCCTACTCCATTCTCGATCAGCAATATCAACGACAACAACACAGCCAGGACTCAATCACATCTGAAAGAAGGATCCTCAATCAATACAGCTCTTAGCCCTACCAAGACTACATCATCGACCAATAACAACCTTTCTGAAGACGCTGTCGCACCATTTGACACATCTTCAACATCGACTGCCCTCCCTACATCTCACCAACAACCACAGCAGCAGCAACAGCAAGGGTCAACACCCGGTAGTGGTGTTACAAACAAACTGACACCGTTGGTACTCCTAATTGATCGAACAAGCATTCTGACGGTAGAGTCGATCTTGACAACACCCTCGACACAGAGCAACTCACCCTCTGGATCCATAGTGATGACCATGGCTGGAGAAGCAATTACGTTTTTCGATGACATGATGGAGGACATCAGCGCTTCATCTTCATCCTCACCTACAACACATAATTCTGCTTCAGGAACAAAATCGGCGTCCACAACAATACAAACATCAACCACTGCCACAACAACCACATCCGCTATACCCATCTCTTCCGCATCAGGGATCAAAGCCCTACTTCAGCAACATCAACAACAACTAACCAACGCAACAACTATTACCACCACAACTACCGCCAGCGGTTTCCTGACACCAAGTCCGACACAATCACTTCCAGAACTATACCACGACTTTTTTGACCCGATCCGAGCAGGCGCAGGAGGTGCTGAGCAGCGGTACGATGATTCTGATCAGTCAATGTCGGACGCCGAGATGGAGATGGAGATGGATTTGGATATGATGGAGGATGCGCCGAGTGTTCGAGCTCGGTTGGCTGAGATGCGACGGGCCCTGGAGAGTGTTGTTTGGTAAGTCTTTTTGTAATTCTTTTCTTTGGAGGAGTGAAGGATTTGTGTTGTGGCGTCTAAAGGATTATCGGTTGATGGACTTGTGTGCGACCGATGTTGGGATATTATTCCGGTCTCCGAGGGCAAAGCATTGATGAACGATTAAGAACAACATGAAGGAGAGGGGCCAAAAGAAGAAGAGGAGTTAAAGAAAAACAAAGGGCTAGACTCTTCTTCTTCTTCATCCTCTTCTTTGTGTTTGGATGTGGAGGTGTGCATGTTTTGTGTCCGAGTTAGTTTTGGTTCCCCGCGTCTGTTTGTGATTGTTTTTGTTGTCGACAGACGCGTTTTGTTGGATTTGTGGGTGAAGAAGAATCGTTCTTGCATAAAAAGGGTCGCTGTAGTGTTGTGTTGTGTTAAGTGTGCCCCACACAGACCAACGTCGGAGCAATTGGCTGGCAAGGGCGCCAATGAGCCAGAGGTCACGTTCTCTTTCCACTTTCCCTTGCTCCAACCCACCCGAGTTCTCCCTCGGGGAGCGATGTGAATTTGGTCGGTACACTCGGCACTTCCTCGAACACCCGAACAGCCACCAAAAACCAATACTGCAAACCAGTCTGGTTATACCTTTGACGCTTCTTCCCAGCTCCACTTTGTTCTCCCTCCCTCTCTCGTTCTATTTGTCTGTCTGTCCCCACTCCTTCTTCTCCATCATCACTTTCTTTACTCCATTCCTTCAAGAAAGAGGGTGCGGACATAGACATACACACCACCTGACGTCTTCTTTCTCTTACACTTGTTGCCACTACTACCATACAGCAACAAGCCTAGTGTCACTAGTATTCCATTCACATTTTCCTCGCTTCCCTTCCTTCTCTCTCGCTCTTTCTCTCTTTCTCTCTTCCTCTTTTCTTCTTTCCACTCCAACTCCAACTCCGCCTTTCTTCTTTCTCACTTACCCTCTCCTCTCTTACCTTGACTTTGCAGCAATTATTATTATTATTATTGACTCGACTCGGCTTTTCCTCTTCCAGCATCCATACACATACGCCACTCTCTTGTTGTACATATCTGACTTCATTTCACATATTCATTTCTCTTGTATTCACTCTCCCTTTTCTCTCTCTCTCCCTCTCTCTCGTTTTTTACCTTCCTCCTCCTCTTGAACCTTCTCCTCTCCTTCGCTGTCCTCCGATCGAACTTCACTCAGCCGAGCACCCCTGATTGCCGACATACCTCACAGCCTCGAAAAGACAATCGATACCATCAACCTCATGAACCACCAACCAAACGGGTCCGCCATCGCCAACGGCACCGGACAACAAAACTTGCATACCCTCCCACACCACCAACAACAACAGCAGCAGCATCAATCACAGCATCACTTGCACCAGGGCCACGACAACAACCATCACACCCATCCCAACGGAAACGGACACGCCTCTGACAGCAGCACCAGCAACAGTAATAACAACAACAACAACCTTAATAACACCAACGGCAATGGAAACAACAACAACACTAATAACAACAATCGATCCGATGACCAAGGAGCAGGGTCTCCACCCGATCTACAGAACGCTCCCCAGCGGAGGAAGAAGGCCAGCCGAGCGTAAGTTCTCTCATTTATTATTTCATTTTGTCACACTTGTCCAACCGCAACTACCACCGCCCACTCCCAGGACAACCAAACCATTGTTGTTTTTTCTCTGTCCCTTCTTACTGCTGCTGAAATCCTCGGCTACTCGCTTCTATTATTTGTTGCGTTTTGGATTGTGTTACAATACCCAACATCATCGACCTCCCCCGCCGTCGTCCCTTGACGCCATTTTCATCAGTCAGCCTATCCTCCATCTCTCTCTTTCACTCACCTGCCTTCTTTCCAAACTTTGTTTGTCGACCCCAATGCCGTGCCTAACCTTCTTGTTCTTGCTCTTGTCTCCTTTCTTTACCAACAAATAGTTGTTTCCATTGTCAAAAGGCCCATTTGACCTGTGATGATTGTAAGTGGAGAAAGAGTGAGGCAGTACGTTGAACTATATTTTTCGACAATGTGCGCGGAAAAATATAGATGTGACTCAAAAAATAATGGAAACATCACCCACCAAACCTAACCGAAGAAAACTGGAGAGAGTTTCACGACGATAGTAACGAAGGGGCGTTTTCACTTCCCCACATCATTCTCCCCACACGAATGGACGAACGAACGGGCAAAGGATCCACTCTTCAGTGACGAACAGGATAACGGCGTTCTTTATGCAATTGACAGGTCGAGAGAACAGATGAAAAGCCGTGCGACTCAACAACAAAAAATTAGGAGCGACGTGGGATCAGACGCACACAAAAATCACAGGACAGGGGCCACCCAGCCGATCAATCAATTGCGGGGGAAGATGAGGCTGAAGTGTGCGGGGGGAAGGAGACACAAATAATGAGGGTGGTGGGGAAGAAGTACTTTGCTGCGTGCATTGGGCGCGGTTCCCTGTGCGTTCCTCGGAGAGGCCCTTTTAGGGAAAGTAGGGCCTGATCATATTTACCCTCGCACCAACAACTGTGAAGCCCGTCTGTGGGTTTTTGATCTCATCTCTTTTTCTGCCCACTTCTCCACACGGTAACATCACACAGACACATGTCTAGGGCTTCACAACAGAAAAACAACAACAACAACACACAGTGACACCAGCAACAGCACAGGGAGATTCGGAACACAACAGCAATATCTCGACTTTCCTTTCCTTACTTTTTTGCACTGTGAGCGGTTATTAAAAACGTAATGGCTAACCCCACTCATCGTTCTTAATACGTAGCTCGTCCCTGTCAACGCTGTGTGAAGAGAGATCTGGCATCGACTTGTGCTGACGGCGTGAGGAAAAAGGCAAAGTACCTTCAGGACGCATACGACTCGCAACAAGCTGCAGAGCAAGCGGCCCAAGGAGGAAACATGAACGCCGTGGGCATGGACCAGAAATCCTTGCTCCCTAATCAGGATCAGCAACGGCAGGGTCCAGCTGGCATGGAGGGTAAATTTTTCGCACGCTCAAAAATAACATGGGCAAAGTGTAGTGTGAGCTTGTGCACTTTTACTTTTCTATAAAGTGCGCATTCATTAACATTATCTTACATTTCTTATCCTTTCTTTCCATAGAATCGCCATTGACGGACGCGAATGCATTGTTCAACTTCCCAATGAGTTCGGACTATGGTTTTGGATCAGAGGCTGTCAACTTGGAATACTCGATCATATCAACTATGCTGTCTTCACCCACAGCGGAGCTCAACTCGATGTCAGATCTGTCCATGGTCGAAAACTGGCAACGTCAGGGGTCTCTGGATGCGATGGCAAACTTGGCCAACAGCAACCAATTACAAAAGGCGCTCGCTGCTCAAGGAGCTGTCGCAGCCGCAGCAGCGGCGTCTGTTGGACCAGGGTCTGGATCAAGCGCCTCTGGGTCGAACGGGGGATTGACCAACGCTGGGGCGACAAATCACGCGAACGGCACCAGCGCCAACAACAGCAGCCATAACAACAGTAACAACAATGCCAATAACACTGCGAACAACAACAACAGTACAGCAGCCAGCAATGCCACGATGGGACTCATGGGCCCCGGTGCACCAGCAGCGAACAATCCCACAGCACCCACTGTATTTCACGCCCCAGGAGTCGCTAGGGTCAGCAAACGAAAGTTCCCGAGCAACACCCCAGAGAATGTCTACGCCAACACTAAACAACCTTTCAATTATACCGACGGCTTCCACTACCTCTTACGATACGTCCGGGAACGGTAAGCAGCATTGTAGAGATCGTTCCGTACGATACGATTGTGTGATGTGAAGTACTGGTGTAACTGACTCGTATCAATATATCATTTTTGTTCTAGGATGGACAAAGAGGAGATGATGCGTATTTGCAGGGCCATGGCCATGTTTCGACCCTCATTTATTGCCCTGATCATGAACTTGACGCCGGAGGACCTGATTTTTATGGAAAAATGTTTTCAGCGCACCATCCTTGTAAGTCAATTGCAGTTGTCATGTATGGCCTTACATGATGCTGTGCAGATCCTGACAGACCCTTATTGATTTGTGTGGCATTTAGGAGTTTGAAAAGTTGATCAGCTTTTCAGGAACGCCAACTGTGGTATGGCGTCGGACAGGAGAGATTGCTTTGGTGGGCAAGGAGTTTTCGTTATTGACACAATGGGGGCGAGACCAACTTGTGGGCAAGAAGACGTATATCTACGAACTGATGGACAACCAGTCGGCGGTCGAATACTGGGAAAAGTTCTCGACGCATGCATTTGAGAACACGGAACAGACGGTGATGACGACGTGTATCTTGCTTAGTCCGACCAACCGTGTTGTGCCCTGTACGTTCTGCTTTACGATCAAGAGAGATATCTTTGACATTCCTCTTGCCATTGTTGGCAACTTTTTACCTATCCTCTCATAACACCTTCTTCTACTCCCGTCCACCTCCTGATCTGAGCATTTCTTCTTTTCGGTACATTATTTGCATCTACACTCGCATCATCCCCCCCACCCCCAACCGCACATGTTCGTCCAGTCTCTACTTTCTTTGCGTTTTTTTCTTGCATCCAGCAACAATTATGAGCTACCACCCCTGCTTTTTTTTTTTTTGGAGGGAAAGATCTCCTGTTGTCCAACAATAAAAAGCAATTGTATCATAGTACTCCACCTAGTAGCTCCTTTGGCGTATCTCTCTATCTCTGTTTTTTTTGTGGGTCAGAAAGCTTATTTGGTTGGGGAGGAGGACGAGATAGCTAATCGGAAAAAAAGAAATGGCAGTTGGAAGGAACCCTGTGGGTAGGTTAAGAGAGATAGAGAGGCTCAAGCGTCTACGGGCTGTTCTGCTGTTTCGTCGTTCGTTGGTCTCGTCTATGAAAAAATGCGCTTTTGGGGAGTGAGGGGGAGTAAAGCGGGAATGGTGGACGAGCGGGGAATTCTCGGAACAAAAAAAAAAAAAAGTGGACAGGAAATATTTAAAACGTTCTCTTTGCTGTTGTGCGTTTGAATGGTCTTATTGGTTTTTTTTATTAACTTGGTTAGTTAAGCGTTGGGATCAGGCCATTCATTGCAAGGCGGCGGAAATAGGTATGTAAAACAAAGATACGAGGGTGGGGAGATGAGTAAAGGAGAGAGATGTTGGGCGTGAGAGAGCGAAAAAAAAAAAAAAAAAAAAAGAAGTGCTGGGAAGGATGGAAAGGCTGACCCCTTTTGTGATTATTATTTTTCAGAGTTCGTTGTGGTCAAGAATGGCGGTGGTCGCGTCGAATTCATCTTGGAGGTCTAGATCTGCTAGAAGGTGGCCTTGCTCTAGGAAGTCAAATGGACTCTCGTTCTTGCTGTTGCTGTTCCTGCCAGTCTCATCATCAGCTTGGAAACAAGACTTTTGACCGCTGCCCTCAGAGCCCATCCTTGCACCACTGTCAACCGCCGTGCTCTCACCACCATCCCTCTCCACCGAGGAAAAAGCTGAAGGATGAGGAAAAGGTGTAGGGGTAGACGCAGAAGGCGCCACTACAATCTTGGAGGACGTAAACCCAAGCGTCGAAGCCGGAGACGGCAGTATGGGAGGTTCGCCATGATGGAAGTTATAGATCTCTTCAAAGGGGTTCGGGGGCGTTGAGAAGAGCGGGGAGGCCGGTTGAGGTGCCAAGGCGGATGCTCGAGCGTGGTACAAGAACCAGACCAGGAAGACGATGGATCCTGATATGACGGCGATAATGATCTTGTATTGCCTAAATAGCCGGATCGAGCGTTGTTCTAGCTCAATCTCGTACTTCAAGCGGTTCAACTAACATTTTTTGGGATTTGAGGGAAAAACCCCCCCGTGTCAGAATAACTGCTATTGAATGTAGATAGGCCGTATTAAATAAGGAAGTTCAAAGGTGTAGAACGAAGAAACTTACGTTCTGGCGAGCGGCGCCCATGATACGGGTACAGATAACGATCCGCTCGTTGACATCCCGCAGCTTGGCTTCAACAGTCTCTGCCAGCGTTAGTCCCGTCGAGGGTGAGGGTCGAAGCGAAAGCTGGATCTCGTGGCTATCAATCGCTGTAATCATCGTCGTCATCATTTTCTATCAAGCGTTTTGGCAAGAGTGGGGAGGGGTTTTTTTGGTGGCGTTAAGATCTTTACATGCGTGCTACAAAACCGTAATCCCCTATCCTTCGTTGCAATGTATAAGGATCCTCTAATTTCTTACCTTGGCACGTTCATCGAGATGATCGAGTTGCGAGAGACAGCTGTCAATCTCATTCATCGTGCTCTGGATATTCTCACGCATCGACCGAAGCTTGGCCTCCTGCTGTTGTAGCCGAATATCAATCATATCAAACAACAAGTCCGCGTCCCTATAGCAGCGCCAATACAAAAATAATAATAATCAAATAATAAAGTTTTACAGGTCAGTTAATGTCCACTCGAACCATTCCGAGCACAGTTATTGAAGTTACCAGAAAAAGGAATCAGGGGACGTACTCGGTAGTGTCTTCGGAACGGTCACGTAACGTTCCTGTAGACATGTGGAGGAAGGAGTTGAGGTGGTGGCGGCCTGTATCCTTTGGCTCTGTTTCCCAAAAGGCATCATGCTCTGCTTCTAATACAGGACAATAGGTAAGGCAAATGTTGTTAAATCGCTGAAGTATACACGCGCTTGACTGTTTCTATTGAGCTGGAAGACAAAAAAAAAACGATTGTTTACCTTCGTGGCCCATGAGACTGATGGCGATGCGATTAATGAACTCGTATTTGAGCTTGGTTGAGGGGGACTCCAAAGACATGATGTTCGTCCTGTCGCCATTGTAGAGTGTAAAGATCGCCGTGTCGCCTATTCGGATATACCGCATCGAAAAACAACGTTGTCGTGTCAGTCATCGTGGCATGCAAAGAAGGTATCGTTGAAATATGTTCTCGATCCGACCAAAAAAACTTACGGTTTTCGTCGACGACTTGGACATCGGCCACGGCATCAAAGCGCTCATACTCAAGTCCTCTCAGAATCTCTGCCAGATATAATTCCAATCCATATATCGCCTGCTCCAACTCCTCGCGGAACTTGCGTTCCGACTCCATGAGCCGGTTCTCCTCCTCTTCCTCCTGTCGTCGTTGTTCCTCCTTGATACTCGACCATGATCGCGTCTTGTTCCGCGACAGGGGTGGTCGAGCTATAGCGGCCGCGGACTTTGGAGACTGGAAGGACACTATTCCTGCGGCTGCTGCGTATGGGTTCATCACCACCAAGGGGTCTGACTTGAGAATCCGATCTGTTCCGGTTCTTGATCTTCCGAGGAAGGTCCGAACAAGGGCATTGTTGCTATCCACAGCGTTGTACCGTTGGTTCGCGTAGCTCGAGTTTCCTCCACCGCGCGAAGAACGCGATGATCGTCCTGTGAATATTGTCGAGTTGCTGATAGAGCTGTCGCTCAAGACTTCAGTGGGCATGGGTGTACTGGCAATTGAGGAGAAAGAAGGGTTGTAGTAATCCCAAGGGACGGCGGATCTCAGGACATCATCACCAAAACTCCGTCGCTTATTAGCATAACTACCACCACCCAAGAACCCACCGCTGTCCCCCTGGCTCAATCCACCGCCTTCCTTCAGAAAACTCGACAACGTCGCCACCGACCGATCTGAAGTGGATGTGCCATAAAACTCATCCCGGTCCTGACTCTTGGTCCGTGTAAGCTTGGCCGACAGAGGGAGAGAATTCTGGTGCTGGAGCTGCAGCTGTTGTTGGCGGTGGTGCAAAAGCTGGGGTTGAGACTGAGACCGCAAAGTGTTTCGCTTGCGCTTATCCCGTTCTTCCCGAATAGCCTTGGCTTTCCGTTCCAGCGATCGGTACGTCACATCCGCCGTCCGGAAATACTGCGAACAGGACTCTTCCAGAGCGTTAGGTAGTCGCCTGTATTCGAGTTGGTCCCCCACCACCCGGAAGACGTAATGGCCTCTGAATCTGGAGCTCTGGTACGACTTGAAGAGGAATGATTTCGTGCAGAAGATGGCGGCTGGATCTGCCTTTGGTCGGATGAGTGGTTGTTCATTATGTTGTTGTTTCTGTTGTTGCTGTTCCTGAAGTTGAAGTTGTAAGAGGGGGGTCATCATTTGTGGGTTGTAGAAACTCGAGTTCTGAGAGTTGTTGTGGGTTGCTGTGGGTCCTGAGGTTGCAGATCCAAATCCAGAGGCATTTGTTGACGAGGGGACCATAAAGTTGTTCAAGGGACTGCCTGATGACAGTGATTGAGACCCATTGTGTTGATGGTGATGCTGATGATGGCGTGATTTGATGGCGGCCAGGTCATGCACGATTCTGGTCGGCAAAGGCTCCAGTTCAACCAAAAGCACGCCCGGATCCGGATTCTTCCTCTGCGCCTCTCGCAGAGCCGGCGAGATATTGGAACGTCCTTCTTCCGACCTTACAGGTGTTGCCGGCAGTCTCCAGGTGATCTCAACATCCCGGCTACTCCCCTCATCAAAGGACCGACTCCGCTGTCGATAGTGGAAGTTAGGCAAGAACCGATGGTGTTGATGATGATTCTGCTGACGCCGAGGGCCAACATCGTCCTGATGGGTATGATTCCTCTGACGACCGCCGCTTCCCGAAAACATCGTGGTTGCGGATCGGACATGGGCAGGAGAATCCTCGTCGTCAGTTGCTGCAGGCGCATAGCCTCCCGTGGAACTGAATTTTTTGGAGAACCTCTTCTTGCGCCGTCCTGGCCCTGGGATCCGGAATCGAGGCGTACTGGATGGCTGGTCGTCGCCAGAGAGGAAATCGAGCCGTGGGAGAGTACCCCGGGTCTGGAAAGATTTCATTAGCCCAGTCACGGGTGCTCCTCCTGCTCCTCCCACCGAGGGATAGTAGTGATCCCATGGTGGCGATGGTGACGATGCTGGATGCATGGTTGGAGATCCTGCTGCTGACATAGACTGCGAATGACTGTGGTGGTGTCCATGATAAGAGCCAACGTTCTTGAAAAAATCTTTGAACCGAGCAGCAGAAGGTTCTTTGTGCTGTTGCTGTTGTTGTCCTTCTCCCGATCCTCCATTTTCGACTCCTACAGCTCCTCCACCCTTATTACTTCTGGATCCTCCTGAATTATGGTTGTAGTTGAAAGAGAGGTTCCGGAATGGATGATGAGGCAGTCCAGCGTCAAAGAGTGCAGCTGCATGCCGCGGTTTCGATTTTGTGGTCGTACTACTGCTGCTGTTATTGGTGTTGTCGGACATCCCTGTTCCGAAGCGGCTCATCATGCCTCTTGCGTTGAATGTTGTTTCCTGCTCGTTATCTATGCATACACAAAGAAAAGTACAACAAAAGGAATGTGAGGAGAACAATGAGGGTGAATTGTTTATGTCAGATGATGGCATCATGATATTCACGAGCATGTTCATATTTTCTGCGCAAAACAGCAAAACATCAACAAAAAAAAGACCCGGACCCCTTGTATCAACACAATTTTTTTTTCTCTTTGTTCGACTGTCTTACCATTACCGGCTTCAGAGTCACTCTCGCCACTGGCGCTGGTGATAAAGGCGAGCGCATGGTGTGGGTCGCGGGAGGTAGAAGAATTAGACCCTTGCTTCCTCCGGAGTTTCTTGAACGGACTCTTGATGCCCTTCTTTGTCCCATTCGATTTGCCTACACTCTGACTCTTTCGAAGGTGAAACGACGGGAAGGTTGAAGATGAAGTTGATGGTGGTGGGAGAGGTCCTGCAGTTGACCATCCCTGACCTTGGTCCGGTGATGCTCCAATCGCAGCTCCCGTTGCCGCCCGTGATAATGGGGCAGTTGGGCGATTACTATACGGGAGAAGGTAATCAGAATACGGCAACGATCGCGGGGTCTGTGTCAAGCCGCCAATTCCCATCTGATGATAAATTGACGACTGGATCTTGTTGTGCTTCTTCTTCTTGTCCTTGTTACTTGTCGCAGCAGTGGTGGCGCCGCTACTGGTGCTGTTGTTACTGTGGGCACTGATCGGACCATAGTTCGGCCGGGGGTCAAAGTAATGTGTACTGGCAAGAGGCACGCCTCTCGAAGATGTTCCAGAATCCGACAAGTGTGCCGCTGCAGGGCTCGCAACTCCACTCTCTCCTGCTCCTCGTGAAGGTGGAGCCATGGACGGAAAGGTGGACGACGAGGTCACAGTATAGGGTGGGTGTGCAACTGGAGGGGTTAACGAGGGCGAACCCAAAGGAAATCCCGACGAGAAGGATGAAGTTGTGGTGGTTGAGTTGGAAGAGTTCTTTCTGAAGGAGAATGCGTCAGTGTTGAGGAAACTTGTCGAGAGCGGTCTTGGCTTGCGGAGAAAAGGTGAAGAAGAACGTGTGGTTGTCTTTGAAAGGGCGGGTGCCGTCGTTGTTGTCATGGTTGTAGCAGCAGTAGAGGTGGAAGGATAAGAGGAGGAAGAAGGAGAAGAAGTAGACGAAGAAGGGATTGAAGAAGTAAAAGCAGGTGCGGTTGGAGTGTTTGCTGGTGTGAGGAAGGCTGTAGTCGTGGTTGTGGTAGTGTTATTATTATTAGGGATAGTAGAAGCAGTAGTGGTAGTCGGGTTCTTGTCTTTCGTGTTGGAAGTCGTCGTCGTCGTCGTTGGTGTGGAAGTCGGGAACGTTGGTGGTGATAAGGACCTGTCGAGGCGAGGACTGGACGGAGCAGAGAGGGGTTGGCGATGGTGGTTATTGTTCTGACTACTCTGGTGTGGAAACTGTTGCTGTTGTATGGCAGTGGTTGTGTGAGTAGAGTGAGAGGAAGGCGGGTGTTGCGAGACGGGTGTGGAAGCAGCCGAGGTTGTAGTTGAGCGTGGCAGGTGGTGCATGTCCCCGAAGGGTTCGATGAGGACGTTGGTGGTGTTGGACCCTGGCGACTGGAGCGTCCGTGGAGGCCAGGCGTTGAAGTAGCCTGTGTGCATTGGGGGTATTATTAGCGTAAGCGAGTATGTGTAAGAAGTGAAAAGGAACTGTTGTTACAAGGTGGTGAATGAATTAAGAAAGTGGAAAAGAGTGGGTAATGGAATTATACGAAGAGAATGGGTGGATGGAAAGAAGACAAAGAGGACAATGAAAGGGTCATGGGTCAAAGACAATAGGACAAAAAGAGATGAAGAGGCCAACTATGAGACAAATTAAAGCCAAGCCTGCCCAGGGACCGGGGAGCAGGACGAGCCTATTTTCAGACACAACCAATCGCACCTGCAACTCTGTTTCATTTTTATTTTTTATATTTTCAGGCACCATCAGTGCTTAATGCTGCTGCTGCTGCTTGCCAGGGCCAACAATCGTCGATTGGCCCCACCGGTCCAGCAGAAGAAACGACCCCAACTGGAACAAAAGACTGAACCGCCCAATATCTTGAGACGCCTTAATGATCGCCTTCCGCCTCTCCTCCTTCTTCTTCAACTCCCTCCGCGCCCGCCAGGAGAGCTGTTTCTTCTTGAACTGGATCACCGTCGTCGCCAAGACCTGCTTTCCTTGCTCCTGGCGCTGCTGTCGCGCCGCACGGAACCGTCTCCAGAACTTGAATCGACCATCACCCTTTTGCGATTTCTTGTCCTTGCTCTTGCCCTTGTCCTTGTCCGTATCCTCCTCTCCCACTGCTGTTTCTGGTACTGGTGTTGACGTGACCGGTGGCTCTTGGGTCTCGCCTTCTGTCGATGGATTGTTATTGTAATTATGTCCAGATTGGCCCTTAGTGTCGCGCAAGAAATCATCGCTCGGCGTACTCGTACCTCCTCCTCCTGCCGCTGCTCTCTCAGCTTCGTCTCTGGCACGCAGTCGCTCCTTCTCATCCCCTCCACGCCAACTAGCCCAGGTCAACCCTTCCTGCAAACTCTGCTGACGCACCAGTTGCCTCCGAAACTCTTCTTCCTCTCGCCGATCCTCCTCCTCCTTCTCCTTCCGCTCCTGCTCCAATTCCTCAGGGAAGGGGTACAGGTGTGGGTGTGGACAGCTATGGACGGTATCAAACAACGGCCGAATCAACAACGGTGTCAGACACATCCACCACCTCACAATCGCCATCACGGCCATCAATAAAAAACTCAGAACTGCCCGGAGAGCACTCGTATCGTCCTGGACAACCCCCACGGTCGCGATCGTAGGTCTCTTCAGTGCCGACTGATGTCGCTGGTATTTCTTGAATTGAGGATCCTTGTATCGGTGTGTCTTGAATCCCAAGAATCCCTTCACCAAATGACTTGCTTCGCCCTTGGCCGAGAAACCAGAGTTGGCCAAGGTGTCGGCCGTGTCCTGTGAATAGACTTGATCGTGGTTCGGCGGGGAGAAATAAGAGATCAACGACTGTGTGGTCCAGTAAGTGTTGCAGAGGAACAAGAGTCCACAGACAATCCAAACCGTTACTCCTCGTTCACGACGGGTCTTGGTGTAGGCAATCGGTTTCTGACAAAGTAGGAAAGGGCAAGCGGGGACTGAGCTAGGCTCGCGTGACCGGAACTGGAGAAGACGAGGTGGTGGTGCAGGGATCACCGATTGCGAGAGAGGCACCCTGGGGGCTTGCAAGGCATCAGCTACAGCGGCAGCTCTGGCGGCCGAGATCTCGTGCGGCTGTGGTTGGCGTGGGTGGAGGTTGGGGGCAGAGGCGGAGTGCCGTGCATGGGCCTGCTTGTGCTGGAGACGACGTGCTGTGCGCTGTTGTCCTGTAGACGCGTCGCCGTTTTGGGGATTGAAATAATAGTCTTGGTCCCCTCGCAGTTGTGAGGATGCGACAGAGGTTGAAGAGGAGGTGGCAGAGGGATGCATGTATGAGGGAGAAGTGGCAGCTTGTTCTCCAAAAGCCAGGGTCTCGACGTCGTTGTTAATGTTGCTTTTGTGGTAGTCGTCGTCGGTGTTGGTTATGTTGTGGCGATTCTTAACTGCTCGTTTGCCTCGTAAAGTTGATGATCTTCTTTCGCCGGCGGTGCTGTCGTTTTCGTGGATGGTAGTGTAGGTGGCGGTTGTGGTAGTGGTGTTGCTGTTGAAGGTGTTGGCTGTTGTCGAATTTAAATCACCCAAAGTGCGGCTCGTGCGCAAGCTTGGACCACCAATTCGAGACGACGACGAGTGGTGGTTAATGTTGTTGGAGGAGGTGGATGCCAAGAGATTCAAAGGAGGAGCCGAGGGCGGGTGTTGAGGAGCGATGCTTGGCGCAAATATTTCCTGATCTGAAGACGAGGATGAAAATTGTTGTCCATGGTGCGACGAAGAAAGACCCTGCGCAAAACCACGGCCGTCATTGCTGTTGTTCTGCAGGAAAGGATTGGAGCGGGAACTATGCTGTTGTTGGCGTGAGGTTGAGGAAGAGGAGGTCGAGGAAGAAGTGGTGGATAATGCAGCAACGGATTGTTCATAAGAAGGTGGTGGCTCGAAGAGGGATGGTTCGTCTTGTTCTTCGTCTTCGTCGATGAGATAACCATGAGGATGGTCGAGGTCAATATCCGACTCTGATTCTGACTCTGAGCCTGGCATGAAATTACGTGGATAGGAGTTGGAAGGTGCTGTTGGCGGTTGTGAGGTTGGGGTGGTTGGGCGGAGGGGGGCTGGACTTAGGTCTGGGGTGTTAGTTCTCAGCTGGTGGTCGACAAGGTGTCGTCGGTGCATTCAGGAATGAGGGAGGGTTTGTTGCGAAAAAGATGATGAGAGGGGAGAAAGTGAACAGGGCATCTCTAAAGAGAACATTCGCCTTCAAAGAAACAAAAAAAGGGCTCTCCTCTTGACGTGAATCTGTCAGCCGTATCATGTGAAAAGACGGTCACTCGGAAGGTCTTTTTAGAGACAACTTTGCCCAAGAACAAGGGCACACACGCTTTTTCTTGTATACACGATCACACACACACATCAACCATGGCAGCACCAGTCATAACAAGAACACCCCTCGTCCGTGGACTAGCACTCCTCCGCCCCACCCAAACAGGTGAGCATTCATACTCGAAACATCCGACACAGCAATATGGGAAAACGGCTTGACCAGATTCCCTGATCAGCTACTCCCCTTCTCTGTCTTTAGCAACTAGATCAATTCCATTTCTCCTGACTACAAGGAGCAAACGCACACTCACCACCCGCTCAGACTGCCCAGAGTTGGTAAGCTAAAACACCATTTACCCGCATCCGCCTTGTAATTAATTACGCGCATGAATTGCCTATCCGCCAATCCCTGACCCTTCCCCTCCGATATTCACCTACCCTCCTCACTTACCACCCTCCAACCCCCCTCCATCCTCCATAGCCCGACAAGCCTTCATGGTCCCTAAGCTCAATCATGAAGCACCGCGACTCCATCCCTGACAACAGTAAAGACGACGACATCACCCCCGAAACAATCGCCCACCTCATCAAACTCGCCCACTTCCACAAACCCTCCGACCCCAAAATCCTCCACCAACTCGAACGCGACGTCAGACGGATGCGGAATTTTTTGGATTACATCCAGTCCTGCGATACCCAGATATTGTCTTCTGCAGCGGATTACTCAAAACCGTTGGAGAATTTGAGGTCTTTGGTGGATGATGGTGCCGGGCTGCGCTTACGTCCTACTCCTACGGCGACGGAAGTGACTTCAGAAGGCGGTGACAGGGAACAGGAGCGCAAAGGAGCAGAACGACGCGATATGCTTCTTGAACGGTCTAAACGCGTCAAAGGCAACTTTTTTGCCGTCGGTGCAGAACTGGACCCCAAAGTCGAGAACTGAACACGAATCCAGTGTCGTTGAAAGCAATTAAATAAGTTTTGAAATATTTTTCTTCTGTTTAATGCTGCTGTGGTATGTACACGACTAAATGTCAAGCTAGTAGTCCTGCGTTGAAGAGTAAAAAGAGACGTAATTCACCGCAGCTCTATGGGAGGCTCTTGCTCAGGAACACACTTGAGCTCAAAAGTCTGCGCCCTGAAGGCCGCAATCTCATCCTCGGTGAGTGGTTCACCTTTGGCAGAAAATTTGATCGTCGCTGCGTTAACCATCGCGCGGGCACCTTCATTGACAGTGGGCGTGCTACTTCCGCTAGCAGCATTACTGTTTCCTCCTCCAAAGGCACCGGCGTTGCCGCCAAAGGAACTTGGTTGTGCAGAAGCTCCAAATGCCGTCCCGCTGCCTCCTGCTCCTCCTGCCTGTCCAAAGGGACTGGCAGCCTGAACACCGCCGCCAAAGGCTGAATTAGCTCCACTTCCGAATGCACTGCCACCTCCGCTTCCAAATGCAGAACCGCCTCCTCCAAATGCACTTGCGCCTCCGCTCGTTGGTGCGGCGTTGTTGCCAAATGCTGATGGCTGTCCGAATGCACTTGCTCCAGTTCCTGCTGCTCCCGCGCCACCAAAGGCGCTTGATGCAGATGGTTGCTGTGTTTGTCCGAACGCACTAGGCTGCCCGAATGCACTGGGCTGTCCAAACGCGCTACTGCCTCCTCCCAATGTTGATGGCTGACCGAATGCTGAGCTGGCGCCACCTGCAGGGTTTCCAAAGGCACCTGTGGTTGAAGGGGCACCGAAGGCACTGTTCGTGCCTGCACTCGCGAACGAGTTTCCTCCTGTCCCGAACGCACTCTGTCCGGTCGCTCCTCCTGCTGCTCCGCCAAACGCCGATGTCTGTCCGAATGCAGAGTTTTGCGCCCCTGCTCCCAAAGTAGAGCTCTGTCCAAAGGCCGAAGGTTGTCCGAATGCAGAGGTCTGAGCTCCACCACTGCCAAATGCCGAGGGCTGTCCAAATGCTGAGGGTTGACCAAATGCCGATCCCTGAGTTCCGCTTCCACTACCCAAAGTAGAGCTCTGACCAAAAGATGACGGTTGTCCGAATGCCGAGTTTTGGCCAAAAGCCGATGCCGTGCCAGATCCAGCTCCTCCAAATGCGCCTGCACTGGCGCCACCTGCTCCAGTACCACCCGCTGCAGAGCCACCCATTGCCGCAGGACGGATAACGTTCATATACGCGTTATAGCCAGCGGTGCGATTGTTCACATATGTATCGATCTCAGCATTCACGCTCGCCCGGAGCTGTTGTTCCTTCTGAATAAACGCGGTCTGCATTCCTGCCGGCCCCTGTCCCAATTGTGTTGCTGCAGCGACCAGTCCTCCATAATCTCCTGTGAACTGTGTCAATATATGGTCCTTGGCCTCGTAGTACATCAGACGAAGCTCCTCTGGTTGCATATCCTTGCCCCTGATCAAGTTCGGCTCCTCCTTTCCTGGGCCATATGACGATAATTCATAGACAGGTCTCTCTACCATGAAGTCGTTCACGATCGAATTTGCACTATTTGTTGTAACGTATAATGTCCGTGTTATTATTACATCGCATATCCATATTTTTTCATTCATGGCCACTTCACAAAACAAAGATACTAGGAAAAAAAACTTACTCGAACGCAAGTTTTTTACCGCCTTGAGCCGCAGCTGCACCGCCAGCACCGCCAGCACCACCAGCACCTCCAGATCCAAATGCAGAGTTGTTGTTGTTATTGTTGCTGTTGGCGTTTCCAAATCCACCGCCTCCTCCAAATCCTCGCTGACCAAAGGCGTTTCCACCACCCCCTGACGACGATCCTCCGAATCCTGAACCTCCAAAGGCGCTGTTTCCACTGTTCCCGCTCAACGCTATTCATCGTATTTTGGAGATGAAAAGTAGCCAGGTAAATATTCAATGTAGAAATTTCTGGAACACGAAAAGGATCGCGCTCGGATTGAGTAAATGAGCAAACTTGTGACGAGTCATCCCTTAGAGCGACTCGTAACGTGTAAAAAGCCATTACCACTGAAAGAGTTGGAATTGGAGATCCCTCCACCGCCTCCGAAGGCAGAGGAGCCAAACTGGGAATGGACGTTGCGGCAGCGATCGCCGTATTTGCAGTTTCCTCGCTGGAAAAACTGGCAAATCTGGCCTGACATGGTTGATGGCGTGGCGTGGGAGGTGTAGACGAAGCGTGTATCTTCCTTCGAAGAGTAGGAGGAATGAGTTTGTGAACGTGAGGCTGTCGGTCCTGCGAGAAGAAGAGAGGTGCGAAAGAAAGGTAAAGGAAGAGTGTGAAGAGGCACAACGAAGAACCTTCCAGCGAAAGGCCTGCTTCGCCTGCCTGCCAAGCCACAAATCGCACAAAGGAGCCATAGTAAAAAAAATGAATGTGTGTGGAATTTATTATCTTTCCGTCGTTTCTATCGTGTCATCCCGTCCATGCTGCCCTCATTGCTAATTGAAAGTAGCCAAAAAAATATACTCAACATATGTTGAGAAATGGAACATGAATCCTCTAGAAGAAGAGGTATGCGAAAATGAAGGCGATCAAGGCTGCTCCAGCGACATAGCTGGCAGGGAAACCTTTAGGCTGGGCAACATGAACAGCAGTCAAGGTCGGTGCTGATCCAGACGAGGCAGAGTCAGACTTGCGCTGACGAAGCTAATATCACGCAGGAACAGGAAAAAGATGATAGAAGGCGTGGGTCAGCATATTGGTCGCGTGTGAAATAATCACGGTGGAAGGTAACAAAAGCCGCTGTGTCGCGGCTATGTTCGCATTTTGCTACTTTGGTTCCTGAGATAAACAAAGATGAGGGTTCTGTCTCACTTACAGTGTTGGTCTCGGCCTCGAGCTGCTTCACAGAGTTCTGGAGGTTTTGGATGATGTGCTGGGCACTGTCGAGGTCACGCTTCAACTTTTGGGCATCGGTGCCTGTGCTGGTGGAGGTAGTGCTGTTGTAGCTATCTCTGCTGACGAGCGAAGGAGCCGCGGAGATCGATGAAGTTGTTTGGATGTGGGCAGTGGTGGGGGGCAGGACGGCCTGTGGGCTCTGCAGATGCGTCGAGGCGGTGGTATGTGATACACTCTCGTCCTCTTCCTGAATCTGAGTAATGGCGTGCTCCAGAGGAGGCAAGAAGGCGCAACGAATCTTTTTTTCACGGATCTGATCCTTGGCATCCCTCTCCATGGTAGGCCACTAGACAAGTCGATAAAGTTCCATTGAAGGAAATCGTTGCAAGGCGTTAGCTTAAATCTTGAACGGCAAAAAATGAACAGAAATGACGCGTCCGTATTGCCTGCCGATTGCAGTATCCTGTGTGAGTATTTACCAAGTCTGCAGGGGCGATCTGCTCGCGTTCAGCAGTGATGGCGACACTCTGGACCAAGAACTTGTCCTTGCACTTGAAGTCTGCTGGGGGATCTTCCTTCATGGCCTGCATTTGAACTAACCGGTAGAAAGTCAAATAGCGATGAGAGCCGAGAGACAGGTTAGATGAAATGAACAACCGAGCCTGAGTCTGTGATGTTTGTTTCGTACAAACCGTCTGTTCCTGTCTAAGCGATGGCTGTGATCATCTAGTATTTGTCATCCACTCTGTCACAACAGCGTCCCTTGTGTCCGATGTCTGCGCTGTTGTCTTGTTGAAGTTGCTCCTGTCACTACCTGCCGAGACAGATGGCGTGCTTGCTGGTGTTGTTGTTGTTGTTGTTGTTGTTGTTGTTGTTGGTGGTGGCTCCCTTCTATTTATTTATTTTTACCTTGGACCTCCTGCTCCTGACCGGGCTCGATGCGACCCGAGTTGGGACGGACGCAGTATTGCTTGGGGGCTGTGGTCTTGACCTTGAAGGCGATGGGCAGCTGAGTGGGGTTACGGATGATCAGCGACTCCTTGATGGCCTCGGTCAAGGGTCCTAGTTGGTTGAGAATAGAAATGAGTGAGTTCGCGCTGGTCTTGGCACACGAAGACTATTCAGGAACGGGAGTCGAAAGGAGTCGCCAAGGACACGCGTGTGGAAAAGCAAGGCAGCCTTACTGCGGAAGGAGAGCTGGCTGGAGGGATCGAGCTCGATGGACATTATGGATGTAGCTGTTGAAGTTGATGTTGGTGAAGGAAAGATGATGGTCGGTAAAGAAAGTTAATAAGAGTGACAGAACAAAAAAAAATAAGAGAGGCACAAGTGATGAAATCAAATCAAATTGAGCCAGCAGCTACTCAGCTCTCACACATGCCACACATACACTATCAGACAGACACGCACTCCGCTTCAGGCACACATAGACGTATGGGAATAGAACGAGAGCACAGGTGCAAAACGAAGCGAACGAACAACTGAGAGCACTCTCTCCTCTCTCTTTCTCCCAACAGACACAACAGACACAACAGACAGGGCATCACCACCATCTATGACAAATGCGACCAACAGCCCACTCGTTCACACCGTCTACATATCCCCATCTGCAACGGACATGTCAGAAAAGAGAATATCAACTATGGTGCATGATACACGCGATGAAGATCATGCCCTGGATCACACACACACACCACTCTCACTCGCATTATTTCAATCTGTCATCTGCTGGACACATCAAACCCCTTTTTCTTTCTCTCCAAAGCATAACGTGATGGACCAGCGTACCAACAGCAAAACAAAACAACAACGACGGTATGACCTCCAACTTCCTCCTTTCCCTTCTTCCTCTTCACTTTCCTCTTTTCTTCTCACTCCAACCAATTCTCGCACTCACACAATCCCCGTGCATTCTCTCAACTGTCTAAGGAACCAGACTATCAACTAAAGGATGCCCAGCATCACACTCAACAATCCAGAGGACAAGGCAACAGTCAAGCGCTCCCTCTCCTCGCCCAACACTCGCATCATCACCGCCACCGTCGCAAGACTCTATATCGCCTATCCAGACCCTTCCCAATGGACATATGCTGGTATCCTTGGAGCCGTCGCCTTGATTCAAACCAGCAATACCTTCTTCCTCCGCATCGTCGACCTTCTTGTAAGCACAACGCTCAAACGCAACCTTGAATATCTTTGCCCTTAGTGTATTTTTCTTCAATTGACAAGCTAACTCTTTGTGCACCTTATTTCTATGCTGAGTAGTATGGGCAGGGTATCATCTGGGAACAAGAGCTCTATCAAGGATTCGTCTACCACCAGGACATGCCCTTCTTTCACACCTTCCAAGCCGACGTATGCAAACTACATGGGAGAATGTATATTTGGGTCCGCCTTTCCCTTCCCAACCGTTGCGCGCTAGTCCGTCTTACAATTTTGACACTTTTATTTGTCTACTTTTTCTTCTTCCCGGTTCATTAGAACTACGTGGCTGGATTCTCGTTTGCAGATGAACATGAGGCAGAGGTCTTTTACAGCAAGGTCCACGGTCGAGCACGTCTGAGGCCATGTGAGTTTTCCTCTTACCCCAATTCTTCTCATCGATGTACACCCATCCCGCCTGTCCGTTGTCGCACATATCTTGCATAGCGAACACTGACTGACCAATTCTCTACTTTATTCTCTTGTGTTGTCACTGGGTGGGTTCCTTTTCTCCCATTCGTCGCTGGGGTGCCTTTTTTCTCCCTTTTCCCCCTTTTTTTCTCCCACTGTCCCAAACAACAAACATCAACCAACAAACAAACAAACACTGTCTGCAGTCAAACCGGTACCTTCCTCGGGGACGCTTGCCAAATCCGCAAAGGCAGCGGGCGCGCAGGGACGGAATAAGTTCCCACTCCACAATGGCAAACTGGACAAGTCGCGAATCGGGATGCCCTCGGACTTTCGCCATGTCGGACATATTGGTTGGGATCCTGACGTTGGCTTTGAGGTAACCTTTCTTGTACTGTCAAGGATATTTTGTTCATCTGTTTTTTGAAAAAGGATTATGGTTGGGCAGGGTTAGATGGGGGTAAAATAGAGGGTGTCATGGGATCAAGGCAGCATGTGTTAACTTTGCATGTGCCTGGTATTTTTTTTCTTTTTTGCAGACAAGAAACGAGGATGCGGACCTTGTGGGGTGCCCTATGCTCAAGTAGTAAAGGATGAAAGACAAAAGACAAAAAAGAGCAAATCTCGCGGATGGTCAATGCATAACACTTGAGTTATGGATTCACACACAACATCGACATATATGCCAACGTACCCACGCGTATTTTACCAATGCTCTCCAATTGTTGACCCATACTTGATGAACATTCCACCATAAATAGGCACAGAACATTGATCCGGCGTGGAGGACACTATTTGACCAACTGGACACATTCGGCGTGAGCAGACAGCAGATCAACGAAAACGCGGGCTTTATCACAAACTTTGTCAATGCCCATGGAGGAATCGCCCCTACTACTACCAAACCTAACGGAGCCAGCAATAGCGGTCTATCGGATCTATCGAGGATCGATTCTCCTCCACTTGCGAGAGCGCAGTCTCCTCCACCGAAGAAGCGACCACCTCCACCTCCTCCACCACCTGTGAACACCAATTCAGCGAATCAGGGAGGAGGGGGAGCGTCACCGATGGCGTCGCCAGCGCCGTACCATGGGTACCTACCGAGACCTCTGGCCCAGGTGATGGCTAGTCTTTCTTTTGGGACGTCGTCATTCTATGGGAACAATTCTTCCACAAGTCCTCAGTCACCCCGGACGCCGTCACCACCTCATGAGGAGGTGGCAGGAGAGACTGACACCAGCCCTTCGATTGCACCAGCCTCCACCGTCCCTCCACCCCCTCCACCACCTCCTCCACCAATGGTAGGTACAGGACAACAGCTACACAAACAAGAACCAAAGCGACAGCAACAACAGCCCTTGTCAATCAGGACCAACACCGACCAATCGAATTTTTCAGGACCAACATCCGCCCCATTATCCCCTTCTTCTTCCTCGTCCTCATCCTCGGCGACCACGACGAATGTGATCAAGAGCCCGGTCGAGAATTCACTATTAGCGAGCATCCGAGAGTCGGGCGGACTTCAAGGTCTGCGCAAGACGGGTGCCCTCCGATCACCGCCTCCTCGTCCCCTTACGGGAGGTAATCGCCCTAGCTCACCCACGATGATGATGAATTCAAGTAATAGTCAGGGTGATCTGGTCTCGGCGCTGGTTGCGGCTCTTCAGCGACGACAGACGAAGGTTACCTATAGTGAGGATGAGAGTGCTGGTAGCGAGTCTGATGATGGATGGGATGCTGACGATTGAAAATATCAATTGATTTGGTGGGAGATGTAATAAAAACCGTTAATTGTTGCACAAGTGTGTCACACAGAACCAGGCTGTGTCTTTGAATCGAAGGGGGGGGTCAAGCTATCTGTCTATCATGACTCTTTCTTTCTATCTTTTTTTTTTTTTTTTTTTTTTTTTTTTGCTTGAATGCCATTCTCGGTATGAAATCAGATCGGGGTAGGATAAGAAGGAGCGGCTAGAACTAATATACTCTTCTCCACGATTATACGATAATTTCACTTGAGACAAAACCATGGGCGCCGGGGGTCGGCGGGAACGTGGTTCGAGCTGCGAACAATAACGACATGGAAGCAAAAATTGAATAAGATTAGTACTGTTGTACCAAATATAGGAAGGCGACAGGCTCGATGAGAGCTGTCCCGGAAACAGGCGCACGGCGCAGTCTTCGGAAATTTTCGCTCCCTTGACATTCTTAGTATATTATCTTTGTTGGACTGAGGGTGAAAAGTCGTAGTGGACAGGAGGCACACAAGCTTCGCATATCCTTTTCTTTTTCTTTTGTTTTTTTCGCGTACCATGGTGGTTGCGTGAATATGTGGCGTTGTGCATGGCCGGGAGAATACATTCACACAGACAAAGGACAAAAGCAACAAACGGGTGTACGAAAACATATTTTTTTTCGTCCTTCATTCGGGAGTGTCAACCGCGTTTAGGTTACTCTTTCTTATCAGTGTTTAAGAGAAATCAGAGCGGACGCCACGATTGTTTGTTACATGTAAGCATGGGCTGAGGGGAAGTAAAGGAAGCCTTTGGTGAAGGACGAAAGAAATCCCACAACGTCAGTTGAGAGAAATGAAGAAGGCGAATTTTCACACAGCCTCTTTGTTGACCGGCAAGAAAGAAAAGATATAAAGTTATAATCGATCGATCATGCAAGAGAAAAAGAAATAATGGACAGGTGCATTGTGTACCATGTCTCTCAGTCATAAGAACAAAAAATGCTACATGGATGTGCTCTCGTTTGTCTTTTGATTTTCGCCCCTTGTGTTCAAGTTGTACGTCACTGGCTGCATTTCACGGCGGGTCCGTCCGCTCTCACATACTCTCCTGTCACGTCCGAACTTCAAATACAAATTTGTCTGCACGTCCGAATCAATAATGGACAAAACAATATAAAAGGGTTGAACTTTTTCCTTCCTTTTCTCTTTTTTTTCCTTCACAACCACACCATACAACAACAAACCTAACAACAAACCTAACAACAAACAACAAACAACAACTCATACACACATAATGAGCTCGTTCGCAACTCTTAGAACATCCTTGGCCCACTCACAGCAGCCCTCAGCAGCCGCAACAAAGGCCGTCAAGTCCCTCTTCCTCCAACCCGGAAGCAATCAGCGCTACCTCTCCACCACCACATCTTCCTTTGCAACCTTCGCAAGACCCTGTTCCATCATCACCCCCGCCTCAACCATCCGCTACCGCCAAGAAACCGCCCAACCTCAAAAGCAACAAAACCGCGCCTTCTCACTCTTCAACAAAAACTCCTCAGACACGCTCACAGCCGCAAAGGCAGAGGAAGCCTCCCGGATCCCCAAAGCCGTCCAGAACGACATCCCCAGCGTCCTGCTCCACGAGGCCCACCCAAAACCGATGCTGGACGAGTTCATGGGCAAGAAGCGTCTCACGACAAAGGACCTTGAGGCCATCCCGATCGATTTGCAGTACCATCGTGAGCCCGCCAATGTCTCAGACTGGGTTGCTTACCAGACTGTGAAGGCCATGCGGTTCCCGACAGACATCTTCTTCAGGACAAAGTATATCCATCGTGTCGTCGCCCTCGAGACCGTTGCCGCCGTGGTACGTTTCCTTTTCCTTTTCCTTTTCCTTTTCCTTTTCCTTTTCCTTTTCCTTTTCCTTTTTTTTTTTTTTTTTTTTTTTTTTCGTTTTTCCGAGTTGTTATTTCTCGCCTTTGCTCGGTCTTTTTATATTCGCCATTCGCTTCCCACGCCCTTAGTGAGGGTATATGCCAAATGACATCCAAGTCAACAAACATAAAACTAAAACAACCTTTGCTCTTCCCACCCCTTTCTTCACCAAAATAGCCAGGAATGGTAGCAGGTATGCTCCGTCACTTGAGATCGCTCCGTCGGTGCAGCCACGACGGCGGCTGGATCTCCCATTTGTTGCACGAGGCCGAGAACGAGCGCATGCATCTCCTCACCTGGATGAAGGTCTCTCAACCGACCCTCTTTGAACGTGCCCTCGTCACCGCCGTCCAGGGTGTCTTCTTTAATGTCTTCTTTGCGCTTTATATGGTCTCTGATAGGACCGCCCACCGTGTCGTGTAAGTTCTCTGTTGGTCTGTTGGTCGTTTCATCATGGACATATGCCCCAAAAAGTGATACTAACATTCTCCTCCCCTCCCTCCAAATAGCGGATACTTGGAAGAACAAGCCGTAATCTCATATACACACATGCTGGACGAGATCGACGCCGGTGTGCTCGAGAATGGACCCGCCCCCAAGATCGCAATCGACTATTGGAACCTCGAAGAAACCGCAACCGTCCGCGATGTCTGCCTCGCCATCCGTCTTGACGAAAACGTCCACATGTTGACTAACCACCATCTCTCAGACCGCATCGCCCTCAAGCAGGAAGACCTCAGGGTTGACATTCATAAACTCCAGCAGGAACAGGGAATGGTCCCTACGCAAAACGCAGAGAAAGTCTGGACAAAGGGAAACAAGTACTAAATTCTACCCTCTTTTTTTTTCTTTTGCATAATCAACAGAATATTTTTACTTTCACTGCATCGCGCACACACCCTTGTACAAAGTTTTCCTTTTTCTCTTTTCCATCACTTTCTTATCGCATAAAAACAAAGGCAAATAAAAACAACAACACCCATTTGCAATACAAACCTTTCAGGGGTGCGTTGGTCGTTCTAGAGCATGCGATGAAATAATTACCTGTTGATACAACTCGATAAACAAACAAAAAAAAAGCAGAAAGCGAAAAGGCAAAGACAAAAAAAAAAAAAAAAAAAAGGGCTACAGTCTCTATGTCATAACTCTCTATCTTTCTACGCCATCGTCTTGGTAGAAGCATTCGAACTGGACGTCGAAGCAGACAAAGCCGATGACGCCGCCTTGGATGCCACAGAGTTAGGGCCCTCTGTGGGTGAGCCTGAGCTTGAACCAGCCGTCGTATCCAACCACCGCTCAGCACGACCCTGCTTGACAAGATCTCGGTACCACGATCCATACACCTTCTTGTTGAATTCGCTGACCGCCCGGATCTTCTCCAACAACGCCGTCATCTCGTCTTCAAGTCCTGTCAACCCATGGGCCTCCATCTCTGCCGTGTTGAAGCTGAGCTTGGCCGCCAACGCCTCCGCCGCAGCCTTGTTGGCTTCTTCCGGCGATAGCACTGGGGGTGCTACACCAGCAGGGACAGGTGTGTTGGGTTTCCCTCCATTTTCCGTTTCATCTTGGGACATCTTGATCGGAGATGTCGCCGTGGTGTCATTGCTCTGTCTTGAAGAGCCCGCAGACTGGCCTCCAGATGATGTCGTCGTCTCGTCGTCATCATCGTCACCCTTGCTCTGATCTTCACTGTCGTTTGGGCCCTGAGAGGAGGACATAGAGATCGCCGAGGCAAGAGAAGCGCAAGAAGCCGAGAGAATCAGCATCGACGAACACGAGTGCAGATAGAGCCAGCGACGGAAATGGATCAACAACCGCTTCTGAATCAACTCGTACAACGTCGACGTTCTGCACAGCGCATTATCCAACCATGCGGTCAGCAAATTCGTATTCGACGCCGACAGACTGGGAGACGCTGGAGCTGCCACCTCTCCAGCTTTGGGTGTGGCTGCTGTGGGTGATACCATGGCCGCCGCAGAGAGGGGCCGCGGAATGGCGACGAGGTTCTTCATAGGGTGGAGAAGAAGATTACTACCGGTCGCCATCGACACGGTCTGGACAGAAGAGGCAAGACTTCCGCGTCGAAGACCCACTGTCTTCGGAATCGGAGTTTCGGGCGAAAGTGAAGATCGTCGACTTCCGGCCGTAGCTGTTGCTGCTGCGGTGGCGGCAGCGCCATTCACGCTCCTCTCCCGGACCTTGCGCGCGGCAAACTCGATTTGGATCACAATGTCCTTCATTCCGCTGCTTCCACCGCTGGCACTCGATCCATGCTGTCCTCCACCGGATTTGGTCTGCGTATTGGCTCCGAAATTGGCATTCTCGTCAGTTAACAACAGCCATACCACTTTCTTAATATCGACAAGATCCTGCTGCGTCCAGCAGTTTTGTGCCAATTGTCGGAAAAGGATCAATAAAATGCAGAGAATCGTCAAATCTTGGAAATCGTTGTGGAAGAGCAACAGGCGGTAGTGGTCCAGCTCGAATGTCTCCGGCATCGTATTCGCCGATCCGTGAGGTCGCAGTACCATCCCCAGTAGACCTAGATAACGGAGTGGAGATAAGTCAGTCATATAAATATAAACAAAAATATCCGATATCCATATCCATATGACAGGCTGCGCAAATGACGAACCTTCATTCACAACGCCGTCCAGGATGTTTTCGCCTATGTCAGTGCTGACAACACTCGTCCGTCGCTTGAAATTGATGGATGCCTGGGCTGGTGACAATGTCGCCGGACTTGATCCCTGTTTGCTTCCGTCCTGTTCCGTTGTTGGAAGAGGAGCAAGACTCGGTCGACGAGAAGGCGGAAATATGGCCACAGTAGGAGATGTCTTGCTGATCACCGACTGCTTAACTGATTCCCAATTGAGCCATGACTTTTTGAACCAATTCGTGGTTCGATGGAGAGATCCGCCACGTCCTAGGTGCTCCGTAAAGTATTTCTGCTCGAAATCGATCGAATTATCCAGTAGCCAAGGTCTCAGTGTGCGCAGTTGATGGTTGGCAATGTCCTATTGTGACAGATCGAGCACAATGTCAACAGCAGCTTCCAACAAATAATCATCAGGAACAGGAGCAGGAACACAGACATAATGAAAACCTACCAGCTTCATCCACTCCAGAATCTCAAAGCACATACGAATGCCGCGCACGATCTCCTCCAAGTCCACCACAGTGTGGACCATGGACTCCACAAGGGAGTCGCGCATGGGCGCACAGTGTCCCTTCAGCGAATCTCCGAGGTATCGGAACAACGCGTGTACATCGAGAACACCGTGGTCAAGCTCTTGCAGAATCAAATCAGGGTCCAGAGTCGACGTCAGCAACGCCCTCTCCGAATTCTCCTGATGGGCGGCGTCCTGCTGTGAAGGTTTGGAACCATCCTGGTTTGTGGGCGGTGCCGGCAATAAGGACAGGAGAATCTCTCGCAGCTCGTCAATAAGCCGAGGCAAAAGGACTGCCTTGGGTAAGGGACACATCTGCTGGGCCTGCTGCTGGATCATTCGACTGGAAGGACTGGAGGCGGAAAGACCCGCTAGGTTAAGCATCTTGGTCGTCGCATCCCGTCGAGCTGAAAGAACCGCCCGGCGAGTATTAAGTTCTGCACCGACTTCATGCCAGAATCGATCAGCCTCCCGTCTCTTTGTCAATCCGCGCTCGCCGTCAAAGTTGGGCCGGAACTGAAGGTGCGGATCGAATACAATGTCGTGGCGAAGTTGAGGGTTTTTGAAGATCTCAAACAAATCCAGCTCGCGCAAGGTATCGCGGGTGATGGGGAGCATCAGCGTGGCAGGGCAGGGTTTGACAACCTGCATGGCGGCATTGGATCCTGATGGTCGAGAAGGCTGGTGAGCCGCAGGCTGTTGTTGAGAGCGGGAGGTAGACGAGGATGAAGATGCACCCTTTGGAGGAACAGCGCCAGTTCGCTGACCACTAGCTCCAGTCGATGGTCGTTGTTGAATCGGATCCTGATACTGAGGGGTGGTGGACATTCTCTGGGAGCTCGATCCTGGGGTCAGTTGAGCGGGGCTGGAAGTTTCCTGATGTCTACCGTCTGAAGGATACCCTTGCTGCGCCTTGGCTTCCTTGCGCACCTCCGAATCCAATGGGTGGATAGATGGCTCCACGTCAGCCCGAGCCGGGGATAGAGGCGTGAGCACTGGGCCATCCAGTGGGTGATGACGGTCATCCTGCGACTTTCCTGCCATATTAGGTCCTGATGATTCGCTATCAAATGGATGAATCCGCGATGGCTTCCGAACTTGCAAGACAACGACCCTGTCGTGTTGAACAGCAGGAGAAGAAGCGTGCATCTGGAATGATGGCTTTGTGGCATTGTTGAGAGTAACCGAATCCTGCTTATCTATGCGGTCATTATGGTCCCTGTTGTCCTTGTCTTGCCATGCCAAGGTGCGGGCAGACTCTGGGTGGGTCGTGTCGTCGGGTACGCTTTCGTAGGTCTCGCCACTTTGATGTCTGGCGCGCTTAAGTCGCTCAGTGTTCCTGACACTCGAGATAGCAGAGGAGGAAGAGGAGGAGGTAGAAGGAGAGGGTACTTCAAACGCCATTTGCTGCAGCTGAGGGCTTCTCTGTCGCTTATGATGAGGGACATGTTGCTGGTCAATCTCCTGATGGGTTTGGATGCGCTGCGGTAAAGAGTTGTTCAGGGTCGAATGAAGCTGTGTCTGACTGTGGCTATGGGTAAGGCTATGGAGAGCCTGCTGCGGTGAGGGTGGGGGAAGTCGGTGTTGGATATGGAGAGACGTGTGAGAGTGTGATGGGAGTTCTTGGCTCTGACTGTGAGAGGTGAGTTCTGCAGTCGGGTCCTGTCCAGCTTGGTGTGAGGATGACTGCCTGCTTCTCCTTTCCTGCTGCTGTTGTTGTTGCTGGTGGACGATCCTATGTGATGGTTGAGTGCGGTCCGACACCGATACTTCGGACTCGGATATCGTTCGAATATGTCCAGTTGACTCCATATGCAATTTAGAAACGCTAGGTGTTTGGTGTTGATGTTCCAGGTGTTCAGCAGGAGAGCCCTGAGATTGCGTACAGTCACAAGAACTAGTGCAGAGGTTCCACGGCGTCCTAGATGAATGCGAGGACTTCTTGATTCGTTTCCGCCGTGAGGTCGATGCGATATGTGGGCTGGAGGACGACGATGTGCTTGTGCAGGAAGACGAAGGCACGGGCGAGTGGTGCGACGCGCTAGAACTACGCCGTTTGGACCTTTTCTGGTTGAACGAAGTCAGCGTAGGTACGGTCGATATATCTCGGATGTTGATACTCCGAACGTCGGTGACGATGACACTGTGCGCGCGTGTGGTGTCCTTGTGGCGACTTCTGCTGTTACCGCTATTTTTGCTGCTGCTGGTCGACCTGGATGCGCTGGAGCTGATCGTCGTTGATGGAGAGGAGGACGGAGGTGGTGGCTGTGCTTCTGCCTTAGAGGAGCTTTGAGAGGGGGGTATTGATGCTGGGGCGCGCGAATTGAAGATGCGAATGCTGGATAAGAAGTTTGGTAGGAAAATCCCTGTCCTTGCTGGCTGGCTGCTAGGATAGTTGTCTTCGTTTTGGTCGGGCGACGAAGGTGGAGATGATGGTGAGGACTCGCTGTTGGAGGTTGGGGATGGGCTTGTATCGCTGTGGGTATCTGGGACGGTCGGAAAAGGGTTGCGAATTGAGTCTGAAGGGTGGGTGGCAGCGGCGAGTGTCGGTTCCGCTTTGGATGGAGATGAAGAGAAGGAATGTACAGAAGAAGGAAGGGAAGAGGTGGAGATACAAGTGGGGCCTGAGGTTGGTGAAGAGGGAGATGGTGTAGCAGAGGTTGAGGTCGTTCCTGGTGAAGGAGCGATAGAGGAGGATGAAAGTGACGAGATGTCGCCAGGAGACATCTTTGAAGAAGCAGAGGCCTCGTGTGTGGAGGAGGAAGGGATGGCTAAGAGAGCGTATAGGAAGGGCAAGGAAGAACAAGGATAAACAGAGAGCGAGAAAGAGAGTGAGAAAGCGTGAGTGTGAGAGTGTGAGAGTGTGAGAGTAAGTAAGTAAGAGATGCGTGTTGAAGGAGTCAGGAGGATGGACAGGAGAAGGACAGGAGAAGGACAGGGAGAAGTGAGGAGACAAGGGAGCAACGAGGAGAGAAAAAAAGTTGATTCTGGTGAGCATAGATGCGATCCAGCATTCGCTGTTTGTGCTTTTTGTAATGTTTTCTCTTTGTGTCTCTCTGTTCTTGTGTTGGTTGCTTTAAGACTAGAGACATTCAAAAGACCAGGCAGCTCCTCGTTTTATTATTTCTTGTTTTCATCATAACTCTCACCACCACCTCCTCCTCCTCCTCCTCCTCCTCCTCTTCTGTCTCCTCTTATTTTCATACTTTTTCTCGCACAAACGTGGAGACGGATTTCAAGTAGAAAACTCGATGGGAGGTGGAGCATCCTCAAAGAACACAATTAAGAACGGATTGTTCCTTTCGCACATACTTTTTTCAGAGTTGAGCGAAAAGAAATGGTCCAGGACACCAAAGACGCTCCTTTTGTAGCTGTTGAGAAAAAAAATATGATACGCTGACCAACTAATCGAGCTGAGGAGGGAAATCCCTTCAAATCGCTTTTACAAAAAAGAGCGACAGAGAATTTGGACTCCTTCTGCCTCTCCCTCTTTCTTTGTCTGCTATTCATGACTTCATCCTCCTTCCCCTTCGTGCTTGTTTCCTTCGGAAAGACAAAGGAAGAAAATAAAATGTGTAGAAGCGAACAAACGAGGAGGAGGGAATGGGTTGTATGGCCTGGAAGGAAAGTGAAGGTTGGAGAAGGAGAACACACTTGGACGGAATAATGCAACACTGTAAACCACAGTTTACCACTGCATTATTTTTCTATTTCTGTTTTCATACGCAGTGCACACAATTGTTTTGTTTGTCCTACTCTTGCACGCCTCTTCTCGCTTCAACCTATTCTATTATTCATTGTTCTTACAGTTGCTTCAACCTATCCATCACCCAAAATCCATCACTCTCCATTTCTACTCTTGTGTCATGACTCCCTATCGTCCTGCATGCCCGTCCGTATCGAATATTGTCGTAGTAACCGTGCTCGGATCAAAGGAAGAAGAAAGCACATTACCTTGTTCAACGCAACATTTTTCAGAATCATGAATGTCCCCGACAGTTATCTGGGTCGACTTCCATCCTCCTCGGTTGTCCGCGCCACTGTCGCTGTTGGATATCCGGTGTTTGTCGTGCCGCCTGGACCGACTGTGCCTTGAACGAGGCCGCGAGGAGGATGAGCTGTCGTTGCTCAATATTTGGTGGCGGCTCGACCGAGAAGAGCTTGATTTTCTCCGCTTGCATCTCCTGTGTTCGTCTCGATTGGAGTTGTTGGCTTGGATGTCTGCCTTTGGGCTTGACAAAACGCTGTCTTGGTCCACGACGTGACCCACCACGACGACATGGTCCTGGCTGACTATAGTTTGTATCCCCAGACCATTACCGCCGCATATGCTGTTGTTGTTATTGTTATTGAGGTGGTTGTTTGTTTTGTTGATATTTTCGCTGTTGTTGTTGTCAAATTTCTCCTGCCGTGACAGTGAGGATAGTGAGGGGGATGATGGACTGCCACTTTGAGGTTGCCTCTTCTCCTGTGGTTGTGGCTGGTCTCTCGAGGACAGATGTTGTTCCTGTACCGAGGCAGCCAAGAGCTGGGATAGAGAGATGGACCTCTCAGGTTGGGAGTCAATTAATGGCGATAGTTGATGGTGGGTAGAAGAGTGAGTAGGTACTGTCGAAGTTGTTGGCGAAGGAGGGGGAGAAGGAGAAGGAGAGGGAGAAGAGGGCTCAAAGGGCTTGGACAGGTCAAAGCTCTGGTGGACAGCGAGAACGTCGGCATGTCGGTTGATGTTGGGTCGGATATGGGAAGAGGTGAGGCAGGGTACCGAGACTGTTGAGGCGCCTATGGTCCCCCGCCGAGAATGGTGGCGCACAGGAGCAGAGGATGAATTGTGAGGTCGAGAAGGGGGAGCCAACGCTGGAGACGCCGAGGTCGACACGGAGACGGAGCGGTAGGGGAGAGAGTGAGAAGAAGGGGTTGCAGAGGTTGAGGAAGTCGAGGAGACCGAGGTCGTTGCAGAGGCAACGAGGAGGGGAGTTGAAGACGAGGTGGCAGTGGATGCAGAGGAAGCCGAGGTTGAAGTTGTTGAGCCTGAAGTTGGATCGCGGTGCATTGGTGGCAAAAGGAAAAAAAAAAGAGAGAGAGGCCCCTATGAGGTTGTTTGATTCCTGCTGCCTGTTAGTTGTATGTTCCTGTTGCAAGGCAATGGATGTGGGATGTCGTTGGCGGTGGTTATTAAGTAGGGGCAGTAGGAGAATGAGTTGGGGGCGGGGAGGAGAGGGTGGAGGAAAGGAAAGGCAAGGAAAGGCAAGGAAAGGGGGTTAAAGGGGAAATAGGGCGCGGGTGTACACACGGTCGGTGGTGGTGGTGGTGGCAGGAAGAAGTGGAAACGAACAAGGGAGAAAAAAAAAGGTAAGAGCAAAAGCAAGAGCAAGCAAAAATAATAACAACGACGAAGGCAAAAAGGTGCGAGGAAGGGAATGAGCAAAAAAGAAGAAAAAGAAAAGATGGACGAGCAACGAAAACTGGAATGGAATAAGGATTATTACAGAATAAGGAGAATGTACGAGGAGGTAAAGGAAAGCAATAATAAGGGATGGAAGACAAAGAGAGAGAGGAGAGAGGGTGAAGAAGAGGCAATGGAGATAATGGTGGAGAACAGAGCAAAGAAAAAGCTTCTTTTTTCTTCGACTTGGCCACCTCTGGCTCAGTCTCACTCACTGTCTCTGTGGTAGTTCTCCTTGTCTCTGCTGGGTGATCCCTTTTTCTCTTTCTCTCTCTTCATCACACCTCCAACCACAACTCAATCATCGCCAGGATCTCACCCCGACCTCGCCACCCTACCACCGCCACAGTCCCTTTCTTTCTCCTTTCTCCCAGGGCACCTTGTGACACATGGGGATCCCATCACCAGACGCGGCAAGAGCATCGGTAAGAACGATCTGATCCTTTTTTCTCTTCGCTTTTATCACAACCACACCCGGAAACCCGCTTTTCCAGCGTCATTTTTTATTCCGTCCCACAATTCAAAAAGGACCCGCATAGCCAGCTGGAGAGGGAGACGAGGGTTCCTTCCCTCTGAGCTGGCCTAGGCATGAAAAAATGACTCGATTCGACTCCCGCTCTTGCCTTTTTCTTTCCCTTTTACAATTTGGCTTTTGAAGTGAGAGAAGGCAGGGAGAGAGGGAGAGGGAGGTGGGGGTGTTCTCACCCCTGCAAAAGTTTCATCGCTTGTTTTTTCTGCTTGTCATTCTTAAGAAAATGACAACAGGTCATCCCGTCAGCTGCATCGTGCCTATGCCCTCGAATAGAAAACTTTTATTTTGGATTTGCTAATACACGCAGAAAGTCACTTCTACGAGAGGGTCCATAAGAAAATCCAACCCCATAATCCACATGGTCCATGGGTCTAAAAAAAATCTATGGCTCAGTCAGCTAACAAAAAAACCATTTCTTTTTTCATTCTCAGACCCAGGCCATCTTGCTAGCATACCTATGCGATCGATACCATGACCTCGCCACTTACGCATCCGAATCTCTCAGGCAGCGCGTCCACTTTATGGCAAAGCCCGACGGGTCAAACCTCAAGGACCTCTTCATCTGGGATACGCCTCTTTCAACTCGCTCCCTCGGACAAAACGTCTCTCTGCGCTGGACTCCAAGCCAGATTCAGGACTATATCCACCAGCATTGGTCAGCCGATCAGTTTCCTTTGCACCCGCCTAATAATTGCAATTCCTGGGAGGCTGCAAAGGTGTACTTCAAGGAGCTTGACCAGGAGACTGTCCAGGCCATAGTCCCAATCGGAGTTCAGGGAGATGAGGAGACGAAGATGGATGAGGTCACGCTGTTAGTCGTCCTAACAGCTGAACTGGATTCAGGAGATCAGGACAAGGGTTCTTCCGAGGGGGGAGGACGCCCAGCAGGCGGTACTGTTGGAGGAGGGTCGGCGTCAAAGCAGGGAAAGAGGACTGTCTGGAGATATCACGACATGGTGGCGGTAAGTGAGACCAACTGGGAGCAGAATGGCTGGACCATCCTCTTACCAAAGCATTCTCAACTCCAGGAACCTACGTCATACGACAAGATTACAGGGACAGAGACTGACAAACAATCTGAAGGAGATGAAGAGAAAGTTGAGCAGGATGACGGCGGGGATGACTCGGATGATGATTACTGGGGCCAATACGGGGATGCAGAGGACGAATCGGCAGCGGACGAAACTAACGGCAAGTCCAAAGATAACCAGGACCCTTCAGGCGCCGCAAGCGAGGCACCCCTGGACCAAGACGCCGAGGAGGAACTCTACTGGCGCAAGTACAGTGAGCAGCAGGAGGAACAGGACGAGCTTGAGCGGAAAAAGAAGATGCCAGAACAACAGCACTCATTAGAACACCCACCACCAGTAGCAGCAGCAGGGCTTCACCATCTTGATCCTCAGGAGTCCTCCAAGGCCCCTACCCCGCTCCCTGGACAAGTAGATCCCAACATGCTGTCGTCTTTGCTTCAGTCTTTGGTCATGGAGGGCGTCCAACAGATGTACCCGACCTCCTTCTCGGAACTGGACCAACAGCATCAGGGCCCTCTATTGCAACAACATCATGCAACTGTCGACCTCCCTGTCGCTACATCAGCACTAGATACTATATCACCTCTACCCTCAGCAGCGCCTTTACACAAGGACAACACTTCACATCCGGCTGACAATGGAGACTCGCAGTCGAAACTGATGGACTCTATGCGGTCGCTGGTGGCAGACTCTACTCGTGCAGGATATACCAAAGACCAAGTCTTTGCAATGATGGAATCCATCTACAACACACAATAAACATATATATGGGCAGTGCATACAGTGTAGAATGGACTAAAAAAAACCATGTATTTATTATCATTAGGGGAAGTAGTAGTAGTAGTAGTAGTAGTAGTAGTAGTAGTTTTTATGGGTAATAGTGGTTTCTCTCGTGTCCAAGTCGGGGGGGGGGGGGGGGGGGGGGGGTTAATCTTTCTTCAGTGACCCTCTTTGTACATGAGAGTAGCGATGTTCATATAGAAATCAATCGCATCAAAGGGTTTCTGGTCATATCCAATCTTCAACCTATACCGATTGTTCAGATCCCAATGGTCCGCGTCCTCAGTGCCGACATAATGACCCCATCGCGCACTATGCGTCGACACCAGACCATCGTTCTCGCCCTCCTTCGCCTTGATGATCTCCCATGGGATTCCCAGTGGTGCCCAGACAGGGATCTGTTTGACAGCGGCGCCATAGGAATAGTAGGAGACGCGGGGATCGTCGGGGGTGTTGGGGTTGAAGACGTTCTGGCAGTAGTCTGTCGTCAGGTTGGCGTAGGCTGGGGTGTCTACGTATGGGATCAAGCGGTTCAGCAATGGGCTGATGATGGGGTTGCCGCTGGATTGGGAAGGTGGGGGTGGTGGAGGACCTGCAAAGGATCCCGTGGACGTGTATTGGTTGGAGTACGAGAAAGGTGGAGGGATAGTCGTCGTATCGAAAGAAGTGGATTCACCTGCAGTCTGGTATGCTCTCAAGGCTTCCTGAAGGTCCAGAGCCGCAGCTTTGGACAGCCGCGCAGCCTCGCCCAGTTTCCGCATGGCTTCTTCCTCCGCGTGTTGGAGGTGTCCGACTCCGATACTGTCTCTGAACCAGTCCATGACAGGGCTGCCTCGATGGGGTGTGGAGAGTGTTGTGAGGGATTTGACATCGTAGTTCTTATCGTGGATGTGGCTGATCAGGTACCTGCAGTCCAGTCCGCCCTATAATTGGTAATACATCCAAGATGACAATTAGTAAAAACAAATCCCGATCTCCAATGCCTTGAAACATAGCCATAGCTCATCCTTTGTCCAGATGGTTACCATAGAGTGAGCGAGAAAGTTTACATGCATGCCCTCGACGGTGTTGGTCAGCATCCTGTGGAGTGCCTCTGCTCGCTTCTTGATCGATCCCGTCCTAACAAAGTGGACAATAAAACGAAAGAGAGTAATAATAATGATAAGTGTTTGGCGCGCCTCTATTGGTCGGAACTTCTCCCCACAAACTTCGCCCAACAAAAAATCTATTTTGTATGTTCGGTTCCACATGAGCATGTCACCATGGTCATGCAGTCGTACAGGTACACCTCCTCGTGTCCACTCTTCCCGATCGGCAGTCTTGTCGTCACAAGGTCTTTTCTATTATTCTCTTCCCCACCACTTTTTTGTTCCTTCCTTGTGTTTCTATCAAAACATGCCACGCCTTGTCTTGTATGACGCCAACAAAAAAAACCCCCGTGGGGGAGAGTAGAGTACAGAGATGAAAAGGCACTTACTTGGGCACACTGGCAACAATAACCTTGGCACCCAACTTTGTCAACGCCTTCTGAACACCCTTCCAGTAGTGGATCTGCAAATGTGGGATCGTATCAGGTCCCATCTTGTCAAACCCAAACAGGCCTAATCAATCACACACGCACGCATGAAATAGCATGGTGACAATGAAAATGAATCCGAGACAAACACACGGCAAGGTCAGATTCCACACCTGTTGAGGAGACGACACACGTTTTCGTTTCTTTGTATATACGGATTGCAAGTCGCTTGTTTGCTTACCATGACAGAGCACAATGGGATGTCGTGGCGCAGAATAACAAGAACTAACAACGGGCATGGCGTATTCGTAATTCTGTTTTATCCGATTCTCCAACAGACCCCTCCAGGGTGATTGCAGCGATGGGTACTGTGCATGTCGACTCTGACTCTGCGACCGTTGCTGTCCGTGTTGGTGCTGATCGACGTCGCTTACTTCCTGGCTGTGGTCGGTTGAAGAGGAGGAGGAAGTGGCGAGTCCAAGGGTGGACTTGAGGGAGACGTAGATGGCGTTGGTGGATTGGGCGGTCGCCGAGAGAGAGTTGCGGATCTGGGAGGCGAGAAACGTGGTCGTGTTCACCAGCATTTGCTTTCTTGGTTCGGTTCGATGTAGGTGGTTGAGAAGATGGAACAAAGGGGAGAATTTGGAGGAGCGGAGATAAAAGAGGATAGTTTGGAATGTGTTACAGAAGGCAGGGGGGACAGCTGTGCTTTCGAGGATTGTGAAGAAAGTAGGAAGAAAGGAGGAGTTGGACCGGCTTGACAAGGAGAGAATGAAGAAGAGTGGATAGGGAGGAGGATAGATAATGAGTTGAAGAATAAGAGGAGGTGTGGACGAGAATTGGTGGTTTGGAGAGAAGAGTTGATGGGAAGAAAAGAAACTTTCTTCAAATTCAAGGTGGGGTCATTCAGCCTGCCAGCGGTGTCGTTTTTTTTTGGGGCGGACAACACGTGACGTACATGCGTATCGAACCATAAGTCACCTGCCAAGACCCAAGGTGCTCTCGCACCGCACACATGCACTGTACACTCCCGACGCATGACCATGGCTTGCAGAGGTAAGAAAAAAGTACCCAACGTTTTTATTTTTACAGATAGACAGCAACGACTAAGGACTTGACTGAGAAGAAAAAAAAGCAAGGAGGACGACGATATGAAGTGACAGTTATAAGTACAGAAAAAAGGGCAAAGAGTACAGCAAAAATGGTATGATGGAAGCAACAGAAAAGTGAAAGCAAAGTACACAAGCAGAAGAGACGAAAAAGACACGAATGAAACAAGAACGAAAAACGACACACGGCACCCTTCATGAAGATGAACGTGGGAGTTAGTGTTGAGGGCTGAAGGGCGTGAAGCAGGTAAATGGCTTGGGTAGGATCTTCTCCTTCTCGGAGCGATGGATCCGGACGTGCTGGTTAAGGTTGTCGCTTCGCGAGAACCGTTTCGGGCAGTTCTCGTAGGGGCATCTAAAGGCTGGAAGGCCAAAGAAAAAGAAAGAAAATATAAACGCAATTAGTTTGCAGCACATAGCACATAACACACGCAGATATCTTTCTCCACTGCTTTGTCCAGGCCCCCCTCCCTCTGCGCCTTTTTGATTTAATCTTTTTGGTAAGGTTGCATGATTTTTAGGTATCTGAAAAAAACAAGGCACAAGGCAAACTTACGTTTCTCCAGTGTGTGCACAGAGCGTACATGGCGCTTCAGGTGCTCAGATCGCTTAAATTGCCTGCTGCAAGCATCAATCATACAAGTAAACACCCGGGTGGTGCCGTCGGGGCTCAACGAGGCACGACGTGTGCGTGCCTTTGTCGCAAGGCTTGGTGAAGGGAAAGCCGACGAGGACGTCTCAGACGAGATCGATGTCGATGACAGTGAGGGGACCATGGCTGCCCCACCAACGCTGCTCAAACGAGATCGAGGAAGGTGCAGGGACTCGAGAAGCTCGTGCGACTGTGTGATCGGGTAAAGGGAGCCGAGGGAGCCGTGGCGAGGGATCAGATAAGAACGGCACTCATCAGACACCTCAAACGGGGCATAGTCGGACGTGTCAAAGATCGACATGGACTGGCTGCGATCCAAGGAGTGAAAGCCATGAGCGGGTGTCGAAGATGGGGAGAGAGATGACGAGGACGAAGGAGAACCGTCGCTCATGCTACTGTACCCAAACTTGACCACTCTGGAACCGGTTGCGGCCTCGAGGTTGTTGATGGACGATGACAATTGGTCCATCTGGAAGGGATGGACCGAGCCAGAGGACGACGAGAAAGTCGGTGGTAGGCTATGGAAGTCAGCGTTGGAATCGTGGGCAAACATGAGCGGTTGTTGATGGAAGCTTGCGGTGGTATACCCGGAAGGACCACTTGTGTACTGAAGAGGGTGAGGCTCGGAGGAGGTCATGTGGGGCAGAGAGGGCTGATCGTGTGGGTGAGTGGTGAACTGCTGGAAAGACTCTTGGTATCCACTGTGAAATGCTGCCTCTGCCTGCTGTAGTTGTTGCTGCTGTTGCTGTTGTTGTTGGAAGGTCAGTTGGTCGTTAATGCTCTGGACAGACCTGCCGTACATGTATGCGTCGTTGAAACCCGAGAATTGCATATGAGGAGCTGAGAGTGACCGAGCAAACAAGGGAACAGGCCCTGTGGAGGATGAGGCGGCGGCGGAGGCGGCTGCTACGACTGCTGCTGCTGACATTGCTGAAGTCACCATGTGGTGCTGTTGTGGGTCGCTGTGGTCGAGGAGGGACATGGCGTGGGGGTGAGTGAGTTTGTGGTGTGTGCGAGGGTTGTTTGTGTGTAGCGCAGGTCAATTGATAACGGTCGCTTGTTTTTTTGTTTCTTGCTTGGGTGGTGGTAGCAAGCTGGTTTCGAATTCGATGCAGACGGGTGGGTAAATACAAGAGCAACGGTATCAAGGACACGAAAGAAAGGAGCAGAGAATGAAGAGGGGGAGGAGAATTACTGTTGCAAAATGAGAAGAGAAGAAGGGGGAGAGAGGAATAGATACTTAAGAAAGAAGAGGAATCAAGAGGGAAGAGAAAGTGAGGTGAAGGAGTGGAAGGCAGAGCTGATTGATACAAACAACAGCCAGTCTCAAATTAATATCAATGGAGGGAAGGTGCTTTGACTGTGAAGAGAAGCAAGATGGGAAGAAAGACTGAGGGTGGGCTTGCTGGGGACACCAAAGGGATGGATAAAAGTGGTTGGGATGAAAAGAACGCACGAAGAAGGAGAATAGGATGGAGTAAGAGTAAGAGGATGGAAGGATTGTCAAAGAGGCGGATGGTCGATGGGTATTTATGTTAAATAGGGAAAAAGTTCTTATGTTTTGTATTTGTATTTGTTGAAAGGGTCTCTGGTTTCCCTTTGTCCGTATTCACTTTTTTTTTTTTGCATTGAATCTCTGGTAGTACTTATCCATGGGTGCTTGCTGTTTGTTTGGCTGGACGATATAGGACCAACGATACCTTCGAGAGAGCGAGTGGATGTGCGAGAAAGTGAATGAGAGTGAGAAGAGAGAATCCCTTTGGTTGTGTACTGTTCTCTCCGATTGTATTGTTTCCTCACTATTCTATTCTTAAGAAAGAATAAGGCCAAAGCTAAAAATGCGTAAGAGAAGGTGGACCGTTGTTGTTGATGCTGTTTGTTTGTCCCATCCACCTCCACCTCCATTTCCTTCCTCTCTTCCCCCCTTGCGTCTCTCTTTCTCGTCTTCCTTGTTCTCTCTCTCTTTTTTTCCCCTTTCATCCTGCCCTGTCCTGCGTCCCTGCCCTGGCCCAAATTGTCCCAAACACAAACAAAAAGAATAGATTCCATTCAATAAAAAAAATCGGGATCCCTTTGTGCACAAGCAAAAAAAAAATAAACAAGAGTGCCTCTGCGTCTGCATTTTGATGTCCATCGGGCCAATGAAGGCGAACCTTAATTCGATGATAACTAGGGAGAATTGAATGGTTGGATGCTGTCCAAGGTGCAGGTTTGCGTGCATCATTGATTACGTCGCAATTCAATTGCGACATATACAAACAGACTAACAACGACAATCATCAAGCGGAAGGGCCTCTTGTTACGATAGGACTGATTACAGTCTAAGCACCAGCAACAAATCGACATCAACACCACCTCTACTACTAACAAGAAAAACTGTCAACAAGAAAAACAACCAACAAACAGTGGATGTGTTACCTTTTCCTTCTCCCAACAAGTGGTGCCATCCTTTCGAGAACTTTCAAAGAGTTTGCCGATGGTTATGAGCATTGGCCACGAAAAAGCAACATGAAGAACAGAGCAGTGGTGTAGGGCGTGGAGAGAGTGTTCGGGAAGGAACTCTGGTACACCTTTTCCTTCTTTAATTGATCCATCATTGGCCTACGCACACTGGAAACTGCATCCCTCCTTGTATCATTGCCCAGACATGCTAATGCATACACCCGACAACACCACCAGCACCGTCGACACCAAACACCACACACCCTACTCCACCAGACCTACCCATACCCGGTCTTACACTTTTCTCTACTTCGTCGTCCTCGTCTTGAATATAGGATTCATTTATGAAAATAATAATTGAACGAGCGCCTTTTCGTAACTGTATTGGTTCTTCAAAAAACACTAACCCCTTCTTTTCGTCTCTCACTCTCTCACACAAACAACTTCTTAGTGGGTGGTGTGCAATGCGTGTATGCGATGCTACGGGTGTTTTGAGTGACAATTAATTTGATTTTTTTTGGTCGAGACACTTCACCTTCTCTCCATAAGTGCACGCACCAATTTTCTATTCTCTGTCCCCTTTCTCTGTCTCCTACTCATTTTCTTTTTTTTTCATGTTCGTTTTCATTCGTCTTCTTCCTCCGTTGTTTTTTCGCCTTTGATATACTAGCTTTTTTTTCTCTTGGGCGTTTGATCGTGTTCAGGGTAGAGGAGAAATATTGAAAAAGGGGAAATACACGTATGGATGGATGATCCTTTCGATGTTCATTGTCCTCCGATAGATATTCAAGCAACAGCTACTCTGCCCACCCTTTTTTCGCAAAAGTTCGTTGTGTTTTCTTCTAGAAAAGAGGAGTGACTTTTGAATGTGCCAACAAAGTGAACGGCAAGGTCGGGTTCATCTACCCTCAAGCTCCACATGGGAAGGATGAGGGGGGTTTGTTGTGTACCTTTTTGAAGGTATGTTTCCTCGACTAATTGAAGCTAATCTTCAAAAAAAATTGTTGTTGTTGTTGTTTATGCCTTGCTCGTGTTTGTCAGGGTTTGCGATGAGTACCACCGCACTGTGCACACTAAACACACATACACACAAAACAAACAACGCACAAGGCAGGGGTTACCATGGAATGACTGGTCATCGTTTGCCGCAGAAAGAAAGCACATACGAAAGAACAACAATAAGAAAAAAAATCTTCCGTTCGTTTCACCCGCGAGGTTATAGACAGCGCGAACCTAGGAACCATAACGAGAAAGGCAAAAACGAGAAAGACAAATAACATAGCGCGTACGTGCGTCTCGGATTGCATTTTGTGTCTCGAGCACTGGCCAGCCACCCTCGAAAATAACAAGATTTCGTTGGAGACGTTTTGTTTGGGCCGGTTATTGGAGGTGGTTCTGAAGACGGACAGAGTCAGATTTCGAATGAATGGAGTGAGAGATGGAAGTGATGGTGTGGTGTGTTTGCTTGAGAAACAGTAAGAGAGAAAGAACCCTCAGTTCGAAATTTCGGGTATGTTGGTGGTGGTGGTGGAGTAGGTGTAGTGAATGCGCGCGCATGTGTGTTATTAGGCTCCAAGGGTCTCGAGGACCCTTCGTTCCAACTTGCACGCACCACATAGGAAATCGAGGAGGTGAGAATCGATTGCAAATATTGTATTCTATTTTCGTTGTCGCAGATGCATGCGTTTGTACACCGGCAGCAAGAACGCTGATTACCTACAACACCGTCGCTTTTCTCGTTAGCTTTCGATACATATACAAGAGAAGGCAGATCAGTCATGGCGGAAATACAGTTATCCATGTTCTCTAGAACATTAAGTAACCAATGATAGGTAACTCTTGACTGTCTGGCTTAAGCCCAAAAAAAAAAAAAAAAAAAAAAAAAAAAACGAAACAAGGAAAAGATAAGGATATGCTAGGGCGCCATATTCACCAGAGCGCAATGGCAAGAAAGCTCAAAAGGGGAAAAAAAGACAACTGCTTCGGCTCTTCATCCCATGGTCGCAGACAACCTCTTTTTCATTATTTGCATTCGGATTAAAGACAGATCACCCTTTCCTTACCTCTACCCCACATAGCCCCTCTGCCATATGTCGCACAATGTCACCCAATATTCCGTCGACAAGAGAGAGGATATTCGAAATATGGAATGGCTGAGAGGGGAGGAAGGGGCATGGTAACAGAACTGTAATGACTGTAATGATCCCTGTCGGCGCTTTTTTTACTTATACAAAAAGCTCTTATTCTTTGTACATTTGCGTTAACAGTCAATGGTTGCATGCATGCTGCTTACCTCTCTCTTTATTTTTTGTTTTGCTTTGGCGCTCAACAGGTGACTTAACCTTAGCAACAGCAACGAGAAAAAAAAAAAAAAAGCAGCGACCCCTTTCTACTTTTTGCATCTACTTTTCATTGAGAATTTACTATTGCGTCCGAATTGAGATGTGGGCCATGGTCCGCCTGAATTTTGTTTTTCTAGAAAAGCGCCATTTTCTTTGTATGCTGCAACCATGCTCCTCCTTTGTTGCTTCAGGTAAGCGGGGAAATAGTGTATTCGTTGGATAGAAAAGGAGACGCGGCGGGTTAATCGACGTGTGCTTGTGTTTTGTCTGTATAATTGGTCTGATGCACACTTTCATACAAGGGGGATGAGAAAGTGGAAAGGGTGAGGGGAGATAGAAGGGAGATGAAGTGAAGGGGAAAAAAGAATGGCCTACTCGGTGAATTCCTATTTGCATAACACGCGTCCTTGTAGAAAGTAGAACTTCCCTAACGACAATAGGATATCCCGCATAGAACACTTATCCCTTCTTCCATTTGTACAACGTAGCGCTTGACGTTGGGTCTTTCCGTTCAGTTGAACTAAGGCGAGAAAGCAATAGGTTGAAAATAACACGCGCTGTTGATCAGAAAAGAAGCCGGTGCCGGACATTTCACTGATGATATAGATCGTCAGGAAGATCATTCATCGCGGACAGATTAATCGCAAGATAAAAAAAGGCACTCCACAACATGAAAGTATATTGTTGCCTCCCTTTCCCCTTGACTTTTCATTCATGTCAACAGTCAGAGTTCCTCCTTTTTCTCCTCTGCTTGGGTCATTCTCCTTCGCACTTGAGCATTACTGCTCAGATTTGTGCCTTCGCCCCTAGTTAGTCCATGAACCACACCAAATGAAAAAAAAGTGACGAAGGAGTGAGTTAGTCCATATATGACCATGGCCATTGGTCAGCACAAAAGTATGTTTTCTGTTTTGATTGTACTGTATTACCTGTGTATCAATGATATCGAGATATTCACGGGTTTAGGTTCTCTACTTCAGCTGTTATCTTTCTCCATGGTTGCTCTTTGTCTCTCCTATCTGTTCATTCCTTTCCTCTTCCTCCCTTTTCTTTTCCCACAGTCTGAGATGGACAGAAAAAAAACCCCAAACGGAAGTGAGAAGACAAACAAAGAACGCAAAAAAATGGATCGAACGCTGCAGGCGAAACATGTATCTGACCTGACGTACAGTCTTTTCATGATATCACTTTCCCCCGC